TGGCTAGTGGGGAATATCTAAGTCCCCTAGCTGACCCCAGGCGGCGGGCAGACGGCCAGCTGCAGATAATAGGTAGGTAAGGTGCAGGTACGTTACATAATATATGTTAGGTACATACCTATGTACCTACAGCCAGCAGGCCAGATAAGCCTAGGTCGCTTATGTAACTCAGCTCGACCATTGCACAACCGATGTACGAACCCCAAATCTTTTCAGCAGGTGGGCTAGGTGACGAAAGAAGTGGGACCCCGTCTGCTTTCCATCGCTGGAAACCCGAAGTGAAGCTCACCCCGGCCAACTTTCTTCACTTCAGCGACATCTTTTTTTTTGTCAAGCATCACAAGATTTTTGCAATCTACAATACTTGACAATAGCTCCTTGTGAAACCATGCCCATGCATACTATCCCGGTTTGACCTCTTATAAACTCCAACATGCGAATTCGCCTACCTTTTGCAGGTTTGTTCCCTCGTTTCTTCTCTTTGTTGCCTAACGTGCTCCGTTCTATAAGTTAAGAAGCTTCCGGACTTTCCATGACGATCCCCGAGAATCGCTTAAGCTTTATGCAATAGCCCTTGTGAAGATGACAAGTTAACGAAACATTTATAGGAGTTTTCTTCCTGCTATGCCTCCTTGCAGGCTATGCAGGACTCTCGTCCCTACAGCTCGACACCATTATCAATGATAAAGTCTTACACCTCTTGACTTTCTTCCTCTTAACCATCGCTTTCTACTGGATCATCGACACGAACCGCCGCCGTACCCTCAACTTCACCGTGGTTGTATGCACTATAGGCCTAGGTGTCGGCTCCGAATTCCTTCAAGGGTTCCTCCCCAACGGACGAGAGTTTGACCCCTACGATATTGTCGCCAATATTGTGGGCAGCTTGGCGGGGCTCGGGTTGTGTTCCTGGTACCACTTGAGGATGCTAGAGAGGAAGCGTTCGCGTAGGCAATACAACGCCGTTCCAGGCGAGGACCCCACAGATCTCGAACTCAGTGAGGATATCGAGGCTCAAGAGGAGGGTGTCATGTCAGCAGCCGGAAACGAAAGGGCCAGTACACTCGAAGAGGAAGTGGACAACTGGGACGAGAACGCCGTGGACGCATGGGATGAGGGTGAAGACGAGGGCGATATAGGCGTCAGCAATGGCAAAACGACGGAGCAAAACGGGGGAGAAACGATCGATACCAAGAAACGAGTCGACTAAGGGCGTTATGAGAACACGATGCAACGGATGGACGGATTAAATGATACCTTTTCCTCAGGGGTAAACACAAAACATGTTCACCTACACGGCATAAGCTGAATTCAGTTGTTTGGCAAGGCTCCGGGGATTATGGCGTTTGTAAGAGGTAGGATGAAATTGGCGTGACATCACAGGCTATCAAAAGGGATTTGTCCAAGTATACCCATTTCATTCGGCAGAATATTGTGACAAGACATTTTATAATGTTCCGGTATTGTAAGATGATATTGCAAGAGAGGCAATAACACCATTACGCGTAATCCAATAATTTGATTTTCTCAGTTCTTTAAACATGGTTAAATTAGCTAGGTACGCAATAGAAAAATATGTAGGATGCGATTGCCCTTCATGAACTGACAGGTAGGTTAACACTATCGCAATGCCTCCTATTCCGATCATTGCACTAAAACTCCGGGAAGCACGCGATCGCTTACGCCGAATGGAGTCCCGAGAACTACCCTACGCAGTGGGTCCCGGCAATTACCTTTGCAAATTGCATCTTGGTGGAAAGGGTAGCCGAAAAATTCCAAGATATCAGATAGCAGAACACGAGAAACCACAACAAAAACAAGTTTTACTTAAAACCTTCAGAAACCCCCGAACCCACGGCATCGATTTAATCATCACGCAATCGTTAAATATGTCTACAAATGCCCAAGCCGATAATAAGCGCAACGGCGCCGATGAGCCCAAGTTAAACAGAGCCGATGAGGTGGAAGATGTAAGCTAATTCTAGCAGAAAACAAACACACAATGGTATTGTTTTACATAGCTAAATCATGTTCAGTTGGTCGACGCAGTGAAATCTCTTCTTGTACCATTTATTAGGGATGCGGACGAAGCTGCCTCAAGTCGAGCCAGCGGCTTTATAGCTGCAGATGCTCAAGGGACACCAGGTAGAAATGTCCTAGTAGATTCGCATAAACCAGAGGAGTTGATAAAGAAACTACGCATATCGATTCCAGAGGAAGGAGTAGGAAAGGAAGGTCTACTAGATATCGTCCAAAATATCCTGCGATACAGCGTAAATACGTGGGATCAGGGATTTATGGATAAGTTATACTCGAGCATCAACCCAGTATGCTGGCCCCTTAATACTCGTGAAGGAGCATTAAACCTCTCAAAATTATAAGCTTATATATCTAAACAGGTTGGTGTGGCATCAGACCTTGTCCTTACAGTATTAAACACCAACGTAGGTCCTCTTACCCCTTAATTCTCTCAAATCTCTAATACGGTCCAGGTACACGTCTGGAAAACCTCTCCAGCGCTGACGATCATCGAGAAGACGGTCGCGCGTAAACTGGCGAATCTATTTGGATTCACTGGCCCTAGAGCAGGTGGCGTTACTTGTCAAGGAGGCAGTGCTTCGAACCTGACTTCCCTTGTCATAGCCCGAAACGCCCTGTTCCCTGATGTGAAGACCTCCGGTAACCAAGGCCGCCAATTCGCACTCTTCACTAGTGAGCACGGACATTATTCGGTTGAGAAGGCAGCTGTAACATGTGGTCTCGGTTCTGACAGCGTCGTCAAGGTTTCAGTCGACCCAGCCGGTCAGATAGTCCCATCGGCGCTTCGTGCGGCTATCCTTCGCGCTAAGGACGAGGGCAAGACGCCCCTGTACGTTAACGCAACCGCCGGAACAACTGTATGGGGATCATATGATCCCTTCGCCGAGATCGCTCCCATCTGCAAGGAATTTGGCGTCTGGCTACACATCGACGCCTCATGGGGCGGACCAGCAATCTTCTCAGCAGCGCAGCGACATAAGCTAGCCGGGTCAGAGCATGCCAACTCCCTGACCGTCAACCCGCACAAGATGCTCAATGTTCCCGTGCCCTGCTCTTTTCTGCTCACTAACGATGTTACGGTCTTCCAGCGCGCCAACACTCTACGCGCGGGATACCTATTCCACGATGCAGACCCCGAAGACGAAATATGGGACCTGGCAGATCTGACGCTCCAATGCGGGCGTCGTGGCGACGCTTTGAACCTGGCACTCTCGTGGATCTACTATGGCGATAAGGGATTCGAAAAGCGTGTTGATCACGCGTTCAATACCGCAGCATATCTTGCATCGCTGGTGCAAGAGTCGGGCGACTTTTACCTCCTATCCAGCAACCCACCACCATGCCTACAGGTGTGTTTCTACTATGCACCAGGCGGTGTATTACCCGATGACCAAGAGGAAACTACGCGGCGAACCAGCCAGATGGTCGCGAAGCTTGTGCCGAGGGGATTCATGGTAGACTACGCGCCTGGCCCAAAGGGTAGCCTCTTCCGCGTGGTAGTGAACACTCAGACCCTGAGGAGCACCGTGGAGGGACTTGTGAAAGCATTGCGAGAGGTAGGGAAGGAGGTTGTTCCGTCTCAAAATTAGCACGTTTCCTTCGAGGTCTCGGCTCTAGAGTTGAGGCTTTAGAGACTTTGCATTGCCATAAGTATTTATACTTTGTAAAAGACAGTAGTTACCTATTCTCCCTAGTATAATCCCTAGGCTATTAATAAATATAGCTAACGGTGTAATTATCAATATATTCAAAACAAACCCGTCTTATGTCAGTAGAGCGTATGGAGAGCTTAGAAAGGAATCTTAGTAGCGTATCACTAAGCGAAGTCGAAGAAATTATATTTCACGATATAACTTTACATCATAATCGAGAAGCTGGAATGAGGCCTTTTGGATATCACTATTAAACAAATTCTATTAATAACACTGAATCATTCGATACGTTTTATTCTTACGTTCAACAAGTATGCAAGTTATCCGACTAAAAGAACATAGGCTCTATATCATAAGAATCCCCGTAATAAATACACAGTTTTAAGCAATATTCCAATTTCCGAAGTCATCTATCATGTTACCGTACGTATGGAGAACCCCGTGGGACTGTTAGATTTGTCTATGCAGAGTGTTCCAAGTCTATTAGGTTTCTTAAGTCGTACTTGCATTGGATAACTCGACGTCAAACATACAAGGAAATGGGATTATGCCAACCACACCTATATTAATATTCGGAGACACGAAGCTATTATACGAAGCTATTATATTCAAGTGTGTAGATCATCGCTATATGTGTCTTGGTGATTATATCTTCTAATAAGAGTCCGGACGTTCGCTGTACGTGCAATAAATCCTCAACTAGCGGTGGCATAGGTATACATGCACACATGTAAGGGGATATATAAGATCGAATGAGACATGCGTAGTCTCAGCAGGTGGCCCTTACCTTGACAGTCTTATAACTACGATACCTAGGTAGGTAGATATGAAGAGAGATATTGATCAATACCCTCAGATTCCACTCTGCTCTGCGTTCTGCTTTTCGATATTACCATACACCTAATACGATACGTAGAGGCATAGGTAGATCTGATTCTTCGATCGACTATTGATCCCCCTTACTATGCCTAGGCTTCGTTGCATTTGATCGAATTATGTACGTGATCTTGTGTGAGTACTTTAGGTATGTATGGCTAGGTTACGTGTGCTAGATAAAAGTTGCTCACGTCCAAACTCCCGTAGGCATCGTCAGTTAACTCGAAAAAGTCGGAAGCTCACATCGGACTAATTACTTCCAGTGCATGGATGATTTCTCCAAACTTGGACTACATTATACATACAGTGCCCACTCTAGGCTAGAATTATGATTGGCTAAGTTACCTACATTAGGTAGGTAGTTTTCCGATGGCTCGCACACAAACGTGCTACGAAATGCATATATATCTCAAATTCGAGTCACCTTGCACCGCCCGGTTAGCTCAATCGGTAGAGCGTGAGACTCTTAATCTCAAGGTTGCGGGTAAGTCAATGCTCAACATCTGAGATTCATTTACCATTGTTGCTAACATCACCTCAAAGGTTCGACCCCCGCATCGGGCTCAATTCCTGATGCTTCCCAGTTCACTGGGATTAGCAACCTCGAAACAAATTTTTTTTTCTTTTTTTGCTTTTTGTTCTGTTTTTCTTTTTCTTTTCTTTTCTTCTTTTTATTCTTTCTCTCTCCCTTCTTTCTTTATTCTTTTTCTTTCGCCCCTCTTTGAACAGCCTTCTATGTTCTTATTCCCCCCCTTTCCGTTCCTTTATTTCAGCTCTTTCATTTTCATATCTTTTCGCCTGTCCTCGGCTTTGGCGGGGTAATAATCGCCACCGTTGGTCCCACAACTCCTGGATCGTCAAACGTCGAACTAATTTTTACGTACATATGTCATGCTGATGGGGGGTTTTTTGGTTTTTTCAACGTGGCATTAACCCACTTATGGATTAGGCACTGCTGACGAAAATGGGGCCTTCACGTTGCGACCTTGTCGAAGCATCACAGGTGGAGTTGAATCGGCGGATTTTGACTTGTCCTATGTAATTTGCACTATGTTTCTACACGCGAGCTTCGTGGCTACCATTTTAATTACAGGTTCATTGCATTAGGCACATAAGATAGATACTCATTGGTATTCGGCACTAAAGTTGGTGAGAGTTAACAAACATTGACTCTTATTTTCTCGATGTTTTACTCGAGTGATTCTTCATCTATCTCATTATTTACAGGTCTTGTATGGCCTTGACTCGTAGCTCTACAGCTTTCTTGGTCGTGCTGATGGGACCAGCCACCTCGAACCCGTGAGGTACACCAGGGAAGATGTGAAATTCAACTTCGGTGTGCGCGTTGGTCAATCGTGTGGCATAGTCGATCGACTCGTCTCTGAACCAGTCGAGGTTGCCGACTTCGATATATGCAGGGGGGAGTCCACTCAAGTCCTTTGCTCGCGATGGTGCTGCATAGGGGCTCACATCGGCTTCGGGCTTGCCTGCCCTGTCCTTGCCAAGGTAAAACTCCCAGCAGCGGACGAGGGTGTCTGTGGGGAGGACCACGAATTCCTTTAGTGGATTCTCGTAGCCGGGAGCGTGGTAGGCTGAGATGGTTCTGTCGTCAAGCATGGGGTAGATAAGGATTTGCTTCTTTAGTCGAGGTTCTAAGCCACGGTCGCGAGCTAGGAGCGCCGTCCCTGCAGCAAGACCGGCACCAGCACTGTCACCCATAACACCGAGCCGTGTGGCGTCGACGTTGAATTCAGCAGCGTGCTCTAGGACCCACTTGAGGGATGCGTAGCTATCTTCGATCGGAGTAGGGTCGGGGTGCTCAGGCGCAAGACGGTACTCGACAGCGAAGAATTGGACGCCTGTGTCGTTGACTAGGCCAGCGATATAAGGTGCGAAGATGTCGACGGATCCAGCCATCATACCTCCGCCGTGTATGTGCAAGACTGCCGGTAGTGGCGTCTTGCTGGATCTCTGTTCCTCAGTGGCATACCGGTAGACATCGATCTCGGCGCCATCGTGTGACTTAGTTGAGTGCTTCGTTCTGATAACGTGAGGTTGTGCTGGGAACTGAGCGAACATGGCACGCATGAAGCCGTCGTTGGCTTCACGTAACTCAGCTATCGGCTGCTCAGGCGATGGTTGGACTGCACCGCCAAGTTTTGCCCAGAACGCCCCGAACTCGGGGTCGTACTTGAGGGAATGCCCCGGCTTCTGTGATGCTGCCATCGTGAGTCTCTTTTTGAATAATACTGGTGGGTATTGATAGTTTGAAATTCGTTCTGCGGTGATTTGAGTAGAACCCCTTATACACAGCTTTTAGATTTAAATACTAGAGAGCTGGGCTTCGACATAAATTCATGGCTGGTATCCTACATATAAATATTCCCACTTCCTGGGATTTCTATATCTATAGAAGCTAGGGTTATACCATGTGCGCTTGCGAATCTGCGTGGGTACGGCACAGAATGGGTACGACACAGACATGGCACTAACGTATGCTGGCTCCTGTTATAATGTAACTTCATGCATGAACGAGCCAACGTGCGGCGGCATGTTGTATCAACCCCTATAGACGAACGGTCTGGTTGCATGAAAAGTTCTTTTGAAGACACATATCTGATTTAATTACGTTTGGTAGCGAGAGACATCATAGAACAGGCGCGTATCTGATTCGTCAGATATCCCTACAGCTCGGCACCGCTGAAAACCAACCCATGTATATTTCTAAGATCAACAAGTAGTCCATTGCAACCTCGATCAACTAGACTCACCCACAACAGGAGCGGTGTGAAGCATACCATCACCATTTAGCATAAAGGCCCCAGAAGTAACGGGATAGAAACTGGAGCTGGCATCGTTGGGATATCGGGATAATTGACAGGAAAGGGGACTGGGGTCTTCAAGTGACATGCTCTTTGATCCCGGAACGCGGGCGGATTTGCATAGCCACGTGAGAATGTACGACGACGGCACGCATCGGGATCGGGAAATATATTGGAGCAAATTCAATGCGCACGAGCGGCCAGAACAACCCGATTTGGAATATATTTAAGGGTCTTGCAGCTATAGATGGTTTGAAATTGGAATAAGTCGCCTCATATTCCTAGGGCGGTGAGGGGTCGGTCCTTGGTATCCCGTGGGGTTGCTGTGGTGCCATTAAATCCTTGACTTTGGAGGGGTAAACACAGAAAATAGGACACAGTTGATATAATGTAGCCATCTACATAGTAGGTAGGCCATTGTTACATGTAGAATAAAATTCCTGCTACGGAGGAGATCCCGAAGGCAACGTGCAAGAACCTGGGTGGCTGTCTTGGAAAAGGGGGACTGGAGCAAGACAAACGTGTAAAACTCGGTATGGATGGGACGTAACACTTCTTAGCCGATGCACGCTCTGTGGACTTTCAAGAGACTACCATGGCTCTCATGTTGTGAACTAACTCGGTAGTTAAACAGTAAGGAAGAAGGTGTTGATGGTATGGGAAAATACTCGTGTCCTCCTAGTTTTGCATAGAAAGAAAATGCGAGTATGCATTTTCGAAAGATTCAAGTGACTGAGCTCATATTTCCCTCCGGACAACTTCACGCGAACCTCATCACGCGTCATGGTTATTGGGGCGAGAAGGGCTAGATTTAATCATCGTCTGATTGGGGGGCTACATCATTAATCTCAAATATATTGTTCCTAGATTCATGTTCGTAGATATTCGTGAAGCAAGTCAACTTGAGAAACACATGACCGAATAGGATCTCATGGAGACGGTCGATTTCGACGCAAATGTTCCTCTTAGCCCTTCACGATAACATAGGCATATCAAACTAACGTAATAGTATCTTGGATAACTCCTGGCTGTCGCCTTGGGTTGAGCATCTTCGGGGTCCTAGCTTGCCGAGACCCCGTTATAGGAGGCTTAAGCGTTGATAGCTAGACCTCAAACGGCAAGGGCATGGCTATACCACCTAGTGTAGATAGCGCCTTACGGATCCCAACCGTGATTGTGGATTACGATGCTGGAAGATCGTAGTGTACGGATAATATAGACCCACAAGAACATACAGTACCATTGCGTTGTCAGCGCAGACCAATAGTACATATAGAACCAGGACCGCAGGTTTTAGAGGCTCTGATACTAAGCTTCGAGGATATGGATTGAACAAGCAGGGGGTGATACGAAGAACGCCGATTGGGATCACACCTAAACTCTCATCACCGGACTGATATTAGTGAGAAATATTGAATGCCGACTAGTTAGGGCCCACCAAGACCCTAAGCCGATCTGCCGGGCACTATTTCGTACGAATATAGTCAGGGCGATCTGAAGACACCTTTAGCGCCAATGTTAATATTGAAGATCGACCAGCCCATCGGAAGACGAAAGTTGCCTCTACACTTTGGAAAATAGTATATACACTATCTCTTCTGGTGGACACCCCCGCCTACAGAAATGGGCTTGTAAAATGAGCGAGTGGTCATGGGAGACTGGTGTGCCTTAGTGTTCTCGGGTCTGAGTCAAGAGAGTTCGAGCTACCGCCGGGACATGGTATCGGAGCGCTATGTTTCTCGAGTTTGGAAAGAGGTGCGGCCGTTCTATCGTTAGAATATCAGCAACACAGACGAGGCAAAAAGTGATGAATCCAGGGACACTAAATTGAAGATACGCGAGAGAACTTTGGATCACAAACATCAAGATGCTGCTAAGCTATTTCGTGCCTAGCCCTTCCCTTCTTTTACCCCAATGGAACCGTCTCTGTAAGTCATGTTGGCCTCATAATTATTACACTTATCGTCAAAGCTGTTGAGGATATGGATAGGCGTGAGATAGATCTCTACGACGGATCTTATTCATTGTTAATAATGTTAGCGATTCTCCTTCCAATATGATACAGCGGAGCGGGCTAGATAGGGTTCTGAACGACCTAGACAAAAAACAAGCTTACTCCACACATCCTCCGACAACCATCACCGCAACCTAATACAAGTCTTTACCTTATTTTACCTTATAATGGGTCTCATAGGGCTATCGGTCCTTCTAGGTTTGGGGTATCATAGCTCTAGAACGGCAATAGAGCGTAGCTAGGGTTTAGCTCACAAAGAAGCTTTGTAGGTCGAGGACTCGGTAGGTATACATTAGACGGCCGCTCCATGTTAGGGAATTACCTTTTTAGGTATAATGAGATCTGCCCCATAAGATCTACCGGAAATTTCGGGACGTTGGTAATCCAGTGGATAGATATAGCTTCATGTGTGAAGTCAGATGGTAGCAGGGCTTGGGTCTAGATACATTGAATCTCATCAAAGTGGTATGGGAATCTATAGACGATCGGTATAGTGGTAATGCCGAACAGCTTATGGTGCGAGACACCTGAAGTAACTTACACTACATACATAGATAGGAACCTAACATCTCGCTGCAGTAGGCAATTGATGAAAGAGAAGGCGATATCTTGGGAAATGTTTTGCGAGAATGAATGAATAATATCTCGACTTAGGTACTTAGGTAGATAGGTTGAAAAGGACAGTTGGAAGTGATTTGCAAATACATACCAGATCCCATTGACCGAAGTGCCTCCGTCAACTTTAGAACTCGCCGCGCTGCCGCGTCACGTAAGGGACTACTTACATTAGATGGTAGCATGAGCGGCTTTAAGGTACTAATTCACAAGAAGGACCACATTAAAAAAAAAACATTAGATCAAACTGACTGCGGAACGTATTGGTCAGATGGACTTGATGTAATTTCATTTCGAGTCGGTGAAGTCAGAGCGAGTTTCATTGGATATAATCGCATCTGCGCATCTGTAGTGGCAAAGGGGACGTCGGGCGCGGTAAGACAACAATTAATCAAAAATACTTGGTATCGGACTGTCGGATGGGGCGAAAGCAAATCCCATGTAGGCCCGGTAGGTCAGGATGGGATTTTGAAAGAATGAGATTAGAATCCCATAGTTGCGCCATAGTTACGTTATCGTGTTCGGGTTCTAGGACAAGATCGACTGCGGGGAAAGACATGCCAGTTCGTTTTAGGCCTTGGTTGAACGGCTGACCACTTAAGCTTGTTTTCGGTCGAAGAATTCGTTCATATTGAGGAGCTATCTGCGTCAATGGTTACTGAGAAAGAAAAGAAATAGGCAAAGAATGCCAAGGAGTTGACCGGTTATTAGCCACAGCGCCACGTATGGCTTATTGTGAATGCCCCCCCGTAAGGACCCATGTTCGTCTATGTGATTGGAAGTGATTGGAAGCTGAGGTTTTGAGAAATTGTTAAGGAGCTAAGTACCCAAGGTGAACCACCACTAAGGGCTCAAGAAACGGAGATTTTGCTCCGGAGCATCAAGACAACCTAGATCCAAACAGCCATAAGCTCCCCCCAAAACAGGAAAAGAGCAAACATAGGACAGTCTCATCTCTCTTATGGTTCGTCTGTTTCAAGTCGACTAGATCCGCCTGCGGTTTTAACGGCTGATGTCACTCATCGTAAAATCTAATGGCAATCGTTAAAATATATATTCGATCGAATCTTTTACCTTGGGATGAACTGGTCCTTGCCCAGCATCCTCATGCGGGATACACACTACCATCCGCTCATGCATGATCAAACTAATATAAGCCAGTCCCATATAGGCCAGTCCCATATAAGCCAGGTCCCATAGCCTGTGTTTTGGTGGTGATTGGAGGGAATTAGCTAGATAAATGCAGTTGCGTCGGGCATTTGTTACTGTTAGTGGAGTTATCGTTGCGATATCTTTGCCAGCATCAAGTATGATTGGTTCGGCGCAAGGCTGAATGTTAACTTTGAGGTTCTACAGTATTCCAAGTAGGTAACAAAGGTCCGAGCGGAAATCAAAAAAAGAATCAGCTGCTTGCAGGCCGTTGTCTTGCAAATTCTAACCGCTCTCAGCGGTATCTCGTATGAGGATATGAGAAGCGCGTAGCAAAAGCTCCGGTTGCAACAATAATACAAGTAAAGTGTGATTTCGTGTCAAGGTGACACATAATCTATCTCGATTCCTTTGAGATGCAAAACGAGGAAAGTTTAGATGGCCTTAGCGGAAGTGAGGTCCGGAGGCGGCGATGAGTCTTCTCTTTTACAATGTTGATTTTCTGTTTTCCGAGGAGCAATTTAGCATACTTGTTCTTTTGCTATGCACGTGGGACAAAAAAATAAAACCGAAAAGTAAAAAGCAAGAATCGAATTTACAACAAAAAGAACATTGTTAAGCCGCAAGCCCAACTAAGCTAGTTGATTAATTACTAACAGTCTAACCTACACCTAACTAATGTATGTATTTGCTTAAAGCAGACGGAACACTCCTAAGGGGTGGAGTTCACGGAACGAGGCGGATAGAAGCGGAATGGGCGGAGACGAGTTAAACTTTGAGTGCATCTTTGAGATGGCGCTTAGGTATTTAACTTATTTAAAGCATTATAGGATTATCTACACCGTCTTTGGAAAGGCGTCGTAGGGAGGAGTTGACGTTAAATTTAGGTAACAATTGCGTTGCATTTTAGACTGTTACGAAGTTGTTAGCCTACCTTTTCATCATATTTTGATAATAATATTTCCTATGCCGATGCCGAATACCCTCAGCTTCGGGATACTATCTTAGGTATTCACGCCTATTATGTCTATTATGTACATTAAAAATCACCCCTCACAGTAATCTATACTGACTGACATCTATGTAATCGTCTTGTTTAAACTCTAAGTACCCAAGTTACCTCTTAATTACCTAGGTATGTAATACCAGAAACGTGTTGTGAGCATTATAATGTTGTCGATCGCGGCCGACTTACATCATTTGGTGAAGTTGAGGTAGATCTATCCATTCAACAAGATTTACGTACTCGGGTAGAATATGCATATCTATTGCTTCCTAGCAAACCAGCAAACTTGCGCCAATCCTCATGTAGAATCTAGAATCTATATAGTTCGCTGGTATATCTTAGACAAATCTTCTAGCTACAACTAGCTGTTTCTACTTGCCGAGTATCCAATAGCAAAGCTAATACCTAATGTAAACAACTTTAATACCTTAGCTTGAGCTATGAAAAGATGCTACCTAGTGTACACTAGATAGCTAGATCAGCTCGGATGGTACGTAGAACAAAAAGCGGGGAGCTACGAACCCAAGACCCAAGAGAGCTATCTGTGCTAGTCCTGTTGGGGGACTACTTGAAGCACTATCACCAAGCCATGACGGTCTAATCCCTGCCGGGTCTCAGAGCTTTCCGATCATTTCATTGGTCCCATACTTCTCATCGCGATCGATCGCCACTTGGGCATTCTCCCGCATCAGGGAATACTGAGAATCCTTGTTCTAGTCTTCGATCGAAGCCATTGGTTTCCACGTCAGGTACCTCGACATGGTATGCTCCGTTGCGGCCATGTTACGCAATGGGGCTTCGCATATCATGTACTTCCTACCATTTCGCGACTCCGAACATGGGAAATTCTCATTCCTGTATCTGTATATGTATATTGTGTTTGTCTCTCTCTCTCCGTGTTCAGAATCCTGTTTTCTGTTACTCCAATTCTCCTGTTACCACCATCTTACCTTACCTTACCTTACCTTACCTTGAGCTTGAGCTTGAGCTTCTGCTCCCTCTTCTAGCATCGCTCTTTGTCAACAGACCAATCGACATCTCTCAAGCAACATCCCGGTCAACAAGTTTCAGTCTCTTTGTCTCATCCATCTACTCAGATAGGAGCCCGGAAGTGTCAAATATACAACTTAGGAACGAGACTTATATATCCGTCTCTTCATACCATAGGGGTTTCATATAAGTCGGTAGCCCGCATTAAGAGCATATTATCGACGCAAACACAAGGATAAACAACACGTGAAGAGACCCAGAGACTTGACACAGACACAGAAAAGCCGACTTACACAGAAGCTTTTACCCAAATTATAACCCGCGTCCCACGGCCCACTGTAACTTGCACTCGTCTCCAGGAATAGTCTGCTACGGGCTACTGTCGACTTAAGTTAACCAGCATACAACTTTGTTTGCCTTCGTGGCTGCAGATGCCAACGAGGCCCGAAACGCCCCCCACCTTCAGCTTATGAATCTTTCTCTCTGAGCCTACCTATATAGTACAACTGAGTCTGATCTATCTTCGCAAAGACCTTTATCCGACGGTTTATATTATCTTGTTAGCTAAATTGACGTATCGCCACTATCGAGGTGATCCTTTCGTCAGTCCTATATTCAGTACCAAGGTTCAATATACATTTCAACTCATGCCGAAGCGGTCCTTAGACATATCATCCGCCATGCCGGGCAACGAACGAGTCCCGCCTGTCAAGGTCCAAAAGGTAGGCCTTCTCTTTTCTATAGAATATAGACATTTGTCAGTGAACCCCTAACCTTTTGTTACAGACCGAACGATCCCACGAAGAAAACCAAGAGAGGGCCTACATTGCCGCGTCAAGACGAGCCGACCGAAGCCTGGAGGCTAGAGTACAGTCCGCCCGCCAGGCATCTGAAATTCACCGACGGCGGACAGGCCGAGGTCTCAAAGTGAGTGAGGAGATCGTATTGAAGGAAGAAATGTACGAGGAAGAAGAGGACGACATTCCCCGCCATTACAAATACCTTACTGCCCATTTACAAACGAACTCGCCGGATATGAACCATCGTGTGAATGCGTATATCACCACACAAGCAGCGATGGCCACCATGGCCAGATATAACGAAGTGAATCGACTTTTTAGCGAATCGTTTCCAACTGCTATGGCATACCAACAGAATTTGAGCAATTCCATGTATATGGCGCCGCTCATGAACAACGACGGTAACTTTGCCCACCGGCTATCCACATCAGGCTCCAGCCAAGGATCTCCAGCGACCAGAACTCAGTCAGTCTCTTCCCAATCGCAGTTCGACAGGAGGGATTCTATTACGACTGGGAGCCCGATACCTACTTCAGCTACAACGATATCGTCCCCGCCAGCATTGACGCCTGCATCGTCAACAGATGCGGACATGTCCGACTCGAAGAGCACACCGTATCAGACTCCGTCTGCTTTCCCAGCTCTTCATCTGGACCCACAGCTGGCACAGCAGTCTACATCCTCTTCCATATTCACATCTGAACTTCCAAATGAAGTGAAGATGATGGCTAACATCGACATGAGCGATCCAATGGCGATGCACTTTATCGATGGCAACCCTTCAACCTACCAAATGTTTGGACCTTATCCAAGCGAAATCACGACACAAGAGGACAGCGTTAAGACCGGTACAGTGGACCAGGGAACCGAAACATTCTCGCCATATAGCGATCCTCTTCAAGACGACTGCTTCCCCACCTCAATAGATAGCACCTTGGGATTATCAGATATTCCCATTGATAGCCATAGCCGTCTAGGTACACCAGCCGGCGGGACAGGGGGTGACGCTTGGGAGAGTTTCGTCGACTTCGGATCGGAGCAATAATGAAATAATCTCTTCTTATGACATTGCTGCAGTATTAACATCTAACGATGCGGCTTGTATATGTCTCAACTACCTAACCTACACATTTTTCACATATAAAAAAGTTTTTGCCGGATTGCTCTGGTACCAATATCGCTGGAGATACCACGCATCATGCACGTTTTGCGCCTGTTAGGGTTTTAGCACTGGTTGGATTTGCAATGAAAGCGTTGTTTGTATCTTGGGCCGGCGTTCTGAATTTTGGCTCTTTCACGCAAACGATCGTGTCCGAGGGGGGAAGAGGTATTTGTCGCTTACTACCACGCGTGGAATTATCCCACAACGCACTACATTGTGTAATAATCGGACTATGTCGAAGAGAGAGGATGTGTTTAAACCGCGACGAGTCTATTATGACTTGATATAGATGCTGCTTATTGGCATTCCAATAATTTGTCACGCCTTAAGCATACCTACTGCCTGGCCTCATTATTGGAGGCGAATGCACTCTTCGGCTTGATGGCATCACGGAACTCGAAGAAAACCTATCGAATATAACTGGTATAATTTACGACTACAGGGAATGGAGGGGATTCAAGCAAACGCTACGAAGATGAAGTTGGCCAGTAAGGCCAACTGTTGTTCTAGAATCAGCTATTATCGGCTATTTGTTTAGGAATGAGGCAGTGGCGAAAAATAAATACAAGAACTTCTCTACGGGATTGGGTACCACGGCTTCGGATTAAAGAGGGAGATGAATACCAATATCTACTTTTTGCCTTGGCCTCTACTCTAACACAACTCCCAGACACAAAAATAGGTGAAAATAGCCAAAAAGGGGGAACAGTCATGTAGTGTAACTACCATGCGGCCGCACGTACTTGGATACGTAACGTCGAACTAATAATTACTATGGCTGTATCTTTAAGGTTGACATGCCAAATAAGACGTGACTCGAAAGCGAAATTTAAATGCCATCCCATACTAGATGCGCTGCCATCCGCCCACAGATAGGCTTATACAAAAATTGATGTTGGTAAACAACGTAAGCCATTCGTCCCATATACCGAGCTCCACGTCCAAATTGCGTGTTATTACCTTTCTACGCATTTAGGTTAGGTTTTCCGCGCGTCTTAGTTCGCGTAGGTTTAAGTTTAAGATATCGGGAAACGTGCCGGCCTGTATGTAGGTCTTACTCGATGCCGAGATATCCTCCCTGAACTTGAGTTTACAGCCACGCACATGGTGGGCTTCTGGGTTAGGTACGTAAGTACACTTCCGCGAGTCTTCGGAAAGGATTAGCAAATTGAATATACATCTTTACGTGGCGAAGATTCATTCTGTATGTATGTTCGATTAGAATCTAGAACTAATCCAACAATGACGCCTCCGGGCCGAATCCGCTCTTGAATCGAAGAGGCTAGTAACATAAGATACCTTGGGTAGTCACACAATGTAAGTACGGCCCTAAGTGGTTAAATACCAGTATTCGTTTTAATCGAGGGTTAATTGAAATCGAAGCTAGCTATCTAGATAGAAGCGAGCGAGAGTACGCAGGACAAGCTTCGGGAAGCCATTGTGGAATCCCGTAAGTGGTATTGCTGTTACTGTTATATTTACTAGTAACGAGACCACGTCACTGGTAATCCTTCCTAATGTAGTTTTCTCGCTTACTGCAAATATGATTCCTTTCTCCCTACCTAGTTGCCCTATCCTTTCCCCCGCCACATGGGCGAGCAAGGTGAAGAAGATAACCGTACCGCATAAATTTCGAGTCTTAGAGCCCTAGCAGAACTAATCTTAAACACTCGTCGTGGCCGGACGTCTGCGTAACTACTTTCCATTACCAAGAAACACGGTAACCACGCTGTGGCTCTGTGTATTTTCTTGTATTCCTGGGTCCTGCCAGAGAGACATTGGTTAATATGGAGATAGTCTGGGCAGTGATAAAAATAATACGTGTAAAGGGGGTGGCAAAAATGACTAACCTTGAATCTAAAATATACAGCTGGACAATAACCAGTCTCCTTAAGGCCAAATAGTGTATCTCCAAAGTTAGACGAAACATTGTTATTTCGGACGTATGAATAGGTACCACGTATATGCGGCTTATTTGACGCTACTGTTATTCCTTCGACAGCGGGTAGTATGTAGCGAGCCCTTCTACCTACCCCTGTTATTGTGCGACAGTACATAGACGTCAATAAGTTTGACCCTGTTCGAAAATTCTGATCATGGCCTTCCTACGGCAAGTTCCATTCCTCGATGAGTCCGTCTGCGTTCACATACCCCACCACCGTCTCTCGAATGGGCGACGCTCCGTTCTGCTTTTCAAACGCAGTTCTCAACCCCATCAGATGGGTACAGTAAATCGTCGGGATATCTGTTCATAATCACAGGGCTTTGACGAATTGAAGGGTATCACACGCTGAGATGTACGGCTTAAGATTAGCTATGAATAGAACCCCCAACCGTCTCATATTTATCGAAGCACTTACCATATTCAGCGTACTTGTCGCCTTTACCGTATTAAACTCAATTTAGGTCTATTGGACACCCCTTTCTTCGCCTGATGGCGAGGTGACGATAATCTGCGGAAGTAGTAGAGGCGCCTGAGTGTTAATAGAAGTCTGACCCAGCTGTTGTCCACGGGTCGCGTGTTTAGGGGATGGCGTTTTAGCAGGGCCAATCACCGACGTACCGGACGGCGGGTTGATAGCACGGTGTGAAAAGGGATATGTTAGGAACCGCCTTGCGTTCTGCGAAGCTTGAATTGCGCGCTGTGTTATGGATGTTACGCGTTTCTTTAATTTTCTAATACCTCTATTGCGCATGTGACCCTCTTCGGGCGGTGAAAGGTTGGTAGGGTTAGAGCTGACAGTATCCTCATTGGTATTTGTGACCGTATTAGATATAGTTGGAGCCGCAATAGCAAGTGTGTGAGTAGACTTCGCTGCTTGGCTGTCGCGCTTCCACCCGCGGCCAGTCTGTTCATTATAGAGTGTATACTGACCGGAGCTTCTCGTATATCCGGGGCTTAAGCGTGGCTTCTGTGACTGCTGCTCATATTGGCTATGAGGTATCTGCGACGGGGTAGTCGTTGCATAGTTCTCGTCGTTACCCTGAGTATTGTTGGTAATTAGGGTAGTGTCAAGGGAAGGGTCGCATTGTTTTGCGGGTCCTCGTCTATATTGTCGATTTTCCTTGCAGAGGTTAGATAGATCATAGCCTCGACGGCTAGGAATTCTATGCTGGGCAAGTTATTAACCATGATAAATAATAAACTTGCGTATTTGCAGGCTTGTCAGCCGCAAGAAAGTGTAAAGAGACCCAAGGATTTAGTGGTTCTAACTGAGAATGGCGGAATAGAAGACAAACTTCACGAGGAGTGGTAGTCATTCAGGGACTAGAGTAAACTAGGTAGGTAGGGATATCTTTTAAGTAGACGTGATTGTTAAAGAAGAATAGTTAAAGGAAAGATATTAGGTGGATGACAGGTTTAAGGTAGGTTAGGGGGTACGTAAGTAATTAAAATAGAACAAAGCAAACACTAATGACTAGGAATACAGTCACAACTGCCAACTGGGTGGTGTTGAAAAGGATCTGATGTCGTCCAGGGAACAGTGTTGGGTATTTTATTTTCTTTCGAGGGACTCACTCTGACTATTGTTAGTTATGAACTGTGCAAGTTAACCGGGTTACAACACACTATGACGCATTATCTGGACTTCTCTTTCGCTTCTTTATAAACTCCTCACCATTTACCGCATCTCTAGCACTGTAACCATTAGCACCGTCCCATCTTGAAGGTCCGGTCCCTGCTTGCTCCGTTGGAGAATCGAGTTCCTTAGCCCAGGATATCCAATCTCTCCTTCTGTTCCTCCACAGATCACCCTTCCAAGTTCTCCAAGTGCGTCGACCTTCAAACGACTCTCGTAATTCTTGTTCATGTTGGCCCAACTGTTCCATGATAAATTCCTTGAAGTGGAAAGGTATGGATATCCCGTCACCTTTCGAGGGAATAGAAACAATTGTATTGAGGACCTTGTTTCCATACTCGGACATAGCTAGCTGGAATGAGTGTGATCGTAGCGCTGCGACTAAGGTCTTGTGGAAGGCTTTATTTCGTGATGGGGTTGACATTGCATTGACCAAGACATAGGACGTCGGCGCCGATGACGTTGCGAGCTGAAGAATGAGCTCTTCCGGAAGAGCGGCTATAGATTTTTGAACTGTGCTGGAAGGATACCCGGGTATAGAAAGCATTGTTGTTGTCAACTGAGAGCCGTGCGAGACTAAGGCTGAACGATTCTTTTGGGGGAGTTCTTGATTCTTCTTATCGTCGGTTTCCGACGACTGCAGAAGGCAAAGCTTAGGGACTAGAAACTTGGGATCTGACCCGAGCGCTTCAACTAGGGCTTTCGTTAGGCTATCTATCTCACTGGTGGCTTGGCGCGCTTGACATCGTTCGAACAGGGTTTTGATCACGTTGAATCTTGACAGCGCGACAAGTTTACCGAATTCCGGCAAAGTCTTTTGGATGGCGACTACTAGATCCTCTTTACTAAGTCTATTGAGGATACGAATGGCGGGATAGGACGCGATATCGTTGCGCAGAAGGCTGTGGATCCGGCTTCCGAAGATATGTCTATATAGAGCCTTGAACACTCTTCCAGGGCAATGAGTAATGAGAGTCTCGAGGAGGCGAGAGCCAATATGATCGTATAACATTGAATTGACAAAATCCGATGCCGGTGTCGTGGCATCTTTTAACGAAGAAGGGGCATCGGGTAGAAGTCTCCATAATAGCGTCATGTCTTCGGAGTCGTCTTCGGCTGCCTTCGAGTTTAGACTAATGTCTAGCTCTAAGAGTAATTGTAGAACCGGATTTCCGGTAGGATGCGTCGCTAATACCCGGAGCTCTGTGGTATTCATGCCTGAAACCGAGTCGGCGATAATCTTTTTCGCAGCTAAATTGAATGACATAGGTACAGCTCGTAGAGAATTCGAGTCAGTCGGCCCATCAGATGTCCAAGGGACTGATATCTTTTCCTTCTTCTTGCTGTGGATGAGGGACTTAGTCTGTGACTGTTCTAATGGGCGCCCGGATAGAATTATTAGTAGCACACGGAGAGTGTGAGAAGCAAATTTATCGGCGAGTAGATAGCCGAGGTGGCCCTCGAGTTCGTCAAGGGCGAGAAGAAATAGTTCTTCCATATAGGGTAAGGGTTCTTCGTTCGGATCATCTTGATCTGTAGGAGCATCATCGCGCTCACCTCCAAGTTCCCTAGTGACGATGGGTGCGGATTGTAAGAATAGGGTTTCGCAACAATGGCTCGCAAAGCGGTGCTGGATGAGGTTTAGAAAATGACTACTAAATTGGCCGAATAGTTTCTTCTTCTGTCTCGTGTTTGACATCAAGATTAACCGCTCCATTAACCGCGAGCATGACTGACTACATGCTAGCTTAAGTTCTTTTCCCTGTGCCTCGGCGAAGACACTGGCGAGGTATAGTTGCCGTTCTTCTTGGGAGGGGAAGTCATCTATGTCGAGCTGTTCGTCAACAGAGCGAAAATATTCCTGCTCTTGATCTGAAAGCATCCCAAAGAACTCTCTATCGGCCTGTGGCGGTCCACCAATTCGAAGTTCGGCCTGGTCGAATCCATCTTGAAATGTAGCTTCCTGGTGGGTAGCACCATCATCGCCATCTTCATCGTTTAACCGTCGTCTTTTCGTACTTTTGCTGACTTCTTGAGCAGCTAATGCCTTTTCGCGCCGCTTCGCCTTTCTTTCGTCGCGAATTGCCTGTCGTTTCGTCCGCGGCTTCGGCATTGTAAATACTTGGACGTTACGACTCCTAGACTGGGTTGACGATTGTTGAGGATAATATGACTTCAAGCGCAAAAGTTGCCAAAATAATTTTTTGGAGGTTGCTAACTGATAAGCACCTTATCTTAGCGTTTTTATCCTAGCGTGCATTAGCCCCTTGGCATTGAGACCCTTGCAGGTACTTCGTACAGGTGTACAATACATGTATCTAATCGATAAGAGTTTTTGGAAGATGAGCCTCCAAATATTTCGATTTCTATTCTGAATTACCTACATTAAAACCAATCTAACTCTTCAGTATCCCCTTATGATGCTTACAAAATTGCGGTGACGTAAATAGCAACATGTCGGTCTTAGGCAAGTTGGGGCTCTTGTTACCTACCTAAAATACCGGTATAATGTCCGCCTTGCCCATGGCGTCGTTAGCCAAGTCTGGAGTCAAGTCTGGGGTTGGTTCTGCCTCCCTTTTGTCATCTCAACCGGCCTGGAGTCAAACGCTTTCGCGATTGACTAGCTCGAGACGACATCGCTATCCTCGACTAAGAAAATCTCCTAGTCGGATAATTGCTTTGCGGATGCGTAGCAAGACTGAGAAGCAAAAGAATTCATATCGTCATCACTTTCAATTCGCCGCTCAACAGCAGGCGGATCGATTGCCCCTATTGATGTTCCAAGCCTGGATGGCAAATCAAGATATTCGGAATGAGCCTGAATTATTCAAGTCTATAAGCTCCATCACTCCGTCTGAGTGGGCTGACCGCTTTCATGGCTTGGCTTTCAGAGGTTTGTCAATGGAAGACCTAGATCATTGGATATGGATATTATCAGGGGAGAACGGAGACGCTCGCGTTCAACGTTTAGTTTCAACTGATAATCCTAAGCCTCTTTTTCTTGTCACGCTTCTTTCGAGTAGTAACGAGACATTTCGCCAAGGGACATCTTTACTATCTCTGATGGAATACATATCGAAACACTACATCGATGTCGGATCTTCATCAATGGGTAACAATATAGCCTTATCCGGGCGTAAAATAAAACTTACAGTAACCCAATTCTTGCTACTACTTCGCCGCCTTGTTAATCACGTTCAAAGATCATGGCCCAGGTTGATTGTCGCGGTCTCACGGCTCACGATGGATTACATTGAAGGACTGCCCCCCGACGACTATCATAATAAGTGTAAAGTCTTCAATGAGGCTTTGCGATTATTTACGCGACCGGCCGCAACCCACCCAGTTGCAAATATGGAGTTCAATTGGAGAGCGCAGAGGCTCTTATTAGCCATGTCCGATAATATGAACAGCCCCCTGATCATTAACAAAGCCAGCTATAGAGCTATCCGAGGGGTCATGATTGGCCTAAAAAAGTCAAAAACGGAGACAGCAGTTGCTGTAAGATACTCGAAATCCTGGCCACCATATCGGCAAGATTTTGATGGATTCGATGCAAAAAAAACGGCAGAAGACGACTACTCTAGAAGCGTAAAGGCCGGCGTTCTCATGAAGGAGGCCGGGTATCTCGATGACAATTACGACCAGGCGCTCGATGTTCTTGGTGGGTTAGGCTGTGGTTCTCCTACCGTACAGACTCGCAGTCTTCCGCCAAAAGAGTGGAAAGGTGAAGAAGAAGATCGGAACTTGTATTCGCGTTGGGCTATGATGGTACGGGTGACCCGTAACCGCCAGGAGGCATGGAAGGTTTTCAACAATCTCGCTATTGAAACGGGCAAACCTCCTAACAGCCAAGTTTATGCCGAGATGTTCATGAAGCTGCAAGCTCGCACTATCCCCGAGACCTCGACTGCTCTGCCAGGTGAAACCCGAGACAACTTTCCAATTCATGACGCCAATTATAGTGAATATGAGCTAGCTAGGCTATCACCCCCTACGGTTACCGAGTTATACGACCAAATGGTCGGACAAGGTGTAAAACCGGAGGGTCACTGTCTTAATACTTTATTGAGCAATGCCAGCTCCCTCCAAGAGGGGGCTCGTTTTCTTCGTGACAGTGGCATTAATCCTGCTAGTATCAACGCGCTGGGTGTTTTTAAGCAGCCGTCTTATGAGGCACTTCGTCGAATCCCCCTCTTGGTTTTTAGGAGCTATATACAGCTTCTTTGTAGATTGCAGCCTAATCGTCGGGGCCATGAAAAACTCACACTTGAACAACTCTTCCGCATCCGACATGCTATCAACCTTGTTAAGTTGCGGCTAAGACCGGGAACTACCGAAGGCTCTACCTTTAGACCACCTTGGGCTATCATCCTAAGGGCACTGGCGCGACCCCACGTGTGCGTGATGAATGGCACACAGGAGAGCAATGACGCAGCGGCTCTGGAGATGTCTATGGATGTTATCCAATCCGTGCAGAAAACGGCGGGACCAGACTCGGATATCTTGCTTTATCTATGTCGTGCGGTTCAAAAAGCGGCGGTATCCAAAATGGAATCTCGAAATCCATCGACAACCGAAAACAGTATGATGGAGACCCCTTTATTACACCCTTCTCACGATGTCTTAGAAACATTAAAGTCACTCTTCTCCCAAATCACTATGCCAGTAGATATATACAGGAGAAAATATAAGAGGCTTAAAGCACCTCAATTTATACATACCATAGGTCCTGCTCATCTTCACGCCTATATGCGCGCTTTGGCTTTCCTCGAGGATACAGCTACGATGAAAGAATTGTTACAGTGGATACTAACACATCGGGCGTATGTTCACGAAGAAGCTGAGCGGATAGAAAGTCGTGGGCATGCACTGATAGCGAAGACACTATGTGCCTTTCAAGCTTTTGCCGGTCCGAGCCTGAGCCATGAAGAGCAGGAGAAACTGATATACCAAATAAAAAATACTACGAGGGCTAGAAGCTCCTGGAGATGGCCGACGCCGGAAGAGGTCGAGACCTATGTGCAGTCCGATTTACGTGGCGGTTCCCGACGACTTCAGCGGAGGATTTTAGCTAAGCTATGGTATAAATCCTCCCAGGAGGGGAGTGAGAAGGAAACAAGCCAAACATCTACATAATCCAGGACGAAGTCCGTTTAAAAACGGACTTCGTCCTGGATTATAGCGCTCCCCCGTATATAGCTCTTTGCCTGAGGACCTAAAGTGTTGTATTGTCCCCTTGACGCATATATTATCTTGAAAGTTTGATTGTTGGAAATGGAATGATGTAATTTCATTGACACTTTGAGGCTTCTCTAGACTTCTCAAGAGTTGATATATGATCTTGAGTTAGGTACCTAACCTCGTCTCAACGTATTTGCGTGTATAGGTACCTAGATACTATGCTTATATGTATCGAAACATATTCTGTTACACTTGGGGTTAGCTGACCAAGTTCGAATTGATAGGGGTTTAACAATAACCCCTTTTTAGTGGCTTCATATTAAGGGAGATACTCACATCTCTTACGCCTCGTTTCATCGCCACCGGCTTCCCGTTCTCGTATTCTATTCCAGCCTCTCCACCGTCGCCGGAAAGTCCCGACATCTTCCGCTGCAATTCAGCATCTATTTCTGCCATGGTCTTTTTCTTCCCTTGGCCTTTGGCCGTTGTCACGCTTTCTCGGTCTATTGAAGGTGAATGTTGATTTTGCTCTTGATGCTGTGAGTGGGATTGAGAACTAGCCGATCGCTGACTGAGAGTAAGCAGTCTAGACAGTGGGAACACCGGGGAGCTCCGAACGACGAACGGGCGCATTTTTTAGGATTACAATAACAACCTGAAGAGTATTTTCTCGATTATACGTGTTGAAATTGTATTACGCTTGTTATATAAGTGTTATATAAGAGGTATCGTATGACGACATGTTTTTTCCGTATTCTTATTCACGTCATTAAGTGGACCCAGCCCCTATTTTAAAATTTCAAGTCATACATCGATTTATCTCATATGACTACATAGACGCATATACATTGGAATGGTTAGATACATACCTCCTGACCTGGAGCCCGGGTACGTCTTCGGATTTAAATATGTAGAGGACTTGTCAAAACAATAAGGCTGTCTTTTAATATACTACTATCATGGACTTTTATGGGGAGTTAATCCTCTATCCTCGTCCATGAGACTGACACATAGCAGCGTAATTGAGAACTAGACTCTTATCTACCCTTCCATGGTGATGCGTTTTCGAGGATTGTACTTAGAGTCACGTAAATACTTAGAGGCATTATAATGACGGTAAAGTTTAGACAGGTATAAGATGACCCATAAACCATTTAACGAAAATAGGATAAAGAAGCTTGGTAGAATTATTACTACATTTTAGGGTATAGGAATGATTCGATGCAGTCATAAACGATTATAGTAATATATAATTAAAGAAAAGACATAGAGAAGAAAGATAATTCCTCATCTACGACCACTATCACGAAAGGAACATGATATCAAATACGCCTTTGGGGTTAATCTGGGGTTTTATTACTTTATGGAAGATACTAATACTAACAACCCCGATCGTCATGAGCCTCAATAAAGGAGACCGAAATGGTGACTGGTCATATCAATGGACCAAAGAGGCCAAACATGCTCAAGTTATAAACGTTACTCTTGTGTCACCATCCTAAATAATAGAGGGGACAAGCAGATAAAGTAATTATGGAGAGAAACCTGGTGGAGGAGCGCAAGGGTCGACGCCAAAGTAGACTTGGACCTCCCTCCAGTTTAGAGTATCGAGTTCAGACATGTCCGTCCGGATCTTCTCTCGTGCAATGGACTGGCGCGCAGACTCGGCTTGGCAGCGAAAGCTTCCAAAGCGCCACTCCTGGCGGGTGTACAAGCTGTTCATAGACAACGTTAGGACGGCCTCGAGCTCATAGTTGAACTTGGACCGGAAGAAGGCGTGGAGGAACGGCTCGTTCACGATACAGTTAGGGCCTTCGATATGTAGGACGCGACAGTGAGGGCTTGGGTCGCGCGGTGCCGATCTGATGCGGTTCATCTTGAGCTTTGGGACATAGCCTTCCACGGAGAATTCGCCTGCCTCCGACTTTGCGAGAAGGTTGTCGACACCGGCGCGGTCGAAGAAGACGAGCTTAGACGCCGATGTTGTATGGGGTGCTCGCTGTCTGAAGCGGCCGGTTGACTCGCTCGGCGGGTTGATGACCGTAGCCCAGATCTTCCCGCAGTTACGGATCGCGCCTAGGAGCATCTGATGAGTGCACCGAGGCGGAAGATTAGTCAACCAGAGTGAAGTGCTTTCGTGCTCGGGTACATCTGCGGACTGGTTAGAGGGCAGGAAAATATTGCCTCCGTAGTTCTCCGATATACCGGTGATGGCGAGCTGTCGATTCCATACGTCTGGAGGGAGACGATGTCTGGCGCCCCAGGGGGCCCCTTGGCCCATAGGAGTATATCCTCCTCTGGATCCCCTGCTTCCTCCACTTGGTGGCGTAGTGATGAACTGGGGTACGTGTATAGCTTGGATTGATGGAGATGGGAAGATTGGGTCGAAAAGCGTAAATCCCCCGTTGCCCGTATCATCTTCTAGCCAGGGAGAATGGTTATTATTATGATCTGGATGGTAGATTCCAATAATGGAAGTGGTCGAATTATTCTCGCCTCTAGGACGGTTCAATGTACGCGGAGGAGTATTCGAGGTATTCGGAAACCATGGAGATGAGGACGTACCCACATGCGACCCGTACGGACGACTCCCGTATTGAGAAGGCGCCTCGTCAGAGGGGCTGTTTGGGTAGTTATCCTGAACGTTTCTGAATCGCATGGTGGATGGTGATAAATATGATATTAAAGTGTGGATGGAGGAGCGTGTTGCCTAGGTAGTAAGCTCTTAGTTAGTATTCGTATATAAAGAACAACCCTAGTAGAGAGAGGAGAGTCGTAAAATAAGTGGCTGTCGGCGAGTTGATAGTGTTATGATGGTACCTGTGTTAGGGTATGATGACATTTGGAAGAGTATAGAGATGTACTCTAATGTTTGATTATTCGGTAAATGGGTTTAGTAATACCGAAATATTGTTGATGGATTTAAATTTAGGTTAGTCTTGAAGGTGTTAGGTCTTGGTGTTGACGATGATGTAAGGTATTGATGGAAGATGGGTTGGATAAGGCTGATGGAAAGTAGGAAATATTGAAAATTTTCTTACTTTCTATTTAGAGGAGGTTTGTAGGTTGTAGGAGGTATTGATGTTGTGTATTGTGTAGAGATGGGTTGTGGAGGTTGAAGTTAGAAAGGGTTGGGAAATATCTAGAGGGGAGGTTAAATAAGTTTTTTCGTTGGTTGCTGTAGCTGAGAATTGTGTCTCCCTCAGGACTGAATCGAATTTTATTTGTACCTAAGGAAAATTCTGTTACTACGACGATCGACGTGAAAAAGCTTGGACATCTGTCATTTCGTGAAGTAACTGAGGTAGCAGTTTCTACGCAGCAGGCAACTACTTTAGAGGCTGGGGGCAACTGAAAGTAAGGAACTGGGCAATGGGTCTACCTTAGAGACCAAATAGATGCCTAACTGGCAACCTAGTAAACTCTTTACAAATTCTAAGACAGATTTTCTATTACCACCAATGCAAGATGAATGGACGCAATTGCATGAAAGACAAGTGATTTCACTATCAGAGTCGAGAGCATTTCTTTACAGTGAAAAAAATCTTATTTCTAGTAAAACAATCTACGAGTTAAACCTACTGAAGGAAGAAAATGAAAATAAAGACGGAAACGAAGATATCTATGTTATCTGAACCATCATATTATGTATCTAGCAGAGCCCCTAAAGTCATACAGCACACACCGAGTAACGGTGAGGGTCTCATCAAGTAACCCCTATTTAGAAGACTAAGGGCAGAGAAGCCTTCTATTTGGTATCGATAAGGTATAGCTGTATCGAAGAAGGCCTCGTAAAGAGACCTATTTAACTAAGAGTGAAACCCAACGGTGGGTATAAATATAATAGGGGCCCAAACTAGTGGATGAAGGTTGATATTGGTTGACCAACTATTAAGGAAATAACTTGAAATCAACGTACGCACACAGTTTCTATACTTAAACTCGGTTTCTATTTGACTTGACTAGTACGCCACCAAATTGGTGGTAATAGAAGCGTGATGTGTAAATCATAAGTATTATGCTAAGGCGTATCGAGATAGGATAACGTCACGTACACATCCCAGCCCGCTACGATTCTATTATTGTATTGACACGCGTGATCATTGTCGTCCAGTAGTCCACTCCTCGCGAGTAACTGCGCAAGAGGGTCCCTTTCATCACCATGGAGAATGATGGAGCTGTCACCAGCTCGATGGGACACTAAACATCTGGTTTACGGGTAACGGCCAAGTCAAATTTGACAAACTCGATCGAAATATTGAAATGTTATAATAATAAGTAGCTGCCTTATTGGGTAGTAACCCGAAGCCTCGAATTCCCATGTAAAACCTGGAACGCACCATCCGAATTTCCAATTCATGCGCCCATCTTCGTACACAAAAAGAACAAAAAACTGTCCCGTATATACATGTCGTACTTTTTCTCCTCCCTTCTTACAATTTCATGCCTGTCGCCTTAGCAACTCTTAAGCTCTGCCTCACGCTCAGGTCAAGCATAATCTCCTCGCTACCTCCAGGAATGGCATACGCGCGGACGTCACGGTACAGTCGCTCGACCTTGCCGCCCTGACCACCTCGCGAGTAACTCAGACCACCGAAAATTTGGCTGGCCTCGCGCGCACAGAACTCAAAGGTGAGCGTGCTCTGGGCCTTAAGACCAGCGATGGGTCCGCCGAGTCTTAGCATAGCTTCGGTCTCGCCCATCTTCTGGCACTGATAGACGAGGTTCTCCAGCCAATTGTACGAGGCTTCGATCTGCCTCGCCATATGCGCCAGCTTCATGCGGATTACAGCGTGCTCGATCAACTTCTTGCCAAAGGTTCGTCGCTTGTTCGCGTATTTGACGGATTCTTCGTAGCAGACACGGGAGAAGCGCAGACATTGGATGATGATACCCATCCGTTCGTGGTTGAAATTGGTCATGATGACTAAATTCAAAATTAGTAACCCTGATCTGGAGTTGATGCTGTAGTTTGCTTACCCTTGAAGCCCTGGTTCTCCTTGCCAATGAGGTTCTCAACAGGCACCTTGACGTCCTCGAAGGTGATGTACGTAGTACCAGACGACCATACACCCTGGCAATCCATCCGCCTTGTACTTACGCCACCGAAGTCACGCTCGATAAGGAGCAGGGAGACACCGCCCATACCCTCGCCACCTGTCCGTACGGCGACGGTGAAGTAATCGCACCAGATACCATTCGTAATCCACTTCTTTTCGCCGTTGACAATGTAATGCTTGCCATCTTCGCTCAGCTTAGCTTCGCAAGTCAGGTTGGCAACATCGCTTCCAGCATCGGGTTCCGTGATTGCCAAGCAAATTCGCTTCTCTCCCGTTAGAAGTCCAGGTAGAATGCGGTCTTTCAAGGCCTTCTTTCCGAACTTGACGAGTGGCGGGCAACCAATACCGAAGCCACCGAGGATGTTCCAGACAAACCCGCCAGATCCGACGCGTGACAGTTCATCGGTAACGATCAATTCGTGGAACAGATCCCACTGCTCCGGCGCTACCGACTTCACAGTATTTGTTGTGTACTCCTTGGGATAATGTACACCTAGCAGGCCTGCAAGATAACCACGGCGACCCGCCTCGAGGTAGATCTCGCGTGGCACCTCTTTCTTTTCGTCCCATTCCGTGACATGTGGCTCGATATCGCGTTCGACCCATTCGCGAATTTCGGCTCGGAGAGCGGCGTGGGATTCGTTGAAATAAGGAGAGTGGAACTACGAGCAAATAATTAGCAAGGGTAATTGGGACACACAACCGAGCTAAGGTGAAGACATACACCCTGGTACCAATTGGGATCCGCAAACGGAATTAGAGCACCGAATGGTTCCAACGCCTCAGTCTCTTCTTGCGCAGTGGAGGGGGCAACAGCCTTCTTAGTCTCCTTCGTCGGCTTAGGGGCGGCGTGGGTCTTGGATGGTTCTGGTGTTGGTTCGGACTTGGGCTTGGTATCTAGCGAGCCAATTTGGAGTAATGGCTTGTACTTCTTGAGAACACCCTCATTATGATATTTCCAAAATTGCTTGGACGCGTCCTTTCCGGCAACTTTGCTTAAGATCTTCTTCCCACCTACACGGCAATGAGATTGCGGTTAGCTATTTTGACTCAAGCTTGTTTGATTTATACGGGCGGGCGCATTGGGCCGAGCTCTCAACACCCCTAGGGATCGCATCGCGGAGATGCAAAATAACCTGAAGAGGTTAAATGACGACATACCAGGGTGCTCATCTTGAAATTTGGTCAGGTCATAGACATCGCCATCGATGATGATCCATAGAGAATCGGCTTTGTTATGCGACGCGACGTCGCTCTTGGAAAATGTCTTGGACATCCTGAAGGAAAAACCTGGGTATATAGAGGTAAAATATCTATTTGGAATTATAGGAGCAACGTAAAATGAGCAAGTAAAAGTACAAGTGAGGGAAAGGGAAAGATATTTAAAGGAAGAAGAAGTAAAAAAGTTCTGTTTTGCACGAAGCCATTCCAAAAGCTTTAAAGGCTCGGCGATTACACTTTCTTACCGAGCCTATGCTCTCGTACTGTAACGTCTTACGGCTAAGAGCTTGTAAGCTCAACATGTGATTCTGGAAAGGGACCCTGTAACGTTCGGCCTTTCTGGAACCTATGCCGCAAGCAGCTATTGTCTAGCTCACCACAGATGTACTAACGCGCCTTCTAAGCCACTCAGTGCCTTGCTATTGGCAATGAACTTCTGCGACATTGCTCTCAACATGGGGCCGAACCCCACAGTAATAGCCTAGGTAGGCGGATCGGACCTATGTACATACAGTAGTGTATGTACACGCAAGAGTTGAGTTAATCCATAGAAATTCCGGGGGTTTCGTGGGGAAAGGAACAAGTCTATGACTTGGGATGTTTTAGTGCTCCCTCGCCATTACTCGTGTCATGTGTGCGTCTTAACTTAAGGTAAGGTATCGTTGGCATGTGATTCAAAGTTTCTTCCCTACTTGGCAGCTTGGAGCTGAGAATGTGGGGGATGTAGCAGAGGGAATGATGAGGTCATGCTTAAGTTCTCTTAGTCGTGGCCAATTGGAGAAGCTGGGGATTGAAAGTACCGGGGTTACACACTGCCGAGGTACGCCTAGAGGATCCACAGTAAGTCGCCCGATCATGCGGACACCGGACTGCAAGAGCTGTAAGAAACTTGGGACTTCTTGCCAATTCTACCTATTCTGTTACTACAAAACTTTCGGGGCAAGCACATGGCATCCGCCTCCAGTTTCCCCGGAATAATCTATCCGCTTCATCTCACCTACTTATAACCACGTCTCCGCATAGCTGTAGCTCTATTACAGTAAAAGCTTATAAATTTAACAAGCCGATTCTTTCTCAATTTTATGTTTTATGCTTCGACGTTAGTCTATTCTACAGTGATGGAAAAGACCAGGTCGACTCAGATTTATTGACACGGGGAATTAAACAAAAGTCAATGTTTAAGGGAGCCCTCTACAATGCACAGGATATTCCGAATCTACCGCTATGACAAACTACTTCCTCACAGGCAATTCATGTCAGAAGTTTGATAGTCGTAAGTTTTAGTATTACCTTACGCTACGAGTTATTCGTCATATTACTGTTGTAAATTGTAGCGTAGGGCCATAGCTGGTGTATAGTCCGAGTTTCGCGCACGGCTAACCTCTTTGACACGCCTCTCAACACGTCTCTCAACACGTCTCTCGCTACAGTCAACATGCCATCACTGAACACTGTACATTGTGTTACCTGTAACTAATAGAGTTACGTCAGATTGTTTCGAGATTGAATAGACGGTCTCCTTAGTACGTGATGGTTCAATTATACAGGAACCACTATGATGGATCGTCGCGCCTATTAGCGCTATCATTAATACATATTCGAGCCTGAGATGGGTTATTAAGCGCCTGCGTCTCAAGCTGGACGGCACCATAGCCAGTCATTCTCTTTGTTACCGCTGGACAAAGGACAAAACCACAAGCACAGACCACTTTCGATTAGGTCCTTGATTGGTCGACAGCACTTCAATTGGGAAACTCCCGATTTAGAAGTCTTTCGAACTCATCCGCGACTGAAAGATCAAAGGCCAGTTGACCCTCTTTGTTGACCCTATCGTATCAAATCACGCGGTATTGGGCGCTTGTTTGTCAATGGGTTCACAAATCCAAATCTGGTTGTGTTTGTATTGCTTTCATATTTAAATATCATTCAATGTTCCTCAAGGACTGAGTCTGCTTTCTCGTACACCTGTTTCCTTCGTCACTACTCTAACGCATACGACACTGGATGTCTTTGATTCACTCTGCATTCACTTAACATCATTAGCAGATAATTATTTAATAATCTTTTCAACTGGAAGCTTCCACGGTTTAGTATTTATCTCTTCTCGCCCAGATCATCTTGGAATTATCTACAGCTTCAGCAAATTTGCATACACATACCCAGTAGCCAGAAGAAAAAAAAACGCAAAAGGAAATAATGGCTATCAAATCTCTCATCACCCGATTTGGCAAAGGTGCCGCCACCAAGCAGATGTACATCTACGAGACATGGCTACGTTGGATCGTCCGCGGAATCCAGTTCGCACTCGCCGTCGTTGTCTGTGGTTTGTATGGGCGTCGCGTCGACCATGATCATAGGCACGGGAACGGTCAGTCAGCCGCGTGGGTTTACGCATTATCCGTCGCCGGCCTTTCGTGCATCACCTGTCTCGTGTACTCTATCCCCAACCCATTCGGCCGCTTCCAGTCGCACCGCCTCTTCGCCTGGGACCTCGTCCTCTTCGTCCTGTGGATCGCTCTCTTCGGCACCTTTGCCGCTATCTTCCTCAAACGTGAAGAAGACGAGTACGAGGGCACCAACGTCGCACTCATGAAGTGTGCTGTCTGGATCGATCTCGTCAATTGCATCTTCTGGCTCTGCACCGGCCTTTACGGCTGCTTCCGCACTTTCGTCGGTAGAAAGGTGAATGGAAAGATCGATGAATATTCGAACAAGGTTGAGGATGGAATCAACGCCAAGGTAGACCAATACGCGGGTTCTGCAAAGGACAACTTCAGTATGAAACTTAATCCTTTGCGTAAGGAGACAGTATGAGCTAGGAATACGTGGGAAGAGATGGTTATCTTACACAATGAATGACGATACGCATGGCCGTATGATATGGTTGGGTTATGGGGACATTGTTCATGCATAGCATTGCGGGCGGTTGCATATAGACTACTAGACGGGCTTCATCAGCTAGAAGCGATGTCTCAGACCGGTCCTCTTGGGTTCTCCTTTTTCGGGAACCACCAAGGGCACCCATTAATAATATCATTATCTTTTATAGCACCATATGTTCACCATGTGTTTCCTAAAATAATAGCCGTGATCCGTGCTAAACTTTGAGCATGTACGAGTTAGATGTCGTATGCTAAGTGACCCCCCTGACCTCCTATACGATGACGAAGAAAAGCCCAAATGGAGCCTCAAATTTATCGTGATACTACCTAGTATACCACGTCTAACCTAACTGGTTATGATTCCCCCTCAATATCTTCTCATCAGTGTTGTCTTCAAATATTCCTAGTTCTATATTCACACTGTCCTACCGCCGATGCATTGGTTTAAGGACTATACTACCATACTACCATAGCGATTAAGTTTTACCTAATACTACTTTCAAACTTGGCGGCTTGACGCTACATTTACGGAGGTCATAACAAAGTAACGTTCTAGATTGTATAGCTAACTCCTAATTATAGATGACCTAAGCCACCATACCATATGAAGACACAAAGGATTCATAACTTGAAAGGACCTGTTTTTATCAAAAGCATTGTTGAACTTCTTCTTTGTTGTGCACTCACTTCCTTTGATAACCCGAACAAACTATGTAGCCAGACGTCAATATAATATCCCATTCCTCTAATTCTCGAGGCAAAATGGACAGTGCAAGTTGATCCGCACAACTCTTTTATCGCTAATATTTCTTGTTTCAAATAAACTCTTTTAGATTTTTTGACCCAAACTTAAGCAAAAATGTCTATTGACAAGAATACTCGCCTCACACACAAATCTCTCCCAAAGCTTATCATTCCAAAAGGGAATCGTCGGGTGGAGCCTGAAGAGATTACGGCGAGCCGCGTCGAGGACTTTCTAGACTACTGCATTAAGTTCGGAAAGGCACCTATTACGCGGCTCCCAGATATTGCAGATATTGCCTTTATCTCCCTTTCCGGCACCTTAGACTCAAGTTCAGGTGATACGAGACGCTGGAAGAAGGGAAAAAAGCCAGAAAAGGAGCCGTACAGTAATGAAGATCAGAAAGACCCGGATACTATCGCATTTACGGCTTGTGATTACCGCAGTCTAGACGCGTTACAAGCAGAGCTTGCCGAGGTTAAGGTGCTACATGAGCATGCATTACGCAAATTGTTGGAAAACAAGACTGATAAGAAAGCATTGTTAGTATGCAGGACAGTTAGAATGAAGCGGGAGGAAATTGATAACGAGATCTCGGAAATTCTTCGAAAGAGGACGATTCGCCGGAAGTTTAGACAGGATTACAACAACCCCCCGGGATTAACGAATTGGTAGTTGCCTGGGCAGGCAACTTATTAAGGAATATCAATTCGCGACTATGGAAAGGGGGTGAATACACGAAACCCCCTTCGTTAATGACTTTTATGATTTTTATGATTGCTATGGTAAGGGGTAAACCAATTACAGTCGCACAGGATGTGACGTTTCCCAAACTTTGTAAGATTGGGGGAAGGTCGGGAATAATAAATAAAACAATAATGTCTTCTTCAACTTGCTCTATCTCATTATTGTCGAGGCAATTCCTTGTGACTTTTCGAGTACTCCAGTTAATGTTTCTTAAGTCTCGACTTTTGATCCTTGTGGTTGGCCGTGACAAATGAGTAACAGGTTTTCGTATAGTCTCAGAGACTTTTCAGATTATTGTTTAGAAATCAAGCGGGCTTAACAGAATCTCAAGCATATCGAGAGGCAAACTGACTAAGCGACAAGGAACATAGGTTGACAAACAGCGAGACTGTTCCTGAACACCTCAGAAGTTCCAAAACAAGTTCTTTGTTTCTATTGTTCGGGTAAATGGAATTGTTCCAGCAGAAACATAAATATATGTGGCTTCACGCACACCATCATTCATCGATTTATGAACCACAAAGCACACAACGTAGTATCTAACCTGGCATTTCTAATATAAATCCGTCAGCATCTCGACTCACAGAAACAATACACATCTCACACATCCAATTCTTAAAGCATCCAGATCTGAATTATTCACACCAAAACTAAAAAAGAATTCCCTATCCAATACAACCTAGTTATAACTTTATACATACATCATGTCCAACCAAGGTTCGCCAAGACAAGGGTCGTTCAGAGAACGCGTTGAACAAGAGATGATGGCTCGAGGGCAGGTAACTACGAGCCAGTCTCAAAACCAAGAGACTCCGCTGAAAAGCCCCCTACGGAAGCTCTCATATGAGTTACTTCCTGAAATCCTTTCAGTGATAAAAGTAGCCCCGCCGGTCTTGACTACGAACGATGGTAATATAACGCCATTGGACCATCTGGCCAGTCTATCTGACCAGCAGAATTCAAGCCAGGCCGGAAAAGGCACGCTGGGCCCTAAACCGACGCTCCACAGACGCAACGCGCTTTGCCGGCGGGTGACAGCGCCCGTGGGATATAAGAAAGAGCTTCCTCACGAAGACAAGGGCCCAAAGGATTACTTTTCTTTCCCGTTCGCAGAGCCCCCTTCGCCGCACTCACCTGCGGCGGAGGAGCTCCGGAGCGCGTGGCAGAATATCCAAAGGCCCATCCGAGCTCAGTCGTTACCCTCGCGTCAATTTCACAAACCGCAAAATTATCTCAGCTAGAAACCATAGGTGACCGGGGAGCGTTACGGGAAGCCGGTCTATGCGTAAGAAAAACAAGTTGCATATAAAAGAGAAGGGGGCGATATGGAGTAGTTAAGCATGTTTCTGTTATTTGTTTTTCTGTTTATTTCCAAATGTTTTTTTTTGGCAGTTAAGAGTTGGAGTTAGCATGTTATGAGAACGCTCTAACATGAGGCGTATTGTTTCTACAACCATAGTAAGTCGTAGACCCCTAAGTGTGGGGATTCGTCCATAGACCAAAAGCCGCAGTACAATAAAGCAAATAACGGCTTTGGCTCGGGGTTGACCTAGCGTAGCCTAATTAAAAAGTTTGTCAATTGCTTAACCTACTGTAGTTTAAGTACCTAATGTAAAGCAATGCTGCGTGACCTTAGATGATCGGCCTAGCGGTGATGGTGATAAACAGAGCTATGGAGTAGACTAGACGAATGGCCATAGCTTATCCAGACCTTGTTCTACGGAGATATCGATATAGATATCTTGGGTTGGCCCGTGGGGGAACTTCTAGGAGGGGTTTTAGTACTTGGTAAGTGCGGGAGACTCGATTTCTTTTTTACGATAGACACTAAGTCTGTGCTCTTTACCGGATGGTAAGTTCCGTATTCAGATGGAAGTTTGCTTTCTTGTGAGATTGGCATTTTTCAGGTTAGACTAGCTCAGCCAACAAATAACCACCCTGTCGTGTAGTCATTTCTATCATAACGTAAAGATGACCTTGGGGCTTGGGGTCCCTGGGACGGGAAATGGATGCAGCAGTGAATCAGATAAATCACCTATTATGGAAACTCTGCAGTATTTATGGTCGCCGACTAATAAAAACCGCGAAGTGGTCGATCCAGTAGGGTTAAGACGCCGTGGCGGACGGCGGCTGAGACTACTATTCCTGACGAAATGTATTCCTGACGAAATGGGTGGTTGATGGAGATCGACAAGGGTACCAGCTCGTAAAAGCTGAGAGCTGAAAGAACAGACAAAGAACTTCGTAGACATTACACCACATGACCATAAGTGATGTATAGGTATGGAATACAAGATTGTCGAGTGACAGCATATGAAACCGATGTCATATCAAGAGCTGCTTGTCCCCGGAATAGCGGTGCAGAGCTTATACATAGTATACGTGGTGGACGGGTGTCACGACGTCACAACTGCCAAACAATAATATGTGTGTTATATCAGATCTGGTAGATATCAGACCTGTCATATGCAAGGCTAAGGTTCCTCGTCGTCGTACGAAGCACATGTACGCAGGTATGCGCTGCATTCATGCGAGGAAGCAGGAGGATCTTTGGGTGATGTTTCGAGATTTCTGCAGTCATCAAAATTCCAGCACGAGACTACACGAGTAACGCTGAAGGGATAACGGCATCGCCCCGACATGTTGGTATCGGGTACGCATTTGAGAATCGATTCGCTACCCAACGGCGTTCCTGCATTGGCAGTTTGCATTGCAGCACTAAAGCGCATGCAGCCCTGTCTCCCGATCAATGTAATCCGTACTAGACTAGGTTAGCTGACAACGGACATAGTCACGATGGTCAAGAGGACGGTCGTAATTCTAAAATACTCCGAAACCCCAGAAGTACCGGGAACAAGCGCGCTAAATAAGTGCATCTTGGTCTATTCCCACGAATGAAATCCGTCTGGGGTGATCGTATTCCGAGCTTTCTGGCTCTTGGCATGTATTTGATGGTTTAGCTTTTCTTGTTAGTATGTAGTTCATCCCGAGAGTCTGGAGCCCCTCAGCGTTGACGCATATCTCATTTAATATTAAATACTTACGACTGGATTTGAAAACGCAAGGGAGAAATATGTAATACACTAGACTTTTTATTCCCGTAGTCTGTAGAGGATGGAATTGATGGTAAACCACACAGTAGATGTAGCTTACGATTGGTAGAAACAAAACCCTTGCTACTGTTCAGTGTTCACCTTGACTTGATCGCCTTTCTTGGCGGATCGTGGGTTCGTGGTAACCTAAGCTTAGAACAGGGCGGACGAACGGACCTCGTAAACATGTGGTAGGCCTGGCATATGGTCGAGGATTGCTATCGCCTGCCTGGTCGCCTGAACCCTACTTGCCTACGTAATGTACTCACGGGAAACTCGTTGGTAGATCGTTGAAGCAGATTTCCACGTGTCGAATCTGGCAACACAGGGTTCGACAATTCGATACGGCGTGCCAATCTAACAACTTCAACCTAACCTATTAAGTCGCAGTAATAACTTGCAGTAACTCGTATGTAGCGGCAGCGTCGACGTAAACCTCATCCCCGCAAGATAGCCTCATCCATGTTGGCGCGGGAATTTGCTAGTTTCTTGTCCTTTATACAATGTATTTGTATAATGTAGTTACTTGTATAATACCTACGTAGATGGTATTGAGATGAATGTAGAAAGCCATTCGCAGGCGGGTGAAATCTTGGCTATCAGGTACGGTACCTATGCTTACTGCATGATGATGAATAACGGTTCGCACGGTGGCGGCCGAAGCAGAGTTAATCCACTCTTCCGGACGGCAGTGAATCTGGTACAAGTAAGTTAGGTATTGTACCTAACCTAGTACTTCGTAGGTATACATAGAGAAATACATACCTACACTACGGCATCTCTTGTGAGCGTTTCACCAACTAGGTATTCCGTACTTTGGGTTTCTTAGAAAATGGGTGGCTGAAGCTGACGGGGCGACATGGTTTACCGTCGAGTCTCCATGATATGTAGGTGTGTACCTCTAAGCGCCCATGTTAATAATACGCATGCGTTGAAACAAAACAAGACAGCTGCGGGCTGCCTTGTTTTCGAGATGCCAAATTAGAAAATGCGACACTGCCGCCCGCTTGAGAGGATGGAATTTATTTTCGACGCTTCATGCACAACATATCCATAGAGTAAGTAATTTTAGGCAGATGGGAGATGTCTAATCTGATTCGTACGAGACGGGAATTTTGTTTCGAGCAGAGACTGAGGATCATCCTTTTAGCATTTGTTTTAGCATTTGTACCTACATTTTGTTGGTATGTTGTTGGTGAGCGCTTCGTAAATTGCATTATCTCGATAACTTGCAGCTCTAAGGTTACGTAGAGTCGGAAAGTTTGCGCCGACAACCTTTCTCTCATTACGTACCTAGTTTGGGTGGAACCCTTTGAACCCTCAGAGTTCTTTACCCCTGGCTCCCCCTGTCAGCCAGAGTCTTTATTGGTTGATAAGTGGTTGATGTTCCTGGATAAGTGGAGAGTTATGGAGGGAATAGGCACAATGACATACTTGTTAAAGTTTAGATAGCTGATGCCGAGATGTACGCTAGCACTAATATGGTAATATCTCCAGGCGCAGGGATGCATGTATTCAATTAATCCTCTGGAGGAACTTGAGAAACGGGATCCTCGTAAAACTTAACAATGGGACTCCGTCACTCCGGGTCTTCTTGACTTTGTTTCGAAAGGATATAATGATACGAGTTATGGTTGATAAATCTTATACATAAGGATTGGTTGTCTTATTGTCGACTATATCATGCCATAGTAAAGTTCTCTCGGAGAGACCGATACGCATATAAAGAAACATGCTTCTTTACTTCCACTAGATCCTGCTAATGTTTCATATCAACTTTGTGCCGTAATGCTTGTTGATCATCACGACGTGTTTCATGGAATAATATATTGATAGCCGCATAAGCCATAGCTTCTTAGCCAAACACTTAGGGATTCAAGCCATTTCTACTACCGTACGTGCTACATATAGCATCTATCCTCTCGGGCGATTCCTACAATTTATTGCTTGCAACGAAGATTAAGGTAACTGCTTGGCTTAAGTTGTTTTCCATGCCTTTAAGAAGTATCGGAGTAATGATACGACTATTCGGATCCTTCGCAAATAGAATCCCATGGCTTCAATATCATCGTTATTATATATATTTATGAACAGGGTTTGAAGATGATGTTAATGTTAGTGTTATGTTAGTTAGCGCCTACGCGGAGTTCCTACTTCTTACAGTTTAAGTGATAACGTTAAAATGTACGCTAATGCAACCGTACCGGACGGAGTCGACCCATAATCGCCTCCCCCACCTTCAAGGTTCTTATTTTCCGCTTACGATGGATATGTACTTAACCTAATAGATACATAACTTTATAATGCCGGTACCTGAAGAGAGACTTTAAAAATAAACATGCTACAGTGACTTGTGCGACCGCTAGACCGCTAGATAGAAAACAGCCCATCCTTGATAGTGACCGGCATTAACATGCACAAATACGGTACAGTACACACCATCTCGACGTTTATCAGACTCTCTTATTCGTCTACATAGGAGCAGGAAAAGAAAGAAGAACCAAAGAAAAAAAGAAGGGTCGAAGATGCAACTATGTACTTTGACTTTACTCTACTTGGCATCGACTTTTTATACTTATTGTGAATCACGAATCAAATATACGAATGTTACTTCTTATTATTTTGATTCGACAATTCAATTTTTCTCTTCGGCGTCTATCGTTTGAACATTTATACATCTAATCAATTCACTTCATCAAAGAATACTACCTTTTACGTTATCTTAGTGTTCCTTCCCCCCCTTTATACGGAAGTCGCCTTCAAAAGTTTTGTCCATAGGTCAGCCCCTGTCAGCTTGGCAAAGCTTGGCAACAACTGTCAGCCGTAATGACAAATGTATTTCTAAACATGCCATATTTTCATTTACTTATTATATTTTAAATAAAAGGGCTATTACATCAAAACCTATACCATATTGAAAAGAATTGTTTATTTTATATTATGACCAAGCCCTTCAATTTATCTGATTTATTTTGTTGCATAATCATTCGTATAACAAGGGGTTAATCTTCAATATACTTCAAAATTCTAAGCTGCCAGGTGGGTCGGACAGTCTGACAGCTGCACCAAAAGCTGACAGGCGCTTAGTATGGACAAAACTTTTGAAGGCGACTTCCGTAGTTATATTATACTGTTAGTGTTACCCAGGTAGACCCCAGGTCGCTTCCGGATTAATCGATAGCGTCAACCCTTTCCTTCTGTTTTTGTAAATGCAGCCGACTATCTAACCGAATTATCACTTTTATTTTATTTTATCAACGTGGCTGTGGTACCCTACAGGCGTACCTGCTATATGCTACATGTACATTCACCCACCTACCACTTACATACCTGCATACCCTCTCGAGTTTCCCCCCCAAAAAGTCCCCCCCGAAAAAGTGCTTCCACCCCATCCACCATCCCGCAGTTATCCAAGACAAGAACTTCCCACCCCTTTATTATTGTACACCACACAATCATACACCCCGACCATCTTGCGCCCTGTCGCAGCCCAGTCTTTGAGCGCCGACCCCTCTCTCGCCTTCTGCGTCTTAGTCAATTTCCAACCAATTCCGTGCAACGTCTAGCATAACCTCTTAAGGACCCTATGTCTTGAGACTTATCCGTGTGTACGACTTAATTCTTCTAATTCCGCGGCTAGTTTTGTCGCAGCGCAACCCAGCGCAGCCCTCTTATCGCCTGTTCAGACCGGCCCTACGTTGTCAGACCTTCAGTAGCAGACCGACCGAAAAGTGACGATATAATTCGGGACAAGAAACTTATCACGATACCCACTCCCCCGTAACTGGTTATAGACCACGAGGCTCCCGATTGTCTTATTCAATCGCAGTCCATTCTTAGCTCGAGGCGTATATCCGTACGCACACGTTCACCTTGTTGGCCGATCAACAAGTAGTCGGAAGACCTCTCCCTTGCGGGAATCTAAATCAAACTACCCGAACATTTGACGAATCGAAAACCTTTCCCGTTTAACCACGTTGAATCTGGCCCTCGCTGGATCGTTGTGCCTCCCTCGACCCCGATCCATCCTACGCTTTGGCGGAATAATTCACGCCCAAGTATATCGATTATATATCCAGCAATTCAACATAAAGCTAGCGTTACGCGATCGATGAGACGATTTTTCGACTGTTTCTACTACTGCGTCTTGTAGAGTATACTTATCGAAGCTCAATAGATTGTAAATATAACGACAGCACGGGTTTGATACAGGTATTATTGTCGAGTTGGATGTTTCGGTATTTTGGAATGATCGCAATTCGCCGTTGTGCTTAGCTTGCTACTATAGTGTTGTCAGCGAGCGGCATTGACGCCATTGAACGATTGAATCCTAGTTTATTACTCTCGAACATGTCAGTCATGTTACAAACACCTTCTAGGGCGTCGACGGCCTCGTCTTCTTCCTTCCAACCGATATCGCGTCAAAATACCATGTCTTCCTACGAGGGCTCGCGCTCGGCGCGACAGTCTAAGCGAATGTCCATGTCAGCCCTGTACCTATCTATGTCGGCAAACGAATCGGATCTAGAAATTGAAGACGATCTCGCAAAAGGTAAGAGAGTTACGAGTGTTGATTTTGGTGAGATGGTACGATGCTAACGTTGGAGGTGGATTACAGCACAGAAAATACTGCGCGAGTTGAAATCTAAAATCTCTTCGCAGTCGAAGAAGAACTTCGTCCTTGAAAAGGATGTTCGGTATCTCGATTCTCGAATTGCTTTGCTTATTCAAAACCGAATGGCGTTAGAAGAGGGTTGTCGAATTTCTTCTCCTATAACTACCATCGCGACTGAACGGGTATCTAGCAAAACGAAGTAGCCAGTCATCTCGAAGACGCGACCGACTTACAGGAGGGCGCCTTTCCTAACGACGACAAAACGCAGAAATATGGTAACCTTATGTTCTTGTTACAATCTGAGCCTAGGCATATTGCACATCTCTGTAGATTGGTTTCTATGTCCGAGATCGACTCGTTGCTGCAGACAGTTATGTTTACGATATATGGAAACCAGTATGAAAGTCGAGAAGAACATCTCCTCTTGACTATGTTTCAAGTAAGTCAATGAATAGCTCCATGCGACGGCGTGGTTCTGATTAACTGTATCTAGTCTGTCCTTACCTATCAATTCGATACGACTCCCGAATATTCGTCTCTTCTCCGAGCCAACACGCCGGTTTCTCGTATGATGACCACCTACACTAGGCGTGGGCCGGGGCAGAGCTTCTTGCGATCGGTACTAGCAGAGAGAATTAACGGCCTGATCGAGTTGACAGACCTAGATCTTGAGATCAATCCTTTGAAAGTCTACGAACGCATGTGTCAACAGATCGAGGAGGATACTGGTAGCCTTCCGCCATCGCTTCCTAGGGGTATCACTGGCGAACAAGCAGCCGAAAATCCTCAAGTGCAGAAAATCATAGAACCGCGTTTAACAATGTTGACGGAAATCGCCAACGGTTTTCTACAGACAATCATTGATGGGCTTGATGAAGCTCCCTATGGGATCCGATGGATATGTAAACAGATTCGAAGTTTGACCAAGCGGAAGTATCCCGATGCGAACGATCAGGTTATCTGCACGTTGATCGGCGGTTTTTTCTTCCTGCGTTTTATCAATCCTGCCATCGTCACACCGAAATCATACATGCTCATCGATGGGGTGCCGTCTGATCGACCACGCCGAACTCTCACATTGGTCGCTAAGATGCTACAGAACCTGGCTAATAAGCCCTCGTATGCAAAGGAACCATACATGGCCAAGTTGCAGCCGTTCATCCAACAGAACAAGGACCGTGTCAACAAGTTCATGTTGGATCTTTGTGAAGTCCAAGATTTTTATGAGAGTCTCGAGATGGATAATTACGTAGCGCTGTCAAAGAAGGACCTTGAGCTCTCTATTACTCTAAACGAGATATACGCCATGCATGGCTTGATCGAAAAACACTGCGGGGAACTCTGTAAGGACGAAAACTCACACTTGGCTCAGATTATATCGGAATTAGGCCACGCACCCGCACAGGTACCTCGAAAGGAGAATAGGGCTATCAACCTTCCCCTGTTTAGCCGATGGGAGACAGCCATAGATGATCTGACCGCCGCCCTAGATATCACGCAGGAGGAAGTCTACTTTATGGAAGCGAAGTCCATCTTCGTACAAGTAATGCGCTCTATCCCTGCTACCAGCTCAGTTGCTCGACGACCTCTGCGTCTCGAGAGGATTGCGGATGCGGCGGCTACGTCAAGAAACGACGCGGTCATGGTTCGGAAAGGTATCCGTGCCATGGAACTACTTAGTCAACTTCAGGAGATGAAGGTTATTGATAAGTCTGACCATTTTGGCTTATTGAGGGATGAGGTCGAACAGGAATTACAGCACTTAGGCTCTTTGAAAGACGGTGTAATTGCCGAGACAGCCAAGCTCGAAGAAGTATACAAGACCATCAGAGATCACAACGCGTACCTGGTCGGCCAACTTGAGACATACAAGAGTTATCTTCACAACGTACGAAGTCAATCCGAAGGCACGAGACGAAAGCAGCAGAAGCAGCAAGTTCTCGGACCATACAAATTTACTCACCAGCAGCTAGAAAAGGAAGGTGTCATCCAGAAGAGCAATGTTCCCGACAATAGGAGAGCTAACATCTACTTCAATTTCACAAGTCCTTTACCGGGGACCTTTGTTATTTCGCTACATTATAAAGGTTGGTTATAACAAGTATAGCTCGTTTTGTTCCCCGGCTAATTAGCATATAGGGCGCAACCGTGGTCTATTAGAACTTGACCTGAAGCTTGACGACCTGTTAGAAATGCAGAAGGACAACCAAGACGACTTGGATCTGGAATATGTGCAATTCAACGTCACGAAGGTATTAGCCTTGCTAAATAAGCGCTTTGCCAGGAAGAAAGGCTGGTGATCAGTCGACACCACGTCTTAGTGAATTCGCCTCTGGATCCCTCTGGATCCCTCCGGTTCATTCACATTATCAAGTTGTAGCACGTTTGTTTACAGGACCTGGCGCGGCGTTTATGGCTCATTACGACTTGATACCATTTTCTTTGCTATATCCATAGTATTGCACCCATCCCAGACGAGATTTGCGACTTATTATGGTGGCCACAGCTCCCCGGACGCCAGTTGCGAAAACTTGATACTAGCCAGCCATTTCAAATGGCTGAGCAAGGTCTATCTTGCTAATAGAGTTAGTTACACCACTATAGGCAACGGCTTGGGCCGCAGTTTTATCTGCAAGGCCATATGCCGCATATGTCAACACCGTTAGGGACATGTTGTTCCCAGTATTTCCATTATATGTTACCGCCTGAAAACGGTCTATCCAACGCGAAATGGTTTCCTATTTCATGGAGTTTCCAGAATAATAATCGTCAATCTCCCTTTAGGGAGTTGGAGGGGGCGGGCGCAAGGTCGTATGGTTCTAATGTTGTCGTATCGTTGGAGGCAAGTTGAGGGGAGGTATGGTAGGCGTCGTTAAGCAGGTAGTCGAATGTTGTTGTCGAACAAAGGGTGTGAAGCAAGCGAGGGATTATCCCTCGAATCCGTATTGCTTGGCTGTTATTTCCTCGGCTGGTCCGGCGGCTATTGTCAATGCTATTTCTAAAGCGTCTATTTGCTCGAGCTTTCTAGCAGGGATTGTAGATCAATGTAGCATTCAGTTTTGGGGGCTTGGTATACATATATGAATGGAAGAGCCTGGAAGGTCAAGTTTGACCGCTACGAAAGGCACATGTGGAAATACAAGTTAAGAGGTATCTAACACTTCAAACGTATGACAAGCGACTCGCAGAGTGTCAACATACAGGGTCTACGTCGTTAGAACTCATGATACCTCAGGTACTACATACTTTGTATCAATATCATTCATTCCTCCAATCCCTTTAATCTAGTATTACACTAGGTTCATTGCACGGGAACTATCAATCTGTCGATATCGGGTCCCCATCCATCGTTTATGCCCTCAATGACTATCTCGTTTGTACCACCGGACTTCAGGTCGACGTGTAGTGTACTACTAGATACACTGCTGCCTGTTGGTAGGAATGCTAGTTTTTGCGCAACGGCGCCGTTCACTCGCACGTTTGCGTACCGCGTCGAGCTGTCTCCGTTCACGTAACGTATGCGCACGGTTGTGCGCGCACTCGCGTCGCTTCGTATCCCTCCGAACGTCACGGTTCCCTTGTCCGGGCCTCCCACGTAGCCCGCCGCCGTCTTTCCAGAACAGCTGTTGCAACTTACGTCGCGCGCCTTGCCGCCGTATACAGCGGCTTCGCCTTCATATGCTGTCTCCGACGGCTTGGCTTTTGACGCGGACGACGACGTGGAGGATAGGTCTGGGACCCAGGACTCGGCGTTGGCCATGGTCACGGTGGTTCCGCTGATGGTTAGGGGTAGCCATACGTATGTCGATGCCATGAGGTTACTGCTCACCCACCGGTCGCCGAGGTATATGGCGGCGTTGCTGCCGACTGGTAACACGTAGTTGGTCTGCGAGGTGTATGTTTTACTGCCGGAATCGGCGAATGTCTTCCACGCGCTCCACCCCGAGCTCAGAGACGTCGATGTGCTGTACACATTGTCGTTGGGGTCCCAGCCGGTGAGCTTCGAGCCGAACATGTAGTAACGTCCATTTAGCTTAAGCAGGGCTGGGGCTTCGATGCTGTCAGACCATAGGTACGTGCTACCCGCCACAGTGAGGTAGTCGTCGGATAACTTCATGATGCGCAGGCCGTTCTGGCGGTCTTCGCTTAGCAAGTAACCCGTGCCGTCGTCGTCGACGAATAGACCCATGTCACGGCTCTGGTGGTTCAGTGGCTGGTACGAGTTGACGTACGTGTACTTGCCGCACACAGAGTCACCAGTCGCCACGCCGACCTTGGCTTCTCCGTAGTTGGAGGAGTCGATGTGCATGTACAAGACGTACTTGCCCGTCTTGGCGTTATAAACTACCTTGGGCCGCTCTACGACCCTGTTCGGGCCTAAGTCGCCGCTGGAGGTACGCGAGAGGAGCGCGCCGACGTAGGTCCATTGCACCAAGTCTGGGGAAGAATAGCAGTTGACGTTCTGGAAGGCACTTCCCCCCGTCTTGTCTTCGCCGATTAGGTAGTACGTAGAGTCGACCTTGATGACGCCGGCACCATGGGCTTGTAAGTGTTCATTGTTTGACTATACGGTGATATATTAGCGGCTGAGTGCCTACCTAACCTATATAGCAGGTTGTGTTTGGTGTGGAGCTGGTGTGGAGTTGAAGATGGGATTGAAAAGGGGCTAACAAGGGGGGAAATAGGGCGAAATAGGGGTTATGCTACGACGACTGGTATTTTAGGATTGAAAGGGTCGTACCGTAGTCCAAGTAGCGCCGGGTACTACTTGCAAACTCGCCTCGGCGAGCGACGACAGAGTCGTAAGGAGTAAAGCTCGGAGGTAATGCATCTCGAGGTAAGATAGGCGGCTAGGTTAGTCAGGATGCAACCAGCCGAAATGTGCATGCGGGATCGACATGCAATTCGAACGAGCGTGCGACTTGTCTACGCACCGGCGAGCTGTCCTGTTCATATAATGGGCGAGAACCAGGGGTAAAGTCCTCACCCGCTGTGGGGAAGCAATATGGATAGTATCCGGATTTCTGGGGGGGTAAGAATAAGATCTCCCGCGGCATAGATTGAAATACGAGTCGAGGCCCGCGACGGAGACAAGCGCACCAAAGACAGCATGTTCCCGCCTCCCACGCATGCATTTTATTTTGGGATCGGATCCATATCCGCAGGCAAAGCTTTTCTCCTTAAGGAATAAAGCCGATACTACGTTAAGGGCCTTTCTTGTTATTAACATGCTACTGTTTGTGTTTATTGACGCGTAACTATTTATACCTTACCTATAGTAAACCGGTTTCGAGGTCTTGCCCCTATAATACTTGCTGCCATGCCGGCTATAGGAGCGGCTAAAGTTGGTTTTTGGCCATGCAGGTTTTCTGCAGCCCGGCCGGGTCCCCCGTTGACCTTCTGTAGGATTGGATGAGACCTTATATGTCGGTTGATACCTAGACGAATTCGATGCCAAGACATGCCGACTACATAATAAGTTGCATTTTCATGCAACCAGGTCGTATTGAGTCGAATGACAAAAGATTTTTAAGTGCTATCTCAATTTACCAAGTCGAGTAGGTATTCAACGAGCTTTAAACCCGCCCCAAATCTGTTTGGTATTTCTTTATGCGTATTACAAGACTTTTGGATTTATACCAACTTTATTCCGTGGTATTCGTAGAGCATTCATACTAACCTATCGAAAATATTATAGTTAAAGCGCCCAGTGAGTATTTACTTACCCAAAGTAACACTGGTATGAAGGGAAAAATAAATTCCACCATTTGAAGTAACTTTATTAAGGGTTGTTTAAGTATTCAGACTGAAGGTTAGAATCTAGCTCTATAGTTCCAGTACTTCAGAGAGTCTTCGTTGTAAAAACCGTTATTCATAGTGGTAACAATGCCGTGAAAAGTCCATATTGGTCATTAATCTTAGTGGCATATATATCCCACTGCCGTATAATTTTAAATACTGGTACGGAAGATTCGAGCAATGGCATAAGCCCAACGACCAGTATACCAAAGAAAAACATCAATAAGATTATTAGAAAACAACAGGTTGATATAATAGCCCTTATAACCCCGATATACGTTACAAGAAAGTCCTTATCACCTCTATGACCGCGGCCATAGCTTTGCTACCATCTTGACTACCATCTTGAGAAGATGGAGGAACTAGAGGAACTAGTTGAGCTCGAGGTCTTCTTGGGCTCAATTCTCTCCTTGCGCAAGTACAATCACAAGTAACTTTATCCTATGATAGGTTAAGAAAGAGCTAAGAGAGTTGAATAATGATTCACGGGCACCTAATTAGACGTATATAGTAATGACTCATGAGTAGCTCTAATACCGGACTGGCTAAGATATTGGGGTGAATCTAACTACTGACACATTCACTTATTCACCTAGTTTACGGACGGTGACATAAACCCTTATAAGATGAAAGTGAATTTACTAATATTAACAATTGGATGCGTGATACACACGATCTGACTTAGTAGCGTACAACGTATGACGCAGGGCTACGACTCGGTCCCAGCCTTCTACCTACACAGGTGTGAACAATCCTAACCAGTGTGATTGAAATTCTTAATTACGAAACACCAAGGCAAAGCAATGATGGTGATCCTTAAAGAAAAATATATATTCCCATTTCCAATGCGCCTTCGCGTCGAACGCAGCAAAATATCGGTCGCTCGACCTCAACCCGCAATAATATGGATGCGTCCGTTTTCGCTGCTAGCTGCACCATATTTACTATCAGCTTGGTCGCAGTTGGGTTGCGTTTCCATTCCAGGCGATTGACGAAATGCGTTGGGTGGGACGATTGGTTTATACTCGCCGCTGTCGTTGTAGAGATTGCATTATTTGCAGTCTCTATCTATTGTAATAATGTCAAGTTCCCAACTTCGCGGCGGCTCTGCTAACTTTTATTAATTATGTAGTATGGAACGAAGGATACTACCGTGTTTCGCCAGACCAGATTGATAGGGTGATTCTCTGCGTAAGTAATTATCCTTATCCGAAAGTCACTCGAGTCGTTATGAGTTATGCTGATGCTTTTATACTAGGTCCTCCTGGTTTTCGAAACTCTCTATTTGTGTTCTATGTGCTTCACAAAACTTAGCGCCATATATTTATATACGAGAATATTCATCCACAAGTCGTTCCGAGTACTCTGCCTGGCCATCGGTTCTATTATCATACTGTTGTATATAGCAGTACTTGTACAAGTTTTCACCCTTTCGGAGGTCGCGGCAGACCTTTGGGGAAACCCAATATTCGGTCACGTTGTGAATAGTAAGAAGGTTGACATTGGCAATGCAGTTTTCAACGGGATCACCAACCTCGTCGTCCTTCTTCTACCCATACCACCTATCTGGAGCCTGAAGATGAGAGTGAGGTCCAAGATCAACTTAACAATACTCTTCGGTCTGGGGCTATGGTAAGTTAGCCGCCCCATACATTAGATGCAATAAGAATTAACATTACCCTTAGCGTCACCGTGGTCTCCTGCATTCGCATAAGTGCTCTAGTACGGGCAGACAAGTATATAACAGCCACAGTCGTTTCCTACGGTAGTCGGGATATGCACCTTCGCGTCCTCGAGCCCGAATTGGCCATCTTCTCACTCTGCCTTCCCGTGCTGCGTCCATTATGGCTCAAGGTGCGAGAGAACTACGGTTACGTTACGAAGCAGTTCCGCAGCGGCCGCCAGTCTAGTAAGCTGGCCCCGAGCGAGGAGGATGACGAAGAACATCTATTATATTTCAGTGGACCTATCGCCAGCACTGTTACCAGCATCAGTGCCAATACGCCGATACGACCAATAGCTGACAAGGGCTTGTATGATATAATTAAGGAAAAGTCCAAGTCTATATTCTCTGGAAACTCAGTGCGACTACCGAAACCTGCGGTTATAAAAGTAGAAAAAACTTGGCAGGTTTCCTACTTGACAACTGTGGATTCTCGTTGATCTTTGCTATTAACGACGCTACTTGTCATGGTTTAGTACTTAATAATATTTATAATTCGTCCATGTTGAATATCGCGCTGTTGAGGATTGGTATCTGGGTATATTTGCTATTGCTACACCGTATGTAATAGTTATTTCCCTAGGGTGCTAACATGATTGATTTTTAAGGTAGCGGTCTCCAGCAATATTTGGAACAAGCGGTGTGATAGGAATGCTTAACTTAATAACAGTAAAGATAAAGATAAATGTACGATATCAACCAATCTGGACGAGATCAGGTGTAGTAGTTCTGAGTGGATGATGCAATATATCAACTCCAGTTCTGGATTTGCCCTAAGATAATAGGTCAGTTACTAGGTTAGCTGGGTGGGAGGTTGAACATGAATAATCCACTCTATGTACGGATCCGTATACTTGTTAGTTTCATCCCTGTTAGACTAGGCCGTGTTTAGTCCGCAAGCTCGGCTATCTCTCGAGTTTCCACTACCAGTGCTTGGCTCACTCATCAGGGCATAATGTCGGGACAATAAGAGAGCACGCGATTTCTAGGCTTGTTGATTGTTACTAACATAACCTTACAGAGGGCTGGTACTATGTATTGCCTTTATCTTCGGGATTTCCCGAAATCTAACTAGACTGTAGATGAACTCCACGATCCGAGTCCCTGGTGAAATACCGATAATGCTAGACACGACATTATTACCCTGTCATTTTCATGTTGAATCACGTGAATCTATGTAGTGAACGATATACGACATTCACATCAGACCAATCCCACAACTAACCGAATCGAGACAACTAAAGGTATTTTGGTTAGTGATATTTGGGTTGATCGTTGATGCCTAATGGTAAAATACGAGTTTTGATATGACACGAGAGCCACATTAAAATTTACGGTCACGTTTAAGATGCAATTTACCGCTTTCTTAAACCCCATTTTATAGCTTAACAATCTCACTAACAAACCTCGGCCCCTGTTTTTATAATATTTAAATCTCACGGGGAAATTCAATGCACCCCTGATGCAAGGGTCATCCCGATATGGTCTCACCTTAGTGTAGATCACTACGTACATAGCATGGAATGAAACCTGATCTGTCTGAAGATCGTGCGTTGGTAGTTAGCGGGTTTATCTAAAAGCGTATCGTCGTCCTGGGTCGCTAATCTAGGAACGGACTTTCTCCTCATTCATCAACGAAACTGGCCAACGAAAACGACTATGCCGGTACATTTTATGACGCTAAGCTTTTTCCCTAGTACCCAGTGTATGCGGGACTCCGAGCAATACTAATGCGCTTCGATGGATCTAGGTATCCCGAGAGCCCACTATGTTAGGCGAGGAAGTCTGGAGAACTTACCATGTAACGGCCTCGGCGTTGAGGCGGCGTTCGCAGAACAAGCTGAGCCTAGAAAAATAATCAGGTGATGACAGCGGTTCTCGAATCCTGATAAACGCCCGGCCGAACGGTCGAGTGACTACGTTTATTTCCTCGTTACGCCGCAAATCTCATATCGCTTCTCTATTGATTACGGTACAATTAGGTACAACAAGGATATCGAACTCTTTCATAATATACCTTGACACGGGATTTCGCGATTCTTATACGATTTGTTCTATGGGCGCGGTGTCTAAGTGAGAGTCAGGCAATGGTCCGGCGGTTCCAAGGCCATCGTACAATCAGAAGGCCACACTAGCTACGATGCGCAGGGTCAAATCCTCGGCAACTACCAACAGTAGTTGGCAAAGTAGAGACGCTACATTGCCTATATGTAACAGGACGATGTCTATCAGTAGCTGGCCTACACCAAGCATATCAGACATCGGAAACAATGAAGGCTTGTTCTTTACCTCGCTTAACCCCCTTGCGCCCATTACGATCGTGATGTTACACGTCTTGATGAGCTCTCATCTTGAGTGGCAACATTGCTGGCCCAAGCTGTCCGAATACCATCTTCTCATACCAGATCTACCGCAGCACTCGCGCTCACGTCATATTAAACCATTTTCATTCGTCTTAGCTGCTGATCTCGTGGCCCAAATGATCCGGGAACATGCTCACGACGGACGAGCGCACCTCGTTGGAATATCGACGGGTGGATTTGTGGCGATGGAAATAATAAAACGACATCCAGATATAGTTCTGAGTGCCTTCGTATCGGGTGCTACTCCAGTTAACGATTTATGGAAGAGCATAAACTCCCAGCCCAAGATTGCCCATATAGGGCTATCGGTTCTACTATATAGCCCGAGAAGCTGGCTGTTCAAAGCGACGGGATGGGCTCCGGAGTATCAGAATGAAGAACTTGTGAAAGAAATTAAGCGAAATAACACATCACGACTGTACGAAGCAGGATCTCGCGACACAGGTAATTGGAGCCGAGATGACATGGTAGAAGTTGGAATGAAGGATAAAAGAATCGCCCTAGTCGCCGGCGGCAAGCAGGATAACGTCGAGGGTATGCGAGAAATGGGGCAGTTATTAGAGTCGTTGGGCTCGAATGATGGTAGGGGATCACGCGCGTTTATAGTAAGAGATGCTATTCACGCGTGGAACTTGCAGGATCCTCTATTATTCGCCAAAGGAATACGAGCGTGGATTGAAAAAGCCCCATTACCACCAGCGTTTGAGCCACTCGAGCCACAAGTCACCATGATAGAAGCAACTTAATAACGAAAGGACCATTGACATTGACGATATGGAATTTAGCCGAGTCGTTAACATCAACTCCAGTATAGACTCAACTTGGCTTGGTTTTGGTTGATATCATCCAACCAAACAACAGCAAATCAAGACGCAGATTGGCGCCTGAAGATAGGCGACAGTGTCGAGAAGACAGTCGATACGTTATGACGCAGGATAGTTGACTTGGGGTAGTTAACCATCATCAAACACTTGCTCAACTCTCGCGATAGCCTACCCACCTACCCACATAGGTACCTACCTGGTAGGTAGGTCGTCAGAGGTTCTGCCTATCAAACCTGGCTAGAGCTTTGCAACAACTTTCATATCATAGATACCCCATTTATAGAAGCCTAGCATATCATCAACACGACACTCGGATAGAAAATAAACCGATAATACTGAGCGTACCGACCGAGTCCTCGGAGAAAGGGAAAAGCCCCCTAATCCCTCCCCCTAGAGTGATTAGAAAAGAAAAGTGATCATAACAAAGCGTTTAACCTGAGCTGCCAAGCGCCTCTTTCATGGACCGCAGCTTATCTGTAACGTGTTGCCCAAACATTATTCGCATCCGAGTTGTAGTGGAAGATTGAGACTCTCCTCTGTATGTGTCAGGGGTCTATTTACTATATAAGAGGCGCGAAGCGCCCTCGTCAGAGGATAGAAGGCCAGGCGTTACTAGTTCAATACAATCTATTACTTGGTCTACCTACCTTAGACATCCACTCTGTGTATGAATGACCTCAACGGGCATTAATCCTGACAGTATGTTCGCCGCTCCACCTCATTTGCGCAAAGACATATCTCTACGATATCGCGGTAGGAATCTCCAAACGTGCGTCCAACTTCCACCAAATGCTCCGAATTTTTGGATACCAATGCGGTTTTACTTTCTTCGGCATGATTATCCGGTAAGTCTAGCAGTTTCCCACGTACATTGCGTAAGTCGGTAGGTTTCATTGTCGCCAAGTCTTCGATCTTCAAGATCATCTCAATAGGCTTCCATAAAGCAGTTTCTACAGGAATAATACCCAGGCTATACATGTCGTACGATTTATGGGAGCGATTGTTTCCCTCGTCAAAATGTGCGTGGGTATGTCGATAGACGTCAGCCCTTGGGTTAAAAGGGGGGTTTCTTAGTCATCTTAGGTATGTAACTTTATGTAACTTGGTTGAGAAAGGTCATGGCCTATAACGTATGGCGAGCTAAGGGTTGGCTCAATAAGTCTCGCGTCGAATGATATAATATTATTGCTTCTGAATCCGTTATGACTCGAGGCTATTATATGGAGGAACGGGATACCTTTTTTAAAAAATTAAAATATCCTCATGTAACTATTCATGACTCACTTCATGTTCACCTTAACTCGGGTACTCTCCCATGGTAGTTTTCTAAGAAGCTTTTATCACTAATTATTCACTCAGTAAGAAGTTAAATTTATTAGCCAAATCACCAATGCTATTCATAGAACTTTTGTTTTTGTAGTTGGAATCATTGAATAGAGATGAACATTCTAACATGCCCCGGTAACTTATTATCAGTAAGAAGTTGTGAATAAAGGGTCTAAGAAAATTACACCAATGTTGTAGCGTAGGTCAGTTATGAGACGAATTAAAGACAAAGGCGCATCATGAGTTGGGGCCTATTATTCCTTAGTCTACCTATTCATGGACCATTACGATGGTAAGCCATGACTCTTGTAGTATCAAAACCACACGCAATTCAATAGCGTGAATCATTCCTTACCTTGATATAAATACAACCCGTAAACACATTTCCTCCCCCCTTCGAATTTTCTCCTATTAAAATAACCATATACCACAATACCTTTTTTTAGTCCATCTTCCATCACAATGGCATCCTTGAGCGGCAACTCCACAGGCAACCAAGCTGGCTCGGCTGGCACAGGTATACTCGCCCAATCTAGCAATTATAGCACGGAAAGTCAACAAGCCAAGTCAACTGGTACCGGCGGCTCATCAATCGTTGAGCACTACGTTGACAGCAGTCAGCGTCCGAATACTATGTACGGAAAGGTATGTAATCTAGTTCAGTATACTTCTAATACAAAGCATTCTAATCTAACTATTTCTATCGTAGGCTCCAGGCAAGCGTTGCCCAAAATGTCAAACAGGGGGTTCCGAAGTATGGGTTTTATGTGGACGCGACTGCCCATATTGCGGAACTTACGTCGAATAGATTCGATTGCAAGGAGGATAGGGGGCCATGTATTCTGCCGATGATTTCTGAACAGGAGGGCAAAAGTGAGCTTGCTAAGGTGATAGGCACCCACACGCCTGATGACCCAAGCCACAATTCTACTTCTCTGTGTTATCTACGTTCGTAGCTAACACGTAGTATCTGAGATATTTTACCCATATCGTCTTTTCTTTTACCTAGTTAATGGTACATATGTGACTTGAAAGTGCTGAAGGATATGGTATATGTGCTGTATGTTATATATTGACTTGGTCTATTGACAGTACGAATGAGGGGGGAGGTCATTTTTATATATTAGGTAGGTTCAATACTCGCCAATCCACCAGCGCACAATTATACACCACCATTCACTACCTAACCTTCTTATTTTACGAACTAGAGCGGTTAAGTATCCGAGCTACCGAAAATAGTGGTTTAAAGGAAGTATGTGCCCCGGGTAGGTACCTACCCATTTCTTGAAACTTTTATATCGCTTTTCGAATGTAGGGAGGGAAAGCTAGGGGAACCGGTTGGTGGTATAGTGGTAAAAAAATAAAAAAATGGTGACATTACTGAAGGGGTCAATTAGTGATCGCTCCTTTAAGTTTGAATGATGATATATCTATGATAGGCAATTGGTATAATCCACATTGCGATTATTGGAGAGAGGCTAAATAGACCGCCATATGGACACCGCGAACCCTATATAGAGGTGAACGAACGACGCATCTTGCTAATAAGTTGAATCCAGGACTCTATATATTGGGTATCTTTCATGGGAAACTTATGTGTTTTATATTCCCCTGACCGGGATGGTAATAATTGTGGTGCAAGGTAATAGGAGGTAGCCAGCCCATTTCGCATTTCGCACCCTGGGTATTTGACCCATAATGTAATATTATCGGGATACATAGTCTAGTGTGCAAGCAGAATACCCTTTGACTACGGGGCCTTAACCAGTCCTTGGGCCTGTCGAATCTTCTCTTGTTCCATTTGCGCCGCTTCGAGAGCAGCAAAGTCTGCATCCTGATTTTGACTTCCCTGAAACAAGCTGTCAGGGAGTGCATTCAGAGCTTCCTCTTCGCGATCCAAGCTCGCGAAGTTGTACCAAAACCCAACACCGCCGAGGGCTGAGATGATAGCAATCGTCGTGTATAGCCATACGAGGTTAGGATCGGCAGCGAGAGGAACAAAGGCCTGGCCAATCGCAGATGCGAATGCTTGCGAGAACCAAAAGATACCAGTAACAAAACCTCGCATATTCTTCGGCGCCTTCGTGAAAGCATACTCGAGACCGGTAATCGACGAGCAGATCTCAGCCAGTGCCAAAATGACATATGCAGGTGTTTGAATCCAGACTGACAGCGGGGGTTTATAATCAGACTCTGGAGCATCGGCTGAACGTCCGAGATGCTCCCTGCAGTCATCGACATACCCGTAGCCGTCTACGGGTCGGCACGGACTTTGCATATAAATATAATGTTGAATAATAGCGGCAACCATCATCGCTAAAGTTCCCAGGGCAAAACCAGTCGTAATTTTCTTGATAGGGGTGAAATGGATACCAGCGCGCCTCATGGCGGGGTAAATCAACTTATCGCAGATAGGGATGAAGATCAGTAGGGCGAAGGGATCGAGGTTGAAAACCACGTCGTTTGGCACTCCTCCAAGATGCATTGTTGCAGCTTGGGAAACGAGATTATTGTTCAATTGGTTATAGGAAAGCCAGTAGATGGGATACCAAACGAAAACGCTGCAAGCTTTGAAACCACGGCGTACCTCATCGACCCAATGGTCATCAAATGTCATCCAAGCCGGGCGCTCGGACTCAGGTATCTTGCTCGGCTTAACCCTCTCGAAGAAACCGGGCTCACGAATGTTCTTGATAGTGGTAATAGGATTCAAAGACCAACGTCCCTTCATCGATAAACCAACCAATGCGATCGATTTGCTAAGAACCGAGCCTGTTGGTGGATGACGGACGTACTTGGCCTTGAAAGCAACCAAGACGAGGGGGCAGAGAATGAATAGGCCCGTAGGCAAAACAAAGGAGAGCCAGAAACCGACATACTTCTCAGCGTACACCATCGCAATAGAGCCAACCAACGATCCGACATTGATGAAGAAGTAGTAGCGCATATAGATAATAGAAATTGTTAAGACAGGATCGACCACGACGCGCTCGCCGCTCTTTAAAGTCTTGACAATAGCTCTCGGTTGCGTGCTTTCATACTGCTCAGCGATCATAGGAGAGATGTTAGCTTTGAAAAGACCAACACCAATGCCGAAGAAGATCAAGCCGACAGAGAAGCAACCGAGCGCTCCTTTCGGGTTAGCGATTACTGGTGGCAGTGCTGAAATGATGAGGATAATATGGCCAAATAGAGCTACTACAACAGCGACGTGGATTGTCTTATATTTGCCCCAATACGTATCGGCCAACCAACCACCTGTAGCACAAGAGTTTAACTTCAGCCGTAAATATATTCGATGCTATAATGTCACTTACCAAGCAAAGGCATCAGATATGACCAGAAAGAGTTAAACAGCACTAGACCAGTCGAAGCTTGCTGGCCCTGGTCGAGAGCACCAGCTTGTAGGTCCGTGCCGCCGGCTCCGGTGGTAGAGCCGGGGGGGAGAGGTTGCGAAATGAAGTTGACAACTATTGAATAATTAGTTAAATCTGGTAAGATAAAATTGTAAATGCAACTATAGTGGACGCACAGACAGCAGTAGTTCCATAGTAAGCAAATCGTTCGCAGAGTTCAACGAAAGCGATGGTGTAGATGATTAAATTAATGGGACCTTTGACACGTCGTAAAGTATCGAGTTCTTCCTTTGTGGGATATTCCTCGCCATTCGGTCCGCGGATACGATCATCTATATCCGAACCCGGGCCCGAACCGGTAGCTTTGAGATCCGACACAGGCGGGACTTTCTCCTCTGCAGTAGGAGGGCTATCGCGGGCGGCCACGACGCTGTCGCTGGTCGCGTCTTTCGCCATGATGAGAATACTACGTAATTGTTACTAGACGATTTTCTCCTCAAACCCGAAACTACCTGATTGAAGACTATTGTAGCGACAAATTGGTGATAGAATATTGCTGCAAATGGCGTCCGCAGTGAGCCAATCTCCAGCAGATATTTCATGAAAGGAAGGATTGGGGGGGGGGGGGATATGAAATATAAAAGTAAAATGATAAAAGGTTCAGCTCTAATACCTTAGGTACGTATGAATCCTACACCCTTTGTCATTTTGCCCCTCAGCGTCCCTATTAGTGTCACGACGTTACCTACCCAGATCAGATCGTTCAGCATCCAGTTGCCTAGTCGAATAGGATATCAGTAATTGCTACATTAGATCCTTACGTAGGCTTTTGTACGGTGATCTTACCCCGATAGGTGACTCGCCTGTCGGAATCATAAGCCGCCAAGCATGAGTAACCCAGTCACACCACTATCCCGCTTTACGCCATAGTACTTGTTATTGGTCTAGGTAGGTAGGTATTTCATATTATCATGCTGACATAGCCAATAACAAAGCGGTCGTTTTATATACTGCGAACCAACGAGGAAGCTAAGCGTTTGCGAAGTAGGGCCTAGGATTGATATCTTGGCGGCTTGGGGGATGCTAGCCTCTTCCAAATACATAGAAAAGACCAGCAGCAACCATCAAAAGCAAAACCTACGATCGTACGTATATGTAGTTCAGTTCGACATATATCAACGCCATACAACGCAGTCCTCATCATGCGAGACATCGGCGTCGGAAAAGATTAAAGATTTAATCACGTCAAGGCCCCCATGCTTGATACAATACGTTTTACCGTCAGCACAATCCAAGGTTAATTTACTACTATGTACGAGACGTACGATAAGATGAGGCAGTCGTATTGTACATATCACCCAACTTCTAGCGGCCTTCTAGAATATCTCGTAGCACTAATCTCACCACAACTGCGGTTTGCGTATCGCATCCAGTATATAAAATGCTTACTGCGACCCTACGTACCTCATACTCGGCTCACGAGATCCTCTTTCGGGCCATCGTATGCAATTACTTACAGGTATCCCAGCAAGGAGTTCAGCACTAGGTAGGTGCCTAAAATGTATTGCTGAGAAGTTCGCATCGAAAGGTATGCTTCGTATAGTGATGCGGGGTATAAGACGGAATACATAATACCTTATACCGCGTCACAAGGCTCGGCTTATTTTAAACACTGCTTTGTCCTTTCGGTGAAGAAATCAGGAAATTCGCCCTAGAAAGATGCGAGCAGGAAATCGGCTATCTAAGACGGGTGCGGAATATTACCTATTGAGGACATCACTAGAGGGCTCGTGTTTCGACCCAGGCCCTATGAAGAATCCAAGGCGCCGGACAGACCCGCACTTCTTACCCCTTGAAAATTTTACTGGAAGTGATCTCGTGCTTTGTTATATACCCGTCATTATTAACTTGGCCCATACCTACATTCGGCAGATGCTATCCTATTCATATATTTATAGGAGTACTTACACCGAAGATAAGCGTTTTGTCAATGGATTTTTCAACGTTACCTATTTCGAAACCCGCCGTAAAAACGGTCAGTGCCATGTCCAACTCGGGGCTAAATCAACCCCGCGATTTCGATGACACGGCACGGCATGGTATTAAGTCTTAGGTTAAGGATAATAATGTAATATATTACCCCGGCAAGACTTAACTCTTACGTAGAAGTTTTAAGCTTTCACTAAGTGACAACAAGTTAGCTTAGAATAAAATAGTCCCGTTATTAAGCGGAGCGCGGGTAAAGCCAAGCTGCCGCGTCGTACCTTCCCGCTACACGCCTAGCGGCCCCTTCCGCTTAAAATCGCCGATAATGCGGATCTCCGTTCGACTTCGACCCGAGAAAACCACTTATACTTAAGATGCGCATCATCGCCACATATTCTTCCAATATAATAGTTATTATTTTTAAGGCGCGCCTGGATAATACCCGCGGGATCATTGAAATAAAGCATATTTATAACGTCAGGGGGCCTGGATTAGGATTAGGTGACGTACTTGGAGTTCAAGATACTTTGGCTCTCTACCAACTACCTAACCTACCCGTCTAGATTCCCAATATATAGTGTATGTTTCGAGCCATAGGCTAACGGGTTCAAATAGTCATTTATTAGCCTAGTTTAATTTAGGTAATGGATCACGAATTCATTATTCATTTCATACCTTTCCGGGGAACCATGTTTGTCGCTAGTAGAGGATTATGGATAACAAATCCCACGTAGCTGATGATATTTTCAAATAAGGCAAAATGAGCAAAATCTTACCCTGGCTGTGTGGCGGTGCCCTCCGAGTGCAGCCAGCCAACCAGAATATGCTGCCAGAGCCAATCATGACCACACGCGTATGCTAGGTAAATGTCAAGGCATATTGCATCGTTAGGCCGGGACGCGATGCCTGAAGACCCTTTGGCTGAGATATAAGGCTTGCGGGTATACCAGTGTGGGTGTTAGCCTTAGATACTGTATTTACAGGGTCGCATATCCGCCGTTTTATTCGACTTTACCAAATACCTACTTGACAACAACTATCAAGCTGACACAAACTCGAGGCAGTGCTTATCACCCACAAAACTCTTGCAGAAGGCGAGCCGCAGTATGGAATGTATCCGGGCGTATAAACTGCCCTCCGCCCCCTCCCCTCCCCCTTGTTTGAAAAAATAAAAAAGGATAATAAAAAGATTTCCCCCAGCAACAACTCTTACTCATCCAACCATGGATAGCCACAGGCTTTGGGATGTGCGACCTATAGGCAGTAAGCGACCAAGTTCCACCTTAGCTCTCGAGGATCGCGAGGTCAAGAAATCACGTACGCAGCCACACGGCGACGATGCAGGTGGCAATATTCCGGACAATGAGTTGCCTCTACCCGTCTACGGGGGCTCGTCTTTCCTAACCAAAGATGTCCGTTGTAGCATCGGGAATCGACTTAATTATGATTCTGAAAGTCAGGTCGATATATCTATGGGTGATGCCTCAACCTACGACGTCCCAACCCCAAGTAGATCTTTCGAGCAATCGCCTGCTTTCACGAGGATTAGTAGCCTTTGGGATTCCCAGGGAAGTCACTTTCAAGGACATGCAAGCACACTAGACGTCCGCTCTGCATCCCAAAGTGAGCAGTCAGTGTCCAGTGTATTCCAAGCCAATGAACCTCTGTCGCAATACCAGGCTGAGTCACTCTCAACTGAATCTGCGAAGGATGCATATAGCGATTATGATACATGTTTCGGTGTTGTAAGTTACGTCTACCCTAGGATCCTGTTGATATTCTAATAAGCCGTAAGGTGCTAGCAGTACCCACATCTTCAGTTTCACGGAATAATACAGCTCACTCTGTGCCTGTGAATCTGAAGCCATTTGGAGGTACTCTAATGATTTACGAGCAGAATTCTAATGCATACGCTGGTATCTTAAGCAACTGTCAGCTCGTAAATGCACTTCGTCAAACCCACCTTAAACTAGATGCCACGCTCTTCATCTCGAAGGACGAGGACCTGGGAGGGATAAACAAAACCAAAATGAAGAAGAATACCACAGCCAGAGCAGCCCGAGAATACAGCATACGCATTGTAGTATATGGCCTGATGAGTAATAAGGAAGCCGCTGGAGACCTTCTTTCAGATGCTGGTTGCTTTCTACAGCAACCCTATGCCACGGAAGTCATACCAGGGGTTCAATATGATAATCCCCATTATCTTGTTCGCCCTGGTTCTGAAATGCCGAAACTTGAGAACCTGAGCCTAGGTATGAGTCAAATTATTATGACTTACCATCAGTCTCAAATCATCCGACATGTGAAGGAGCTTGTGCGCTGTTTCAATATAGTTATCAACCTCCCGAGAAATATTACGCATTTTTCGCTGGAAGTCATCGTGAACATCTTGGCAAAGGTTCTGCTTTTGCGCTACAGCAGACTCATGTTCGGCGATAACATTGAGGGTGTTCCTCGTGTTGGTGAGAATGCTCCGGGCGTGATGAAGCTTGCCCCTATGGTGGTGCAGGCGTTGCTCGTGCGAAAGATCGATCTTGAATTTATTATATGGATTTGGTATTGCTATCTGTTGATTCTACAGACAGGGGCGGTAGGTGCGGGCGTTAAAGTTAGACGGTCTGACGAGCTCGGTACAGGATGTTTATGAAACAGAGTCTACTCACGAGGAGCTTGAATATTTGGGCAAAAGAGTCAAGATATTCTCTCCAATTTCCAAGAGCTGCTTGAAGATATCGGAGGTTCAGGGCCATTGGGTGCGGTGCCGAGTCTACATTGAGGTCGAAAACTTCAGGGGGCTGGATGATGACCCAGGTTGGCTGCCTGGAAACCGCGGAGAACGTCTGGTGAAGAGCCGAGTGGCGACAGGACCATGGGTCTTCTAAATCTCGATGATGCCGTTCGAAATGCCTAATATTGTAGCATATCCCTAGGTAGATAAACCAAGCTATCAGAGGGTCATCACATCAAGATATAGTAGCGAGAAAGGCTCACCCCAAAGCGAATCACCGTGAGTTCCTGTCCCATTCAGGCTGGAAACCAAACGCTTCTTCTCCGATATAAATGTGCTATAGCATGACATAAAGTCTTCATCCTTTGACGAGAACTTAAGACCCATCCCAACTACGAAGTGTAAAAAGAAGGGCGTAATTCCAGCAAGGTTACATATCGCGCCGAAGACTTCGAGAGTGATATCTATCCTGCTCCATGAGTTATAACGATTGAGGATCCTGGAGAGGTTGCCGTCAACCATAAAGTAACCAGGTTCAACTAGATGACGAAGTGGCTCTTACAATAACGTCGGGACTCCGTTCCCCAGAGTAGCGAATAATTCTTCTGGAGTTGATACCCAATGGATCTCATCTTTATGTGCTGTAGCCACACCGACCCTGCTCTGGGTTGTATCGTCGACGAAAAGATCCGGGAGTTTGGATTCGAAATCCTTCCACAGATACCCGAGGCCGAGTTGGTAGGCCGTTCGGCTCAAGCGGTCTAGGCCAGCTGTATCGTGAGGAACTTTCCTTGGGTCAGACATTCCGGTAGTAGGAAGCTGTATTAAAAATATTGTGCTACATATTCGAGAAGCTTCACATTATTTTACCACTTCGCCGGGTTATGGCTGAATGACATCCATAGTTCGACGTGGTGCCAGCCCGATCGATCTGGCTGATTTGCACAGCCACTCCCGTAGCCTACCGCATCTTCGTACCCTCTCGTGTTATTAGGATGCGAAGTACTTTCAAACGGCTGCGGTTTTCACCTAGGTACCTAGGTAGTTATCTTAAGTATCCCTTTTTTTTACGATAACTAAATTTCGCTTCTCTAGTTTTCAGATTTAATATATCTCTATCTGTTCGGAGACATCTTATCGTTTTGTCTATTTTCTTAATTTATAAACGGTGTGCCTAATGTACCTGGGCATTCATGCAACGCCTGGAGGGCGCGAAGATACGATAGCCAGCGCGCACTTTGTGGCCAAAGCTTATGGTATACTTAGGCGTCGCTAATAATGGTTCTCATTCAAAATAACACGAGCGTTCAACAAATATCCCTTGATTATTCTAAACACTAATATATACTTATAAACATATATGTGAAATATTCAAAGACGACTCTTCTCAGAACGCCACATCTCATTCAGTAGACGGCTAGCATTGACTCTATCGGGTTGTGCCTCATCAAGAGATGTAACCCCAATAAGTCTCATTCCCGTGGCTAACTCCTCCGAGAGAACTACACAGGAAACCATGTCAGTAAACCACATCTTGCGATTTGGAGAATGGGGAATTATGAGAAAATAAACATACTGTCAATACATCTTTCTACCCCTTTCGAACCATAAGCCGCTAGCGCGTAAAAAAAGGGGCGGCCGACGCCTACGGCCGTCGCGCCTAAGCATATGGCCTTGAGGACATCAGCACCGTCGCGTAGGCCGCCATCGACGAATATGTCAAGTTTCCCTAATACTTCCGGGCAATACGTCCGAATTTCGAGCAGTGTAGTCAACGCGTCAGGTGCCGTGTGTGCCTGTCTACCACCATGATTGCTGAGCAAGATGCCCTCACACCCGTTCTCCAGCGCCAACTTCGCGTCCTCGGCACACTGCACGCCCTTAAGCACAAGGGGCCCACCCCATTCTTTCTTGATCCATGCGAGGTCTGTCCACGACAGTGACGGCTGGAAATGCCCCCTCGCCGGGTAGAACCCAGTGTTCCTTCCGACTCCAGCCTGTTCCGCAGCATCTTCAAGCCCGGCCTCAAGCGCCTCTGCTGCCTGCACTCGCCGGTCTGACGTGCGCTTTCCCAGGGTCGCCGTGTCGACAGTGACCCAGATGCTCTTAAAACCGGCGGCCTTAGCTCGCCTGATGCGAGCTAACGTGACAGCGTGGTCCGAGTGCACATAGAGCTGGAAATGGAGCTGCGAGGGAGGAAAATCAACTTTCTGGTTCGTCCTCTCAGCTTGACTTGACAGCTTCTGCTGCTCATCGTTTAGCGCTGCGACAATTTCCTCCATAGGCAGCGAAGACTCGCTGCTGATCATGCCGTGGGCCCCCCGGCGCGCTAGACCACGTACGAACTCGGCTTCGGCGTTTGGGTGGCCTCGACCGAGCAAGCCCATCGCCGATACGTAGAAGGGAAAGGGCGTGACGTGACCGAAGATGGCCGATCGTGCGGACACGTGCCGGACATCGCGGAGTATCCGGGGGCGGAAACTGACACGTGACCAGGAAGACAAGTTGCCTTGCAATGAAAGGCCGGAGTTGGCAGAACTCGAGATGTATGAAAACGAATTTCTAGGGAGCACTGCCTTTGCCGCTGCTTCGAAGTCCAATGCTGTCACGCAGTGTGCAATATGCGGCGGTCCGTCGGCAATAGGTGACGACGATGAACCTGGTGGCGGGGATGGAGATGGGGACGGGGGTAAGACCGAAGTTGTTACTGGCTTGCTTGATGATGATGTCCTCGCGAGTGATGCTAGAGCTGCAGGGTCTATCTCACCCAGGTAGCTCCCTTTTGGCAGGTATTCCAATACGTCCGGGGAATGAATTGCTCGGAACTCAACTGTAGCATCCTACGCATTTTGTTATTCGCAATTTCCTATAGAACCTGATGTCCTACGACCCTAGGAGTGCTGGTATAGTGAACCTAAATATATGATTATACATACCGTTCCCCCATTCTTCACCAAGATAGCCGGCCCTCCCGGGTGATCTCTCAAATACGGTGTCACATCGTAAACCTTACCGCTTACCACGATCCAACAAGAAGATGGTGTATTGTGTTTTGCTAATTCGGCGGCGTCTAACAACATGGCTTGCGTAAAATTTCGTGTGTTTTCTCAAGGCAGCTTAAGGGTTCCTATTGTTTAATATGCCTCTTTAGCTAAGGTGATATTTACACCGCAGATACCCCTTCTCGGCTCTGATATATTCCCAACCCCGCAATACCACCCCTGTTCTTATACTATTTTTGGTAGAAGCTGGCTTGACAACATGAGTTTAACTGAAGTTTGATTGGTCCGCCGCCAGCGGACATGAGTACCTAGATAAAGATATGTAGGCTGGATTTTCATCAAGATTGTTAGACGATTGCGAAAAAAAAAGCCTTTAAGACTTATGATCATCACCGTGGGAAATAGAAGTAACTACACGTCAAGCAGAACAGATAACTACACTACCTAACCACCGAAGAGAAAAGAGCTTATCGAACCCTCTCCTCTACAGCTAGTGTGATTAATACCTATCACTTCAACAAATGTGGAGTTCGCGTGGTGTATTGGTCTCCAAGAACTCACCAATAAGCGGTTGAACAACGCATTTGTTGACTATAGCATTGATATATTAGGTGGTTTAGACTCTTTATCTAAGGAATTCCTTTGTTTCCTATATTCTTATGCGCGTAACAGAATTTTACGTATCAAAGGAACATGCTTGCTACAGGAAGCAAATAAAGGAAGACACCTGTTGCGTAATCGAGGGTTATAAGACTTATATTAGTAAATTTATGGCAATAGGTGTGTGTTGTGGCTATTAAAGAGATGATCAGTAGGTCACGCCTTTTAATGGGACCATTATACATTACAGATGTGAACGTACACACTGAGTGATAGAAGGGCTACTTAAAGAAGATGTTTTGATGATTAGCTAAAAGGCCTCCGATCAGAGAACTACCAATAATCAGACCCAACTTCTACCAATTGGAGAAAATGAATGAAGTGGGAAGTCTGGGAAAGAAGGTGGAAAGATGGTAAGCTAGTCTATCGTGGTAAGTGTCTTATATGTACTTAGATACCTCCATGATACTCGTCTCCTAAATGGGACTGGATACCTGTGTACCGAGTTGAATGTGAAAGTTAGATTCTTATAAGTACCTGAGAGAACGAAGTAAAGATAACTTTGGGTTAAGTCCTTTACTGAGCACCTGGTAAGCTTCAAACTCAAAAGGCATAGACCATTTGTATCTGTATTATGTATGGAACAGGAAGTCAAGTGTCTATAAGCAATGCTCGGCCATTCACCACCAAATGACTCATACTCCTACCATAAGCCAATTAACATTCATACCAAGGCTTCTCATAACTTCGTACGGCACACCAAAAATGCATGCAGAAAAGGCCTACTAATAGGCTGCTGAAATCATATCCGACCGAAGACAAATGGTGCTTAGTGAGCCATTACCTCATGAGGCTTAGATGAATCACCAGCTGGTGTTTCGTCGACCTCCATGGCATCATCACCACCTTCGGTAGCTTCGCCCTCAACTTCTTCCTCGAGGTCATCTTCACTTTCGTTCTCGAGATCAACACTGCCCTCCTCGGAAATCTCGTCCTCCTCAGCAGGCTCTCCATTCTCCTCGACGCCTTCCATTTCAGCGTCTCCATCGGCAGCTGCAGCAGAAGCACTGGCCCCACCCACGTTCTCGGCGGCTGCTTCGGCGCCCTCTTCCTCAACATCCTCATCAAGCTCATCAGCTCCATATTCTTCGTCGTCGGGCTGGAGATCTGCCTCAGGCTGCTCGGGGGGGAACTCGGGGGGAGCAGATGCCTCAGAGTCCCTGCCATAAGAATTAGCATAAATCTAGTACTTAAAGTTGTTACACATTGAAGAAATTTTTTTATAAACATACCATTTGATAGCAAAACGCGTGACTCTTGGCTTGTCTGCTAGTACATTTCGGCGGATCTTCTCGACGATGGGTTTGGCAGGGGGGTCGGCATTCAGCTCATCAGACTCATACTCGTTGTTCACATAGTATCCAACACGAACAAATTCGCGGCCATCGTAGGAGCAAGTTAGGAGGACCACAGTAACTCCGAGAATGTCTGCATCGGGGATGCGGCTAGTCTTAGGAGCATCGGCCTCGAAAATGAACTTGTTGACACCGACAGGGATGGGACCAACAAGGAGGGAGTCGAGTTCTTGATCGTACTGGTCGCTGCGGGTCGAAATTAGAGGGTAATTATCAAAGAGCATGGTATGGTAACTCACGAAGTTGCAGAGCCAACGTAAGTCAGCTTCCACTCCAAATCTGGGCTGGTTAGCTAAATTCGATATTCAATTGACAGACTGAAGCATATTCATAGAGATATATACCCTTTTCAAGCTGTTCGAGACATTCAAAGGTAATTTCGAACACGTAGTTGTCCGTGAATTTGGCGGGGTTGTTCAAAATATTGACACCGAGTAAAGATACGACAGACATCTTGGGCGATTCTAGCGGTGTAATCTTGCGAGGTGCGTAACTAGGCTGAATAACAAAGAATGATGGATGATTAAGAATATAAAAAAGGCAGATTGTCGAAGAGAAGCAGTTGGGAGAGAAGGAAAGAAGTAGAGAAGTTGTGATAGGAGGTTGGCGGTGGGTGCTTCCTTAGTGTTTATTTTGCGACCTGGATACTGCCAGTTGCCAGCTAACCTAAGGGTCAAGCAGGGGTCCTTGTTTTAAAAAGGGCAACGCGCTTTTTTTTTTTCTTCGCAGAAAGCGCGTTCAGTGCTTGCATCAGGTATCAATAGGTACTTATATACATGACCTAAGTATAAGTACCTACATAAGGCAAGTTATATAAGTTAGGTACAACCACACTGAATGCCCGTGCGCTAAACTTAATTTGATGACAATGTACTTAGGTACATGCACACAACCTCTGACCCAGCTGTTTTTAAGGAAAACGAGATTGCTAACAATGACATATACCTAGGTATTAACTTACTAACAAATGCGTGTATATGGTATTAAAATCATAATAAGCATATATATTTAGATGTATATGTAAATTCATATTATGTATTAGGTAATAACAATCTTATACTAACAGGTGTATGCTCATTCTTTGTACACGTGGGGTATGATAGTATTTTTTAGGTACCTGTTACGTGGATACTCAAGTACCTAAGTCTAAGAAATACGTACTGGGCACTGGACCAATTTGAGCCGCGCTAATCCATTTGTGGTAAGGCTAGGATAAGAGAGATCTTTGCTTCCCTCGATAGCGCTATTGTTTTGTCAAGTGCAAGCTCTAAATCGTTGAGACCTACAACTTTTTTTTCTTCAATTGTCTACCATCTTCCCATCTGCGCAACGAACCTACCACTCTTTATTGATGCAGGTTCACAATTGTTGAAGACAGATATAGGCTAAAGAGCCATATTCAATACGTCTTCCTGCAATTGCCTTCCTTTTAATATATTAAACCTCTAAGCACTGTTAGCCGATTTGCCTCTGAACAGCTTGAGGATATACAGTCAAGTGTTGGTTTCGAGGGTACTAACGGCGCTGTAGCTACTCGTACTGGCCTTAGGAACTGTCACAGGAACTGTCGGTTTTTGCGCCACGAGAAAGCCTAAGAACGTCTCAATAATTCCTATAGACAGGCTGTATGATAAAATCGCAAAGTAGGGTCATTTTTCGTCAGCGTCGCGACCGAACTCACATACCCGACACCTCGATCCCTTTTACATTACCGACTGCCCTAACATCAGTACGGGACACTACTAAAATTGCTCCTCTTGTGCATAATGGCTTCGGAAGATTCTGGAGACGCGTCCGCACAACAGGGTGGTACTCCTACGTGGAGTGCGGAAGGTTGGAATGGTGCGACGGACAATATGAGCTCATATACTGAGAATAGCAATCAACATGCGAATGTTAATATTGATCACGCTCCATCTGCTGATGCATCTGATGATGAGGATGGTGGAGAATATGACCCAGAGTCTGTTACCATCACTACAGTACCCGATCCTATCGTGGAACGCCCTACGTCCGATTCCCCTCGTCCATCTAAGAAGCCTAAAACAGCAGGCGGCTTTGTTGTCGACGACTCTTCTGATGAAGAGGATGATGTTCCAGTCCCAACCTCAGCTCCAGCTCCCGCTCCCGCTCCAGCCCCAGTTCCGTCATATTCACCAAGCACTATAAAGCCCCTTCCCGCAGACGCTTCTGCTCAGCCTTTCAATCATCCACCCCCTCAGCAGATTACTACGCCCCAGGACATGATTACTGGTACCCTTGCTCAAGCGAGCGATGATCCAGTTTCTACAGTGGCCACGTCCAATGTAGCAACTGCTAATGCAACGCGCTTGAGGCTTCCTACTGATATTGTTGGCATACTTGAGGATCGTATCAAAGAGGATCCTCGGGGCGATCTCGAGGCCTGGTTAGCCCTGATCGAAGAGCAGAAGCGACGTCACAAAATTGAAGATACACGAGCCGTTTATGAGCGCTTTCTGAAGGTGTTCCCCCACGCTGTACGTATCCAGAATAACACGCCATTGCTTGCGATGCTAATATACAAGATAGGCGGAGATTTGGGTTCAATACATTGACATGGAGCTAAGTCTCGATAACTCCACGGCAGCCGAGCAGATATTCTTGCGCACACTAGAGGGAATACCCAACGTTCAATTATGGACGACTTATCTTAACTACATACGTCGCAGAAATGACTTAAATGACCCCACGGGTCGTGCCCGTCAGACCATAAGCCAGTCTTACGAGTTTGTTTTAGGTGCTATTGGACAGGATCGAGATGCAGGTGGTATATGGCAGGACTATATACAGTTTATTAAGAGTGGCCCTGGCCAGGTCGGTGGTGCTGGTTGGCAAGACCAACAAAAGATGGATGTTCTTCGTAAAGCTTACCAGCGCGCCGTCGCCATTCCTATGGCGAATGTGAACTCACTGTGGAAAGAGTACGACCATTTCGAAATGGGATTGAACAAGATGACGGTAAGTTCCGGCTCGATCTAAGTTGGAGACATTGCTAATATCATCAAGGGACGAAAGTTCATCCAGGAACGATCACCTTCGTATATGAGCGCGAGAAGTGCTAACACGCATTTGGAGAACATTACCCGTGGGCTTCAAAGGACAACTCTGCCCCGTCTTCCCCCAGCACCTGGTTTTGAAGGCGAACAGGAGTATCTTGAGCAGGTTCGACTCTGGAAAACATGGATCGCCTGGGAGAAAGACGATCCGCTTTCCCTACGTTCTGATGAGCCGGATATCTATCGGCAACGGGTTCTCTCTGTCTACAAGCAAGCATTAATGGCTTTGCGTTTCTGGCCAGAATTATGGGTTGACGCAGCTGACTGGTGTTTTGACAACGGCATTACTGGCAAGGGTGAACAAGACACAGGACTACAGTTTCTCATCGACGGCCTCGAAGCAAACCCCGAAAGCTCTTTAATAGCCCTCAAGCATGCCGACCGTATCGAATCTACTCAAGCCACGCCTGAGGATGACGCAGGGAAAGCTGCTCTTGTGCTAGCTGTTAGGCAACCCTGCGATCGAGTTCTTGACACTCTTTACGGCATGATTAAGAATCTGAAGGATCAAGAAGCAGCAGCTGTGGCCAAAATCGAGGAAGAGGCCTCTATCAATGCTGCTACCTCGGCAAGCGCGGATGTTGACGAGGATGAAGATGAAGGGGAGATTACGGAGAAGCCATCTTCGGAAGCAATAAAGAACTCCAAGATAAAAGCAGTACAGGACGGATTTGCCGCCCAGATCCAAATATTGTCACAACATATATCTTACCTTTGGATTGCCCTTGCACGGATTCACAGAAGGATACAGGGGCAAGGATACATCAAGAGTGACCCTGCTGTGGGAATGCGTGGTTTGTTCATTCAAGCCCGACAGAGGGGCCGGCTAACAAGTGATGTCTACGTTGAAATGTCAAATCTGGAATGGGATGTTTACCAAGAAGACGTGGCTACAAAAATCTATGAGCGTGGTGCAAGGCTCTTTCCAGAACAAGAGGATTACTTGGTTGAATACCTAAAGCATCTTCACAAGAAGCGTGATTTCACTAGTAGGTCCGGCTCAATTATTATATATGCAAGTTTGACTAACGCAATGCAGATGCACGAGTCGTATTCTCCCAAACTGTCAAACGGTTCAAGGCCAAGCCTGAGCTGATCCCAAAGCTGAGGCCGATATTTGCCTATTTCCATCACTATACATCTCGATTCGGCGAGCTGGCACAGGTCAAAGAGCTTGAGAAGCAGATGGCAGAGCTCTTCCCGGAGGATCCTAAACTTTCATATTTTGCAGCAAGATTCGACCTCGGCAAATTTAACCCCATCACTGCCCGAGTCATTATTTCATCCGCTAAACAGATGCGTCTCAAGACAGTTATGCAGTCTGTAGAAGGCCCACCGGTTTCTGACAGAGGTACCCCCCGCCCTACCCTCCAGACGGAGCGTAGCCCACAGCCACAGTTTTTTCCCTCTGTTAATTCACCCAAACGTCCATTCCAAGGCGATGACCAGGATGAATACCCTCCCCGGAAGTTAGCCCGCGGGGTCTCACCTCTCAAAGGCGCAGCTGGTCGACGACTTGATCAGCAACGACGGGCTCAGCAGGGCCAGGGAGTTTCCTCGCATACTAGTGGACCTACTCCTATTCCTCGTGATATCGCTTTCCTTCTCACCGTAATCCCTCCTGCTGAAGCGTTTCGCAGCCACCATTTCAACGCAGAAGGCTTGGTGCGCTTGATCCAGAATACTGCAGTACCAAGCTATGTTGAGTGGAAAGCTCGGGGAGAAGGCGCCTCGCGTAATATCTTGGCTCCATCTCACGCACACACTCGACAAGCCTCCTCCGAATACCAGAACTACCCGTATTCCACGCGAGATTCACCGGGGCCGTCTGGTCGTCCAGCTAGCCCATATAGCGGAATAAACCGTGGGATAGCCCAAGCATCAGCACCCTATCGCAATTCCCCCTTACGACCTGAATCGAGCGGGTCGTACGAACCGCCCCAACCCGTCTATCAAGCAGGTGTAAGCCAATTCAACCCATTAGCACAGAACATTGGCCCTGGAAATGCTGCGTTTGCTGCTTGGCAAGGAAACTATGCACCGCCTGGGCAATATAACGCCGGTCCATCTCAACAGCACCCCCAGCAATATGGCGGGTATTATTAATGCTAAATCCATATGGTGGTGACCCAAATGGATTTGTTCATCAACGTAAACGAGGGGTGCTATTCGCGGCGTTTTACGGAGGGGAATCTACACAATGTCTTGTGATTAACTGCATCTTCTGGAGTTTCTCTTGTCCGGGCTAGGTTAGCACCCCTGAAGGTCGGGCCGTTAAATAGATTCGTGCCAAGAGGTCAACCATTTGTTGTGTTTTAAGAATTAGTTTCTAGGGCTAAACCTGTTTAATAAGATAGGATCTATAGCCCAACAATAAACCAATAAATTTTACCTATAGTATTTTATTTTACGCAGTTTGGTACGTCTACTGGGTAGATTATTGTCAGATGACAAGGATTACGATAGGTATATGACGTGATAAGGGGTCTAAGATCTAGCTTGAAGCTATCTACCAGCTAGTCATTCGCTATGTTGTATATAAGGGGACCTTGGTTCCCTCTTAGATTTAGGAAAGGGCAGGCGTTAGTAGCATTCAAAAATATATACCATATGAGTTATACACCAGCTAGTCACCTGTCACTCCGCAGTGGTGACGTACCAAGGGCAGCCTCTGACAATTATAGCATAAACATAATGCCGACGCTGAATTTCGTAGATTGGGGCTGTGGCTCCTAATCCTATTTACCCCTTACAGCAAGTTGCAACTGTTTCTTACCTTGTAGAAACCCTTCTGTGATGTTACATTCTTCGATGCCACAGCTTCATAATCTTCTGTAGTAGAAACACATTGCTTTATGTATGATCTAGTCGGAAATATTTGCAGTGATACTACATCTTATATTTACCCCCATTATTTATACAAGGTAGACTCACTAGAAAACATATAATCTTGCCATACATACCCTCTTAATCTCCAGCCGACATTGGATTAGGACTACATTTTCGTACCTACCTCTTAAATATTTACCTGTATAAATATTTTTCTCAATTACACTTACTCTATATCTCCAGCTCTTCCAACTACTAATCCATGACTATTTAAGACTTTAAGTTCCTTTTATCTCCATTTGTGTATATCTGCTCACATAAAGTTAACAGGGACCTAATGTTGTTCAACTTTGTTCTTTCATTTTATGTGCTGCCCTGGTAAATAGCATCTGAAGTTCCTTCGTATGGAATCGTAAATGCTATATACAGGATCGACAATAATACCGCCCAATATGTACATACTTACTACTAGAAATATTACATTTTACCATCTATATTGCAATTCCCGCCCAGCTACAATGATCAATGTGTCAAGTAATGAACATTTACCTCGTACGTAGGTGATTTTAAGTGACTTTGCAACATGGTCACATTAATCACTAGGTAATCACAGCAAATGTATTTGGGCTTAGGTATTGCATTCTGTGAAACCCGTAAAGAGATTTATTCATGTACGTTCGTACAATGCGCAAGGGACATCCATAGGTACCTAGGTATTCTCTATGCCAGCTTCCCTTGAAAAAAAAAAACCTTTACCGTGATTTATCTAGGCAGTTGCATAGAAATGTCTTCATGTGAGTGCTTACCTGCCCCGTAAGTCGGTTTCGCCCAAGGATGTAGGTGTATGTTTGTAAAGTACATGCCAGGTACCTAGGTAGGCATGACTCAATTGTTCAAGCCGACCCAACACCTGGTATATACCAAGGCAGAGGAACAGGTAGGTACCTCGGTATGTGCACATAACATGTAGGTATACAATAGGTACATGCATGTAGCTACCGGTTGTTCTTTCCTTATAATTGGCATATGTGCCTTCCTTCCTAAGAGGTATCCAAGGCAACCTCACCGACGGTAACTTGTATACCGCCTTCTCATACCGCAAACAAACTTTACATTAAGAATCTCTCTTCCCAGGTTTCAAGACTTTCAAACTTCTTCCAATCTTCACATTCACATCGAATCTTCCCGATCATTAACCTCTTGCAAAGATCCGAACTACCTGCTTTTATCGTTCGCCAATAACTACGTCAAAGCCCAAAGTATGTTGATATTTCCTACTGTGATATTCTCAGACCTCAGCAAAATTTACAACGCTCCCCCCATTCATATCCTTAAACCTGATCCTTAACCCTTACCTTCGGTCGCGTCGCGTTTCGTCTCGTCTGCATAGCCAAGCTAATCACCAATTGCAGACAGGCTTGTTTACAACTCCTCTAGGTTACGTAGCCATCTTCAAACCATACGAACTTGCAGGTGCAATAGGTAAGTCTCTCTTTCTATTTATCAAGTGCCTCCTCTTCCTCATACCCTTTCCTCGTTTCTACCTCTTAGCCCAAACAACACGCATCAAATACCTCCTCATACGATATACATAGTAGGTGAGTCACATTGCTCTACAGCGTATGGTTTTACGGCTGCTGCCAACTGTCCTTTAATGCAAACAACAAGTCGAACACCCGCGCGAATACCCTCATCACAAACATAACGTCCCCACATACCCTAGTCATCCTCTTTCCTGCACAATTATTTATTCCTACTATCCCCTTGTCTATTCATATTTCCAATCCTACAATACCATCAACCCCCAAATCATTCAATCCTTGTTCGACTCTATATTCCTAATGCCTTTCTTCGATAAATCGAACTAACAAACTTTCAAGTTGCAGGTATATCTTACCTTCGCCTTTCCTTCTCATCAGCCACCTTCGAACATCAGCCAAACACCCTCCTCTGCCTACAAAGTCATTGAAGCAATCACTGACATCAAACAGTTTACTCAAGTAAGAAACTACAACAGGTAATCACATTCCATCCTTCCCTGTGTATCCCACACTACAGCCCTCCTACCTACCCAGCACACTAGACATCATCAGCTCTTCTACACATTCGCTCATAACACTTCTCACACTTCATCAATCTGAAGATATTTTGATATAATCGGACATCTCTCCCAAAGCCCCCAAAGCATCGTGATCATATGGGCACGCCTTCCAATCCTACACTACACATTATTTTCGTCTTTTTCCCTAATGTGTTCTTGGATCAGTGAACAAACTGTCCCATCCTATCAATATTCTACATCCCTTGTGCTTTTTACCTTCCGATCGTTAGAACTCTACGAGGTTACATACCACTAACATCTTTAGTTTTCCAGCAAGAGTCAGCAGCAAGGCACACTCTATTGCCATTAAGTCCAGTAAGTTCCTTTCCTTAATTATATCCTGACTCTTACCACAGAGGCAAACCTTTCGATCATCGTCAACTTGAACTTCTTTTCGCGTTATTGAACATTATTCGATCAACCCACCTACCCCTTTACCACTTGTTCCCTTCCCCAATTTCACCCCCAATATCACTGATTATAAGATCAATATTTCAAAGTCGATGACTTGACTTCTAATCCCTTGGAAGATCACGACCCATAAACAGTAGCTAATAGCTTATAGGATTGTGATACTCACTTGAGCCTCAGACTATCTACGCAAGACTTTAATTTCAGTATGTATTATCCTTCTGATTTTTATGCTTTTATGGCCAGCACAATACCCCACAGCACAGTTTCCATTCAATCCCATATTCCAAGCGTGGGATACCATAACTGGCTCCCCTCATATCAAGTCCTGTGGGCTCTTCAATCGCTTTACCTTCCTATCATCTATTTTTCGTGAAACCTCAAAATTTCTTTCCAGCAATAATTTTCCTTTGCGCTCTCTATTTCGACAACTCTGGAATTGCCAGGTTCTATACTTTTTTATCTTACCTTGTCTAATGGAAATTGGGAAATGATATGGTTTGAAAGTTTTTTCTCCCATGACTTATGCGTTCGATAAATTAAATCATCCAGCCCCAGGTTTTTCATTCAATAAAATACTAACTACATTTATAGGCGCCCAAACAGCCAATATGTCTGGCCGACCCTCGGGATCCGGTCGAAGCTCGGCCACTCCGGCTGGTTCTCGGCCTGGATCACGTGCTGGATCCCAGGTTGGATCTCCCGCTCGAGGTTCTAGCAAGCAATCTGGATTCCCTCAAGGCCCCGGATACGATCCTGCTCGCGATCGACCCGAGCTTACACCCGCCGAACGTCTTGGCAAGCGTTTTGACTTGCCAGCTGACGCATACAAGAAGGTACGTTTCTTTAATGAGCTTTGGGGTCATGTGTTCCCTGCAAGGTGCTTTGATTTAATTCTGATATCGCTCTAGGATGGTGCAAAGGAAACACGCTTTGCGGCCCGCCCCGGTTTCAACACCGATGGTAAAGCTATCAAGGTTCAGTTGAACCTATTCCCTGTCACCAGCTGGGTAGACAAGGAGGTCTACCAGTACGATGTAAGTATATTGCGCTTTCCCGCTCAGGTACTCTCTAATTGCGTGATAGATCATCGTATCCCCCAACCCCAAAGACTCCAATGCTCTGGTCAAGAAGGTTTGGAACACGAAGACCGTGACAGAGGAACTAGCAAAGAAGGGTGGCATGTGGCTTTATGATGGCAGCAAGCTGGCCTGGTAAGTATTTTGCATGTTTAGTTACCAATAATCTTAGCTAACCTGCACTAGGTCCTCGGAGAAGATTGAACGTAATGAAGCCCGCTTCACGGTTGATCTTGACTCCCTGAAGGAAAGGGCCGAGCATGAGGACATCGCGAAAAAGGTCGCAAAGACGAGTGTCTATAGCCTCGCTATTCGACAGACAACGACCATCCGCTTGTCATACCTTAAGGCCTATCTTCAAGGCAAGATCTCCTGGGACACACACGTCCTTGAATGCATGAGTAAGCACTATCTACGCGGCAATACGTATCAATGATACAAGCTAATATATTGGTAGATTTCTTCGACCACTGTCTACGCCAGTTCCCCTCAGAGCAGTGGGTCACTATCAAGCGTAATTTCTATGATCCTATGTTCCCTGTCGGAGCTCTTTCAGGCGACCTGGTAGTAAACCAAGGCATCTATTGTGCACCTCGCCTCAGCGAGGTAAGGGTCATTCCTTTAACACATTTGTCTTATATCCCGCTGACAGAAATGCGATTTAGTCAATCAACAGAAATGGAACTGGTCTTGCGATCAACGTTGATAGATGCCAAACCGCGTTTTGGCCTGTTGACAGCATTGACCAACTAGCCCTACGTCTGTTGAATGCGCATAAGGAGGAGTGGTCCACATGTAAGTTGTCATCTGGTCAAACATGCAAAACTATATTGACGTGCCTATTATAGGGGACGAACACAAAATGGCATTCAATTTGAGACCCAAAGAAGAATTTGACAAGAAGACTGGTAAAACCAAGATTGTTCCCTCCGAAGCCTTTACCTTCCTTCGACGATTGTCGAAGCTGAAGTTCCACGTGAACCATCGAGGAAAGCTTGGTAGACCTAAGGTCTACACTATCAAGAGCCTCACATTCAATGAGAAATTCGGTACCGATGGTGCGCATTCGCACACGATGACCTTTGAAAAGACCCTAGAGAATGGAGCAAAGAAGACAGTGTCTGTCTTCGATCACTACAATGATCGTTGGGGTATCCGCCTACGGTGGCCCAAGCTCCCACTCATAGAGTCTATGAATGGAAATCTATTCCCTCTTGAACTTTGTAATAGCGTCAAGGACCAGCGCTATACGTTCAAGCTGAACGCCCAACAGGTCTGTTTCAGGGATCCAAAACTCTTAATATATATTGTTTGGGAACTGACAAATTTCTTAGACCACGGACATGATCAAGGCGGCGGCTACCAGACCACCAAAGCGTCGATCTGATATCATTGAAGGCATTACTCACCTGAAGTGGTCTGAAGATCCTTACCTGAAGGCCTTCGGTATTCAGGTAAGCTCTTCGATGGTAGTCTCGGATGCACGACTTCTTCCAAATCCTGAGGTTGCCTTTGCCAACCAGAAAATCAATCCAGGTGTGAGCGGCCGGTGGGATCTTCGCGGAAAGAAGTTCTTGGAGCCCAATCGCGTACATCTACACTCCTGGAGCATTGTCTGCTGTGGAGAACACACCATCAGGCGAGAGGAGTTAGAGAATTTTGCCAAAGAATTCTCTGTGACCTACCGAAGCCATGGAGGCGTTGTCACCAAGCCTGCGGTTTGTCTGACTATCGGATTCGGGGATGGGAACTATTCCAAGATCTGCGAACAGGCATACAATTTGACGCAGAAGGCTAATCCTGAAATCGATCCTCAAATGATCTTCTTCATCTTACCAACCAAGAACCAGCTTGTCTACGAGCGTGTTAAGAAGAGTATGGATTGTCGATACAACTTAGTCTCTCAGTGCGTTCAAGCAGCCCACGCGAGGAGGGCCCAAGCACAGTACTTGAGCAATGTTGCCATGAAGGTGAATAGCAAACTTGGGGGTGTCACATGCAAAATTCCGAACGTGACCAAACCCAACCAGCCACCATTCTGGACTCGTCCCACCATGATGATTGGTGTTGATGTGTCACACGCTGCGCCGGGCAGCAGTCAGCCATCTATGGCCGCTTTAACCATGTCCATGGACAAACACGCTACACGCTTTGGCGCAGCCTGCCAGACGAACGGTTGGCGAGTCGAGACCATCCAACCAGACAACATGGAAGAGATGATTATGAAGCTTGCGAAGCACTGGGTCCAGATAAATGGTACCCATCCACAGCACATTTACTATCTCCGAGATGGCGTCTCAGAGGGCCAGTTCCATGATATCCTCAACAAAGAGGTAGTTAACATGCGCCAAGTGTTCCAGAAACTGGGCTACGGTACCCCTAGATTTACCGTCATCATTGCGACGAAGCGTCATCACGTCCGGTTTTTTCCTAAACCAAACGACAAGGCAAGCGGCGATCGCAACGGCAATCCACTACCTGGTACGTTGGTGGAACGAGATGTAACCCACCCGCAGCATTTTGATTTCTACCTTTGTTCGCATGTAGCTATCCAAGGTACTGCTCGTCCGGTTCATTACCAAGTCATTCTTGATGAGGCTGGTGTCAAACCCAATGAACTTATGAAGATGATTTACCAACAATGCTATCAATTCTGCCGCTCAACTACGCCGGTATCATTACACCCGGCCGTCTACTACGCGCATTTGGCATCAAACCGTGCGCGCTCACATGAGGATATCTCCCCGGAAAAAATGGTCATGGCGTATGCCAAGCCGGGCTTCCCATACGTGAAGAGCGACGGAGAGATCTACGAAGAGGCCGAGGAACGGGTCAAGGCAAGGCCTCCCCGCCTACTATCGATGGCGAATACTCGATGGAAGATCGACAGGATCGCCTTTATGAATACTACTATGTGGTATGTATAAGCATACTCGGAATTCAATACGGTATATACTTGGTTCTTCCGAGTATGCATTGTTCCCGGTCATGGCCCAGCACTTCCCTGGGTTTCGGCTATCTGGTTAACGGTACACTGGTTTCAATGACTTCGACCCGAACCATGGCACTTCCTTCAGATCACAAAGGAACTAGTTACTTCGAATTCAACTAGTTTCCTTTTTAAATCCCGTGATGTGTCTCAACCATGGTATCAGTGTTGTTTTCCAATTCTCATCAAGTACTTCTACAGATTGAGATGAGAAACCTTGCAGTTCTTTCTCTCGAAGCGGCAGTGCGATACTCTCTTCAGGAGACATTCCTTGCCAACACCGAATGACAACCCTCAAGGTCCGCAAGTCATTCTCTTTCATGCTTCACTACGCATCACATAGTTATGGTCATATGGATTCTCTTTGCTTGCGTTGCTTCTATTGTCCTTTGATGCGATGGATTTCCTTCTTAATAGTTAACGTCAAGGCACCATTTCTACCTATAACCTCAGGCAAGATACATAAGCTCGCACAATGTAATTGCACGAGAAAAGGCAATAGGTTTCGGATCATGGTCGGGACCTGGAATGGGATGGTAGTCAGATAGCTTTTCTCAATGTTACTAATGCAATACAACGTTTTCTCTCTATAAACCATGACTTCGTAATTACCTAGATACATACTAGGCCTTGTCTAGATGTAATCGTATTGATAAGGTACAAGAACCACATACAGCTATTCGAACCTGATTGCAGTGAAGGTCGACGACGAGGTATCCAATTGATGGATGACTGCATAGGTAGGTGCCTGAGGAGATAGCTGCTCGTCATTGCGCAATTCCAGCCCGTTTTATTACACGATCAGCCCTTGGTTACATCCCTGGGAAAATAGGCCTTGCACAGGCTATCGATATTCCTAAAATGGTACATAATCGGGTTACTCGTGGATGTTAGGGTCATAGATTGACTAGCTCACGGTACTATGGGTAAGGATAGCGCTTCTGTGTGATGCTGTGAACAGGACATACATACAAGGTTTTGCTCCTCCTCGCTTCGCTGCTAGTAACCGACACTAGGCTAGTTGAACCAATCATAGCTAGATATGAGGCACTCCACTTCCCTAATCGGCTCGACGCTCATGTTCCTAGCCAATCATCATTTTACGCTTTATTAAACGTTTGCGTCCAAACACAAGCTACCGTAGTCCTGAATCTGCCCGGGATTAACGCTAGCATTCCACACAACAAAATTATCAAGGACCAACAGGTGAAAGGGTCGCTTGTAAACACGAACATGGTATACATCTCCAAGTAACAAAATGATGCGATGCTAGAATGTAAGCACAGTTCTACTGAGCATCCTACCTCAAACCGCTCGTTTTTAAATGTTGATCTGATATTACCTATCAAACAGACCGCGAAGAAGCCCAAGTAATTAAAACGGTTAGTTTTACCCCAGATTTCATCTTCGTGTAACTCCCCCATAATTCTATTCTTAGATTACCTAGGTACGTAGACGCTTTCGTCATCAAGTACGATAAAGAATGAAATTACCGAGGTGGAGAATACGAGGAAATTTAACAATTAACTATGATAGAATTAAGCTCACCGGTGAGCGCATGGAAACTATTTAGGCCCTCAGGTAGGAGAAGAGAAGTAAAAGTATTTTTTTCGACAGCGTCTGCGCGGCGATAAGACGACAACTAAGGTTAAGGTGCCTTGAGACAATACGAAGACGCTAATCATAGCAGTATACGGGGAAATGACTGGGAGTCTAGTTCCGTGCATTGTGGCGGGGCTTACGTGGAAATACACTAGGAACCGTGGGATGATGCCATCGATGATGAAGCACGCAGAGACTGTTCATCGTAAAATATTCTTTCTCTACTGGTTTAACCTAGTAGACTGTAGAAATAAAACCGAACTTCAAAGGTCGTGGCCTACTAACGATCTAAGCCACTCGGGCGATGCAATAGGTCTTGATTCTCGGTCGGCTACTCCCCTTCAAGCACTCGAGGAACTTCTTACCCATGTTCTGCGTCTTTTTTTGAGACTATTTTTATGAGAAGGCATTATTAGTAAGTTCACAGGAATTATTTAATATAAAGGAAGCTGTTATAAATTTATATTCCCCTTCTAAAAGGATGTACTACTCGAGCGCTCTTTAACGATTACAAGTTTCCCAACGATGTATCAGTCCCTTTGCTAAGCTCGCCATCGCTTCACATATCGGAAGTCATCGCAATCATCCCCAACGCCTCTAGTTGCTAGCTTGTTAATCCCACTCAGTATAACATATCGCGGGATATCTGTCCTCGCAAAAAAGGTCTTGATCATCCTCGACGGTAGATTCTGCCCCCGGGGTGGATTTTACACCTGGAAAGTAAGGCCACGGCTTAACGATGGTGTTTTCGCGTTTTTTAAGAATGTTACTTCCCTCCCAGGCCCCCCGGAAGTGACTCTCACACAGATTCCTAGAGGAGTCAAGGGTTAGAATTCATTCATAATATATTACGAACGTAAGTGTCGGCGAGTGGGTACTTTTCAAACAGGACATTGATGTCCTTGAAAGGCGGAGCCATTTCGATGATCTGGAGCTCTAGGGGATCCACCGTACGAAGAATCGGCAATGTGTTTTTCGGTAAATTCTTAAGTTTGAAATGTCTAAGTAATATATGTATAAACTCATGCCTATTGTCGTGAGTATTCATCTTTCCGGTCCTGCATGGAAATATCCTGTAAGGCGCTATGATGGTTGCACTGGGATTAAGAAGATTGAGAAAATGGCCGGGCCACCCCTTGATACCAGGGGGTACAACGTATGAATGAGTGTCTTCTTCGGGAAGCTTTATATTTTACTTTGTCAGTATGTTTATTTCACATTCGCGTTCTGATTAAACGCGACCCTAGGGAGAACCCCGTACGTACCAAGATGCGATCGAAAAAGCACTCTTTTAAACGGTGAAGAGAATCGTGCTCTACGCGGAATTCGATATTAAGAGTGCGCATTCGGGCGTGGAAAGTAGTGATAATGCTTCGCAGGTAATAGAAAAGCTTGCCGTATATATCGTTCTTTGTATAGCCAGGGGATGCCTTCTTGAACTCGGATCGAGACCAACCACGCTCTGGTCCTTTTGTGTCGTCAAGAAGCCATGTAACTACGCCGCTAGAGAAGTCGAAAAGGGTGCTGGGACCGAGTTTTCGGGGTGATTAGTTGTCATATAAGAGGCAAAGGAAAACAATAAAAATTTAGGACATGAAGCTATTGGGGGAGAGGTACTCACACGTTAGGCTCGACCATGTCATGCAAAGGCCGGCCCATGGGTAACAAAACTCCTTCCTCCCTGAATCTGACGTGGCAAGGACGCTCGGCAGGCGGCTGTCTGAATAAGTAACGTTCTCTGCTATCAAGCCTGCTTTCACAAGAGACTACGGCGTTCCGAGCAGATTTGGCCTCTTCCCGGTTTAATTCCCTTTCTAGGTACCTTAGTAGTTTACGCCAGTCTGTATAACGTAATTTAAGGCTAATAGACTTAGAAACGTCCGCTGTCTCTCCGTACATCCTTAGTGTACACACGTCACTTATTTTATCCGCGAGGAGCCTCTCTATGTTATCCTCGAATCCATACTCGGCGCGAATTTCGTCATGTAGCGGCCCGCGAATCCAGTTGTCTAACGATTTTGGTATGAAGGCAGAGTACCATAAGTGTATGGTGTTCTCTGCCGCGAGTAGTACATCGTCGTCATTGAGAAGATATGTAAGAATTATGAAGGCGCGGGCAACGACGTTGAAATCTTTGTTACTGATTACAACTGCGACTTTCTTCGGATAATCCTCTGGGATGCCGTTCACAGTCAGCATGACATTTCTGAGGTCCCCGCAACCTATATGATAGATATTAATAATGTTCTGCTATTTAGTCAGAGCGTGATAGTACGTGCCAATGAATAGTAAACTTAAATCTTCCACAAAGTCTTTTTTCTCGTTGGATTCAAGCCGGAGTATATCGAGTGCAACAGACCTTCCCTAAGGTTGTCTTCGAGCCGAATTTAAGTGCGGAGGATATTGTGTGAAGAATGAGGGTAATCTATCTTCTTGATACCAGGTGGGACGCCAGTCGGGGTTGCTGTATGGAGATTTGCAGACATTCTGGTGCGCAACATCTTCCTTCTGGCATTCTGCTGAACAGTATTGGACTAGATAGCAGGAATTGCAAGCGAAAGTGGCAATATTGTGACAAAACAATCTATCGCAGGGGAATTCCAGTGAAGACATGATGAGAATATGTTTGATTAAGGGCTTAAGTCTAGAATTCAAAGCGGATGCTGATGGTCGAATAGCTTTGTTCGTATAGTAGATGTGTTTATGGGATGTGTGTATGTATTGTAGAAGATGTACTTACATGTAGTATAGCATGTAGTATAGGCCAGGGCACTTACCCCCAAGAGAAAGAAACAACTACTACCTTACCTACATTTCATATAACGTAGCAAGAGCATCCATGTCTCATAATAAATTGTACTGTACGTAACGTACTTGAGGCATACATGTAGGTAGGAACTTTGTATCAATTCGTTTATTCATCAAGGTTCGCTTCTTTGGGTATCATAGCTGTCTCATCCGCTTTCCACTCTCAAGTTCCACCACTTCCAACCCTTCAACCTGCTCAATTCTCCCTAGACTACGCCTGCTGGCCCCTGAGCTGGATCGCGATATCCTGTCACCATTTAGCAACGCCTCTCGGCTCTCTCCAATCTTGTTTCCTCCCATCCCGGCGCCTACATCTTCCTCATGGGCTTCTGGTACGCTGTTTAGACTATGCGCCCTTGCCGTTGCAATCTGCGCATCTAATGATGCTATGGAAATTGTGGTAGTAGTGGTCGTAGTGGTCGTAGTACTACTGCTACCAGTTCTACTAAGGCTCGCCTGCATGCTCGCCTGTCTTATAGATAGCGAATCCCCCCTAGGTCTCGACTGCAATACGGGTACCGCCCCTGAGCTGATCACACTGTCCCGTTGATCGCTAGTATCCTCCCAGCCAAACTCGACTCCCAGTACCCGTTCTACATCAGCTTTAGTATACGAGCTTGACCGGTGCCGTACATATTCGTCAAATTTCGTATCACGCTTATGATCGTAGCTCATGTGGCGCTCCTTGTGGCGCTCCATCATCGGCTCTACCGCAGGCGGAGTCGGTTGTGGTGAAGGAGGGTGGCTACTAAGTGCCAAAGAGATACGGCGACTGGCGGCAGATAGCGATCGTGGCCGAGTTACGGTCACGGAAGGATTTGTTGGATCATACGGCACGGGAGGTTCAAGCCACGACGATCGGTATGCTGTATCTTCGGGTTCCTCAGAAGTAGCATAGCCATAAGGCTTGATATTGCCGGGGATATGATAGTCGTCATAACTCAATAGTCGACGGTAGATGATGACCGAGTAGAACGTAGGGATAATCGTAAAGAACCTAAAAGGAAACCCGTCAGCGATTCTGTTCCACATCCTCGAGATGCTTACAACTCAGGCTGTGGCTTACATGAGGATACAGTCCATAACCAATCCAATCAACGAGTATCGCCTGTCGGCATACTTAACATAAACCACAACATCAAGTGCTAGAACAGCAGATGTAAGAGCTAGGTTTATGATGTTCCCAAATAGCAACGGCAGCGGTGTCAACACCTCGGCAATAAACTTCGCTATCGAAACAAATACTATGACAAGGGAAATGAACGAAAATGAAACGTTGACCGTTTCCCATCTACAATAATTAAGTTAGCCAAGCCATCTCTTGTAAGTCATGGATACATTTAAAGCTAATAACCAAAGATGAATATCTTCCAGCACTTACACGAACTCCACTGTAGGATCGTCGTTTTGAGCTTGTTGATCTCGCCACGTTTTCAACGTCCTAGAAAGTCGGTAGGAAAATAAACCCATCATTCCTAGCAAAATTAAGATCTGGACAGCCCAGCACGGTAGAAGTATCCTCTTCCTCCACTTTGCTCGATCGAATTGCGCATTGTCCCGATGTGTATAACCCATCTTCAACTTCGAATGCGTCTAATGCCTCCTTTAGATATTTTGGAATAGCGGTCGATCAATCTCGTCTCAAGACAGTAGAAAGGAGTATTTGGCTTTTCTTAAGCTCTTGACTGATATTTTCCTATAACACGTCTTAGGATTCCATTTTCCGGAGTAACAAACAGTTATAAGGTTATGGCGATCGGTATCGTGGAGTGACTGGTACGTAATATAAAACGGAATCTAATGCAGCCCTACGAGACAAACCCGCGTGGGAGGGATAGGTTCTATATAAAGCCCCTCACGCAAAAAATAAATGGGTAGGAAAGCAAACATTGACCATAAGCATACCTAAGCCTCAGCAATCCCCATCACGCAAGTCCTATCCAAAGCAAGGTTCTCATTGGAAGCCCCAGTAGGCGGCATTGGTGGAAATTACACCAACCAGACTCTATCTTCAGCTAGAGGGGTTTTGTCCCGGACAAGGCATACAACTACATATTGCACAAAGACTAGGTAGGTATGAGAAGAGGCGCCCGTTGACAAGACAAAAGCTTGTACTATTGTCAATACAAAAATACAAAACTAGAGAAAGAACGTCTTGCGTTGGTGCCAACACCGGCTTCGGTAGGAAACAATAGTGATTGGATCACTACGTGATTCGTCTGACGACTACATGGCATCCACCGAATCCACATCGTGGGCTCTTGCTAACCTGAGATGGGCTACGGTAGGGCTTGATGATGAGTTGCGGCTGAGTTTGAGCTGGAAGACCCTTGTTAAGTCGGCTACATAAGCTGCATTTAGGTATCCGGAACAAGGACCCAATCACGCTCATTGCTATCATGGGGAATGGAGACTCGATGAACTGTTCAACGGAACCGACGAATTGAACTTGGAAACCTGGCCCTACTTGCAGTTTGAGTAAGCATGGCGGCGCAGATGCTCTTCATAGGGACTAGCTTTGTAGGTATAACAACGCACGAAATCCTTTTACTCGCCGTACGCGATGAAAATCAGTGGATTATTTCTTCGGTATTTGGAAGCCAGCCCCAGGTTCGCGAAGCTCGCGGTAGCGGGCGGCACAGGTTTTGAATTGGCGATCAAAACATAAATTTCCGGTACTGACGGGCTCGATTACGACGCGGTGGCGGTGCGGAGATTCATTTGTCCCGGAATTCTAACGATGTAAATGTTTCCGCTGTTCGTACATCGTCAGTGTTGTTTACCCCAGTTCTTCCAAGGTAGGGCCATCCTGACAAACCAATAAGGGACTTTAGCCCTATGGAGTGTTACTAAACTTGGATGCAGCACGGTTATAACAAACAATGATATGCTATATTACCTAGGGATTCCATCGCGCGGCCCGCAACTGGGGCTGTGCCTCGTCGGGATGACTCCGAATTGGTAATAAAGATCTTTTGAAATGAGCCGAATTTAGAACTTGCTAAGGATGGTCATAATTTGCAATGAAGAACTGAATAGCTTCTCCATACCTTAGTACTTACATGCAATCGCCTGATTAAAACATCAGGTCATTAAAGAGAGGGGAAAAGGCCATGTCATCACATTATCATTCCTTCGTTGGCGAGTTCGATACCCTGGCACCCGGCTACCAGATACATGGTCTACAAAGGTCATTTGAAATCCCTGATAACTAGTTCTTCACCGACTCGACAAACTCGAATTATTCCTTCTATCTATTGTAGATATCCTGTTAAAAGGCTACCTTCATTGGGGATAGCATAGGGCCTCGCCTTCGTGGTTATAGAGGATGCCAATACACAATATACTTACCGCGGGCATTCAAAGTTAATCCAGCACGATGTAAACGTGAGACGATTCTAGGTTTGGGTGATAAATATTAACAAGATATTCACAAATACTCTAGGTATAAGTTCAAGCTCGGCTCGAAATATCGAGCCCTCTTCCACTCTAATTCCATTATTCATTCATGTGCCTCCTCCATGTGGTTGCTATTCCCTTGACGCCAATAACCATGCTTCATTAGGTTGTATTTCTTGAGGTGCTGCAATGGATTCCGAAGATACACATCGAACATACGATGGACTCGATAGTCTTCACCCATGCTACCTGCGCCGCATTTAAATGACGTTTATGCGGCTGGGTCCTTGGTGACATCCGCAGCGTTGAAAGCAACGACGTTTCCGCTAGCATCGACCATGGCTGCGGTCTGGACTTTTTCTCCAGCCTGTCGTGCAACGACAGCCTTCTGCGACCGGGGCACTTTGGCTATGATAACGGTTAGCATACATGCATCATCCCATTGCATTGATTCCTGTCAGCTTACTGAGCTCCGCCATGGCGACGGTGGTGAAAAGACCGAAAATAATGGTTGAGACCTTCATGTTGACTGGTTTTGAAGTTTTTTTCAGAAGATTGAAGGAATGGTATAGGTCGGCCGGCGACGAGCTTGTGTGAATATGCTGCTAAAGCGAACGGAAAAATTGATCAACTAGAGTGATTATAACTCGCAGAGGATGAGAAAGAAAAAAACAGAAACACAAAACAAGAAGCAGGCTAGACTCCCTTTTGTATGATTACGCTAGGACGAAGTTGAGATGTCTACGGAAGACAAGCGCCTTCGATTTCACTTTTCCAATACTGATCTTCGACACTTGAGACGTACGGATAGCCCATTTCCCGTCATGACTACTTGGTCGGGTAACGACTCTTAGGGAGAGTCTAGGGAGAAGACTGCGCCTCAACATGGCCCAGAACTTGGAATATTATTGTAGATACACTGATACAAACAATAGACCCTCGCAGTCCCAGATGACAGGAACCCTGGCTGCCCCGCTGGGGTATAGATCTACGGTCTACCTACTATCAAGATCTTTCGAAACGAAGGTTGTTAGGCGGATACTAAGAAGCTAGACTCGAGCTGAAGAAGGGATAAGAATCGGGCGAGACGCGCGGAGGTCATTGACAGACAAGGGTATGAGACGATGCTGTAACAACTTGCAATGCTTATTTTGAGCCGCGCTGTATTCTACGTGGTATCGGTGCTGCTGCAATGCAACGCTGCGGGTGTAAACAGTCAAACAATCTTGGCATCGAAGAGCCGATCAGGGACGGCACTCCAGCTTTCCGTGTTCCAAGATGAATCTGGAGGAGGGACTAGGCCATGCTTTAAAATTTGGGATGAAGAAGATTTGAAGATTCGTCATCGAATTGAGGACGTAGGTATTCGGGTTATCGGATTTTAGAACGTCTATGCGAAAAAAAGGTGAGACGAGATGATCAAAAGTCCAGACCGCTATCTTCTTTAGTACATCTCCCCTGATTTTCGGGTAGTTCCTGTAGGTACATAGGTACATACAATATGGAAAATGTTCAGCCACATAGCACGAGCCACAAATCATGAGCCACAAGTCGCATTGAAGCCCCCCCAAAGTCCAATTTTGTTCATTTTAATCTCAAAACGACAAGAATTTGGCAGTCAGCCAAGAGCCATGTTCAAGCTCTTAGGTGTCGGACCAAAAGTTTCAACATCTCTAATATCCTCATTGTCGAAATCGCCAAGTTGGCGCTGGGAGGCTATTTCAAGTCTTACCTACCGAAAGAGGAGCGCGCCTTGCGGTCTGAACTTCCACACCATGTCGGTTGTTGACCTGGGTCGTCTGCAAGATCTACGACATACCAGACATTCGATAACACTTTCTAATGGCAAGCGCCTTGTTCTCTTCCGTCTGCCGAGAATTGATCGGCCGGACGTAACGCTACCAGCTGTGGAAAGTCCAGATTCATGGAATTACTATGCAATGGAGGCAGAGTGTCCTCACGCCGGTGGGCCAATGGCAGATGCCCACATAGACATCGAAGACTCGTCCTACATTGCCTCTTGCCCATGGCATGCGTATGACTTCAACGTAGAGACTGGTGAGTCTAGTTATGGCATCAAAGCCTGTACGTTTCCGGTCACTGTTCAAGATGAAAGAGTGAGCATACAAGTTGCAGGAACCGCAAATTTACAACTTGACAAGATCGAACCCGTCAGCGAGAAAGTAAAATTCAAGCATGGCCCCAGAACTGATCCTTCAGGACCTGCAACGTATCTTGGTGAGGATGCGAGCTTGTGCGATTGGTGCAACCATATTCTAAATACTTCCAATCCCGAGCACAAGATCGAACTTACAACACATCTCTTCTCTTTATTTGCAACACGTGAACAGTCTTCTTCGCTCATGGAGATCGGGGCTGGTACCGTGATTCCTCCCCAAGAGCCGCCAAGGCAAAATCTGACCCAACTGAAACCGGGGCAGATGCCCAGGGCTGGCAAGGGAGGGAACCTTAAAAACAGGATCATGATGCTCCACGCTCTGGCAAACATTGAGCAGTGGGCCATCGATCTCGCTATCGATATCATGGTCCGGTTCGCTTCGTTTCAAACAGCAATACGGGATGAGAACGACCGCCCACGTCCACTACCACGAACGTTTTTCTACGACTGGCTTAAGGTCGCGAATGATGAGGCAAAGCATTTCTCTTTACTACGGGCAAGGCTAGAAGAGATGGGGAGCCATTTCGGTGCTCTGCCAGTTCACCACGGTTTATGGGAATCAGCCGTAAGAACATCGCACGACCTGCGCGCAAGGATAAGCGTCATCGCACTTGTCCACGAAGCTCGCGGCCTCGATGTCAACCCTAAGACGATCGAAAAGTTCCAAAATGCCAAAGATAGCGAAAGCGTCGACGCATTAAACATTATTCACAACGACGAGATTACGCATGTCACTACGGGGCATAGGTGGCTTACTTGGATTTGCCAACAAGAAGGCACTGATCCGGTTCAAGTCTTCCGAAGCAATGTGCAGCAACACTTTAGAGGCGCTGTGAGGGGACCGTTCAACGCCGAGGCCCGACAACAAGCTGGCATGGATAAGAGCTACTACGAAGACCTCCAGGGGCTGCCGTGGAAAGGTGATATCATCGCCGGTGGTTGAACTATCCATACCCTCACATTTTAAGTTATCCTCATCTAGACTAAATCTGCTGGATAATGCCACTAGTAACGCTAAATTGGGGGCTACGGGTACCACGTGAGCGACTTATTCGTGCTCTTGGACGTCCTTTTTTCAAGTCGCAAAAGTTGCCATTGGCTACTGTCATATTCAAGTTGCACTATGGTCACTAGTATGAGATTTAGCATACTTTATTCAGAGTTGAGCTACTATAGTTTCTGATATCTATCTAAACGAAGCTAGACTAGGCAACTACCTAACCTAAAGTAACCTTGGGTTAGTGGCGAGCTGGGAAAAGGGTCGAGTTAAATTCGAATAGGAATAACTATTCGTTATGGATGTTAAAATTAGCCGAGTGGAGTAATAAGAGGTTATGAAAGAATTGTGCACCGTACAATACCTAATACTTTGGTATATGCACATGCACATAATGTCAGATCGTGGCGTCTTCGAAATGCCCGCCCAACCTAAGGAAAGCGGGGTGTTGGTTAATTCGAGATGGTCGATTCCCTATCGCAACCCAACTGCAACCACTAATTCTTTAGGTTAGTTACTGGTCCACCTGCCCGCTTGCCCGCTTCCCATTCTCTCCTCTAACAACTCTCGCGAGCTCTTTTGACTCCATTCTCGGTTCTCTTAATTCCTCAAAGCATTTCCTGACTTCCTTCCTACGACATCCCTCGAAAAAGATAACGATTAGCAAGCAAAAACCAACCATGGCTACAGTCCCGCACTGTCTCTACTGCTTCGAGACGCTTGCTGCGTACCTTGAGGGCCGCAAGTCCATGAGCCTTAACGAGGTCGTGAACGCGTGGGTTGAGTACAGCAACGATACGGGAGCCGACGTCGAAGATGCAAGCAAACACGAAAGCCGCATTCCCGCTCTTAGACGAGTTGTCGATTCTGAGTTCTCCGAAACAAGCAGCTCATCTTCGCCTTCTTCAGGCTCGACTATGTCCCTTGCAACCGACACAACCGCAACCTCTGTAGATTCACTCCGAGAGACCATTATTACCGAATCCCCGCTATTCGTCACCTGGAACACCGTGTCCTCTCGTACGGGAAATACTTCCCTACGAGGCTGCATCGGGACGTTTGAAGCGCAAGAGCTTGACGAAGGGTTATCATCCTACGCCATCACCTCGGCCATCAACGACATGCGTTTTGACCCCATCAGCAAGCGAGAATTGTCATCTCTCGAGGTTGCCGTTACGCTGCTAACCGATTTCGAGGACTGCGATGACACGATGGACTGGGAAATCGGCACTCACGGACTGCGCATAAGCTTCTCGGAACGAGGCCGCCGTTACGGCGCAACTTACCTGCCGGATGTTGCCGCCGAGCAAGGGTGGACTAAAGAGGAGACTCTAGTTAGCCTGATGCGCAAGGCTGGCTGGGCAGGTCGCAAGGAAAAGTGGCAGACTGTTGACCTTAAGGTTGTGCGATACCAGGGCAAGAAGAAGTCCCTACTATACTCCGAGTACAAGCGCTGGCGCGACTGGGTCAGCCAGAAGAGCGAAGACGACGACGATGAAGATGAGGCATAGACAGGTAGACATTATGCTGCAGATACTATCACGGGCGTGCTCTCGATGGAGAGTGCAAATGCATATTTGGTGGACGGCGTTGGCGCATGATGGGTGAAAGGGAGTCTAGAGTTTGGCATCTAGAACGGCAGCAGCGGAAGCGGCAGCATCCTAGGTGGGTGATTTGATGATACAGGTAAATTTTGGTCTTTTTCGGTGCGTTTTCCGTTGTGCATGCCATGTCTGCCTAGTCGTTGAATTTTACCTAGTTAGGTAGGTATTCTACGACTTATCACAAGATTGACATTATTTATCCGCCCCTTCAGCCAGGGTGAGGTATATTTTTGATTAGAAGTATAGTTCCCAACATCGTATCTGTCGCGCAGCTCCGTTGACCTGGACACAATTTCGCAATTCAGCTGGGCTTCTCGATAGATGAAGGGACATAATTCTCGATGTTTGAGATCTCATGCCAACAACGATCCAGGGGATAAGGGAGCCAAGCCATCCCCTGGCATGAAACCAATGGACCGCCCTTCTTCTAGAACTCATGGTTGCTATATCGACCTTTATGTCTTAAGGAATTCGTATTTCTGCCATGCGAAGTTACGGGATCGCATAAAAAAATGTCTCTAGGGAATGGCCCCTCCATTCTTCAGGTTAATTTACCACCAGTTAGTTAGCGGCGGCCGTCTCCTAGTTATCACATTCAAATTCCACGACTATTGGTTTAATATACTTCATGATGGGTTTCTTCATGGGTTTTAATACTGCTATTCCTCCCTATTCTGTGCACTTGTTTGCAATCACGGTGTTGCGAAGCTAACTGGTTGACTACTCCTGAGATAGCATGTCGTTTTCTCACCCTCTTTTTTTCATAGCTGCTTCTACGCTAATCGGTGTAGGACGGGCAGTCACTTTCAAGTTATTTAACGGAACGCATGGTGGGCCTGTAAATGCGACGAGCCTCCCGAAGAGTACTCATGAGGTCCTTTCATTACCCCTGAGGAAGATCGAACATAAGGGTGTCGGGACGCCCAGTCTAGCAAGGCGATATTTCGGATCGGATGTCTTAGGCCTCTACGGCGCAGCATATTTTGCTGAGTGTATGAATACCCGTCTTGCCCTCGTTCGCGTCGTTATCAGAAAAGCTATAGGATGGATTTCTGACAGGCAAATAGTAACAATTGGCACCAGCGACAACCCGCAGACCGTCAATGTGCTACTGGATACGGGCTCGTTCGAACTCTGGGTTAATCCGGACTGTAGCGCGACCAACGTGCGACAGTTTTGTGGTGAGCTCGGGCACTACGATCCTACGCTCTCATCTACGTCGAAGAATCTGAATCAGACCTTTAAGATCCAGTATGGGCTAGGTAGTGCGTCGGGCACCTATCACCAGGACGATGTATTTATTTCTGGTAAGTTGAAAGCCTGGATAGTCACTCAAGGATGTGGAGGAAAGGATGGTATACAATGATGGGCTTTCCGAATAGCTTTTGCTAATAATTGGAAACTTAGGCGCGAAACTCCCAGGTCAACAATTCGGAGTTTCAAATACGTCTAGCGATGTCTGGTTTGGCATCCTCGGCTTGGGTCATGGTAAGGGACACGGCGTTATCGACTATGAATCCATCGTCGACTCGCTAGCTACACAGGGCTTTACGGATAGCAAGTTATTCAGCTTGGACTTGGGTGGCCAACCTGGACCAACCGGTAAGTAGACCCCATTGACTCGTGATTGTGTAATACAATCTCTGTCAATGCCTTTTATAGGAATTATAACCGCTAACATTCAGGAAGCCGCCATTACAGGAGAAATGGTCTTCGGTGGCGTCGATACCAATAAGTACGCAGGAAACCTAGCGAAAGTCCCAACGGATTCTAACGACGCGTATGTTCCCCTATTGTTACCAAATCCATGCTTGTGTGTTTTGGATATCTATATAGCGTGAACTAGTATACTCACTTATTACCGATAATCTCTAGACACTACGTCGCAACGCTCAACTCAATCTCCCTCCAAGTCCCTGCTTCCGCCTCTGGCTCCGTCAACACCATCTCCCAAAGCATCAAAGCAATAAACGACTCTAACCTACCATTGCAAGTTATTGTAGACTCAGGGACTACCCTCTCTCTGCTACCCGAGTCCATGGTCTCAGCTATAGCCGCCGGGTTCCCTGGAGCGGAGCCAGATGGAAACGGCGGGTATAAGGTGCCGTGCGAGCTACGAAATACTACGGAGGGCCGTGTAGACTTTGAGCTCCGTGGGGATGGTAACGATAAAGTTAAGATCAGTGTCAGCTACAACGACTTTATCTGGTACGGCGGCAACGAATGCTTCCTGGGTGTAAGGTATACCAGCGATGTGGGTGTGTGGATCTTGGGAGATACATTTTTAAGGGGAGCATACGGTAAGTTTGCCCCCTTTTATGTTTCACGAGACAATCAAGCAAACGGGTAGACTGGCTTGGAAGACATGATTTTGAAAAGCTAATTTATTTCAAAGTAACGTTCGACCAGAGCAATAACGCGTTATATATGGCCAATTACGTCTCGTGTGGCCAAGGCTCGAACCTGGTCCCTGTTCCAGCGGGCCCCGATGCAGCGGCTAATATCCCCGGATCCTGCGAGACGGCAGAGCCGGCACAGAAGGTCCCGTCGCCTGCTGCTACCTTAGCCAGTTACGATCCGGAGTGCGACTGTACTGTATTTTCTTTTTCAACCGCGTTCTCCACTGCGTTCATGACAAGTACTGCGACTGCTACTACGGCTACTATCAAGAAGCACGCGAGCCCGGTCCCAATGCCCAGTTCACCCGCCCCTGAAGACGACGACTGCGACGAGGACCAGAACCAGGACCAGCCGCAGGAGAAGCACGTTGAGATAATTACGGCTACAGAGACATTTACGAGCACGCTAGTTCGACATGTCGTATACACGGCTGGCCGCCGGGTTGCTACTAGCCACGTAACGGTCGTAACAACATTCTGCCCAGGCGACATACTTTTTCCCGCATCTACAACCCCTATCCCGGGCGCGACACATTCCCAGACTCAAGGCCGCGTCCAGCATACTACTACGCGTCCCATCCTAAGCACAAGCATATCGCCCCCTATCGAACAAGTCACGATAGCGGAGATAACCCACGCGGTCAAGACAGCTCCGGAGACCTTTATCACCACAAGAAATACGACGACGACGCAGGTAGCAACCGAACTCGAGTCTGTTCGCGCAAACACATATTCTTCCCCCCCTCCCCACTGGACCCCTCCTACTTTCACCGAATCCATCCTTTCCACTTTCCCCTTCTCACCCCCCACATTCTCCTCTTACTCTTCCCCCCTACCCCCACCACCACCACCACCTTCACCACATCAACAGCAAAGCGCCGTTCCTAACGCAGGTTTCGGCGCCACGGGCTGGGGGTTTAACAACACCTCTATCACGACCGCTAGCACCAACACCAACACCGGCAACCTTGACTACAACGCAGCAGCAGGCGTAGCCACCGTCGGCGGAGCCGCAAGCCAGGCCATCGGTGCCGGTGCTGGTGCTGGCGCCGTGGTGGCGCCCGCGGTCCCGACGACGACGAAGACGACACAGGTCTGGCACTCGCCTATGCCGAGCGGTATGGCTATGAGTACATCCGAGGCGGTGAAGAAGACGTTAGGCGAGGTAGCAATCGGGTTGTGGACCGTGATGATGGTGATGGTGATAGGGCAAGCTGTGGGGTATATGAGTCTGGCTTAGTTTTCCTCTTCTCTTCTCTTCTCTTTGCTTCTTGCTTGTCTTTTGATACCGTTGAATGATTGAACGAAATAAATGTACGAAGTGAGAAGTGTACGACCGAATAATAGGAAGAGGGAAATGGGGGAGAGACCTGTGGGATGGATATAAACTGGGACAGACAGATTGATGAGTTTGCTTCGATATTGGGATAGGTAGTGGGATATACCTCGGTTTTTGTTTTTTGTTTTGCGAAGGAAAAAAAGGTAAGACAAGGCCACCTTCATGAAGCTCGAAAGGCTAGGAAGGAAGAGAACTGGATTTTGATAGATTATAGATAATAGATAGCTTAATCAAAACAAATTAAAATAGTCACTGCCTGAAGCTCTGCTCTACTCAATGATACTTGTAAGACGTGAATATACAAATATAAGCGGCGATATAGGATTAAACTGCCCTCTATGTAGGTAGTATTCAGGTATCCACATAACAGATCATTGAGAAGCAGATACGTGGGATATATAGAACAGCAAGTCAATATTATTATGCCACACGAAGTGCCTATGTTTCTTTTTGCAATCCGTCCCATCCACCGAATATGCAGCCCGAGCCCAAGCCCAAGAGGGAGGAACCCAACAATCGCGAGACTTCCGAGATGAAAACTAGAGATAAAAGAAAATGAAGACGCCCATGTACAATCACACCTCTCGCTTGCCACCATGTGAACGCCTATGTAGCCCCGCGATACAAATGTTGTCTCGGAGGGAAAAACTCCGTTTGGCTCTTTCTTTCCCCAGCCAATACCTACACTGTCTAAGCCAAATGTCAAAATAGCAACCCGACTTGAATAACAAGAGCTCGGTGTTAGTAATTCATCCGCGCCGAAACAAAACAGTTTCATGAACTCGTTAGGTATCCCAACCGTACTTCTACAGTACTAACTTCCTTCAACCCGGATTAACAATGCTTTTTTCGCTCGCTCGCTCGCTTGGTACTTTGTGTTGAAAGCTCAAAAAACAGCACCTTAGCCGTATGCCCCCTTTTAACTCCACTTGCCGTATGCGGGAATCGACCAACTGGTCTAAGCAATAAGAGGGCAGAACTCGCCCTACCAACACCGTAAGCTTCTCCAGAATCGATCCCTCCTACTTCCAAAGCCCACTCTCTGGCCGTCGCCGAGTCGTGGGCCCCTCGTCAAACCTGAGCGCCCAGTTTTTTCATTATCCATGTCGCGATCATCGCTGTCGCCGAGCGGTGTCAGAGGCTTTGTGACGCCACGGCGGTCCATCTCGGTATTATCAAGGACACCCATTTCGGCAAGGCGACGGCTTTCAACGACTCGGCGGACGATAAGGGCGAATGTCTCTTCGATGTTGACCTCGAGCCGAGCACTCGTCTCCATGAAACCGCAACCACGTTTCCGCGCCCATTCGAGTCCCTGAGCTGCTGGCACCTGCCGCGACTCTTGCAAATCACATTTGTTACCGGCTACAATCTTAACCGGTGGTATCGTCCTCGCACCACTACCGGCTCCTCCCAGCCCTATACTACCTCTTCTCGCGCTTCCGCCCGCTCCCAGGCCGGCCCGCCGTGCCCGTGCTGCGTTATCAAGGCGCGTTTCTGCCTCCATGTCTATGAGGTCGTTGAAATAGTTTAAGGCATCGAGACTGTCGAGCGATGTGATGTCGTAAACAAGAAGAAAGGCGTCGGCACTTAAATTGGACGACGCCCACATACCCCGATATTCCTCTTGTCCCGCCGTGTCGGTCAGCGATAGGTGGTAGGTAGTGCCATCAATACGTCGGGTGATGCTGTAGCTATCTTCGATGGTCGGGTCGTACTCGGACGTCCATTGGGATCGAACTAGTCGAAGCGTTATGGACGACTTACCGCAACCTCCGTCACCGCATATCGTGATCGATATGGGCACCGGTGGTTGCGAGATAGGTGATTGTGGTTGATTTTGTTGTTGATTATGATGCATTTCTGCGCCTGTTTCTTGCTCTTCCTGTCTCACTCTGTCAATTGTCGTTCTTTCTCTATTGTTGGGGTTTTTTTCTTTTACGTGGATAGTTGTGTATAGCTAGTAGGTAGGTAGTTAGGTTAAAGTAGACTGATCGTCACGACGAGCGAATGGGCGAGTACCTATGTAGGAGAATATAGGGTTTGTTATCGGAGGATTACTCCTCTGCTAAGAGCGGTAAGGACTGTAAGGTTCGTAAAAAAGCAATGGCGGTCTGCGTGATGGAGGTACTGTAGTAAAAGATGAAATCACGGCTTATTTTTTTTGTTCTTCCCCCTTCGTCTTCTACCGCTGCCGCAGGGGAACTGCAAGCTGCAAGTTGCAAGCTGCAAGCTGCAGGGTACAACAGGCTCTACTTGGCGTTGCTCCACTAACACACAACGGGTGTTCCCCGTTTGGGTCTACCCGTTGTTTAAATTGTCCTATAAGATAGGATTTATAGCTGTTTCTCAGGAACTGAGCCAGTCCACCGGGTGTTTAGGTAAGCAATGAAGCACTGAAGGGATATTAAGTTACGGTTCTTTATAAACAAAGTTTTCGACGGTAGATGCCAGGCTAAGTAGTTTTGAATATGATCGTTAATATGATAGAGAACTGGAAAGAGTAGCTCCTGTATATGTCAAAGCGAAGTGAATCAGGTTTGAGTTAAGTTGGGCTAATGAGTGTATGCAGGTAGGGTAAATAAACGTGAGGGAGGATGTGAATCGGAATTGTATTATGTAGGATGTGATGCGTGATGCGTGATACGCTGCGATGCGATTGGAATCGTCGAAACGTGTGCTCGGACGCGAAACCCAACCGAATCAGCTTATAAAAAAAAGAAAATATCTAGGTAGGTTAGGTTGTATGCAAAGCAAAAGTGTAGAACCAGAGGTAGAATTGGTAGTACATAGAATTAAATTCGTAGCGAGTATCCCAAAAGAGGAGGTGGGAAAGAAGATGAAGATGAAGATGAATGTACGTAAGTCGAGAGTCAAGAGACGAAGGGGAAAAAGAAGCACAAAACTAAGTTGAAGCTAAGCAAAAAGAGAGAGTCGACAGCGGTGATACTGATACGGATTACACTGATACACTGATACCACCCGGATGGCTGGGGCAGGCACAACCTGTTGCAACAGCTGCAGGTGGTTTTGTTATCCCGGCTTGTATGTACCTTAGGTAGGTACATGTAGTTAGGCATGTGCACTAATTGATCCTGGTTTAGTGTGGGCACGTACTATGATATAGTACCTGAGTACCTCATAAAATGGGAAACCATCATGGTGGTAACAGCGGTGATAGTGGGGGTTATCCTCCTTAGTGGGGTAATAAAAGGGGTCTTAGGGTCTTTAAGGGTTTAGTGGCATCAGTGGTATCAGTAGCATTAGTGGCACAGCCTGACATGACGGAAATACCGTTCAATTCGCTAATTTCACCCGTGTTGCCCTCCTTCTTTCAGTATCGCTTCTACGCTCGAGCCTCGGGTTTTGCTGATCATCGATATATAACACCCTACATATAATCCCCGAAAGACTAGGAACAACAGTCTTCCCGCGAAAGCTGGGAAAACGGAACAAAAAAAAGATCGGACAACTGATCGACAAAAACACAACCTCGGGTCTCGGCTCACCAAGAAAGATACATAATGAATCGAATTTTTAGGATCGATATCAAGGATCAATGTTAACTTTAGAAGATCTAACTAACAAATCTATAAAGTCTGGGAATCTATATCTTCTCTGAGATGCGAGTGGGTTAGGTAGGTAGTTTAAAGCCGGCTGATGGAGATCAGAAAGAAACATGGAGATGTGGAGAGAGAAAGGCAATGTAGCATTCGCTTCTAATAAAATTATCTAGGTACCTTTGCAAGACTACCTACCTAGACTCAAGGTTGTGAAGACTGTGATAGAAAGATTTGGAGACTTGTCAGTTGTCACAAGTTAACCTCGGGCATCAACCAGCTCGAAGGTATCGAAAGGTTCTACGGATCCGTACATGGGTAACTATCACATACATTCAACTTCACTCGCGATTAACAACCTCAACCTGACGTATGTTTAGGATCGAAACATCAAGTACATAAAATGCATCAATCAGATGATTGTTCCGATGTCTTGGGAAAAGAAAAATTTATTTCTTCCCCTCCCGGCATATTGGATCATAATCCGCATAAGGTTGTAAGTCAGCATGTATGTACGCATGCGCGAATGATTCGAAAACAGCCACGCCTGGTGATCCAATTCGTCATGTTCGTCATATAAAATAAGCGTGCAGCCATTCGGGTTCGGGTATCACTTACATACTACGCACGGGACAGGCCGTCGAATAAAAAGGAAAATAATATATTCCTCACATACCTAGGATGTTTGTGTTGGAGGAGCCTCTTCCTTGCTCGTCGAACGTCATGTCTAGAGCCGCCGAGGTTTGTGATGATGGGTCCCTATCAGCTTTGATAGGTACGGCTTCTTTTACCGCCCGCCCTCCCCGCTGATCCTAGTCGTCCTAGTCGTCCTAGCCCTGGGGGGTCACACGCTATAATATGCAGGTCAAGACGCAGAGTGCTACAGTAGTGCCCTTTCGTGGGATCCCAAAACCAATTGGGGATAATGATTCGAGATATAGGGCGCCACCGTTGATAGGCTATAACAATCACTGGTGAAAGAAGCAATCACTGGCGAAAGACTTCTACTACCTAAATCAGAGTCAGGTTTGCAGGTAGACTATACCCAACGATGATTGAACCACATACTCTCGTATCAACTAATATTTTAATTATAAATAAGACTTATCATTAACCTGGGTGGACGGCCTGCAGCATGTATTCCCCCGGCCAGACTGACCGCCCCAAAACTAAAGTGGCTTCACGATGCAGCAACCTAAGCCTAGCCGGCTGCATTGGACGGTCTTCTCAAACGTGTTAACCCGCAGATGGCCTGTTTCTATCCGGACACAGCTCCCCCTCAACTTTCTTGCAAGCCTAAAAAAGCAAATGCCACGAGTCGGATCATGCTCCTGCAACTCAAGTCTTGCAGAACCCGCCACGATGGTTACGGTGACGAAACGTGGAAGGGTTGACCTCCATGTTGGGTCGTGGCGCAGTTGTGTAGGTATTACGTATTCCGTATGTATTCACAGACAGACAGAGTATGTAGTCACCAAGTCGCCAAGCACCGCTACCGAAGGACGACAGGATAAGTCGGAGAATTTCTGGCGGATCACCACGGCACTGAATGACAACAAGCTCGGCAACACTTTCGATAGAAATAATATCTGCCATTTTACCGAGCAAGCTATCCACATTTTGCGGACACCATGAGCAAAACTAACCGTATTTCTATGAAAAGAGCCTAGTCTAGGAGCTATTGAGTGTTAAATGAGGATAGAAATCTATTACCGCCCACGTGTCTTCAGGGATTAGACCTTTAGAGCGGCCATAGCGTCTTCAGAATCCAAGGTTCCAGAGCAAGCCCGAACTCTCGTCACCAATCATTAATTCGAGTCGTCTCTTACACCCCGCCATATCCAGTATCCAGCTATGTATGGGAATGCCATTTGAAGATTGCGGTGTAAGAAGAAGTACTATGTTGGTTATTGAGATCCAACAGAGATTACTACAGTAAAATCTCGTCATAACGAATTAAAGAAAGCACGGGACCGGATTCACTAAGGCGAGGATTCGCTATGGAGCAGGTTCGCTATGGCCAGGTTTTACTGTATTGTCTACTAAACATGAGAAAAGTGACTGGTTACTGCATACAACGCCAGCAATAAAATAAATGTTTCAGTTACTCAGGCCCCTTCTTCAAACATGAAATCATAAGATGTATGTAACAAAACACGAAAGCATCCCGGATATCGACTCATCCATGCAGATTACCGGCATATCTTATACACTAGAAAAGAAAAACCTAATACGCTACAAGCAGAACAAGATAGGTTTGAAACGGTCTCTAGATCCAGTCACATGCTATACTTGCTTCTTTAGGTAGGTGGTCATTGCTCGATGCTGGCGCTGGCATCATTTGCGGAGGTTGCGTCGCATCGGCAGGCAATTGAGGCGGACACACAACAAGTCCAGTGGTATCGGGACGATGAAGCATAGATACCCACGAAAGTTCAGACAAATGGCATCTATTACCGATTGGCCCCAGTGCGTGATGTGCCAAGGCAACCTAATCTCATATCTCCTTTTTGACAACTCAGCGGCCCCTGCGCCACCCCGTTTCTCACTACATACCTAGGTAGATGAGGCGATCGTGCATCGACGGGTTGCAGTGGCGTCGGCCGAGCACACGGGACATAGTACTTGGATCGGCCCTATTGCCGGACTCGATAGAGTTCAGGTAACTGGTATTTTTTTTGTCAAAATTACGGCGTGATAGCAGCAAACGAGACATCAATTTGATATTTCATATAATATGTGTTCGGGTATGTAGAGCAGAGGTGTAGGAGTAAGGTCCCGTGCCCAGACGCGCACGGTTGGTGTAAGGGGTGGGAGTTTACGTGCCCATAGTCTACAGCCATTCAACTATAGTATTAAGTATTAATATATTTTAGTTTAATCGAGACCTTGCCGCTGTTACTATTCATCAGTTTGAGTGCAATATGTGACGAGTCAGTTAGACTACCGGAACATGTCGCCAAATGCCATCTAAGAATTCTCTAGGACAAGACAAACATATGGGCGTATGACGTACTGTAAGTCTTAGCCATACTCCTCGGGGTAGTGGTGTGTCAAGTCTGCTTATTTTCACCTAGTAAGTGTAGGTTGGAGATTTATCGTTGGGTAGGCATAAGTTCGGAACCAGTTATATTCTTTATTCTTTAACCCAACCTACTAAGGTCTAAGGCCAATAGGAGATCTGACTTCTTTCACCGGCAGATATTCCAACACCCCCTTATCCTGTTAACATCGTCGGCCTGTCTATTTCACAGCCCATACGCAACGGAAAGAGGGGTCGTGATAGTCATATCGTACAACCGTAATACCTGATATCATGGTCAACGCTCCTAAGGAAACTAAAAAGGGGCGTTAGTCCTAATTATTGACTGTAATATCTCCCCATCAGACCTAACCGGCAAGTCAAAGGTACTGAAAACTAGCTCTACCGCTCAAAGTCGAGCGATAGGCACCGATGCTCTTATTCGAAACCAATGAGTCGGTTTGGGTCCATAATGTTCTTAGTGGCCCTCTGCACGTTCTCAAACCTGGTGTATCCGCAGCTTTCGCTTTCGAGATGATTCATAAGAGCAGCTAGTGAGACGAACTCACGGCCACAGAAGAATCGGTTGGGGCAATGATACAGATTTTGCTGGTCTACAATATCGGCAAGGTGTTAGTGAGGATCGCAAAATCTATGGACTAACTTGAGGCAGATTAGTATGGGAAGTACTTACGTGTAGGCGAGCTGAGGTGTTGGTTCAGGGAACTAAGTGAGCCGAATTGGCGATGGCAGAAGTAGCATTCGAAGGCGTGTCCATTCCACGATTTGCACGTGGCCTCGTACTTGGTAGAACCTTTCCAGCCGACTAGCTTCTTGGAGATAAGGCCGCCTGGATCTTTGGCTCTGACGAGCTTATATACTTCATCTCGATTCAGGTCTGGAGCTCTCGGACAGGCTCCTTCCTCTAGGTGATGCGCGAGGCCGGTGGCGGATGAGTATGCCTTTTTGCAAAAAGGACAGTTGATGTTTAGGCCGCGATGGGCGCGCGAGTTAAGATGCTGCCGCGTGTTTTTCATTAGTTCATCGATATTAAATAGTACACGAGCGTATCCTAGGTTAAAAATAGGTCCGGATAATGGATTGTCCAACTCACCATCTTGATATTGTTGTAATTGCTAAAATACCGGTCACAATCATTGCAGTAGAAGTGCTCTTCTATCTCGTGCTCCCGCAATTCTTCTTCAGACGTCAATATGTCATCGCAGATGCTACATTCGTAGAACCAGTGATTCTTTGCGTTCATGTGATTGACGACGGCGCTGCGGGAACCGAAGAAACGCTCGCACTTATCACATTCATGATCTGGAACCCGATGATCCAGTGCTTCCATATGTTGCTGTCGGCCTCGCAAAGTGGTAAATTCCTTCCAGCATGTTCCGCATGTCCACGCCATCTTGTTGCTTTGTAGCTGGCATCAGCTATGATCTCAGTGGATATGAACGGACCTCTGCAAGTGTGGGATTAAGGTTGTCAGAGGAGATAATTAGTCCATAGAAATAATATTTTAAAAGTCGTAATGGACACCTGATGGACACCTGAAAACATCTAGAAGGTTAAGGCGGGGGCTGTCATTAGTACGGGGTAACTCGATAGCTGTCTGAGGCATCAAAGACTTTCAAGCTAAGGTAAGGGGTTGTCAGGTACCTGATTAAATTTTTTTTAATAAAAATCAGCTTACTCGGAATTAGATTAAAATAATCCGAATTAAGTATGTTGAGGATAAAATCGGAAAGAAAGCACGTTTGTAGAGAGCTTGTTTGCAGTTGGTTGCTAAGGTAAGGGGAGAAGCAAGGCGTTTGCGACGTTGCCGCATCTACATACTTGGTTACAACGCACACCCCGTTGTTACACCTTCAACATTTAATTTGTCGTATTTCTGCAGATATTATTAGACTCATCTTTAGTTGTAGCTCATAGATACTTTATAATAATGGCGAAGACCAAAGCCAAAGACTTACCCAGCTTTAAATTCTGAATAGTTGACTAACCTATGTTTATCCGTTCAAATATCTGTTATTAACCATGACAATGCACCAGCTGATACTTCTTAATGAGTTAAATTTTGTACGTACTCTCTGTGTGATCATATTTCCCTTCCTTTTGATTTGTTATATTAATCGTTCTTTAGTTGTAGACTTTGACTAAGACTAAGGACAATGATGTAGCGTGAGTTATGGCAACCAAATATCGGAAATTTTAAAGAGATCAAAGAAGCATCAGTATAAAAGCCTAAAAGTAGATGCTATCACAAGGCTGAAACTAAAAGGTATTATATTGAAGAGGATGTTCTAGCTTTTACATCAGACCATAGCTTGCTGCAAGGCTTGTTTATGTACACAAAGAAATGAAGTTCTCGACTCATGTTATCTGGCAGACCATCAGATAACATCGTGACTTTTGTGCAACCGTGACGGATATGTTAATAGATTTAAGGAGACCCACCTCACATTGTTACAACCAACTCTACAGGGAGATGCCATTTCTTTACATCTCCCTTAAAAATAAGATCTTATCGACTTTGCAGGAAATTGAGAAAGAAAAAGAAAAATCGCATGTGCCATATGTGTGAATATTTCGTAATGTACCTAACATATACAAATGTATCCTCATTTTGTTAAACCGTAATGGGTTTATAAAACAAAATTTCAAACACTGAGCACTGACCACATGGGTGGTATAGTATAGTGGATAGTACAACACGTTGTGGATGTGCAAATATACTGATACCGTGTAGACCTGGGTTCGATTCCCAGTACCGCCAATTTTTTGTCATTTATTTTTTCTTAGACACAAGTAATGCCATGTTATTTGAGGGCGTATTGAAGGGTGTAATGGAGATATATGCATCACCCATGTGAAGACTCGAACAGGGGTCAAAATCTGCCCCGTAAAACTTAATCTCGCTACCAGCTATTTTCATCCAGATCTGATTGAGCAAATGACTTGAGTGGTTGGGGTTTTGTTTCTGGTTTGATCTCAAGTATAGACAACTTTGTCAAGACGTCACCTGGATGGTTTATCGTCTAAGTTTACTAACATAAAATCTGAGTCTTTCGTAATTGAGTGATGGTCATATCCCTCTGATGAAAGAGAAGTTGATTCAAAGGGGCCAAAACAAACTTATCGAATTAATTATGCCTACCAATATGTCCTGATATTGTTCGGCTAACTCGATTATAATCTATCTTCAACCACCCGCTCCGGATAGTCCTTATGCCATCCTGATGATTCGCCGCTCTCTTCGACGCTTCGATCGACTGTTATAACGGTCGTCTTAGTAATTCCGTCAGGCTTCTGCGTCAAGATGCTCTCCTCGCTTATATTGTCTGCTAGGCTATTCGGAACGACTACGCGTCTGGCATCTATCTCTGTCCTTGTCTGGGAGTGTAAATATTTAGATCCCTTAGTGCCTGTATCGTGAGGATAATCGTGGAGATTGTATGCGTCTTTCTTGCGAGACGATCCGTAGCGAAGAGTGCTGTCGAAGATGGATTTGAACATCGGCTTTATACATGGTAGGCACGCGGCGATGATTCCTGTGTTTGTTTCGACCCTGCGATAGAACAGGTGTTAGAACTTCACCTTGTGAGAACAAGGGTTTTCAAATGCTTACGCGATCCATATAGTTAAGTTAGCCGAGTCCCACAAGAAATCGCCAGTTTTCCCATAGTTTGAAATGAAGGCAGCTTTAACAATAGCGGCGGCGCATGCGCTGTAAAGAAATTAGATTAGTGACTCGAAAGCAATGGTAAAAAGGGGTTTTACAAGACACCGAGACCAAGGACACATATAAGCGAAGCCTTAGTACGGGCATTAATCTTGACATTCCAAAGCATCGGGATGGGCAAGAGCGCAAAGAATATATCTGTTACGATATTGACGGCTTTATTCGATGGTTTGTATCAGCTCTAGCCTTATTGAAGAGGATAGGAGAGAGATTTGGAAACTGACTTGAATTGGCATAGCTCAGTCCTTGGAGAGTCGACTGTGACCAGCACGTCGTCTGAATACGAGCGTCCCAAAGCACTGCGAGGTTGTTGCATTGTAACATCAACGTCATAAAGCAAACGAACGTGTACGCCATGAGAAACGTCATGACGCCCTGTAGAATTCGCTTGTAGTAGATGGAAGGGCTGATGCGGACCAAAAAGATTCCCACTGACATCTTCACCATTGGAATGGCCCATAGGTATATTGGCTGCGAGGCAAAGTTTAACTTGAGGCCAAACCTGTTGACTTCGGGGTCGAGATATGCGGCGTGGCGACCTGCTCCGTAGTGAACTTGGGCGATAACGATTCCCATTCCAACGAGTGAGAGCAACTAAGAGCTAGTTAGCCTCCTGCCTCTAACAGCTTGAAGTCTTTTTTTGTACCATAGCTGCAAGCATAACATAGTCCTAATGTTAGTCAGTATAGAAATAGTGGCCTAGGGGATTAAGATTCAGTTGCATACATCTGTCCCAATACTATGAATCATTCGCAAGCGGACGTATATCCTTGCGCAAACGACGATCAGCGCAGCTAGAGTCGTCGATACCACGGCCCCAGCAATCTGGGGTCCTCGATTCTCATCGGGCTGATCCGCACCGGGTAGGGGGAGTATAGCGGCCGACATAATCGAAGTTAGGTATCGATTTCCCAGAAATATAGTCGGTCAAAATTCATAAAATTCAAGGCTGATCTACTTCTAGCTGCTGTTGAGTGTATATATATGACATTACTAATAGCTGTCCGCAGCTGTCCGCTTGAGCCTTTTTCTTCTTCTGTTCAGCTGAGTCTAGAGTCGCTAATGTGTCAACGTAATTCTGTTGTAGGAAGGAGCTCAAGGTTTTCTCGGACCTCTTGGCAGGACTTAAAACTAGCATGATGAATAGTCTGTAGGGATCTTTTTCACTTGGTGAGTATCGGGCAGTGCACAGCCGGGGGACTTCGGATTGGGCTATACTACATATGGCGCCGGCCCCTTGAATACTGGGGCAATAAAACGACGGCGTGGACGGAAAGGAGCTAATATAAGCGACGCGGCCATGCCAAGATGTCTACGCTGCATGCCATGCTTAAATAGTGACTAAAGGTTTACATAGTTTACTCACATAAACGATCGGGAACCCGGAACAGCCCTGTAGAATTGTAACATGTGCATTCTGCCATGTAACTTGTCTGGCCCCTAATTTTATCATGGCATGATATCCTACCTCTCGTCGAGGATAAAATGCTTTAATCGAAAGAGGTAATATACACTAGATTAGAGTGTAGTTTAGAGAATATAGTTTAACCTGACTATCATTACTCATCATTTATAATGGTATAAGGAATTAGTATCATCATTAGCGCTACACTACGTCTCAATAGCCTGGACGTATATTTGTGCCATTAGTAACAGTTTTGACAGTGTCACAAGCCGAGACGAGATGCTATAAAGGATACTATCGAATACACCGGGGCCATTAAGGAATTGGTGTTGACCTTATTTAACGCACCTCTCGCCTAGTCCGTTAAGGGTAAGTGAGATTCATCGGGCACTAGTAAGGCTCGATATGGTCCGGACTATTTCCATGGTACTGGGTTTCGAAGGGCCAGGGATTCTGAGGTTGCGATTGGCTTTTAGATCGGACAGGTCCTGTTTCGTCAGATGTACTTTCGTCTTCACCACGGTATAATAGCATAGTGCGCTATAACGAAGATCCTAAGATGGTCTGCAGTGATCTAGACTAAGATGGTGTAAGATTTCAATAGACTTGGCCGAGCTGCATTAGTTCAGCCTTTTAAGGGTAGGCCGTTGGTCTTTTTTACGGAAATTATGAGATATCTTTCGATAAATATACGAGGAAGAGGGGACGAGAAATTCCTATAAATCCGTAGATCTTACCTGTAATTGAAAATCATCTTCTGATATCCACCGCAGTTGCTTATAAGTAGATATACGCATTGACTCCAGACTAGCTAGTTCAATCTTCCGTTTCTCGTCTGGAATCAAATAACTCCCTCCACCAATTATGCTTATCCGTCGCGTAATCTACGCCCTACTGCTCGCGAGAGCTGTAGCAGCCCAGACTACCGGCAACAACTCCGAGTCACTCACGGAGCTAGAAAACCTAATCGAACAGGCTAGATCAACTCAGGAGGATATCCTGGATGACAGAGCCACTGCGGCTGAGAAGAGGGGAGAAACATGCACTCGGGATAATCTCACCGTGCGTCGTCCATGGTACGTGAAACGACAGTTTATCCTAAGTCTTGGGGGCTAAATAAATATGTTTTCAGGGGCTCGTTAAGTAAAAACGAGCGAAAGGCCTATACCGACGCCGTACTCGTACGTACTATAAATACTTTTCTTCTATTTCATTAACAGCCTCAGGGGTCGAAACGTCAAAACTAGCTGATTCGATGAAGAAAATTTTGCACTAACTCTCTGCTCAAGTGTTTACAATCATTACCGGCGAAAACTCCTGCTAGTGTAGCTCCTGGCGCTAAATCGCGGTATGACGATTTTGTAGCTACTCACATCATCCAGACGCCAAACATCCACTACTCTGTAAGTACTCCACTTCGCCAACGGAAGCTAGTTGTTAGATGCTTTGACTAACTGTTGGCGATCTTTAAGGGAACATTTCTAGCGTGGCATCGGTGGTTTGTATACAACTACGAGCAAGCCCTCAAAAATGAATGTGGCTACCAAGGTTCGCAACCGTAAGTAACTCTGGTCGATGAGTCAAAGAGGTTGATACTAACATATAATAGGTATTGGAACTGGGCTTTATACGCGAGCGACCCGGCCTCGTCACCAATTTTCGATGGCAGCGCGTATAGCATGTCTGGGAACGGCGAATATATCGCTAACAAAGGTCCCATAACCTTGACTCTCGGGGACTTTGCTCCGGTGTACCTACCTGCCGGCACGGGAGGAGGATGTGTCACATCCGGCCCATTTAAGAATATGCAAGTAAATCTAGGTCCTGTAAACCTTCCCCTAAATAACGGCTCGGTCCTGGTGGGGACCGGATTGGAATATAACCCACGATGCTTGAAGCGAGATATCTCCGCTGAGGTTAACTCCGCATACGCAAATGCTTCCTCTATTGTCAATCTCATCCTCAAGAACAAGAACATTGGGGACTTCCAAATGGTTATGCAAGGTGTTCCTGGTTCCGGCTCCATCGGCGTGCACGGCGGTGGTCACTACACTGTGGGTGGCGACCCAGCTGACGATGTCTTCGTCTCTCCTGGAGAACCGGTTTTTTACCTTCACCACGGAATGATTGATCTAGTATGGTGGACGTGGCAAGCCTTGGATTACAAGAACCGTCGGGATGCCATCTCAGGGACAGGCACTTTCTTGAACAACCCACCATCACCCAACACTACTCTTGACGACGTAATTGACCTTGGATACGCCGGTGGTGGTCCGATCACAATGAGGGAGTTGATGAGTATCCAGGATGGTCCGTTCTGTTATACGTATATATTATAAGCGAGCTGCGATGAGAAACGGCTGAGCAATTGTCGAACAAAGGAGCACTGCCGCATCTTCGTTGCTACAGCCCAGCACAAATGACGATCTATCAGCGATAAATTTCACGCCATTATAGCAAGCATATAACTATTACCAATTATACTGATTAATATATATTAACAAATGCGATAGCTGTTATATCGATTTAAACCTAATCTCAAATACCCCTATATTCATCATAAATAGCTGTCGTCTCAGTACTTATGTAACGCTTTACGCTACCCAGTCTTACCAATGTTACTGAAGAAGAGAACCTTGAAGTTTACTAACGGTCAGAAATCATGATCCCTGGGTCTTGAATATATGAAAAATAAAGCTCGCACCCCGGGCAAGAGACGAATGCAAAACTGCTACCTTAAACGTGTCACCAATAGAGATTATTTCACTTAAGCTGGGCGTAGGTGTTTATAGGGATTAACTAACCCCTTTTACATTGTGAAATTCATGTTATACCATAGTTTCAGTCTTCACATAGGGGTTGCCTATTCAACGAAGACATCGCAAGTCTATTTAATACCTTACACAGCCTTGGGAGCCTGAGTAATGCCATCGTCTCCTTGCGAAGAAGTTGTCGAAGCAACTACGTGTCTCCGTCTCAAATGTCCGGCCTCGTCGTGTTCCTGGTCCCATTTTTCCACTTCGTTCAGAGGGACTTTGACTAATCGATGGGTCGTGGCGCCATGGTCCTCGACATTCATTACTTCTGGTCGTATCTTGTACCCACCCCATCGCGGTAGCGCATAGATCCAGATGACATAGTAAATGGCGCAGACCACGATAATAGCAATACCAACGACGCAGTATGTCGCATACCAGAACGAGACTTCGCCGGCGTAGGGGCCGCCCTTTGGAGGGATCCATGGAGTTGCCAGAATGTAGACCTGGAGCAAGATGTAGAAAATCAAAACCACGTCCCAGGTCCTGAAGTCGGGTGCTTTTCTGCCTAGGCGCTTTTGTCTATAGCGAACTAGGTATACGCCAATTGCAAGAGCAAGGTGGAATATTCCATCTGGGTAAGTTCCCAGACTCACAACTTTCCTGCTGTTAGCACTATGCGACTTGGAAAAGGGGCTGCGAGAATTGAAAACTTACCAAACTGGAACGCGTCGCCAGCAGGGGGAGCAACAATCATGATAAATGTCATAACCCACTTTAGGAAGTACGGGCCGAAGGGAGTGCCGAAAGGCTTAGTGGACACCCAGAAGTTGGTAAATGGGAGTACGCCTTGTCTATTATAGAGCCTCGTTATCAGTATCTGTAAGAAAGACATTTAGGAAGGCGAAATGCTTACCGGCCAATTTCACGAATCACTCGGGACTGGCCGATCAGCACAGCAAGCAGATTCGCGAAGGCACTCAGTAAAACCAAAACGTTTAGAGCCTGCTCCGCGCGGCCTCTGCCAAAGACCGACACGAAGAACACGGCTGCGGCGATTTCTTTAGACTGGGCAAATTCATCCTTCGATACTACGAGCGTTCTTAGTTAGCATCTACTTGACATACGTAAGTGTTTGTTTTCACATACCGGCAGCAAAGTATGCGATGTTGCAAAGCATATACAGTATACCAACAATCAAGATCGAGATGGCACCGTTCTTTTTCAACGTCGGGATAGGATTCTTGATCTCGTTGACCACGTTGAAGGCGTTCGAAAAGCCCGTGTACGAAAAGACGATGTTAACTAAAGCAACGGCGAGATCGTTTCCGTTGGTTGTTGTGCCCTCGAAGGCGTTTCGGAAGTTGGCTCCGGGGTCAGGGATATGAGGGACGTTTCCGCCCAAGACCACGAGGCCGGTTATACTAATGCTATTGAGGAGATCGTGTTAACCGGCTGACACCTTTTCTATGAAAGCTCATACATACAAGATGAGAGTGATGATTTTGACAACTCCAAGTAAATTCATTAGCCATAGGGAGTATTTGTTATGGAGAATCACGCCTGTGCATACTTGTTAGACTTAGGTAACGACTTGTTCGGACAAGGATAACCTACATAAGCTCGCTACAGTGTACGCAGCAATCGCAACACCTTTCAATTGCCAGTCTGTTGGCGTAGAGCCTGCAATCTGATATAAGTATCGAGCCAAGACTATTAGATGTTAGTAGCTGCCAATTCTCGAATTTTCATGGATCGGTACGCACCGATAGCGTTACTGCTGCTGAAGCTCAGGATCACGGAGTAGACCGCAAATGTGACGGGGAAGAAATGCTTCGGCCTTGGGTACTCTTGCTCCAGGTAGACAACCTCAGATCCTGACCTATTTGGAAAGTAGCTCGCAAGCTCAAGGTAGACACTGAAGCCCGCAACAGCTAATAATATGCCAATTGTCCAGTAGATAAGAGCAAGTCCGACAGAACCAGTACTGCTAAGGATAGTTCCAGCTACGAGGGAATTTAATGTTAGTTACGCTTCCTCATCCTAAATGTCTGGATATTGGCATTATCCTACGCGTTGAGAAAATACCGGTACCAATCATTTGATTGATATTGAGAAAGATAACGGTTATCCAACCAACGTGGTACCCCAGTGGCGACCTGGATTCGACGGGAGCGCCGGCCGCCTCCTGGTAAGACGGCTTCGATCCATTTCCCGCCTTCTCTAGAGTATACGCGAGATTGCCGTCGTGAATCACCGAGATGTCGGAACTGGATGGATGGTTATCAACCGCCGGCACCTCGGTCGTCTCCGACCGTGCCCAAAATTTCGGGAACCCCATTACCTCAGAAGGTCATCCACTTGGTCCCAATAATGATAATTTAGGATGGAAAGGCAGCGCTCAAGCGATCCAGAGTATTGTTGCAGAGCGTGTGAAACAGGATCACGACAAGATGAACTTATCGCGACAGCAGGTAATAAGCTTATAATGAGAATGCGCCGAGGCAACCCTGTTTCGTACGAGATCGCTGGGCTCGATGATACAATCGGTCGTTGGAGCACACTGTGCAAACGTCTAGAACGTATTTGGGGGTATCAGCCCGATCGGCCCAACCGTGCAACACGATTTATATGGTAGATAAAGCTATATTCAGGTGGTCCTTTCAGGCTTCCTGGAGACTGTCTGGATAAAACTACGCGGCGACCTTCCTAGGTGAGGAGGAGCCGAGAATCACGCAATACTGGCTGATCATGACAACCATGCTGGCCGAGGGGTACGATGTTACGGAACAATCCTGGAACGATCGAATGTGTTTGGAGGCAAATAAACCTTTGCGTAATTCCAAGCATATAATCATGTATACTATGTTATTTTTATATAGGCGCTAGCAGGTTATAGCCTCGAGAAAACGTGGGTGCGTATGATTTTGCGGCGAGTCTTGTCCGCCGCATTGATATCGAAGCGTTCCAACATCACCAAGCTATTTCAATAACGCCGAAACATACTTTTATTAGGGTGTACCATCAAAGCTACACGATATGTACGCCAAGTAATACGAGATATGCCGTTATGACTATTTCGGAGAGTAGTTTGGTTGGCCGTGGTGCTACAGGATTGTGTTCACAATAGAACCTACCTAAATATCATTTCGCAGGTCTTCAATTTAATACTCGGAGATTGAAGAAGAGCCGATGGAAGCCGCTCCTTCGTCGTGTCATTGGCTATGCCCGGGCACATTTACTCTTGTCGGCTTATATATACTGATTTGGAGTTCGGTGTCGCCAAGATCATCAACCCACTCGACCACTCTTGTTACCTGCAGTTCGAATATACGGCTCAAGCGGTAGAACCTCAGACTCTGGCGCTCTGTCATCGTAGAGCAAAGCCCATCTCTCCTTTAGTACCTCCGGCGTCTTCCATGCATTCTCCGGATCGCGTAACCAGAATCGTAACAGATGTCGCCTTTGAGCACATTTAGTTAACTATGCTGAAGTTATCTGTATGGTGAATAGGATTGACTTACTGCTTATCGCCTTCATTCCTAAACCCGTCTCGGGCGTGAAATAAAGCCAAGTTGTTGACATATTGAATATCTCCCTTTTGAAAATACGTGTCGACGCAGAATTTCTCGCCAAGGAAGTGCAATGTATCTAACGCCTCTGCCTGAGCTTCGGTGATTGGTGGAATAGTCGGGCTTCGAGGCAAGGCACCGAATCCGACGAACGAACGTCGAGCATACTGGAGAATCACGCGTTCTGGCTCCGATTCAGTAGCCGGCTGATAATGCATTATGGGCCTTGATGTAAACGGCTGCTCGTGATTACCGAAGCTGAGAGTTCCGCACATGTTAGCTGTCTTTGAATTCGATCGCTGGTCCCATTCCATGCGACATACTTTTCCGGGTCCCAATTCTCGGTCAACGTGTGAATAAGATCGGGACGGGTACGGGCGATCTCATTATACACTCGCCAAGTACTCGCGAGCTTACTTGCACCACCTTCGGCAGCCGTTTCGAGCGCGAATAAGGAAACGATATCACCCGAGTCGGTGTGGAATACCTGCTTGTCAGTAGTGAAAGCCGGGCTACCAATTACCTCATTGCGCCCGGGACCACTCAAATCCTTGATATGAGACAACGTAACGACCGCAGGCTTGCCGTCGAACTTGCTGTCTTGGCGGCCTCGTTTAGGGGCGATATGTGCCGATAAGCCCGCGTAGATGATGATGTTCTCTTCGCGACTGTACTTGTCAACGGGAACACCGCGAATTACGAAAAAGCCATGTCCGTTATGGAGCTCATCAGATAACTTCCGCAGCTCAGAATGTAGGCTTGGTAATGGGAATGTCTCCTGGCTCACATAGCCCAGGGGTAAGTTGAGAGCTGTTGAATACCATCAGCATGAATCTTATGATAGCCTAGATCATCACCCACACTTGAAATGCTTCACGGCGAGATCTATTTCATCGAGCTGGCTTTGTTTAAGCACATACGTCCAGTCGTATTCTTTTGCAAGCGAGTCACCCTCCCAGACCAGCTTTCCAGTTAGCTGCTGGGGCAGCCCTTTGGGGAGTTCCTTTTGCAAGCCACCAGATTTAATGCGGCTATCTCTTCGGGCTTCATATTTCTTGAAATCCGGTGCATACGAAATATCGGGCTGTCCTGGGGGCTTCACCGCCGCAGGGGTAACGTACGTGACAGTCGCCATAATAATTGGGTTTGCCTCTCAACTGCTAGTGGAGTTGGACTCGGTTGCGACTTGCCTCTTTATGTTCGGTCAACGAGACTTGGAATGGGCTCACGAACATCGATTGCGCCATTTGGAGAAAATATCACCCATCGCATATATGTAGGTGAGCCACCTACCAATGAAGCTCTTTGACCCTATACTTTCCCCATTCACGTTGGACATATGTAAGGTATTATAAAGCGTATTGCATAGTGCTTCCTTACTATACCGGAGAAGTTGTCGTGTGCATCCATCGTTTGAGTCGTGATGTGCACTTTATTTCGGACTTATCCGAGTCAATTCTTCCATTGCTGTTTTATAACATTTGACAATTTTAACGGATTGTGGTGTTAAGATCAATAAATAGAAGCTCTAGACGTCGAGTTCAGAATGGTTTCTACTCGCCTATTATTGAAGTTAGATGTGATGCGAAAAAGGTTAAAAGTTGAAAAGTTATGGGCTTGAAACTTTTTAACTCTTCGTAATCGATAACACGTTATGGGATCGGCGTTACACCCACCAGATTGATATAGCCCCGATCAAACAGGGCGTATATAAACCCCTGTTGCCGCTGCCGTTGCCGTCATCGGAAATAAAAGGTACATAGTATTACTACTGAACTTTGTATAAATCGATACGCTAAAAAGAATATTGGCAACTGTCGCCGTATATCGTTGAGAACCTACCTCTAACAGCATTTATCCCCAACGCCAGGTTCTTGTTGGTAATCCCGCTTTGTGATAACAGTAAAATAAACCACACAAACCCCCCCGCTTTGACATTCCACACTATCATTAAATATGATATCAACTCCAAACCCACCAAGGCTAACAGCGTCTTGAAAACAACCCCTATCCCAAACCCTCCTTAGCAAACCCTTACCCCGGTAAACACAGAGCGTTTATATCGGTATTGATATCTAAACTCATGGCCTCGCCCAAAACCGTCTATATCCACTGTCGGCTTCACGTGCCGTGCAGGCGCCGGCCCTGACCATCTCCGTTGCGATATTACTGACTCTGCGATGGAGGATCCAATCGTTCATCACTTTCTGGTGGATGGCGTTTTTAGTAACAAATGGAACACCGGTCCATTCCATCAGCTGAAAGTGCATAGCATCGAAGTCTGCTATGTTTTTGTGATAGAAATCTAATTTCTTGGCGTCTAGGTAGCGTTGGGTCATGATCATGATCCAGTCTGAAGATGCCTTGCAGCCGGCACAGAAGTCATAGGAGAAGGGCAACTTGTCTAGGGGACAGTAGCTGCTATGGTGGATGACTAGCCTCTCGCAGGTACGGTACTTTTTGTAGTCTGCGCAGGAGTCAAGGATGGTCATCCAGACTTCATGGCCGCATTTTGCTCGATATTTCATCCAGCGGTTGCACATATTGATGGTGGTAATAGTTGGTTATAGTAGCTATTGCCGGCTTGATAGACTTGATCCAACTCTTAAAAGAGGCGTTGATCGATGCATTCTGTCATTTTGCACGTAGGAAGAAGTGCAGCGATAGCCGTTATATGTTAAAGGAAATGCGGCCGTGGCTATTTTACTACTTACTTGGCTGTGGTTGATACAGTTAGTAACTGGTGGTTCTTTTCTTATGTGCAAGTAAAGAATACTGAGTTGGTACAGAATCACACTGTGAAGTGTTGATTAATTCTGAAGGAGTGAGTTAGCACTGAGCTGTTTTTACCACCCTAGTACGGAGAAAAGACATATAATTCATCTATTCGTCCGAACCGAATCGAAATGACTGGCGAATGATTCCAGAATTGAGTTGGGTTGACGTTCCTTTTGTCAGGATTCTAGATGAGACAGCTAGAACAAAGCACATGTATGTATATATGAGCCATAGGCTCGTCAGATAGATTCGAGTCCCTCGCGGAACAACGAAGTTCTTTCCATGCTGTTTGGTTCCACCTCGTGATACCTTTTCATCCTAATAGATAGTGTTTAAAGATTCTATTGCTACCTACTGTAAATTTCCCAACAGCATATTTCAACTCAACCCTACGCTCCTGCCTACATTTAATATTGAAGCGCATAAGAAGACTTCTATTGTCACGGGGAATGAATTTTAGCAATACAAATTGCGGAATTTGACAGGAAATTAATACTATACAAGTCCCTAGATGTCGAAACCATTTAATACTAACAGCCTTACATGGTAGTCTCTACCTAAAGGAATATACAACGCCAACCTTGCATCCGTATTACCTATATGTAAACGTATTGGAATAATGTCTGATATTTTCTAAGGGGTACTATACAAGGAAGAGTGCGGTTTTTAGGAGTTCGTGCTATGATGTAAACGTCCGATAATAATGATACAAGGGATCTTGCGCAACGAACACGATAAGATTCGTGTCGTTGACATCATATAGCCGAAGAACGTGAATAAAAGCGAGGGCGAGTTCTTGGACTAGGTAACTTGCCAACATTTCTCTACATTCAATATTATTTCACAATGCCGCCTCATTTGCGCAGCGCGTCAGCACGCGCGTACTCAGGAAACCAAAATGGCGAATCCTCCAGCAAAGCCACAGCCAAGACCTCGAAGGCTACTGCAACGAAGGGGCGCAAGAGAAAGCCCACCGACTCGCAATCATCGAGTAGACCTAAGCGAGGAAGGCGGGCTAAGGCATCCAACACCCAGGAACCAGAAGAGGTTCCCGACGAGAAACGTAAACCGCGCCTAACAACGCCAGACTTAGAGTTCGACTATGATCGTTCTCAGCTGCGCGATCCGCGTCCCACACCCGGACGTGTAAGGCGACCGCGATGGGAAGATTTTGACATGCCGGAGGGCTTCAAAGAGCGGTTCTATATTCCCGAGCCCGAGAATCCCAAGGGCCGGACCAAAGCTATACGAGAGTACAATCGCCGCGAGCAAAAAGATCTTCTGGACCCCAGAGAAGCGTTCCATGACTTATACGTATGCCTTGAAAAGGGTCCCGAGGGCTCGCCTACTTATGATGCCGCCGGCTTCCAGTTGGACTGGGAAAAAGTGGACTCCACGATGCACGGGTCATACACTAGGTCGGGAGTAGTAAATGCGATGGAGAATGTCGTAGATAGAATGGAGTGCGAGGAGCGCGACATGTTCAAGATGTTCTTCGTGGATGGCAAGCCGCCAGATGCCGAATCGACGACAGTCCTCCAATATTTGCAAGACCACGTCTCCAAGGATCTCGGCGTACCTTGGCATCAGATTGGCTCTAACTATCTTGTCGAATGGGAGAAAAGGGGGTTCCCGAAGCAAAAGGCCGGAAAGTGGTGGCGAGAGCCGAATGGGATGGAGGAGCGTAGGATGATGAAGATGGAGTCTGGTGCTTCGTTAAGGAAAGACTTGTAGATAGGCCCCAAAGTACGTAAGGTTTGAATCACAGTCGCATCTCATACAATTTACATAAACCGTTTATAACTAGGTGGCGGTGTTCAGTCAACTAGCCCGCTGCGTGTAAAAGCATATATATACATATTGCGATCAAGTATCCCATTAGACCAATCTATTCTATATTCTATTTTATACTATCCGTATCCCTCCTAAGCCGTAGCCCAGTTCGGCGTCCAATCGACCTATAATAACGTCAGTCCCCTCGTTCACTTCAATAGGAGAATATGAGAACACAAATAAGGAGAAGAACTTACGATGCTCGGGTCTATCTTCTTTAGATCCCCAACCCCCGCGTTCGCGGCATCAATAGCAATCTCGTGCTTAAGAATCTCGATGGCGCGCTTGACTCCGTCCGTGCCGTAGACATTGGCGTACATGAACGGGCGCCCGAGCCCGACGGCACGAACACCAAGAGCTAGTAGCTTGACTACATCTGCACCGTAGCGCACGCCGCCGTCTGCGTATACTTCTAATTGCGAAAACACTTCCGGGGCTTGGTCGCGGATCTCGATGGCTACTTCGAGAGGCGAGCGCGCGCCGTCGATTTGGCGACCTCCGTGGTTAGATAGGTAGACTGGCGAAGTGGGTTAGTAAGTTCTACCGGGCTATTCGATGTCTTTCTAGGTCCACGACCCTCCATCAAGGGGCCCTCGACGTCACGTACTAGCTGGAACCTGGTGTTCGACGGCCTTTTGCGCGTCTTCCACCGTCTGTATGCCCTTCAAGACAATTGGAAGATCCGTCAGAGTGCGAAGGTGGTCGTAGAAGTCCCACTAGAAAAAAAGGAGTTCCTATGGTTAGCTCTTCGGATCCAGTACGAGCCAAACTATGCCTCTGAAGCTTCGCCTTGGTATACTTACGGTTATCAAAGTATAAGCAGAATCACTATATGACGCGTTAGTCTATTTCGCCGGGAACATGGTACTTGGAACTGATGGACTTACGCAGAACCGACGCCATAGCGTGCCGCACGATGGCGATTTCCGTCCGCGGCCGAGTCGATGGTAAAAACAATGGCCTTGCTTCCGGATTTCTCGGCTCGAGCGAATATTTCCTTCGTCGCGGTGTCGTTTGAGTCTAGGTAAACCTGCTGAAAGGTAACCTGGTCGTCTTTTTTGAACGTGGCAATCTCTTCGATAGTTAAACTAGCTAGCTGGGCGGGCTTCATCGGATTATCAATCTTAGCGTATGCGAACTTGCCAGTACTACAGGCTGGCCGAAGTAAGTGAAAATCATACCATGTAGAGAATATCTCCCGCTGCCGCTCCCTCGACTAGTCCCTTCTCGCCATCGGTGTTACCGTAGCCTCCTCGAGCAGCGGGGCTGATGAAGAAGGGCGCGGAGAAGTTGTAGCCGAGAATCGTGGTGCTACACCTCCAGTATTAGTAAAAATGCGTTGAATAAGCTGAGGATGAACGACTAGCGTACGGAAGTGTCGACTCGATATTCGTGACATCCACCATAGTTCTCGGACGGAGTTTATATCGGTTGAAAACCTCGAGGTTATTCCGGTACGACCACTCGCCGCCGGCACCGTTGCGATAATATGTGTAGTTCTGAACTGTAAGATGCCTTCTCGCCGCCGCATCGAAATCCGGTAGTCCAACGAGTTGATCCAGAGGCGGTAGCTCTCCGGCTGGTAGATCGGCGAAGTACTCATCGAAACTTCTGCCGTGTAAGCACTTCTGAGTTTGTAACAAGGGTGTGGCTCGGCAGAACTTACCCCGTATCGGGCTCGTTTAGAAACGGACGTGCCGCTAAGGCTCCTCCGAGCACGGAGAGAGAAAGGAGTGCTGAACGCATATTGAAATGCTAAGATCAAATGAGTGGCTTGAGGCAAGGAGAACGTGAAAAGACCTCTGGGTATGAAGTATATGGTATCGAGGTCGTCCTGGGTGGTGACAATCCTTCCATCTTATAGCGAACACTCATCGCAATACCTCGCCCCCTGTCTTGATCATCTCGGAAGGAGAGAGTTAGCACCGCCACCAGCGCGGTGATAACTTTGTAATCATCGCCAAGCACGACCAGCTACTTTCATAACGTGGAAGCCAGCCGAGGGCATAGTTTGTCTTACCTCACAAAGTTAGTTCATGCGGCCTCCTTGCCTGCATTAGGGCATAAGTCTATGAGCTTGGATTCTATCAGGATTATCTGATCGTTTCTTTCCTATTCTAGACTGGGTTTACGGCTATGATATTTACTTCGAGGGGGCTTTTGACACGACGTCTGCGGCGCATTACAATACAGGACTTACCGGGGATCCCATATAGTTAAAAAGCACAACCCTATTAGTGGGTTCGGCCTGTTGGTAAGCTGATAAAGGAAGCTAATTGAAGTCTTCAAATGCAAGGTACTGGCGGGTACCTGATTTGCTGACGATACAAACCGAATATACGCCCCGAATATACGCCATGTTCTAGACGATCAGTGGAGACGATGGTATCAATGTGCCGGCCCAGGTTATTAGATCAGTTCGAAGGACCTTAGAAAATCTGGCGAGTCGGACGAATCAAATCACTTATTCGGAGACCTCGGATTAGATCTCAAACTCTCGATAAGATAATATCTTCAAGGGTAGCTACTAGCTAGGATTTCAAAGCACCTACATAGTTTATCAATGCGATTCGGTGGGCCTCTCTGGGACATATTAGCTGCGGACAAAATACTTGAACGATGGAGGAGACTTGCATACAAGTTTGAATAGCTTCAAATACATACGTAATAGCAGGTAAGGCATGGAATAACAACTACTTGGTTGGTTACGTCACCAACATTGTATAACCTTTTAACGGTTGCCGGATGACATATTGACGCGCCAGCAAAGATGCCAAGGAAATACAGCTTTCATAAGCCTCGACAATCCTCCAATGAGGCAACTCAATTCATTCCTATACCGCTGTTTTAAATGAAATAGTTAGGCGTGGCTGGGACTTTCTATTTTCTCTCACCTTCAGAGACATTACTTCAATACTTCAGCCTTGGATAGGAAGGGTATGCCGTCCGGAGACAGCGATCATTTACACCCTAGTCCCCCGTCGCAGGATTCCTCAGGCGAAAATCAACTATCTATTGTCCCTGGTCGAATTTAAATGTCCCCATAAGAGGAAGCCGCCAAGCCATTTCAGTCCCAAGTAGAAAAGAAGACATGGATTTTCCACAAGGTTGAGAAACGCATGTGATGATTACATGTGCAAGAAACGTTGCTTGGAGGGGTCAACTTGACCGGTGATTATGGAATACACCTCGGAGACATGCATGAATCGGTGATCACTGGGTTAACAAACCAAGAAACAGATGTGTTAAATCGCTTCCGCCAAGGTGCCAAGAGCGCCATCTAAAGAGAAAGTTCACACTTTCCACGACTACGTCTGGTCTCATCTTATCTTAAATCATCTTAAAATAGCTTACCATGTAAAACCCTCATTATGCCACCAAACGTTCCGACCTTTCTTAACCCAAACTCCGACGTGTGATCTCAACTCACGAGCCATTCCCTCCGGTCCGCAAACCAACACGGCGACTCTCTCTTCAAGCCCTTGGCGGAAAAAGTCGTCGACGATCTGCCGTAGGTCGGGTCGTTTATGAACCTGCCTCGGATTAAGATATGAATTACTATCCAACTCGACCGCTTCACGTAAGGTAAGTTCACGCGGAGCGCCCTCGGTTAAGAATAGCTGTATGTTGTCGTCGAGGGTATTTGCCGCGTCGTCTGAAGGCCAAGACGCATCAGCGGCCCCGCGTGCAGCCCAGACAACCTGGACCCGGGCTGTTGGATTGTCATTTATAATATATCCTATGAGACGTTAGTCCCTTGCATAAACGTATTGATTAATCCCTTCTACGAGTATCTAGGTTCGGTACGCCCCTGTTTGGACACTAGGTATTATTCTAGAATTGGGGTTGACATAGAAACCCAAGCTAGAAGGGTATTGGTGACTTACTATATTTAGGTCAGTATCAGTATGAACACTATATTAATCACGCCAAATGAAAGCTGGGCATACCTGGATATAGGCAAGATAAATGTAGAACCAACTCCGCCGGCAACCAGAAGGATGCGATCAAACGCCGGCCCAGCTAGATTTGGGAACCACGTCGCGCACCCATAAGGGCCTTCCATGCATAGCGATACTTTGGTGTCAGTTAACTTCTCTTCAGCAAATTGGGCCAAGGCTCTAGTCATAGGCCCTCTCTGGCGTCGCGCAACTAAAGTGAGCTCTCCTGATTTTTCATCTACCGACGCGATAGTGAATGGGTTAAAGGAAAACTCAAATAAAAGATGCGAGCTGCGGCGAGAACTAAAAGGAATAGTCAGATACACATGCATCCCGGCGTACTTGCGGAAGCGATCGACTTTTGAGGATGGAAGACCGGCTACTATCTTGATTAAGTTCGTGTCAGGAATGAGTTCTAGAGTCGATGGCACGGTGATGGTGTCAATCTTGCGCTTGATGAGATCGATGAAGAAAACGAGCAACGCTTCGACTAGATACTGCCGGCCACCATGATGGGAATGGAAGAAGATGGCCGGCGGGAGTGCCATCGCTACCGTAAGGTGCGTAATGAAGAAGACACGGTACGAATAAGTACGGATAGTTTTAAGGGCCGTGGCGCCCAGCAAGCTCATACCAATGATGGAGCCAAGCCCAAGAGCTGGAACCAGACGGGTAAATCTTTCAGAGAGAATGCCTTCTTGAATATAGAAGTTTAGGTATAAACCCGCATGGACAAGGAGCAGGGAGTAGATGATCCAACCGAGGACACGATGCCATCGATTGAGTTGCTCATGAGAAGACCCGAACGCGAAGGCGATAGGGTTGATATTCTTCAATATTAATAAATATTGCAGGGGAAGTTGAGATATAGCAACTATCCCAAATCGCTTCGTAAGGTGAAGATAATCTGTATCGGATTAGTTTGGGTACCTCTTAGATTGAGAGGTAGTAATCAGATGGACCCGACTGCTCGGGTTTGGGGTAAACTGGGAGTCTGGGACACGGCATATTATCCGAACGGTCCTTGCATTGAAGAATACGTCGGATAATAGGTCGACTCACCATTTCCAGTGCCATCGAAACATAAGAAGACAAGCCACATAGACCATAAAGAGCCGAAAACTAGTTGGTCCCTTTGTCCCAAGTTCAGCCCTAGGATTACAACATCGTCGCCAAGCCACCATGCGATACGCCTTGCGGTGATACCCCAATATCCGGCGGGAGTCTGTCTCTCGTGCTTAAGTCCCGGAGAGCTCGGGACGGCTGAGTAAGCTACGGGCTGAGAAGGTGATGCCCGTCTCAACACAAATACTCCCAGCCGGTAGAGAAGGACGAGACCTATGGGAATCAGCGCCGAGAGTTGTGCGTAAGCTGCATGACGGTCAAGCGATTGGCGCCTAGCATGCCTCTGAGCATCGTCAAGAGCAACTATTTGGTATGGCCAGCTCATTTTTATCTGGGAGTCGCCGGGGTCGACCTCGCTGTTTGCTTAAGTGAACTCTTGCTAGAAATTTAACCAATTCAAAAGCAACACTAATCTTAGATAGAAATGTAATAGAATAGGATTTCTGTGATATACTATAGAGAAGGTATATAAATCCAGATCCTTAGGGTATTAATGATTAAGTTGAAAAAGGGTTCGCTCGACTACGATATGTCAGCTGGGTTAAACGAAATAAAAAAGAGGCGCCGCGAAGGTTGCGTGCGTGATCAGCCACAAATTGTACATACGCCGATGTCAAATGCAAGCCACACTTTAGTCTTTAGATATAATTCCGTTAATTGGAAGTGAGACAGATGGTTTGCTGACCTTTTTCGATGAGCCGGTGTGCGACAATAATTGAGTAAAAATGAAAGACAAGTATTCCCTTATTATCTCCCTTATTATCTACTTGGGTTAGGAGATAGCCATCGATCCCCATCCCCTCCACGACTCCCCGCTTGTAGAATGCAGGATGCATAATGTTGGTTGATTGCTAGTGTTGTTGCTCAACAGATCGACCATTTTACGGAATACAGAAAATGCCTCGAGCCACGGGATCGCTCTAGATGACATATACATCGTCGTGTATTGGACAAACGAGGATCCTATGGTTCTGCGCATTTCCAACCGAGTACAAACCGGACTGTTCGAGGATCCGATCTTGCAGAGATATCTGCCCCCTCTGTATCTTCAGCATCATCACCGCGGTACCGATCTTAGCCTATCATTGGATATCTCCTTTCCATCTGGAGCCACTTAGCGTCGCCGCTGCGCCCGCCCCATGCCCCGGCTCCTTCGAACCGGGCCTACACTAGAAAATTTTGAACATAGCGGCTATTTAGCGACCCAAGTTCACATCCAGCACAAGTCTGGATCTGCGATCTACTCGATCCAGCACGGTTTGGTGGTCTAGTGGTATGATTCTCGCTTAGGGTACACCCTTTGCAATAGCATGCGAGAGGTCCCGGGTTCAATCCCCGGCCAAACCCTTTCTTTTGCACTTCTCAAGTACCATTTATATATGGTGAAGGCTTACTTTTTTATTAATCCAATTATTATTAATTAGTATGAAAGACTCTTTTACCATCCTCCCCGTTTAATAATATATATCTTTTAGGCAAATCTTTTAATCTTTTTTAAATCAAAAACTTGTGATAATGGGACTGGCTTAGTTGACTTAAAAGCACTATTTACTTATAACGCACTTATATAACAAGTTCTCTCTAATGTAGATACTGTCCTGCAACATAAAATTAGTAAGTTGAATCGAAAAAAAGGAAACGAGTATATTCTATAGCTCACCGTCATCCCTTCCCAACCAAGCCAACTCAAGATCCAGGCAATTGTCGACATGGGACCGTACCAAATGACAGGCTTTACAGTGCGTTTAAGCAGCTCATCAACTACCTTCTTCGCATACGTCGCGGGCTCTATGTAGTGTATTCGCTCCAGCACTTCAGTGAGAATTAGCAATCGTTTCTTTCGGGAATTCAGATTTGTTATTCGCTATGGTCAGATTCAAAACACAACAACCAAGGTACATATTTGTACAAGATATGAATGAGCATCACCTACTTTTCCGACTTTCAATATACTCCCGCAGCGGCTGATACGGACTATCCTCAGGTAATTTTGTCGGGGGCGCGTTGGCGAAGAGTCCGGTCCGGACGGCACCCGTCTTGACAGTCACGACGCGGATCCCTAGCGGCGCCAATTCAGGGCGGATGGTGGCGCCTAGAACGTCAAGAGCTGCCTTCGATGCGTTATAAATGCCGAAGAAAGCTGGCTTAAGTTGGGTGTTAACGCTGCCGATATTCGCTACTAGCGCAGTTTCCCTTCCACTGCTGCCGCTGTTCTTCCTAGCGGCGGCGGCGGCACTTATGAGGAGCGGAATAAAAGCCTGCGTCACGGCGAACACGCCCAACACGTTGACATCGAGGACGCGGCGCGCAGCTGCGACGTCGGTGTGCGCGAAGGGCATAACGTGCAAGACGCCAGCATTGTTAATCAGGACATCTAGCTTGCCGTCTGTGAGCTTGGACACGTGCGCTACGGCCTTGTTGATCGAGTCTTGCGACGTGACATCTAAGACCATCGTCTCGATGCCGATATCCTGGAGGTGTGTGGGCAGATCGTCCGATGAGGCGATGACGCGGTGGCCCCGCAGATGGAACTCCGTCGCAAGGGCCGAACCGATGCCACCCGGACCGCAGCCGGTGATAAAGACGGTCTTGAGGGGCATTTGGATTATGGATCTCTTAATCTAGTAAATAAACTGAGTTGATTGATTATGCTAGGTTAGTCTGCGAATGCGTGGAGTTGAAGATGTTTATACACAGCAGCTTGAATAATGTCAGTAAATTTTATGTCATTACTGTAAAGAAATCCTAGCTACTACCACTGTCTGCTAGAAGACTGCGGGGTCCCTGTAAGAGGCCTAAATATGGTCCGGGATACCTAACACGACAGCCATACGCCCATCCTTCAATCCTTTGAATCCCAGTGAAATCATTCGCAAATCGCCAACCTCAGAATCTCATCCACTTATCAGAATATCTCTTCGAATCCCCTTGAAGAAAACGTAACCTCATCTACGCCCACCTACTCATCCTCATACCTCGTCACCCCTTTTTGCAGAATACACTTCTCGGAGAAGACGGGTGACGTTTTCGTGTCCCCGTTGCTCTGAGTAATCGAGAGGTGTATAACCATTAGCATCCTTCGCATTGACGTCAAGCGGGTAGTGCTTATTTTCAAGCACACTTTGGAAAGCTTCGATGTCGACGTCAGGTTGCTGACAAGCCCAATGAAGGTATCCTTGTCCGTCTCCGAGGTGAGTCTTATCTAGCCCTACGGCTAGTGTTTGGGCAAGGAACTTGTTCATTTCGGGGGTTCTCCATAGCTTCTTGGATGATCTGAAGAAAGCAGCCTCGATCCCTTTAAAGTCGCCCTGTGCGTTAAGGAATCCCGTCAAAACTTCCGCGACAGCAAGCATACCACCATTGAAGTTGGCCGCTATTCTCAACGCCTCCCTTGCCCATGAACCATATTCTCCCGAAAGTACATATTTTTTGACGATATGCATTGCATTGTTGTAGGATCTCCACAGAATGGCGCAAACAAGGGGTGTTAAATGCTGCGTAGCATCCCGGGGAAAGCTAGAGACGTCGTGGGCATACAAGATGTCTATCGTCTCCGTATTGTTATCCATTCTAATGGCACAGTATATCGGTGGAAGGCCCCCATCAAAAGGCGTACGCACCAATCCTTCATGTCCGTTAGATAGTAATATCTTAACAACACGTGGCATACGTCTCATTGCTGATCTATCAAGCGGTACACAGACATCAAGACCCGAATTTGTGTATATATCCTTTCGGTAAGGGGTGTATCGGGCCAGGATAATAGCAGCAGCTTCTTGACGTGAATCAAGTGCCATGGTTAAAGGGGTAGCTATATAGTTTTTGAAGCTTCGTTGGTGAGGGCGAGGACTATTGTCTAGACCTAGGAATCTTCCCCAGACCCCTGCGTCCACGAGACATCCCGCATCGATAAGTTCTTGTATAATTTCGACATGCCCGCCGGTTGCGGCATAAGATAGCGGTGTTTGATCCTGTGCATCCTTCACGTTCAAGTACTCGGGAAATAATTTTGATGACATTTTAATAACGTCCTTTGCAACTTCGACGAACCCATGCGATGCAGCCCAGTGCAGAACTGAACCCTGAGAAGCGTGGATACGCTGCTTTCTCACATGCATCTGGAAGTCTTTGATGGTTTCGAGGATCTGAGAATTGTGAGGGATTGTACGTCGAGGGTTGGCGGTAGCAGCCTCTTGCGCAGCCTTGACATCTAATATATTAAGCCGATAAAGAGGCTTGCTAAGGAGTCCCGCAAATTTGTGGCATGTCTGACGTAGTCGAGCGATTTCCTTGGGTCTGACATCAAATTCTCTCACAAGAAGAAGAAAAATCTCGTTTGGAAGCCTCGTCAAAGAAGCTGCATCACGAGACGGATTTGAACTGGTATGCTGGCGTGACATTGAGCCTGTAGACAAGGATTGATCACGCGTCTTAAGAGTCGACATGGCTAAAGGAGAAAGAGTTAGCTACATTTTGGTTCGCCTCTAAGGTTTGGGATAGTTTACCGTCGCGTTGTGTGTGCATAAAGGTCTTCTGGTCGCTGCTTTCTATGGTATTCGATTTATGCACGTTTGTCGCCGAGTCGAAGGGATGGTGAAGAAAAGAAGACGTAGATATTTGAAAGGGAGATGTTATTTATATTGAGGAAAAAATAAATAAGTGTATCAATAGAAGGTCGTGACTGTATTGTCCGTGCACAGTTAGATACCTAAGTTACTTCCCATTACACACGTGAGGACCTCAGTGTCAAGAAGGTACGTAGAAAATAGGAAGTCGCTAGTAGGAAGGTACGGCGATGATAAAGGAAATTCGGTACAGTGTGCCGACCAATTTGATCGATAATCTCACATCATAGGCTGATTGGGTTTGCACTGACTGGTAACGTCGGTACTTGATAGGTAGGTACCTAGGTAGGTAGCAAACTTTTGATCATCTTTGAAGCTATTCACTTCAAATACGTACTCATTGTATTACCCCTTTTGGCAGTCAAGTGACAAGGAGCACCGTGTTTGAATTTGAATTTATGAATTCGCACCCATGCTGTGTAGGTATGTATCTAGGTACCTAAGTCTTCATAACGGGATGATTATCTATCCGACATCTATGGAGCTTCATATCTGGTTGGCTGAAAGTACGAATGTCATCGTTGGGTAAAGCTATTATTTCAAAGGTGCGCACCTGATTGGCTTGTAGATCCTAGTCTGGTAGGGAAATGTACTGGTATTCTCTCATGCCCTAGCAGATAGTCGCACTCATCGTAATAGTGGCGTAAGAGGAAGAAGTGCCTAGCATATTAAAGGATATTTTAAAATAATTATTGAGCACCACTGGCTAGAGATCATGGAGATAGTACTTTATATCCGCTAAAACCCGGCATTCAACTATATATACCAGAAGGTTTATGCCATTGCTTTCTTCTTAATTGCCTACCATTCTAAGGCCTCCCAGCAGCATATAATTGTTCTATCACGTAAGACATAAATTGGCCATTATTGTTGAAATGTCAGAGAGGAAATTAACATGGTTGATAACTGGCTGTTCGTCAGGGTTCGGCCTGGCGCTGGCACGACTTGCCCAAGCTAATGGTCATAATGTTATCGCGACCTCTCGCAACCCGAGTCGGACACCAGAGTTGGTAGAAGAGTTCACGAAGAAGGGGGGTGAATGGATTAGACTAAACCAAGATGAGCAGGACTGTGGACGTGTAATCGAAGACGTCGAAGCGCGGGGGCTGGCGATCGACGTCCTAGTCAACTCTGCAGGTATCGGCATGACAGGCCCTGCGGAATGTTTCACTGAAGAAGAGGTTCATCAAGTTATGGAAACAAATTTCTTCGGGCCGTATCGATTAATGCGCGCGGCAGCGCCTCATATGCGCAAGAGACGCTCGGGAATGATTGTGAACTTCAGCAGCGGCTCCGGAATGGAAGCCATACAGTCTCTTGGTGTTTACGGCGCCTCCAAGTCGGCTCTGGATGGTAACTATTCCCCTTATCTTGGTTGATTACTATTTGGACTAACAGGCCAAAGGTATAACGAAGACATTGCATAAGGAAATGCAAGACTTCAACGTCCGTGTCCTATTACTCTATCTGGGAGCATTCAATACTCCCATGGTTACTAGAACCGGGGCTGTATCTAAATCTATTGACCCCGACTATAAGGGGACAACAACGGAGAAGTTCTTTACTGCCTTGAGTACGGGGAGTTTCGCTATGCCTGGCGACCATGTTAAAGCAACACAAGCAATATATGATGTAGTCATGGGTAAGGGTGTAGGCGAAGGCCACGAGAAAGAAATGATGCTTCCCTTAGGAAGGGATATGGCAGAAAGGATAAAAGAGAGTAGGGACCGCTTAGACCATATGGTGGAAGTTTTTGGAGAGATTTGTAACAACGTCAACGTTGACGAAGCCCCAGAAGCTTAGCTGAGCCAATTATTACACGACCCATACTATAATTAGGTATACAAGATCTTAAGAGGGTAATGTAGTCTCTGACTCTTCAAGGTTTCGATGCTATGCAATAAATTGAGCTGACTGTGAGTAGCTTAAATGGTGTACAGTTCTAGATTATAGATGCAAGTACATCAACTCTTATATATTTCATTAGTACTACCACAATTTTTTAACAAATCAGATGCTTAGAATCCCCCCGCAGTTTGCGACTTTTCCCTTTGCCATTCTATCGCATAACGTTTGCCAATCAAAGGCCAAATCTATTTGTGGCGTGGGTTTTGCGCATGATGCCCCCCTTTCTCCCGTACGCGTTTGCGCGGGCGAGCAACGCAGCTAGTAGTAAACATATTTGATTTGAATTAACAGCTTACCTGCGGCCCAAATGCAAATATTTCTGAGTATTTTCATTTATATGTTCATGGCTTAGTAATATGTCTTGGAGTTCTTTGGCTTGTCGTTATATGATGATGCAGTCAGTCTTACTATATCTTATCAAATCTAATGCATACGGGGATTGGTGAGGTGTAATCAGTTAAGGCATCTGCCGTTCAATACGACCAGTTCGATGTCACGTCAAGTCCGGCACATTCCATATTGGATGACCTCCGGGTAATTTAGAGGACGTATGTTCATCGGCCAAGAGGATTATTTTAATTGATAGGGATCTCTGGATATTTTAACAGCAGACTTCATCAACAGCTTCGTTTTCAACCAATTATCTACTAATACAAACTTGACCATGGCTATCCCCTCCACTGAGAAGTTGGCTGAGGGCCAGGGAGCAAAGAAGCTACATTTTGTGATTGTAAGTGCGACCCCTGAGCTGGACGTGAATTTCCACTGATTGAATACCTAATGTTAGGTTGGAGGATCACTCGGTGGTCTCGCAACTGGCCTTGCGTTGAAAGCGCTAGGTCATGACACCACGATTCTTGAGCGCAATCCCGCTCCGTTGCTTCAGGACCAAGGAGCGGGAATAGTAGCAGGTGGTGATACCCTCGCGCTTTTCAACCGATACAATCGATGTGACCGACCGTTTGCTGTTCGCTCGGATAGAAGACAATATCTCGACAGGGACGGCAATATAGTGCACAAAGAGGAAACAGTGCAGTATATGACCTCTTGGGATTTGACGTACTACCTCATGCGAGCTAACTACGACGGTATCGAGAGTCCATATTGCAAAGTGCCTGAGCCGGCACCGGAGCATGGGAAAGCGACGCATCTACATGATCGACAAGTCGTGAGTTTCAATAAGGAGGACGACGGCATTCGGGTGTACTGGAAAACAAGTGAAGGAGAAGAGGGAAGCATATTTGGCGATATTCTTATAGGAGCAGATGGACCTAGCTCGACGATACGCAAAATCCTTGAACCAGATGTCGAGAGGAAATATGCCGGCTATTGTGCCCTTCGTGGGACGGTGATCGAGACTGAAGCTAGCGAGGCTGCTAGAGAAGCCTTTAGTCACCGGTTTACTTTCTTCCATGCTCCTGGAATCCAGATCCTGGCGTATCTGATTCCAGGAAAAGACGGGACGATAGAGCCAGGCCAACGTCTTATTAACTTCGTCTACTACACGAACTTCCCCGAAGGCTCGACAGAGTTTGAAGAGATTATGACAGATAAGGATGGGAGACGAAGACAAATCACTATCCCGCCGGGTGCGATTAACCCAGACGCCTGGGAGAAGCAAAGAGAGCTCGCGCGTGAAAGGCTTCCGCCGCAATTCGCGGAGATAGTCCGTGGAACCAAGAAGCCATTCGTTCAAGCCGTGACCGACGTCCTAACCCCACAGAACGAGTACTTGGACGGCAAAGTCGTCCTGATAGGCGACGCGCTTGCCGGATTCCGTCCCCATACGGTCGCTTCTACTTCGCAGGCTGCTTTTGACGCGATGATCTATGCGGACTACATTGCCGGAAAGATTTCCAGGGAAGAGTGGAAGAGAGAGACGATAGGCTTTGCGAGGTATATACAGAAGAGGGGGGTGGATATGGGTATACGAAGCCAGTATCAGGACCTTCCGCTGAACGAACACATCAACGATCGCAATCGAGCATCGGTACCGCGGGAGCAAGAAATCCTCCCTGAATGGGCGACAGTCATATAGAATTTCTTTTACATAATAAATAGCTATACGTGCACTTCAAATGTGGAAATAGGACATGCAATCAGTTAGCTACAATATGCCTGCTTCAAGAATCTTCACCCAATTCTCTCATCGCTGTTATAAGCTTCCGCGTTTTATTAGTTCATCGATTATCTATTGGTATCATATTATATCCGTCTATAAATAGACATGGCGAATTTGTCTATTAACATACTCTCGTGCCACGCGATCGTAACCGACGCAAAAAGGGGGGTGAGCTTCCGGACCCTATCACCACCTTACGGTAGGCTGTCCATCAGAACTATCGGCCGGACCAATACGCTCGCAAGACTCGTAGTCGCCCATTCGAAATTGGCCCCAAGAGTTTCTCTGCGCCGGATCGCACTGCTCCCAAACAACTTTGAAGTCTGCCGTTAGAGCAGAGCCAACGGGACGACCAAAAACGCCACTTCCAGTTTTCGAATAACCTTCCTTGGTTAAATAGGCCTGGAACTGGAACTGCACCTGCATATTATCGTCGTACGTGTATTCCTGGCCGGTAAAACAGGGCGACCAAGTCAGTTTGTCGTTTCTGATGTCGACTTTGAAGTCTTTATCATAAGCGCCCGTAGCGCCAAAGTCTACGATCTTCTCCGGGACGTCCAACTAGTAGTTGGGACATGGCATCGTATCAGAAGTGTACTCGGGACTGAATTGGATACCTATCAAGATTGGAACTTACCAAATAAGAGCCGGATGCGTTTTTGATAGTCGGCTGATCAATCGCCCCATTGTTCTTTAGATGCTCCCACTGGAAGTACGCGTTGGCCGCGAAGCTCCGAACCCGTGCACCTCCCGCAAGCTTTGCGTATCCTGTATACGAGACGTCCGAGAAGGCGAAGCGCCATCCTTGCGGGAAAGCACCTAATTCGACGGACATTACACATATCGCGGCTTCTGAGTCGTACGGGGCAGCTGGGGTGACACTGGCCCTCATATCCACAAAGTCGAATTTCAAACTGTCGGCTTTCAGTGAGAGACTCATACTCGTCGCCGAGAAGCAGCCCGCTGAATTAGCCCCGCGGATACCAAGGATAGTCGGGACAGTCGCGGGCGCGGACTGCCCGAGAGCGAGGCTAGCCGCAGCCAGAGTGGATAGGAGCGATGCCCCCTTCATTGCGGTCTTGCGTGGCTCTCAGTAAGTATGGTTTATTTCAGGCATAGGAACGAAGTTCTATACGTGGATAGGATAGGACTGCGCACAGTATTATGGGTACAAAAATCCAATGAACGTGTACTTGCGGCCGATGAGCACGCAATAGTCCGTACTTCGGCATATAGTAGCCTGTAGACGGATAATTGCGAGACGCAAGCAAGGTAAGAAGGATGGCCTCGTCATATTAACCGGTAGATGGGAAATATATGACGGTGATGAACAGGAATCTCATATGTCCGTTTTATAAAAGAGCCGGATAAACTGAGGTTGATCAATCGGATTCCCTCCATCCCTAGAAGACCATGTCTACATAGAAAGCCGTTGCAGATAGGCCGTCGTTGACTGTTGGTAGAACAACGCGACTCGGGTCAAAATCAATGTTGATCATCATCCTTGAGGGGTACAACGCCATGTCAAGCCCCCCGTTTTTTCACTACCGACGGTATGGTGCCGATCATGATTCGTTCTTTGAGGGAAATGCCAAGATCCTCCGCATATCTACCTCCTACGTAGATCAGATATATTCGATTGAGGGTTGTCAAATATTCTGGAGTAGTCTATACAAATCCGTACCTAAGTGTGCTTCTTGTTCTGGGTACTGATCTAACACTGCTAACAATCACCAAAGAACATTCGAAGCTGGCTTCTTGACTCTTTCGGTCTTTCCTTTCACCTCGCTGCTTTTCCCCAAACTCGTTCGTGCACGTGAGCTTGCAGCAAACGCCATGATTGACTATATGCGTAAGAGCGGGCACGAAAAAGCCCCTGGGCTCGTACGCAAGCGCTTTGAGCATCATCAGCAGCTATTTAGTTTGAATGGGGCGAAGACGCCAGGGAATTCGATCATTTGCGTTTTGTACGGAAGCCGGCCCCTGGGCATAAGAAACCGAATAGAGTGGCGTTCCGGGCATTCGGTGGCGGTCATGTCCTTTGCCCCGGCCGCCACTTTGCGAGCACTGAGATAATGGCATTTGCAGCATTATTAGTACTCCAGTTCGACGTAGTGCCTGTCGCTGGAAAGTGGATTGAGCCCACCTGGGAAAATTCACCGGTCCAAGCAGGCTTCCCCGTCCCAGATGAGGATATCAATGTCGAGCTTTGACCCAGAGACCCGGAAAAGAAGTGGCATGTAATGTTTACAGGGTCAAACAAGGCCCATGGGAATTGTGTTAAAAGATAGTGTTCTTGATAATACCAATTAATAGACGCCACATGTTGTCGGTTCTGGGTATAAGACAATAGGGTGTGAACTAAGTTTCCGCATAACCCGTCTTAATAAAGTCGTGTTTCTTCTCCGCGCACCAAAGTGTCACTAGATCACCCCATTTCCACCGTAGTCTTTGAGGGACTCAGACACACGTGGCCACCTCCGGCCTATGCCAATATATCTCTTCCAAGCTGTCCATCACGCGTCCCATCATCCCAGCACTAACCTACCGCTTAGCTATCAATCCACCCGATAGCATTGTGATATAGCGTCCGAATAAGCTTGACGTTTGGACAATTCCCAGAGGGGGTAGGGGGCCATTCCAACCGCCGGATAAAGTAGAAATAGTAGAATTATAGTGGCGGTTTCACTTGGGACTATCAGGTACCTAACTATCGTAGTGATGCAAACTGAATAAACTCTGTTAAACCACAAAGCGGGAATCTTATCCCAAGCCCCCCCCCCCCCCCCTTCCCCCCGACATTTTCCCATCTAGGTAGAATCTAAAACGAAGACTTATAAGTCTAATGAACAATAGGGGTCTTTAACAAATGCCAAAAGGTCGGGTTGGTACAGTCTAGCATATACTATCCTTATGAAGTATTGCTAGGCCCTGGGGTTCAATTCCTTCGACGACCATCCCTTTTTTTCCCTTTTTCTTTTTCCGACTCTCTTTACCATGTAATCTGGCGTCTGGTCCAGAGGCCATACGGACCATGACCACGGTCCCCACGCCTATAGAATAACTGTCATTAGGTAGTTCTAGGGCCCGGTTCACTTAACACAATCCATAGTTTCGTTACGCTTGTCGTATCCTTTGCACCTGGTCATGGGTCTGCCTCAATGTTCCAAGTCCTGATGCCATACCTTTCAGCTCAATAGCAACGTGTTCTCTCCTTATTATATAATATCTGGATCTAAGCTCACTGCATAATACTAGAGCTTGCGAGTCAGAGACGACTACAAGGAAGTGGGAACTACTCAGCACGGTAGAAACCTCCAAAATGAAGATCAACTATATCTCGAGAAAGAACACGATGCCAAGCTTCGAGGTGAGAATAGAAGACCGAAGGCTACCGTTGGGAGCAATGTTTGTTAGTTCGTCACCTTCATCCTTCGCCATGTTTAACAGCCATCGCGTAGTAGCAATACGGATCATGTGGGAAACGAGAGCAACGATTAAACTAGTAACTAGTATAAGTGATTCGTGAAAGCACCTCATGGTTCCTTGGACCTAATTTATGCATTTCCTTAGAGAAATTTTTATTTATGCGAAGAAATTACAACACTTGCACGATGTGAAGCAACAGAAGACGGGTTTGCAAGGTAGCCCCAGACGGCCAGCCCCAATCTTCAACGACTTACCCACTAACTTGAGTTGCTTACTCCCCATAGATCCGTAGATCCTTGTAAGCAACTCCTCCGCTTCATCCTCATTCCTTGCGACTCCATGATAAGCTTCCCACGAGAACAGCCATTCGGCTGTAACTACGCAACAGTAGAATGCTTAGTTTCGTTCTCTTAAACCTCCGTCCCTGCGTGCGACAATAGGCTATCTACCGTCAAACTACATATGCGCTATGCCGTACTTATATATGGATAGAATCCCGAAATGTCCTCTTGCGCCGAAAGTTGGGGTATGAACAAGCTTTGAACACTATAAGCTTACCAGTCTCTGAACAAGGAGGTCAGCTCGGCGCTTCTGCCGAATTTATAGAATCTCGCCGACAGCCATGCGCGAGGCCAGGGTACCGGCAAAGAGGCGGCAACATGAGATCCTGATCGGCATTGGCTCCCGCGCGTTTCACGCACTTGCAGAGTCACATCGCTCCCGGCCCTAACACGCTGCAATGGCACGGGGCGCTGACCATTTTAACCGTGCAACGTCCAGTAAGAATTTATCTGATGAAAATCTGACCCAATACGGCTTCCAGGCCGTACGATATAGATTCGAGGCGAGTGGCTTACCGGATCCCCCGAGGCGGAGTTGCTGGGTTCGGCCGACAAGCTGATTACTATGTTGTGCCAAGTGGTCTATAAAGTCCGGTATATGATCCGGCATCCCGGTCTCTCTACCGTCTCCTATTAAATGAGGCTACCTTGGCGTTTCGTACCTTGTCCGCGAGTGATGTTTAATATTGACTTATGCATAGCTTAGTCGCGCTAGTTACCTTCTAGGCTTGTATATAGGCATGCCAGCCTCTTGCTGTTGAACTTGAGTCAACCGTCGGCCCAAGTTAGTATCGAATTACCAAGATGCGTGTCCCCTCTGGCCTCGTCGTATTTCTGGGCACGGTTCCTATGCCAACTGCGGCCATGTTCTACTACCCGAACGTTGCTGTATCGGCCCTCGAACACATCCTCGTGGACAATTGGGGAGCTTATGCTTCTAATTTCTCGTCGGCCATCACGCCCTGTGATAACTATGTCACCGAAGTAGGCCAGCCGGCCATAAACTCTCGCAGGACGACGTCTGCGCAGTGGCTACGCGTTGCGTTCCACGATTTCGCCACGGCTGATGTTGCAGCCGGGACAGGCGGGTTGGATGCCAGCATTGGATTTGAGACAGCTCGCGGCGAGAACTCCGGGACCGCGTTCAACGACAGCTTTACGTTTTGGCGGCCCTTCGTTAATGAGTTTATTCCTAGTAAGCTAACTATGAAATCCCGGTGCGATACTTATGGACTTTGAATTTGCCATGCTGAGAGAATATGTTAAGTGGCGGATCTGCTTGCCATTGGGACGGTCATGTCAGTACATCTATGTGGAGGGAAATACATACCGTATAAACCCGGTAGGATAGACGCGACCGTGGCCGATCCAAAGACCGGCGTGCCGGAGCCGTCAACAAGCCTGGAAGAGACATTGGCGCAGTTTGAGAAATCCGGTTTCAACCAACACGACGCCATCGCCCTAACGGCATGCGGCCACACGATAGGATCTGTACATGCCGGAGGGTTCCCAGAGGTAGTCGAGCAGTCTGCCATAACTCCGAATAACACCAATGGTGCATCAAACTTCGACGACACCAGGGCCGTGTTCGACCCGGGGGTGGTCCACGAATACATCGACAACACAGGAGCCAGGGGTGGTGCGCTCGTGACAAGTTTCAATGAGAGTAGTAGGTCCGACCTCCGGTTATACGAGAGCGACGGCAACAAGACCATGTTGGAGTTGTACGCTCAAGGAGATGGGTTCCAAGACACTTGCGTCGACTTGCTAGGCCGTATGCTTAATACGGTTCCGTCAGGGGTACAACTCCAATCAGCAATAGAGCCAGCGCTCATCAAGCCGATAAATGTAACTTGGGATGTCACTAGCGATAAACAGTTAGTCCTCTCGGGAAAAATCAGGGTATGTGGTAAAGTGTAAGATATAAACCCTCCGGTGATACATGGCTAAGAAGCAGTTAGATGCTGTACTCTGGGGAGATTCCGAAGGACCCAGTCTCAATGACTTTCTCGAATAACTATACGGAGACACTGGTCCCCGAGGACAACTTAGGCACTTCTGTGTTCAAACTAACCGACAGCCAAACGAACGCTACAACGCAGTACCTACCCTTCTCGATATCTAGCACCAAGTTATCCGAAGCATCGTCGTTTGCCATCGCGGCGAATGGCTTCGAGACTCAAGTCTTCTCCATTCAAGATAAAGCGTTTATCGTCCCCAGCTTGACTCGTGTCGCGGATGGTAAAGTATCCATTACCATTGCAGCGAGAACAAACCAAGCCGATCTCGATCTATCGCAAGTCTCAGTTAGAATCTCGACTCCGATTGCGCAGCCCCTTACACTTGCGCCTAAGATTACACGGGCAGACGTGCAGCTCAAGAAGGGTGAGAGCCCGTTGGAGGATATAGGTTATTGGTCCGGGTCCACCGCAATTGAATCACCTACTGGGGCTGTGAGTGCAACTTTGCTCTCAGGAGAGGATGTTATCGACACCCTATTGCTCGATGCTGGAGTCGCAGGGTGGTAAACCCTTCCGCAGTTTTCAGGCCGCATATCGGAGCTTGGTATCAGCATACGCTACAATATAGCTTTATACGAGCGATACGGAATAAAACTTATATGAATCTTCGCTGCCCATTTCCATGGTTAGATGCGATACCATATGTAGTAAGACCAGCCGTGGACCAATGATCGATTCGTGTCGTTTCTGCGTTGGCCGCAAGATCTTACGTAGTGGGCTTGTATACAGCGACATGTAGTCTAGAGATAATCGACATTTTATGGTCAGGTGGACATGGTGTATCGTAGCCAACGGTATTCGCGGTGATAGGAAGCATGTCGAAAACCGTAATAAAAATTGCCAAGTCATCCTAAGAGAAGTCAGCTTCCTAATGTGTTCATAAGTGCGGTAAACAATGCGACACAGTTAGATAAATAGACAGATTCAATTGGCCACATGCCCCCTTGACCGTGTGCAGCGAATTCCTTGCTACATTAGGATATGCCATACTATCTCGCGCATCTCGCGCTCGCGTCATGATGGAATATATACCTCTTCGTATATTCCCGGAATAAAAATCTAGGTAATATAAGATATCTTAGAGTTAGCGCTGACGAGAGACGTTCTTTCATACTATTTAACCTTCTAGGTGAACTTGATACTTGGGCGTCGCCTACTTCGCCGGTTTTAAAGGGGAGGAATAACTTCAACGGTGTACAAATCCGAGTAGTAGATGACGATGGGACCAGGTGCTCCGATACGGAATAGCCACGGGATTGGGTTACCCTCGAGGTATGAAATCCGGCTAGTAACCCCTGATCTTGCTGAGTCGATCGCGGCCTTGAGTTTCTTTACCCACTACTTCGACTCACCCATCTGGAGCCCAATATATGAAGGACGCCAGGCAAGAGAAGCATTGAAGGCCTATCATGCCTGCAAACCTTTCTATGAGATGCCTGAAATGGCAATGAAGAACGGCCTGTCTTTCTGCATCTGGGACAAGGAGTTCGTATTTAAGAGGCCCGAATCAGCTGCTAAAGGTGGTGCCTGTTATTGGAACGACTTTGATATCGACGACCCCAATCTAGAGGTTAATGGAAGGCAAAGACTACTTGATGCGTTGGATTTTCCGATTGTTGGATTTGCATTATCATTCGACAAATTCGCCCCTGGTGACCCGAAAGGATGGGAGGCTGCAATGAAGGCCACACCCCTGAATGTTCCCATGGGTAAATATTATGACGCACATGACCCGCGGCCGAAAGGATCATGGGAACCTACGGCGGCCGGGCAGGTTATTGAACGGGTCGGTAGCGGAACAAGGCATGGGTATTATGGCCAAGGGCTCATGAAAGCGTTAGCAAGATTCATAATGCTCGAGATGAAATTTAGGGGATATCGGGCAATACAGATCAACTGCGGAGCGCCTCAAATGCATCATGTATGGTCTAACCCCCCGAAGCCGTTCAGGAGTTCTACTTTAGTGGCGTTTCCCACGTGGATTTTTGAGGTCGAGGAAGATGGTAAGAAGATTAGGCTGTACGAAAAATCAAAGTTGCCCAATCTGTATCTTGTGTGGACGGAACTGTTGGATTAGAGATGTCATAGGAAGTCTATTGGGGGGCTCATGCTTCCTCCATGGAATAATAACATATTCGTTTTCGATCTTACTCTTGACTTGCTTTCCCTAAGGAATTAAGAGATTTGCCCCAAGTACAATACCTCAAGATATAGGAGGTAGTGAACTTGCAAGAAGTAAGTTACACTCTTGGGGTAAATTCGTGCTAGGGAAGCAAGTAGAAGATAATGATGAGATGAAGGCAACGTTTTCGTCTGTCGTAAGTTTGTGGTTGCCCCACGACTTTATGACTTTCGACTTACCCGTCTTCTTCTGTCGTCCGATTCGGTGAACAAAGCAAACATACCTACCGTATAACCACCCAGTTATACGGAGTATTTCTCTTCGCGGAGACGTACGAGACAATCTTAGGTGAATAAAACAAAGTCTGGATTTTGGATATTGCTTCAGCGAATACAAGGGGTAGGTACTATACTTGATGTACTAAAGTATGTAGTATGTTAAATCCAGATGGTTGCATAAGGGTCAGTTAATATTAGAAGGTATTGATGGACGTTTCTAGCCCCAGTCCTATTACGTACCTACCTCTACCTAGGTACCTAAATATAGTGCGTACCTAATTAATCCTTACCTTACATAGGTAGGTAGTATGGTTGTACGAATTTGTTTTAAGTTCAGGACTCATCTTGCTAAAGCCTACATACGTAAGTCGTGCTGGTCTCAAAATAGAAGTTTGGGGAATACTTCGTACCAAAACGCAGAAACGCAGCTGCCAACCTATTGGGTTGCAGGGGTTATTAGGTCTAGCCCCGTCGATCGTGGGGCTGGAAGTGGGAAAATAATCTAAGTGAGCCCCAACGCCGCTAGCTATTTAGAGTTAAAGTGTGGCTGAAGTAGGCGTAGTAGGGTCCGGTTACATGGCAAAAATTTCCTTGTCAGTGGGCGGCAGTCATGACTCGCTTTTACTTTTAATTTTTCGTGTCTTTCACCTCGTCCCTTTCTTTCTTCTCCAGCCCACTCAAGCTCCGTTTCGTTACGGTCACGTCAACCCACTGCCTCTCGTCAATCTCCTGCCTCTGGGTGACCTGTCAAGTTCCCTTCTATTCTTCTTGCCGTTTTTATTACTTCTTCGCCCCCGCGTGCCTATCCGAGGTGTCAAATCTGGTCCGACAAGTTAAACTGCATCACCAACCCAAGGCCATAAGCTTTATCGCGGCGCAGCAACATCTTTCTCTGTTGCCTCATTACGACTTTCTTGCGGGCTCCCGTCCTACCAACCAGACAAATTATCTACTTGATACGAGTTTACCGAGATATCAACCTGTTTAATATCTTTAACTGGTATTAGAGTAGCTGTCACCCTGTCACCATCGAGCCCACTATTAGGTCAACTGAGAAAAGCTTTTTGATAAATCTACTCGGTTTCCTCCCACGCACGCACGCCCATTATTTCAAACCTTGGGCAAGAGAATCTTCATACAAACGACAAGAAAAATACTTCAATAAACCCTGCAATTCACATTTTTCTGTGACTTTGACTAGTCATGGCGAGTCCATTGCAGTTTGCTTACCGAACCCAGAAGGCTATCGGCGTTACCGATGCCGCGCCTGTCTACGAACCTCTCCCTGGATTCGTTAAACCCGAAGGGAACTTGCGGTGCTGTGTTTATTCGCCCTGTGGCCGATATCTAGCCTGGGTATCCAGCGAACGTGTCTGCATTGTCGATGCATCTGTTGGCCATGTTTTAACTAGCATAGCTATCCCTAACGTCTTCGAAGTCGCCTTTTCTCCCCGCGGTTCCTTCCTAAGCACTTGGGAGCGTCCTGCTAAGGACGAGGCTGGTGATGCGACAAAGAACTTGAAGATCTGGCGAACTATCGAAGACCTCCCCGATGACGTCGAGAAGCAACCCATAGGGCGGTTTGTTCAAAAGTCCCAGACTGGCTGGAACCTTCAATATACCTTTGATGAAAAGTTCTGCGCCCGTCTTGTCACCAACGAAGTGCAATTCTATGAAAGCAATGATCTGAGCAAAGTCTGGGATAAGCTACGAGTCGAAGGTGTGACCGATTTTGCTATCGCTCCTGGTCAAAGCCACAATGTTGCGGTTTTCATCCCCGAGCGGAAGGTTTGTTTTCCCTTTTAATTTCTCTTACTTGACATGAAGTTGACAACATGATATAGGGACAACCTGCCGCTGTCAAGGTTTACAACGTTCCTCAGTTCACGAACTCGATTTCTCAGAAGACTTTCTTCAAGGGCGATAAGGTTCAGCTCAAGTGGAATAGCTTGGGAACAAGCCTGATTGTGCTGGCACAAACAGATGTTGATAAATCGAACAAGAGTTATTATGGAGAAACCAATCTCTATCTCCTTTCCGCTAACGGCTCCCTCGACGCCCGTGTAAGCTTAGACAAGGATGGGCCGATTCACGATGTTTCGTGGTCTCCAAATGGTAAAGAGTTTGGTGTGATCTATGGTTATATGCCTGCGAAAACCACGATTTTTAACCATAGGGCGGTCGCCACTCACTCGTTTCCTATTGCTCCTCGGAATACGATCATCTTTTCGCCAACTGGCCGATTTACCCTAGTTGCTGGATTCGGCAACCTGGCTGGTCAAATTGACGTTTACGATCTGGAGAAAGATTATCGTAAGGTTTGCACCATTGAGAGTGGCAATCCTAGTGTGTGCCAATGGAGCCCTGACAGCCGATATATTATGACAGCCACAACGTCCCCACGTCTCCGTGTTGATAATGGTGTTAAGATCTGGCATGTCGGTGGTGGTATCATGTACCATGAGGATATGGTGGAGCTCTATAACGTGACTTGGAGACCTGTTCCACTGGAGAACCTACCCCAGGGCGACCCCCTACACCCGGTTCCCACCCCCCATTCTTCGGCTATCGCATACCTGGGCACAGTGAAGACTCCGTCAAAGCCTGTTGGTGCTTACCGTCCTCCCGGCGCCCGAGGCATGTCAACGCCGCTTCACTTTAGAAGAGAGGACGAGGGAGGTGCCGCCCATGTGATGAGCAATGGTGCTCAGAACGTGGGTCCGAATGGATTTGGAAGGTCGCGTCGCCAAGTTCCTGGTGCAGAATTCCTTGAATCTGGTGCGCGTGGCGTTCCTGGGGCAGTGCCGGCCGATGGCGCTAACGGCGACGACAGTTTGTCAAAGGCTGCGCTGAAGAATAAGAAAAAGCGAAACAACAAGAAGGCCAAAGACACCGAGAACAGGGATGGAGAAAGGAAAGAGAATGGCGGTTTAGCGCCTCCGGCTAGGGACCAAGGCCCTGGTTCTGGAAACGAGGGACACAGTCCTGAGCGTCGTGGTCAGCAGTTCAACCAACGAAGACATGATCGGAGTCGCTCGCGACATAACTTCCAGGGTGGTAATAACCAGGGACGTAACCGCGGCGGCACGCATCAAAATGGACAGGCACCACCGACTGCGCCCCAGATCCAGACATCTCAGCCACCTACTCCCGACGCTTTGCTCTCACCCGGCAGCCAGAATCCCGCGTCCAAAAAACTGCGCAGCTTGCAGAAAAAGATCCGCGCAATCGAGGACCTCGAAATGAGACATGCTGGCGGCGAGAAGTTAGAGGACACTCAGATGAAGAAGATCGCTACGAAGGCCTCGGTGGTTAAGGAATTGGAGGCTTTGGAGAAAGAGACTCGTTAATTACGAGCTTCTTGACGGTGAAGGTTCCACTGAGCTGCTTCGATATTTCAGGTCTGGTTCTGGTTAGTCCTAATACGGACGCCTATGAACGAGGGAACCTAAGGTACCTTTGGACTAGGTGATCGGGTATCATATCTGGCTTATCATTGGCGTTAAGGGGGGAGAAAAAGGCTGGCGGGGCCGCTTTTGCTCAGCTCTCGGAGAGGGTATGCGAATGCGAGTTGCCTTTGCGAAGTGTTGTATTAGTTAATTCTATGCGGTCCTAAAAAGGACCCCCACATCGAAGTCAGCATGTATTTCATAAACATGTTCCATTTGAAGCGATGGAATGCGAATCATTGACTTGACATGCAAGTGGCATGGGCGTGTATGTTGCGAATCTATTGTGATAATATTTACAACTAAGTCGCCTTGTACAAGGGGTAACGGGAAGCTACCTATCTATCATCTCTGACATAACATCAAGTTTCTCGGGCTATTCTCGTTGCGCATCCGAATCATTAGCAACTCCCTACTCCATATATTCATATCCATCCAGTAGCGCCCTCATGAGCACCGAAAGTAAGCTTACTTCGTCTCACCGCTCAGCTCCGCAAGGAAAAGCACAAACTCCATCTCCGCAGCCTCGTCCTCCACGAATGCGCCGCGGAACCAGGCCGCGAGACTCGAGAGCTGACACTTACAAACTCGCACGCGCTCGCTGCTGCAGATCCCGCCCCAGTACGGAACGGGTGTTCCGTGGTCCTTCCACGCCTGGAAGGTCGCGTCCTGCTCCTTTGCTTCGAACAGGTCGATTACTTCGTCGCTAGTAGTGTTTGAGAAGGACGCCCCCGGAGAATCGGCGTCGCTGCGGCAGTTCGCGCAGCGCCCCTTTAGACGCGCGTAGGAGCATGCTACGATGGCGCTCATGAGCACGCCAGGGATAAGCAGGGGGTTGAGTCGCAGACGCGTGCGCAAGAGGGGACAGGTAATTCCACCCCGGGAGTCGCAGTCGGAGCGGGCGGATTCGATGGTGAAGATGCGGCAGATTTGCGCGGCGTTCCAGAGCGCGGCGCGGGGGCACCCGGTCGAGACCCAGCTTAGGAGGTGCGCTTGCGGCTTGCGGGTTGGGATTGCGGCGCCGGGGCGGGATTTGTAGTAATGCCCTCTGATACGTAGGACGTTCATGGGGGCGAACATTTTCAGTGTGGACATGTACATTAGTGTGAATGTGAGCGGGGCTAGGATATGCTCGGGGCCGTAGAGGTCGCCTGAGAAGTATTGCTCGAGCAGGGGGCAGTCTTGCTTGCGCTTGTCTCGCCAGAGGGTTAGGTGTGGGTGTGCCATGTCGACGAAGATACCAGGATTAATCTCTTCGGCAAGCTCGTCTGACATGGAACTATGAGCTTCTCGTGCTAGTTCCCAGATAGTCGTCTGGGTTGCGCAAGTGCTTAGGTGGTAGTCGATGTCGGTGAGGCAATACGGTAACTTTCCGCGGTTGGGATTAAGGGCGTCGCGCATGAAGAATGAAAAGAGCGCCTTTTCGCGACCCGCTGGTTCGTTCCATTGGAGCTCGCGTCTCTCTGGTTCGTTGGAAGCAGCCCATAGTTGAGAGGACTTGGGTAGAGGAATCCATAACTCTTGATAGCGCACTGAGGGAGGGTGGTCTAAGAGCATACTGAGGTATGCGTCGATGCGAAGAACAGAAAAGGCGAGTCTAGGCGTGAATTGCACTGTTAGTATTCGCAATATATTTGGGATGATGTAGGGTCTACCTATTTAGTTGCTCTTGTATTCGCCAAGCAACAAATGGACAACCACTGGCCAGGCCACTCATTTCGTGACATGAGTATTGGCCGTTAAAAACGCCAAGATATCGACAGGTCGATACCAATAGACCCGTGAGGTTGAGGGCTTTTGCTACCATACCATCCGTAGTCTATGAATATTAATACCAGATAAAAATGGTACTAGATGTATATATCTCTAGGTTACATACCAACATGCATGTTGTGTAAACGATATAGAGTAAAACGGCCTGTAATAAATGTAAAGGCGGATGGGGAACCTAGGCGGCGGGTATTAGCCATTGAAAGATGGATTCCAGAGCAGGGTCAGTATTTCACACCATTCGAATCCGAGCTACTTCGTCGAAGAGAATAGGAGCAAGGTTTTTGTGATCAGGCCCCTTTTCAAGCCAGCTAGCCAATATAACCATGGACGCCAATAAAACCGGTGGTGTCTTCTCCAGTTCGAACGTAGGTGCGTGTAAGATAGCCCAGTACGGATGAATCTCTTGGAAGAAAAGTTCAACAAGCCTCTTAGTATTGGGTGAGTTCGTGTCTAGATAAGTAGTCTGTGAATCTGTCAATATGGCTGATCTAGGCGATTCGGAAGTCGTTTGAGGTTGCGTTATTGGCGGCGACGTCTGTTGAAGAGGCGTATGGGTAATATTCGATGTGTTGAAGTGAGTTGGCTCAAATCTAGCTGCGCTAGCACTTGATGTAGAATGGACCAAGCCAGCCTGTCCCAGGGTGCCATTTTCCTCATGAACAAGGTTCAAGTCATTTGAAGCCTCTGGGTACGAGGGTGTAGCCGGGAATGGTCCCGAATTCCAACCTTCCGGAGTTGGTGGAAGCCATGTTGCTTGACTGGGACCGCTCGCCGGCAACACGATCGCTGATTCTATACTAGCCTCATGATGGTCTTCTGAACCAACCCAGCGACACTCTATCCAACTCGAAGCACAAGCTCCGCAAGGGGAATTCCCGTCGCATTGAGTGCTTCGCTCACCGCATGGTAGACATATTCTAAAAGTCGATCGCGAAACATGTAAGTGATAGGTAATCTCGAGCTACCCGAAGTGCTACTCACCTTCTTGTGTCTGGTGGCTGAGAAACATCTGGGTTATGTTGTTTTACATGTCTCTTGAACACATCGCTAACGTCGATATTAGCAACGTGGCCATAAAATCGGTTACTGTGTCGAGGAGAGGAGAGCCAATAAGCTAGGGATGACGCACATACCTCCGCGCGTAACGCCGTCCACATACAGGGCATTTATACTGATGTTCTGGATTGTGGCCTAGTTTATGTCGATTTAGATGCTCCTTTCTGGTGAAGCGTTTGTCACACCCAGGAAACGAGCATTCCCAACTTTTTGGTAACGAGGACATATCGAGACATTCCGCCTATAGGTACTCCCGCCCCCTGTCCTCACACAGGCCAACAAAGCAAGATTAGACCAATACACGTCTAGTCAGCTAGCGACCTAACTTGATCGAGAAATTAAAGCGTCGAATGTTTCCGTGGAGTCTTCGTTGGCAGGGATATTCTCGCAATTCTATGAGTCCTCCCACCTGAACATATGTGGATGTGTAGATTGGAATAAGCATGTGGAATGTGGAATGGGAGAAAGATTCGACGGCGATGAAGGAGATATCGGAGTTGACTTACAGTAATCCGATATCACCGGTAAGCACATATTAGTCATGGCAATGTGGGATTAAAATGTGGGATGTGGGATGAAGCTTTTGCCAATGTGGGGGGTGGGCAGGTTGATTCTCTAAAGGAAGATCACGTAGGAAGAAGATCTGACCGATGTGGGATACTGCTTCGGTGAGGTTCCGCTATGGTGATTTTGTCTGCGAATCGTTTCAAAGGCGAATATTTTCTAATAACATCACTCCTTATGGCGTCAGTAGGTTGGGTAATCGTCTTAGAAATGACGATTACTAAAAGACAATTTGCAATGCAATATGGAGGACGTAGAAGTATAAAGCCATCTGCTCGTCCCAAAGGAAAAAAGAAATAGAAACATATCACTTCTCATCAGTAGCAATCATCCTCAAGACCTTGATAAGAAATACAGCTTCTCTCAACTTTTACTTATCCTATCAATCAATATGACTACTATTACGAAGGTCGCCATTGCAGGTGTAAGTGAGCAAGGAAACTGCTATAACACCTCTTTATTTTTCATCCTCACTAACATTCTATAGGCTAAGGGAGATCTTGGAGAGCCAGTATTTGAGCAACTCTTAAAGGCTGGTTTCCAAGTTACTGTCATAACTCGCAAAGGCAGCTCTCATATCTGGCCGTCCAATGTCACCGTCAAGGAAGTCGATTACAACTCGCTCGATTCTCTGACGGAGGCACTTCAGGGTCAAGATGCTGTTGTCTCGGCTATTACAACTTCGTCATTGGGCGCACAGATCAACCTGATTGACGCCGCAGTCAAGGCAGGGGTGAAACGCTTTATTCCATCCGAATTCGGTTCCAACACTTTCAACGAAAAGGCTTCACAGCTGCCTTGCAACAAACCCAAGGTCGAAGTCCAGAAAGCACTGAAGAAAGCAGCTGCCGAAAGTAGTCTGACTTGGACAGCCGTACTCTGCGGACCTTTCTTGGACTGGGCGATCCGTGTCGGGTTCTTCGCTGACGTTAAGAATCGTACTATTTTAATGCCAGATGGAGGAAACAATACCGCTTCGAGCACGACCCTCCCCACCGTTGGCAAGGCTGTGGTGGGTGTGCTGAAGAACTTTGAACAGACCAAGAATCGCCCAGTCTTCATTCAAGAGACTGTCATCACCTTGAGGCAGATTGCGGATATTCTCAAAAAGTATACCGGGACAGAAGGATGGGTTGAGAACGTCACGTCGCTCGACGAGGGACTCCAGGACGCTTTGGAAGAAAACAAGACAGCATACACGCCAAACGTCTTCATCTCAACTCTCAGGGTAGGCATTTGGGGTAAGGATTACGGCGGTACCTTTCAGAAGCTTGATAATGAGCTCCTGGGAATCAAGCAGTTGAGCCCGGCTGAAGTGGAGGCTATCGTGGCCAAGAACATCCCCACGTACAATGCCGAGGGGTGATGATCAGTGGTTGTAGGGGATAGAGCAGTATCTTACCCACGTTAGATCATGTTAGTCTTGAAGTTTTAGTTTGAAGTAGAGTTCAGCTACCGAATTCTTCTATATTCATAACTAAATCGATGAGTTGCTATTAAAAGTTGCAGGATCGTGAAAACCAGTAGAAGCCCCCACGTAAGCATTAAATACCCAGGGAACAATCAAGCGACTCTGTCTGAAACCTACCCGTGTCAGGGATAAATCAATTTACGTAGTGATAGTTCGATATGAAATTGATATAATTGAATTCGCCTACCTTAGGGACCTACCTAGGTAAATATTTCGCTGAGAATATGAGGCTACCAGATATGTATGTGCACTAATCGTCCACGGTCGATATTCCGCCGATCCGGGACACGATTCCGACTGTCAAGCTTGAAAAGTTAGCGTCATAGTTGAATCTCGCGCCGCTATCCCGGCTTGGTTGGGCCTTGGCAAGAAGCAAGAACGTGGTAACGGTATCCAACACAGAATAGGAATCTCGACCAAACCAGCTGATGGTCTGGGGTTCATGCTTAAGCGGCTTCATCTAATTTATTTCCGAGTTGCTGGGCTCTTCTGGGGTTCGCCCAGCATCACATGAGCCGGGATTTCGCGGCGGTCTTCGCTACCCTGGCTTGTCAATAAAGGGGCTGCCGAAAATAGATCCGGATGCGCAACCTCCGCCGATCGTTCGTTTTTCCCCAGCACACCACAACTTATCGAAACGCTAGGATGGTTATGGAATTTTGGTCGTTCTGTTTCCGCTCAGAGCCTCCGCATCGCCAACCATTGGAGGAGAATATTGGTTCTTTAATGATACCCAACCATGGCTTTTCACCATTGCGCGGTCAGTTGCTACCGTGTGATCCATCCGGATTCCGGGATTAGCAACTCTAGCATAACTGTGGTGGCAGCCCTCTTAATTATTTATAGATGACTGACCCCGGGTTTTCATTCGCAGTTTTTAAGATCGACAGGAGTCTTAGTCTCAACAGTAAGACGGCATTATCAAGCTTCCAAAATGAGATACTCTTTAGTAGCGGCTGCCATTGCCAGTGCCAGCTTGTCGAGCGCACACACAATCTTCGTTCAACTCGAGGCAAACGGTGTGACGAATCCGGTGTCTTACGGAATAAGAACGCCGTCTTACGATGGCCCTATCAGCGATGTGACATCCAACGATGTTGCTTGCAACGGCGGTCCTAACCCGACCACGCCCTCTGACAAGATCATCGACGTCAAAGCTGGTTCCACAGTCAATGCTATCTGGAGGCACACGTTAACATCTGGCCCCAGTGATGTGATGGACGCGAGCCATCTGGGACCTACACTCGCCTACCTCAAGAAAGTCGACGATGCGACGACTGACAAAGGATACGGCGATGGCTGGTAAGTTAACTATTCTCTTAGTATGAACGCGAATTTTTATCGAGTACTCACTATTATCCAGGTTCAAGATTCAGGAAGATGGTTATAGCAACGGGGTGTGGGGTACCTCGAATGTTATCAATAACGAGGGAAAGCAACCGATCACGATCCCGGACTGTCTGCCAGATGGTCAATACCTCCTCCGTGCTGAGATGATTGCTCTTCACGCCGCTGGATCCAGTCAGGGCGTCCAGCTGTACATGGAATGCGCACAGATCAATATCTCAGGAGGTTCAGCCACCAAGACTCCCACAACCTATAGCCTCCCCGGCATTTACAAGCAGGATGATCCGGGCCTCCTCATCAACATCTACTCCATGGACAAAAATAGCCAATACATCATCCCTGGTATGTATCCATCTCGAACGGCTCAACAACATCCACTAACATAGACATGGCCAGGCCCCGATCCTTTCACTTGCTCGGCAGCTAGCTCTGGCGGGGACTCCCAAACCACACCGAAGTTACCTGCTTCCACAACACTAGCAACCTCCACCAAGACCGCAGCACCCACGACACCTACCTCTCCTTCGGGATGTACTGTTGCGCAGTGGGCTCAATGCGGTGGCTCTGGCTTCACGGGATGCAGCACTTGCGCCAGTGGGTACACTTGCAAGAAACAGGTATGTTACATTGATTCACTCATTATTGCAGATAGATATGGGTTTTACTAACTTGCACGTTATAGAACGAGTACTACTACCAGTGCGCGTAAAACATTTTTAGATACAAGGTTTAGAATAGTAATACGAAGTATTAATATGCAGCTACTGCTACATTTGCTTATAATGTGAATTACTTGCTGCCTAAAATGTTCTCCTATCTAGTCTGAGACAACAAAGGTGATTAAATAATATAATAAATGGTTATTCAAATATTCTCTATTTCTTTCTCAATTTTATCTTGTTATCTTACGAATAGAGCACCATCTAGGACCTGGTAAAATATATGAATACAGTAAGCTAGAGATACCCCTTCCCTTTCTAATGCCCCATCGTCTTGTCAATACTCCTCTATCTATGTCTTAGTCCTTCAACCAAAGGCATATCAAGGGAATTGAAAATCAAGTTAACCTTGAACAGTGTTAGCAATGTTAGGAACATGCGCTGTTTAGGAACGGTGCAGGATAGTTCGCCTACCTCGATGTCGGTGACTGTCTCTAGTAGACATGCCATCTCTCTGAGAAGCTTCCTCTGGCTTCGGTTTCGGCTTCGGGGTTGGGTGTGGTCCCGGCCGTGGACGTGGTCTCGGTCGTGGTTTGCCTTCTTTCCAAGGGATTTCGTAACCACTTCGACCTTCGTCGGCGGGAGGTTGGCTGTCAGGGTCTGTACCCATACTCCGCGCCTGCCCCTTACCAACGTGACATACTCTAGCATCGAATGACATGTTGTAGGTAGGTTTTAGTGCTATGAGTTTGGGTAGAAAAAAAACGTCCAGCTCAATTATGATATGGATAAGAGGTTGTAGGGAAGAATTAATTACAGATTGCCTTGGCCTACCATCTTGTTCAACTCCATCGCAGCTCACATACACAGTTATATATCCATACTTCCTGCATCTCGTATTAGAACAAAATATCAGTGCTTGATTAATTTCATCTAATTCGTTTTGACATGTTAGATTTTAAAAGAGGCTATTGTTGGAAAACGCAACGCCCACGTGATACGACATTCTCTTTATCAAAGAGTGAAGTTAATAGTCTTCATTTTATGAAATAATGATTCGACCCCCTTCCTTTGTATCATTGTGCGGCTGAACCACGTGGCTTAGGAAAGCGTGCTGTCTGTACCTAGCCTTCCGAGACATCGTGAAAAATCCTTGTATCCCTATTTAACATATACTGTCACACGGATTATACATTGATCCGAGGTCACGTGGCCCCCACAGGGCCACATTGGGGCTATAACTACCCCACGAAGCTATCCTTCAAAGGAATCTTCTTCTTCTTTCTCTCTTCAGGGACCTCAGGACCAATACCGTTTATTAGATCAGAAGAATATACGTATTCCAAGCCTCATTAATATGAACCTTGTGACATATACTGGGGGGTAACTTATTTATATCATTAGTGTCGGCGACCTCGGCAACCTTGAACAAAGATGATATAATAGTAGGAAATGATAGATCAAATAGTATTATCAACCACGTGGTTCTTTCTCGTCTATCATTATTCATCTCGTTAGTAGGATCAATATGCTATCTCGTAACTTTCGTATTATTCGAGTCAGATTATGAACATCCCCAGCAAGTTTCTTATTAACTTGATCAACACCCTTAGCCGACCAAGGCGGGTGAAGAATAAGCTATCGATATTTTCTGAAGCATCGGGGACCCATAACTTTCCTAGGATCTTTATTTTGACGTTCATACTTAAACAGTTTCAACGGTGTTAGTTATAGAAAGCTACACACTAGGCTGATAAATAGATGACACCGCAGGCATATAAATGATACGTTTGTGGAGAGGAGGATATGTTCCTAAATTTCAATCTAACCGAGACCTTTCCAAAGGTTCTAGCTACTCGCTGTGCTTAAACCAACATACCACCTATCTATGCTACTGTTTAAAGCCATTGCCTGGTGCCCAAATGGGATACAAATGACCCCCCATCTCCACGCTCAAGGCTTGCATTGTAGATAACACTTAGAACGCTCTTGACGGACTCTTCTGGAGTGATTGGGCCCTTAAAGTGAGGAGCATATTTGGCGAACTTGCCGAACATCTTTTGGGCGCTTTGAAGCTCCCTTTCAGAGACTTTAACCAAGAAAGTATTAGCAAACATTCCCGAGCACGATAACGAATAAAACAAATGATCTTGAGTATGGAGGCGACTGGGAAGCAGAACTCACGATTTTTGGTCGAGTTAGTTTGTCCATCCGTCGCAACAACACCAGGCGAGATACTGAAGAATAGAATTCCTTCGCTGCGAAATTGACCGTTGAACTCGGCGACCGCGAGGTTGAGAGCTGCCTTGCTCGTCGTATATGGCCCGGACATATCAAACTCTATCTCCCTCACCAAGTCGTAGTCGGAAATACCAGTCGAGATCGAAATAACCTTTTTGGCTTCTCCCTTTCGGACCAAGGGCAGAAATAAGTTGAAGAGGTGGACATTTCCAATTACGTTTGTTTTGAAGGCCCTAGTAAACTCCTCCTCTAGATTCTCAGGATTTTCGCCCCTGATTGATTGAGATGGGTTAGTGAGTGGCTCTGAGAGTTATCTCTCTCACAAAAAGAAAAAAAAAAAAAAAAAAAAAAAAACTGGAAAACTGAAAAACCTCACAAGTCGGTCAGCGTCAAGTAGGCCGAGCTTTCGGAAAGATAAGCGCCATTGGCGATGATGTAGTCCACGCTGCCTCCGGTGATCTTGGCGGTGTCTTCCGCCGCTTTCTACGCAACATGTTAATAGTCCATCTTATGTGCTTGATTTAAATGAGTTATCTTACCTTCAAGGATTTATAATCTTCCAAATCTCCGTGTAGAATATGGATGTTGGAGCGTCCGATCTCAGAAGACACTTTTTTCTCGGTGGCGTCTTTGTTACGAACAAGTCCGATAACAATTGCTGCTGGATCCTCAGAGAGCTGGCGTAAGAACTCGAACTATTTCACGATTTAGTATTTCTTTTTTAATTAGGCCGTATATCTACACTTACGCCGAGTCCTCGAGATGCACCGGTTACCACGTAGGAAGGCATTTTTATTCTTCAAGTAGTTTGGTGGTAGTTGGTAGATGTAAATGTGTAAGTGCTGCTGGCTGGAAGCTTGAAGTATGCTCCTCTAACCAGGGCACATGTTCATGTTTAAATAGTTTACAAGTGTCTATAGTATATCCATTTTTAGATACGAGGTTACGGTGTGGATGCGCCGGTATACATCTTACGGCAACAAGAGGGAGATGATTTCGTCCGTCCGGCCCCGTTAACTCGGACCAACGACCGAAAATGCCCCCACCTATTGAGGTTTAGTAATCCCTCTATTAGGCATAGTATCCGCCGACTGGGCCTTTCGCCCGTATTCACGGCCAATTTGGCCGTTCGGATTCATATAGGATGCCGGCAACCATTATTAATACTATTATTCGAATACTTTCTCGTCGGCCGACGCGGAATTATTCATCGGACCTGACGTTATATGCGATCATCGCTCTCCCCGACCGCAGTCATAAATCGTCTCGGTGGCACATTGCTAATTGATTCTCTTGGCCATTACTTAGAACTACCTAACTTTGTGTCATAAGAGACGTCTTTTGTTCACCTTTCAGCATATTTTCGTAAAATATCAACAAAATATCTACCTATTGCCTAGGTACAAAATAGGCAAAGCTAAAAAATAGTAACATTTCCGAATGGGTAGATTGAAGTGCATTGCGACCATATCCTTACCTGATGATGTAACGCTAGCTCCATAGCGAGATGGCACAGACTAGAATTTTTGTTCAGCTTCAATATGGGGAAGCTAAGCTGGTATCCCAAGGTCAACGTCGTAACGCCTGTCAATTTAACCAGCCCGTAAAGTATAATTTTGAACTTTTAATTTGATTAGGTATTAGTAGAAATACTAACACCTTAACAAAACAGTTCGAAGGCAAAGATGAAGTAGCAGGGAATGACTAAGAAAGACTAACGCTAAGTTTATTGAGACAGGCTATGCAGGGAAGATGAGATTACTATACGAACGAAAATACACTGCTAAGGGAGAGTTTCAGAGAAGGAATATTGAGAAAACACCAAATAATGGTTCATACGATGTTCGCAGGTGAAAATAAAGATGTTAAAAAGGTAAAAAAAAAGACAAAAAAATGCTCTCGATCGGGGAATCGAACCCCGGCCACCTGCGTACTTGTTCGTTGACAAGCAGGTATCCTGACCACTAGACCAATCGAGATATGTACCTTCCTATGGAAGATGATTGGATGTGCTGATTGATGGTTGATTCGTTTGTAACTTTTTATTATAACTAGAGCAAACTTGCAAGCGCTGCAAAGTTGGCTAGCATCTGCGAGAATTTTCTAGGTTAGCCAGTTATGTTGGTAGCACCAACCCCGCAAAAGCTGTACCTAAAAGCCTAACCAGTTGTAGCGGGCTGTAGTGGTGAAGTCCGGCACAAACCGGCGCTGTAAAGGGACACTACATACTAAGAGTGCATCGTGGGTCCGCCACCTGGCATCGTCCTAATTGTCGGTCTGATTGGATCCATTCGACGCCTGGGTTTTTAAGTTTCACCGTCTTCTATGAGTTCATGAAGTGGAAGCTTCCATTCTTTAGACACGCCACCGTAATTCTTTTCCCTTTGAAGCAGCGGGCTTCACCTCCATCCTTTTACCATAAAGATTCAAGATCCAAGATCCAAGATGCATTATACCAAGACTTATATCTAAATTTAGAATACTTGCCGTTTGCTTCTACATAATAGTAAGATCCTCATGTGCATTTACGCTTAGACAATATCTGAACCTACAATTTTTTATTTTTGGTTGTCCATAATGGCCCACGTTCCGATATCAGATCAGTCCGAGCACCACGCTCGAGTAGTTGCGGAACACCTCCCGTCTGGATATTCGGCCGAATTCGATGGAGTACCCGGGAGTTCTGTTCCTGCATTGTCCTCGAGTCCGGATCGGACAGATCCAGAATTGGGCGAATCCTCGCTAAAACTCCAAGGAGGTGACATACACCGAGACCTCTTCAAGACCGCTGCTCGGCCCAATAATATGCATAAGCGAGCTGCAACTTTCCATCACCCCCAAGATATTAATGGGGAAATCGGGCCCGATGGATTGACCGCACGCGAACATTTGGTCCCGGGAGGCTTCCGCAGAGCTTTCATACAGCAAAGACAGCAGCGCCCAATATGGGCTGCTAAGGTCCCTATCACTAGAAATTTCGTTGAATTTTTGGAGCTGTACGGGAGCTTTGCTGGAGAAGACCTGGAGGATTCGGAAGATGAGGCAATAGTCTCCGAGGAAGAAGTAGAAGTAGAAGAAGAGGAGCAGCCAAGCGAGGAGAGACCGCTTCTTGGACGGCGGAGGCCTTCGCGCGCACCGCGCGGCGCCACCGCCAGCACCAAACAGACCTTCTTTACCCTATTGAAAGCTTTTATTGGAACCGGAATCATGTTTCTTCCCAAGGCCTTTAACAATGGTGGCATTCTATTCTCCTCCTTGACCATGTTGGCTGTCTCCACAGTTACCATGTTGGCGTTCCACTTACTTCTCGCCTGCAAGGAAAAGTACGGCGGCGGTTACGGAGAGATCGGCCAAGCAATAGCAGGAAGGTTTATGCGCGGGTTGATATTCTTCTCCATTACTCTGTCGCAGCTGGGGTTCGTCTGTGCCGGCATGGTATTCGTAGCTGAGAACATGACCTCTTTTCTGAAGGCTGTTCTGCACGGCGACAGTCCGTTATCCCCCACGTATTTAATTCTCATAGAGGCCATCCTTCTCATACCCCTGGTGTTGATACGGAACATAGCGAAACTCGGTCCCGTTGCGCTTCTTGCGGATGTTTGCATCTTGCTTGGTGTAACTTACATCTATTACTACGACATTGCACACCTCGCATCCAATGGCATCCATAAAAGTGTCGTTCTCTTCAACCCGGCGAAGTACACCTTAACTATCGGGGCAGCCATTTTCACTTTCGAAGGCATCGGACTTATTCTTCCTATCCAGTCATCCATGACCAAACCAGAACGTTTCGAGTGGCTTCTCGCTATAGTTATGACCCTCATCACAGTTCTCTTCACTGCCGTTGGAGCGCTCTGTTATGCTACGTTTGGTGAAAACACCGATATTGAGATCATTAACAATTACCCCCAAGACAGCAAGTTTGTCAATGCGGTACAATTCCTCTACTCGCTTGCGGTCCTTGTTGGAACTCCTGTCCAGCTGTTCCCCGCCATCCGTATCATCGAAGGCAGAATCTTTGGCTCTCACTCGGGCAAAAGGAGCGCCCGCACGAAGTGGATCAAGAATGCCTTCAGAACGTTAATGGTTCTTGGGTGCGGGGCATTTTCAATACTGGGTGCTTCTAATCTCGACAGGTTCGTCGCGTTGATCGGATCCGTTGCTTGTGTCCCGTTAGTCTACATCTATCCAGCGTTTCTGCATTATAAAGGTGTTGCAAAATCATGGGAAGCTAAAGCTGGGGATATCATATTCATGGTAGTTGGGGTTATTGCTATGGTCTACACAACCGTCATCACCGTCATCAACAGCTTTCTGAGCTGAGCGTTTGTTTATCGATACACCTCTGGATATACACCGAGACATAAATAAAAAGCGGGATTGGGACGTAAACATGATTGTGTATGTCACGATTGGAGTTGTTGACTTTTCTAAGTAGCGATCATACCTTGAATTATGTACAGTCATAGATATTCTTATCAAACATTCACCGAGAGATCTCCGATATCAAGTCGGCGGAAGTGTAACTACTCAGCTACTCGCTCTTAACGTTACATTCTAATACAGAAATATAAATTCGTATTTGATAAACTTGGTAACCTGTAATCGTCTTACGACACCGGAAGGTACCTACTACATACCTATCTAATCAATTCTAGATAGCCTCGCTCATTTACTCATAACAAGTTTGAAACCAAGCCGAGCGCCACCTTTAAGACCATGAGTATCACATGATAGACCCACTTATGTGGACACGCTAGTATCCAGATGTACTATTAGATTTAGTCTCCTAGAGATTCCCTCTCGGAACCTCTACAATACATCTTCATCTCAACCATAACCATTCAAAGTCTACAATGCGTCAGATTAATGCACTAAGGCCATCATGGTAAAATTAAATGGGTCGATTTAGTTAGCACCCTGAACGAAGTAAGAGACAGGCAAAAAGTTAAGGTAGATAAATTCCCTCTCGACAAAATTACGCTCGTCGTCGGGTCGACATTCATTGCGTTTCCGCGGGCCTTTGCGTAAAGCGAATTTTCTATGTGCCTAATTACATGTCTACATACTGGCTCATATTGGCCGCAGAAATACCAGCCTTAGATAGTTAAAGGCCCGAGCTCTAATATCATTTTAGACGGAAGAAACGTGTTTTACAATTGTTGAGCCTCGTCTTTCTCAGCAAAAATTTACTTATGGTGGGTTGTAAACAATTGAATTTGTTGGTCATCTCTTTGATCTATTTACTCGGGAGCTTGACATAGTATCATTTCAGAGTTTGTAGTGGTATGGAGTTACTTAAGAACGACAAAGCGCAAACCAAAACCATGACTCAATCCAAGAACCGTTTCCGGCGTCGCTCGAGTCAAGCCACGGTCTCGAAACGCAAGTCCTAACTTCTAGTTCGGGTCTTCGCCCATGTAATTCTCCTTCCTCCTCTTCCCAAGGAACATAGCCTTTAGCTCGTCGCGGAATCGGGTCAAGGGCTCATTGTGCAAGGCCTCGTAAGCATCGATGGCCGGCTTCTCCCAGATGAGATCGGCCTGCGCGGGAGAGACGAATTTCGTACGTCGGAAAATCTTGTAGCCGAAATATGTGCAGAAAGCCACGATAGCCATCGTGTAGAAAGCAAAAAAGTTGCCAACGTCCCAGTGTCCAGGTAAGAATACCGAGTAACCAAAAGTGGCCTCGATGATAATCATCCACACCAAGCCGATGTAACCACAGTATGGCTGGAAATAGCCGTAGTACGGTAGCGTGCGGCGATCAATGCCTTGTGCTTTAGTCGCCTTGTAGAAAAAGATGTATGTCAAACTCATGACAATGTAATTGATCATCTGCGAGCCCTGTGTAAGAGTAGCAAGCCACGTCACTACTTGCGCCGTGTTGTTCGACAGTTGTAGGAACGACAAGAAGGGGAATACCATGACGAACGCAAAAGCGTAGACCGGAATACCGTTCTTAAGCGTCTTCTTGAAGATTTTAGGCGCCTGGCCGTCGCATGCGAGGCCGTATAAGGATCGCATCGCGCAGTATGTGTAGGCATTTCCGGCGCTAAAAATACTGGTGATCATGAGAGCGTTGATGACGTTGGGAAGTATTCCAACTCCAAGGTTCTGCATTGCGATAACGTAGGGTGAGCCATTAGCGGTTCCCGTATCCGCATTCTTCAGCGTTTCATCGTTGTACGGGAGGACGATACCGACGCAGAGCGCACCGCCAATGAAGAAGACGGCGAATCGCCAGTAGACGGTCTTGAACCCGTTCTTAAGGTACGTCCGCGGGCGCTCTGCTTCTCCGGCGACCATAGCAAGGTACTCAGGTCCGACGACAGTGAAACCTGCAGAGAAGATAGAGCCAAGAAAACCTTCGAATCGACCTAATGCGCCCTCGTGAATATACTCGGCGAAAGATCCCGGATTTGACCAATACCGAAAACCGTAAGCATCGTGTTTGGGGTTACCCCCACACATGGTGACTAGAGTAAACATATATAGGATGCAGATAAGCAGGATCTTGCCGCTGGCTAGCCAGAACTCGGCTTCGCTAAACGATCTAGATTAGCAAAGATACTAATTACGGCAACTAATTGGTCTGAGCGGTCGCGGGGTTGTGGAGTACAAATCTACGATATGCTAGGCGATAGATATGCTGGGGTTGTTGGTGGTTGGTTGTTGGGTTGGAGTCAATGCACGTACCCGAAATATTGCACGGCCATAATGTTGATAAAGCTATCAATCCATGTTAATTAATATGTCATCCAATGCTGTAATAGCCAGGGGTTTAAAGGAAGGTCACATACGCATAAAGTACAATGCATGCTATACATATGGCTACCGGGGGGATATCGTCCCTCCAGTATCCGAGCACCAAGTTGATAGCAGATATCTCGAAGGGAATGAGACAGGCTTCGTAGAGGAAGAAGTTCCACCCTGCCATGAATCCCAATGCCTCATCGACCCATCTACCGGCCATTCTAATGAAAGATCCAGACACGGGCATGTAGGTTGCCATCTCAGCCATGGAGTTGTTCACCATACCAACCATGACAGCATATATGGTGTACCCGATAAGAAGGCTTCCTGGTCCACCCTTGGCAAGACCACCGCCGATGCTCACAAAGAGAGCGGTGCCAATACTGCCACCGATGGCAATTAATTGGATCTGGCGGTTACCTAAGTGGCGAAGGAGTTGGTTCTCAGTTGAGACTTCGACCAAAGTCTCGCGAATGTCACTATCTGAGCCTTCATTCCTCTTCTCATCACTCACGGCTCTCTGGAGCTGTGGTGCAGACTCCGGTTGAGACTTGTCTTGTGCTACCGCCATATTGAGAGCACGACAGTGAACTCCGCTGAGAGAGCGGAATGCTGGATAGAGTGTAAGAAGATTGTTGGAAGTGTAGTGGCCCCGATACCATTATAGTGCGCACGCGATGGCGTCTTCCTTTTTCCGCGGTCGGAAATATAACAATATAGTATGGATGAAGCAAACGAAATGCCCTACCAGATATCCAATTCCTCGGCGAGAGACAGGTAAGTAAAGGTAAAGAAACAGAAAAAGAAAAAAAAATTTAGGAAAGGAATTAATAAGGTGATCGACCAAGTTTAGTTTTGTAAAGTTGGTATTACAGCGTCCAAGTACCTATTGCAAGGTACCTATTTCTCATGACCGTACGGTAGTGTAACCTTAACCCGTCCTATGTCATCATGGCGTACAGGGGTATCATAACTAAGGTGGGGAAATGAGCCGCTATCGCCCCTCCCCGACAAGGGGCCTGATTGTCGGATCAGTGGGGGGTACACCGCTGTTCGCGTCATGGTCAACCGGATCGGCTCAGCGCCGAAGCGCCGGGCAATTGGGTTGCTATCAATCGGAGAATCAATTAGTTGTGTAATGTTACAATGTTAAGTCTACCGGGTTTGTACATATTGTTGTGTTGTTGCAATTTAGTATCTGGAGACATTGTTGCGACTAAAGACCACCGGCATCCCGGTTTAGGTATAGGTCATTAATAAAATGTACATTCTAACAACGCACTACGCTATGCATGTCATTCACACCGTGGTCTGCCAAGGTTAGATATGACTTAGGCGAGGAACAAAGGAAAATTAAATCTGCCTGTTTAACATGCAGTATACTCGCTAAGTATTAGGTATTCCTCTCTTATTCGTGCAGCCATGCTAGGCTCTGGGCCAAGTCCTGCCAAGAAACCAATCAACTCTCTTCGGAATACGTATGCAGCAGTAGTATTCAAGGGTTCAGCTCCGCCAGGTTTCTCCAGGGTTTGTGAGCTGGGATGCACGATGCCGTAATTGTACCTGGAGTAGATAAGAGACCTGCCCTTCTGAGGAAACTAGCCAACGGACCGCTGTAAAGAAATCGATTCTTCCTATCTTGTTATTAACAAGCCTAACTTTGGTATGGACTTATCATAGGTTAAGTTTAGATGTAAGTTAACCAGGTAGGTAGGTATAAAGATAATATTAAATACGACAAGTAAAGTAAGATGACAATATTTCTTCACAGGTATAACCCAATCATTCCAAAGGTATGATGATATTTATCCAGCTTAGGAGAATATTTTATTTAGCTGAACCCCTCCAGCGCAGATCAGAAGCGAAGTGGCACGTGTGCATGTTGTTTCAAGCGCAGATCTTACCAAACTTGTAATTTGACGGCTGATCCTTAACTTTACCGAGTCTTCAACGGTCCTCGGTCCGAAACCTGGCGAGTAATGGTTATGTTAAACGTTGTCGCGTTAGTCGTCTAAAAGTGAAACTATAACTTGGCGGCTGAGAAGAATATGGGGCGGGATCATATGTATAACACATCATTGGGATTCACCGACCGGATTATTCTCTATTTTCTTGTCCATCCATCGGCGCCGAGATTCAATATTAAATGCCCTATGGACGGTTGGTCAGAAGATGACTGGGGAAACGGCAGAAACGGCAGCAACGGCAAGAAACGGCATACATTATTGGTAAACTTTCGGGGCAACAGCGGCCATTCAAGCCATTACGGAGGCGCATGCAGAAGAACAACTTTTTAGCGTCGCAAACTTTTAGGGCTGAGCGGCGCTAGAAATACTGAAACAGTCCCTCTGTCCGACGGTGCGGAAGTTATATCCACATAGCGGTTTGAAGACTTCCAATCAGGTTTCTTAAATTACTGATGTACATATCTTAGGTAGATATTTGCTAATAGATACACCGGCCAAGCAGCTATACAGTATGATTTGTTATGTACTGAAATACATCTAGTTAGGCAAAACGCATTGAATCACGAATAAGGCCGCGTAAAAGTAGCAGACGTTTCGCTCACGTTGCTATGTAATCGTACCATAATGTACATTAGTTAGCCCAAGTCAAGTTGCCAAGGCCCCACAAGCCACTCATTGTCACAGTAGCTGGACAGTTCAATACCCCTTTTCATAATTGATTATCTAAAACTGCCTCCTAGGTAGACGTATAACTAATTACTAATTATAGGGAAGTTGCAAAGCAAATGGGCATCTTAAATATATTATATAACTAAGTCCAGTACGTTGCCAATTGTAACTTGGTGGTTATTATATAGTATACTCGAAGCCTGTACTTTGGAACTATGGACACCGTTTCGAAGGTCAGCACCGAAATTACATATTACATCAGTATGAGATATATCATTCTAATTATTCAATAATAGTATATATAACACTATGATAAATGTTGTATATTAATTATGTGTTTCCTCATTTGCATGGTAACCTGATCATACATTTGATCGGTTCAAATTCAACGTCTCTTACCAACACCACTATTCAACCATCAGATATCGTTACCTCGGGACTATCTGCTTGATGATTCACTTTAATGAATCCGAACATCTTACAACACCTTAAAGGAAGAAATAGTACAATGGAAAGCACGAAATAGTTGCTAATATCATGCTCCATTCCTATCCATCTCCTTTCATTATTGTGTAATTGATGCTTGCGTACCAAATTCCTGGATACATGGTTACCCAGGCAGCTATACTGTTAAGCCTCATTATATTTAGAGCCATTAATGCTTTTCTAACAGGTCGATATGAAAGTCCCAACACTATAGATAAGTGAAATACCTATACTCTAATTCATTGACAATTGAGAACCAATCGAATGCAGGATCCACTCGAAGGGCGCTGGTATCACAAGCCGAGTTTCGCATCAGCTCTCCGTACTCGGTTCAAAACGAACGTCTATAGAGTCTTCCTTATAGACTACTTATATTTTAACTTCGCTATCGACCAGTATTACAAAAGTTCTAAGTAATATCATAATTTTACTTTGCTATTCAAAGCCTATCATATAAGCCTCATTTGCAATCGTGTTACTTAATAGTACCCCTGTATCCCCATAATGATTTCTACAAGAGGAAAAGGCTGGGCGAATTTCTACTTCGCCCATGGCAACTTAAACAACTACCATGCCTCGAACAATCCAACCGGACCTGTGAACTTCGTGTTTGCCGAAAATGTAAGTCGGTAACAGGCAGATTATTTCTATAACTGGAGCACTGATACAACATCCAGTGGCTTGTACATCAAGACTTGATCGAGTTCATCAATACTCATGTAAGATGCGTGCCTATTAAGTCTTCAACTAAATATTCATAAGAATTCGGTGCCTAGAACCAATTCGACCCGAAACTATGCACATATGGCGAAGGATACACCGGTACGGTACGGCTGCGAGCCGCCATGGCAAAACACTTGAACGCGCACTTCAAACCAGCCCACGAAATCGATCCGGAGGAAATCACATTCGCGGCTGGAGTAACGGCTTTAAACGAAGCCAGTGCACTACTAACTTGCAACCCGAATAACCAGGAGGGTATCCTGCTTGGTGGGCCTGTCTACGGAGCCTTCTATAGGGACTTGACCATGAGAACCGGGTAGGTACCATTTCTATAACTATCTCACCTCTCATTCTAAACACCTATAATGTTGAAGCGCAGTTCTAGAGTACGTAGATGTCGGGGACACGGAACAGTTCTCCCCAGATTGCGTCGCAGCCTACGAGGCGGGCTTCGAAGCCGCAAAGACACGCGGTGTTAATATCAAAGCGCTGTTCATCTGCAACCCTCATAATCCCCTGGGTAGGTGATAAACTTGGTAGCTAAACGACTACGCATAGCTGATATCTCGTGTAGGACGATGCTATGATCGCGAGACACTAGTTGGGCTTATGCGTTTATGTGCGTCAAAAGGCATCCATCTAATAAGCGATGAAATATACGCCCTCTCGGTCTTCCGTCGAAATGACGGCCCGTCTGAGGAATTCACTTCTGTACTGTCCATTGACCCTAATGGAATTATTGATCCTGCTCAGGTGCATGCGCTCTACGGCATGTCGAAAGTGAGTAAATGGTGTCTTTCGCTCTCGACATGACAGATTTTTGACGTTACGTCTAGGACTTTGGCGCTCCTGGAATGCGACTAGGCTGTCTTATATCGCGAAATAAGGAATTCACTAAAGCAGCTCGAGCTATATGGTATGATATTATCATCCGCAAGCTTTAGCATATTATACTTATATCGACACTAGTTGTTTCTCTGCGCCCTCCCAATTTTCAATGGACCTCGCCGCCAAATTTCTCGACGACCAAGCGTATGTGACGAAATTTCTTGAGAAGTCGCAAAACCTATTGCTTCAGAATCGTTTGATAGCCGAAGACCTCCTTAATCAGGCAGGTGTCGGTTTTCATAAGAAGGGGTATGTGAAATTGTCGCCCAAGTCAGGTAGCATTACGAATAGATTCTTTGGTCTAACGAGGACTCAGAAATGCGGGTCTTTTTATATGGCTTGACTTGGCCCCCTTTTTACCACTAGGGGAGACTAATGGGGATGGATGGGAAGCTGAAAAGTTACTTTCTCAACGGTTTGAGAAGGCAGGCGTCACGATGTCAACAGGGGGCCAATACCATGCTCCGAAGCCTGGTGGGTTCCGCCTCGTGTATTCCTTTCCAGAAGATGCTCTTCGAGAAGGTATTAGGAGGTTTGTATTCATTTTTCATTGGGTACAAGTATGGCCTACAACCTATACTAACAATCATATAGGATATTGCTTGTCTTAAAGAAAGAAATAATCTGATTGTTAATTGTCAACGGCCTCTGTCTCGAGCTTTGTTATACTAATTAAGGGTAAAGAAGTGTTGGTACTAAAAGAAACCAAAACAATTATGGTCAAGTACAATGCTCTTGTCTACCAGTACATGCCTCTACATTCAATCATATAAATACGTCGATTCTATCAGGGTGCTGTCCAACGAATATATGTCTGCAAGCTAATCTACAATACCAACTAATCGACTTTGGTTTCTCTCGCTTTACTACTCAATCTTCGCGCAAGTTCGAAGCGTATTAAAATTCAATACTACTTCAAATATTTACTCTCAGAACGGTGGTAGACGCCATGGCCAATAGACAGCTTATAGACGATCTAGGTCTAAACTGGTCGTCAGGCCAGAGAGATGAATTCCTTGCCAAGATTAAGGTAGTTGAGCTACCAAAATACAAATCACTATACCCATCAACTGACCTTTTCTCCGCGGGAATGCCCGAGGCAAGTCACCAATGGCAGGGACATTGGAAAGATAGCCCACCAAGGAACCCTTGTTATAACGAAGGATTGCACCAGGGAATTGCGGACTGGGACTACTTGCCCTTTCAGTATATCGTACCGCATGAAGAGAGCGTTATATTCCGCGACATTGAAACTAAAGAAACCGTTCTTGTAGTTCTTCGTGACTTCATACCTGACGAAGACCTTCGAAATATAATGATGCGAGTGTGCCGGGAAATTGTCAAGACCCGCCTGGATGACGAGCGCGAGGATCCAAAGTTGCGATGCGACTTTGGCTATACTTGTTGCTCACAACAAGATCCTGAGATCCGACTAGCTGCGTCTTGTATAAAGTTGAACACGGAAGAGGAAATCGAGCTGGATGATACGGCACAGGGAGTGGCTGGAATTGTATGGAACTTGATGAAGTCTCGGTTCCCCCCTGAGATCACTGACAATAACACTAACCGCGAAAATGGCTTCCCTCGGATAAGCATGACGAAGGACGGTGCAAGCTTTACGTTTAAGGCTGGTGGTGAAGACGTCGAATTCGAGACAGGCGAGGACGGTTCAGAACAGCCCCCACTACCGGGAATGTCAGGTGTTTATTATGCGCGACATACACATACAGAGGTGGACGGTAACTCTTGGATTATCGCTTGCACCGTTAATACCCCTGACAGTACAACCGCAAATGATAATTTATATCTAGCATCGTATGGCATTATGGTGCTCCCTACTACTAACACAGCAAGTGCATGGCGTCCTTGGGACTACCACAGTGCGTCACTTTACAAGAAGGAGTCAGGCCCTGAAGATCGAGCAGAGTTTGAAGTTCATAATGACGAGGGCTTAGACAAGGACACGGTATTCGAAATTTTGAAATCGCTCAAGGCGGCTCGGAAGAGATCTAACTGGCTTGATGATCGTCGTAAATGGAAGGTAACCAAACCGACTTTGCCGAGAACTGGCTGGCCATTTATGAATGTACCGGAAGCCGAATCGCCAAAGTTACAATCGCCGAAGCCAGAACCCGCGTCGCACCGGTATAAATTACGTCCTAGAATTACGAAGCCTAGATACTGCGTTGACTCGGAATCATTTACAGACTCGGAAGCATCTGACTCCGACTCTGGCTCTGAATTTGAAGCTGAACCAACAACCCCCAGAACCGGTTTTAAAACAAATACTGATAACTGTGGTGAGTGTATTACAGTCAAAACCTCTCCCACCCCCTAAGGTAAAGTCCGAACATGCCTGGAACTAAGCAAGCGACCGATCTGGGTAGACTGGTTAACCTTACAGTAAAAGTAACGGGCGGCACTATGCCCGAGTAACGAGTGTAATTCTTAGGAATAACGTCAACAAATAGATAAAAAAAGGAGATTATGGAGTTTGAAGTTCCTGTTTGGGTACCCGATGATGTTTTAGTTTCTGGGGCGCAATGTAATGCATATGAAAAATATATATAGTAGAAATAGTAACGATACAAAAAAAGAAATAAAAATAAAGGTTGAATCATTGTAAACTAGATCCCGACAGTGGACTTTTTGTAAGATACAGACATAGTTGTATGTTATAATAGATTAGAGTAGTGAAATATAAACCCTCACTTTGCTGGATGCTGATGGATAGAATATCTTAAACAAACCCTGCGTGATGAATTGCCATAAAAGCCACGGATATTAAGTTGCGGAGCGAATGGCCTATTGTTATGCTAGAAATTGTTGAGCTTATCACATCCTGGGACGGCAACTAGCGAATCTCTGATATTGTGCTCCTTTTATTGATAATATAATATTCATAGCACTCTGATGCCAGCAAAGACAGCGATTGCGGTAAGGTACAAAGCCGCACTTACTAGATAAGGGATACCTAGAACGCCTGTCGCAATACCCCGAACCCATAATGTTGCCATCAAAGGTGCCCCTACCAGAGAACCGAGGGTTTTCACCATCATGACAATAGAGAATATGTGAGTTTCTGGATCGGTTGGATTTGCTAGCTGATCTTCATCTTTTGGCGACACCGATCGAGATTTCAACAAACCCATGGTAAAGACGGGTAACGCGGATCCGAGTGCGTACAATAGAAGAGATGGAAATAAGAGCCAAATTGTAACTGCGGAAGCGATGGCCAATGCACCCAGGACAGAGACGACTAAGCAGATTCGGGCATAGCGAACGTTGTCTCTGTCGGAAAGAGACTGGGATTGGGGCTGATTAATGGAGGCTTTGGACCTCAGAACGGTTGGGATTACAAAGGTAAGGAGGGTAAAATTCATGATAGCCTTTGCGGATAAGAGGTAGCCAGCTTTAGCAAAATCCCAATCGTATCTCTTCGATATATATTGGGGTAAAAGCTTGGTATCGGAGCTTGCGAGGGAAGTGAGAAAAAAGCTACCTAGCAAGAGGATGAGGTTCATTGGGTGACTCTTAACAATGGAATAGAGAGTACGAATGCGCTCAACAACGGGTTTTAGGATGGAAGTATCTGTTTCTTGCGCCTTCAATATGGGAGATGATATGAGAGGCTGCCGTTGTTCATCTTCTGATGCCGTTGAGATATGTGTCGGGTCTACTAGAAGTGATACTGTGGGAATAGCCAACAGCAATAGACAAATACCGATTAAAAATGGTAGGAATAGATTCAAGGTCATAGTTGCGCCAGCAAGTCCGGGGCCAACAAATGTTACCACATATGATACAGCGTTAATCCAGCTGAAATAAGTTGCCCTATATTCCTATCGTCAGTACTTTGGCGGGGGTCTATATATATTTATCCGTAGAACTCGTACCTAGAGACATTGTCGTCTGTTAAACTAGCTGCAAGAGCATAGATGATGGAGTTAAAAACGCAGTCACCGCCGAAAACCGAAAGACTTGGGCCAGCAACAATGGCTTTCAGGGGCAGACTCTCTTCAAAATAGCCGACTACTACAGCCCATGCAAGCATAAAGAGCCTCGGTATAAGGTTGAGCCAGAGGACGGTCCGTCGGCCGTACTTCTCAGCTACGAACCCCAAAGGAATAGTCATAAAAAAGTCTACTTTATGTGTGAGTTGTTTAAACTAAAGTAACCTAATTATCATATTTAACTCACCTCCGACAATCCACAAAGTTTCCATAGTCCCAGTTGTCCAAGCTAGGCTCTGTTGGATATCATCCCTCTTACAATACCTCTCGCTAATGTTTCCATCAGGATCGATGATAGAGGGATCGTGAATGCTGTAGTATTCCCGACAGAGACGTTTCTCGATGACCCGATTTAGCGGTAGTTGATAAAGAGTAGTTCCAAGATTGACCAATAGCAGCAAAACCAGAAGCGGCACGATAGACGGCTTTGGATACGCGCGACGACGCGTCTCTGGTATTGGGGCGCCTAGACCTCCATTTATAGTATCCATATTGCCAATCTCATCGATCAAAATGTTGTAGATAGAGGTGAAGGTAGAGAGGTGAGTAGTTGACGACGGCAATATCAGATGTTATCATGAAGATCACCGAAGCGCACGTGGGGGGTTTTATCCATAGGTCAGCCGATAAGGGAATTCAAGTTCGCCAAGATTATGGTTAAATGATATTGTCTGATTAAACTGAATAATAATATGTTATTGAATTAAGCGGCACATCGAAATATATTCGTACCTATTTTTAATAACATACATACCTCCTACGCAAACGCCAGTCTATCCAATCTAACGTGCTTATGTCCTTCTATTTTGGCGTCTATGTACAGTCATAACATCATTATTTAACCTATTTCTAGGCGACATTGTGCTCTAATTCATATTTCTCGTCTGCTGTTAATTCGGCCGACGCTCGGCCGATCCTCGATGTCACGGCGCAGCATAAAGTGAAACCTGCCACCCCGACGCCAGTCCAGAACCCAACTTGATATCTTTCACGAAGATCGGGGTTCTCTGCTGCATGAGACCGAGCCCAAGTAGAGATGGCTAGCTCCGAGACACCAAGCCAGAACGCCATACCGAGATATCCGAGACTCGTGATGAGCCCAGCAGCAGTGGCTTGATGGCGTCGGGCCATGGATGTTGTGACGAAGACGTTGGTCACATTGTATGTAATGTCGATACCAATGGTACCGCATATCATCGAGGGAAATATGTAAGACCAATAAAGATGACTGGTCGACATCCTACTTGATCCGTCTTGCGCAGGTATGAGGGGGAATAGCAACACACAGAGCACGTAGCCCATTCCAGAAACGATCAGCAAGATGTGCCCTGAAAGTATATGCAAAACAAACCCTCCCGTAATTGCAAGTATGAAACCACCTAGAGCCAGTGGTATAAACCACACGGCAGTCTGTATAGGGGTCGCGTCAAGAACTTCTTCGATACTGATTCCGCTAATTAGTATGTACCCATGGAATAGATGGTCTGTTATAACTTACTAAAAGCTAGCATAGAATATGAAAATGGAAAATACCCCAAACCCGCAGAATATGAAGGCGGAGATACGTTTCATATATTTCGGTCGGAATATGTCAGCCGGGAGTAACGGCTGCGCCGAAACCCAGCCTTGAACGTACACCGCGGCGCAGAGCAAGAGGGCGCCCACTATGAAGGTTACGTAGATATAAGGCGTACGCCAACTATCCGGCGCATTTCCGCCATCCGTAAGCGCGTAGACGACAAGTGCTAATCCTGGTACAATCGTACATACTCCCCACCAATCCATACGCACGTCCGGGTCATTATGGCCGAGGTTTCGGGGGATGGTGAAGAAGCCGGTAACGATGACAGCGAGTACGAATGCAGAGCCGACCCAGAAGTAGACGGTCCAGTCAGCTAGCTGTCCAGTAAGGGCGCCTATGATGATACCGAAATAGAATCCTACGCAGGCGGATGCGCCATACAGGCTGAAAACAAGGTTTTTGCGAGGACCTGGTCGATACGTCTGGCCAAGAAGAGCAAGACCCGCTGGAAGAAAGGCGGAAGCACCTATGCCCTGCATCGCACGGCTTGCTATTAGCATCGTAGCGTTTTTGCTGAAGCCACAGACGATGGACCAGATCAGCAGCCAGATGTGGCCACCTAAAAATACACTCCTGCCACCGTATATAGCACAAAGCCGAGCAAACGGTAGAAGTAGGGCGGCAGTGGTTAAGTTTATCACCCCAGCCGGCCATGTTCGTTGTGACTCCGGGATATCTAAGGCGTTGGCTAATGCGGGCAGGACGATATTGAAGCCGCTGATGAAGTACTCGCTCATACATAGCGATGCGACCACGGCGAAGACGAAGCCGGCCTCGGCGGCCCAGTTGGCAAGAGTTTCTGGTCGCTGACGGCCGAGACGCTCAATATCGACTTTGCTCAGGGCTTCGCAGTTCCCATCTTCAGGGGTCTCGAGGCACGAATCGAATATTCCATTATTAACCTCTATTGACCCGGCCATGGCGTATTATACTCTATCAAGGGCGACGATTCCGCTGGATTAGGGCTGACCGGTATCGAGCGAGTTAAAGAGCAACAAGTCAAGTTAGGGAGGGAATTTCTTGAACTGATTCCACCAAACACCATTGCTAAATACTAGCAGAAGAGACATTTTAAATGTTTATGTAGCGGTCACCTAAGGAGGGTCTTTGAAAAGATTCAGTCACCGTCTTATTGGTGTCAACGTCGAACCTGCGGGAGGTGAATTTTAGATACCATATTAGGAACACGATCAAATTATGCAATCGAAGATGTGGATGTTAACAGGAAGCCTGGGTACCATTTCCGGAGGATTGAAACTCGTGATTGGTTGATATTAGTCAAGCGGAAACTAGGAGAATATTATACTGGACCCGACAATGCACGACTTGAGTCTTGGCTACCCTTTAAGGCATAGGCAGATAGGTTAAACAAATTGTACATGATGCTAAAGCTTAAACGTCGCCCCGTTTACTCCACCTGCTAAAGATACTTTTACAAATCATGTTGTAATGAAATAACTACACAAATATTCTTCATTACATAAAACCTAACAATCTTCAGTTTCTTATTCGGTTTATTACATAACTCTAGAAAGTCTAGAAAGTCATCAAGGGTCCATTTTCGGATCTTCGATTTCTCAGCAAAGCAGTGTAGTGTCAGACGCCAAGCACATACATGTGAGTTGAAGGTTGACAAGATCAACGGGAGACCGTTATTCAAGACCGCACTTACATACCTAAGGTTAGACATCGAAGCAAGCCACAGATCCCCGTCAGATCTAATACCCCTTGATCTGGTAGCACCGATTATTCATTTAAACAATCGCTATTGCTTTAGGTACCCGCCACTCACGTCTCTTTCCCAGCTTCGGCGCCTAATCATACCTCATGGTTGCGCCAAAGGCTTGCCATAACTGCCGAAGCCGACGCTTACGATGTGACCGGTCTGTCCCCGTGTGCCATAAATGTACAAGCACCGGACAAAAATGCCTTGGATACGGAAAGCTGTATAAATGGGTTGAAAATAAGACGCCAGGAGACGGAATATCCGCAAAGCCTTCGGTCTACTCCGCCTCCAAAACTCGGGAGCATGTCAAGTCCCAACCGGACAATCCGCTATACGATGACCAACGTGTGGTATTCCCTCAAAATAATAGACTCTGTTCTCCCAATTTCACATTATTAGATCCGCTGTTCCAAGACCTGAACACATCATCACGACATTATCTTAATTATTGTAAGTCCCGTTCCAACATACCCCCCCATTACTATTCACCGCCAGGCTAATACTATCTAGACACCACCCGTTTCTGTCAAGATCTCATTATTTATGATTCGCCCCGTCGTGGTGCCAATCCATTTAGAGATCTAGTCCCCATATCTCACAAGTACCCCTTTCTTCGGGAAATCATCATTGCGGCATCCGCCTTACACTTCTGCAACGGTGCGCGATGGCACAAAAACCCGTGGCACGCAGCCGACTCCCTAGTAGACGCCTTGCATGCGCGGCATAGAGCTATTAAATCTCTACAAAGCGTCATAGAGCACCACAAGGCCCTGGGAGACGTCGAGAACGACGAGGCAGGTAGAGACGCACTGCTCGCTGCTGTGCTCTTCTTCGTCAACTTTTCGCTAGTTGATTCGGGGAAGGGCGGCTGGCGAGCTCACATGAACTTCGTCGGTACACTCCTTCGCATGCGGACATCCAGGCCTTCAAACACAATAGAATTAGGACTAAAGCTAGAAGAAGAAGACCCTTCCTCCAGTTCAGATTTTACGGCGTATGACGCGTTTATATCGCTACCATTCGCGCATCGTCCTGCGACGCCTTCCCAGTCCCCAAGTATTCGTGATTATATCGCTTCAGACTCTATAGCTTATTATATCTGGAGTAGTGCACTTGACTCCCTTGTATCGCCTAGCAATGACTTCATAACAGTACCCTCGGCGTTTGATGGGGATGACATTGAAATATTTCATATCCTCCTCCGCACCGAGGCTAACAGTTATCATAGCTGTCCTTCCAGTTTGCTATACGCCATTTATCGAATATCGCAGCTGGCGAGGAATATTAGATCAAACGAGACTAGTGTTTTGAATGAGAAGCAGATGCAGTCTTGTCTTTCGCTTTTAGATGAGGTTCAAGCTTTTGATGGCGACGCGTGGGCTGTTAAAGTCTGTGCGCAGATTGCAGCAGTCGTCGGTTATGCAGACGAGATTGAACTGCACTATCGAAGGCACATCGCTGCTACTTACCGCGCTGCTGTCTTCCTATATATCCTCCTAGTTGCTCCAGAACTACCACACCAAAGTTCCCACGACGAGGGGAAAAGCTTTCCCGCCCTGTCCAGTACCGCCGACCTAGCTACCACCATTCTGCATCATCTTTCCTTCATCCCATCTCACACTCCCCTATTTAAATTCGCTACCTGGCCTATATTCCTTACCGGTGTCGAAACGGCGGACGAGTCTCGTAGGACGTGGGTAATAGATCGACTACGTGATATGAGAGGCGTCTGCCCTTGGGGGATGCTTACGTCGACGATGGAAACTCTGGTGGAAATATGGCGGATGAGAGATAGTTCATTAGCGACTAGGGAATCGACGGCAAATGAAGCTTCAGACGGGACGCTTATCAGCATACCGGATCAAAAGATCAACGGTCACTGGCTAATGCAATTGCAAGGCTTCAAGATCGATTGCTTGATTGTTTGAAGTCGGATGCTTGCGCTCGGTTGTCCGAGTGCGGAGCTGGAGTTATGACTTGTTGCCCCTTACGGAGCATGGGTATAGTAACTAGCCATGGCACTGATATACAAGAGTCTTATGTGTAACCGTAAGAACGTATAGACCAATTTAGTTCTGCTATATACATTCTCACGAGCACGATATCAGATACCCTCGGAGAGCTCCGTATGCTCTTGAATTTCGCAGCCTAACTCCTCGGCCTTTAACGTTGGAACTTATAAGCAGCGATCCATACTTGACGGTGGTCTCGTAGTTACCTAGTATTCGATCCATTATTAAGAAAAATTAACAAAAAAGTTCCCAAGCCCGTAACCCTCTCATACTAATTCTTAAATCTACCTAATATATGTACGAAACATAGCAATAAGTTGCACTATTGTTTCGTGTGTTTGCATCTTGTAGCTTTGGTGGGATGTGAGTGACGCCATTGACTCAAAACGGCTGAACGGCACCAATGAAAGATTGTGTAAAGTCGAACTTGCTAAGAAACGGAAAAGCTCAGTCACACTTTAGAGTTTAAAACCGAAAACTACATAGCTGTTACTATCTTGGCACTTGCACTACTGAAATGAGCTTTCACAAGCTTTATCTTAACCTAGCGCAGCTTATGATGTCAACCCCTGCCTTTGCTGGATATCCGGCATCTTCATTCCTGCGACTACATTTTCTTTGACCTTTTTTGCTCCGACGCCGACAACATCTTTACTTCTGTAGGAATTATTAGGAAGAAAGCACTTTTTTCTTCTTCTTTCTGGTAAACTGTAAAACTATTACGTTGCAATTAGGCGGACGTCGTATCTTACGATGGCTAACAATCCAGCGCACGGCGAGGCTGCTTCTTATTACTACAATACACAACAGCCGCCCAATCAGTACCAACAGCCTCAATATGCTCAACAGGGTCCCCCAGCTCCGGGTCCGAACCCAGTGAGTGGTTATGGCAGCGAGAAGCCCATGTTCGATCAAGCCTTCAAGGTTGAGCGTCCCAAGTACAATGACATCTGGGCCGGCATTCTCGTGTGTAGCATTCCATTCCGAATACCAAACGCATCTCTAATTGTTACTTGCTAGTTCCTCATTGTTGTCCTGGGTTATGTTGCCGTCTCCGGGATTTCTATCAACGGCTACGGTTAGTGAATATCATGCCCCCGTGATGATATCTATTACATCCACTCTGGACTAATCAGAAGACCATAGCTTCCGTGAAACGTTTCCAGGGCGACGGCATCTATGACTCTGGGTCGACCGTCGGACTTAATACCAATACGCTCATTCTGTTTGTATTTTGCCTTTGTGTCGCCACCGTCTTCAGTTACCTATATGTTCTACTAGCCCGCCAATTCCCTAAGCAGTTCATCTGGATAACGTAAGTATCAACTCTTGAAGCTTCAAAAAGGAATGCGAAACTAACACGAGCAAATATAGCGGTATTCTTAATATCGTCTTCGGCCTCGTTACTGCTATATACATGCTTTCACGGCACTACTACTCCGGCGGTATCGTATTCCTGATCTTCGTGGCATTCCTCATATTCGCCTTTATCGTAAGTTAGCCGTCACCACCTTCAAGTATATTTTACTTATCGGTTGATGTAGAGTTGGATCCCCCGTATTCCGTTCAGCGCTCTGATGCTCAAGACGGCCGTTGATGTCTCCAAGAGTTACGGCCATGTTTATCTAGTCAGCGCATTGGGTGGTCTTTGCGCGACTGCTCTCGCCGCATGGTACTCTGTGACCTTCGTCGCCGTGTACGCGAAATTCTCGCCTGGCCAAAACCCTGCTTGCGCAGAGGGGGCCGGCGGCTGCAGTACCGCCAAGGTCACCGGCTTGCTTGTCTTCATTACGTTTGCGATGTACTGGATTTCGGAGTGGCTAAAAAATACCATTCATACCACCATCTCGGGCGTTTACGGCTCTTGGTACTTTCACCCGTATAACCTCCCTAAAGGTGCAACCCGAGGCAGTCTTAAACGTGCACTTACGTATAGCTTCGGTTCTATATCCCTAGGTTCCTTGCTCGTCGCTATCCTCAATTTTCTGAGGCAGCTTTGCTCTGTCGCTCGGCAGAATGAGGCCGCCCAGGGTAACATTCTTGGAACTATCATGTTCTGTATTCTTGGATGTTTCATCGGGATTCTCGATTGGGCGGTCCAGTTCCTCAATCGCTACGCCTTTTCATATATTGCATTGTACGGAAAGTCTTACTTCGCTGCCGCTAAGGACACATGGAGCATGATTAAGCAGCGCGGGATCGATGCTCTTATCAACGAATGTCTCATCGGTCCTGTCCTTACGATGGGCGCAACATTTGTAGGCTATGCGACTAGCTTGCTCGCTTATCTATATCTTGTAAGATCCCTCTTGAAGTTGATTTTATGATGACGTTTGCTCACAGTATCAGGTATTCACGCATCCATCATATAATACTGACGGCTCATTCACACCCGGTAAGTCATGCGGCTCATAATGTCCATGTTACTTCACATGCATGCGCATGATTTTTACATGGCATCACTCTTGACCATATACTAATTTGATATAAATAGTTGTGGTGGCGTTTGCGTTCCTCATCGGTTTGCAGATCTGCAACATTTTCACTACACCGATAAGCAGCGGCATCGATACAATATTTGTGGCGACCGCGTGGGAGCCGCAAGTGTTGATGCAGAATCATCCCGAGCTGTATCAGGCGATGGTCCAAGTCTATCCTCAGGTCCAAATAGCTATTCACGCTTAAGTGGTAGGGTCGTGTAACAATGGCAATTGTATAGTTTAGAAAGAGAATGGGAAATTGAGAGTTTTGTAGAGTTTTTGACTTCGTAATAATGTGTTGGTTTTCGCGTTTGCATGGCTTAAAATGCTCTTTAATTTAGCGGGGGTTTATAGAAAACGAAGATACCTTTGGGTTGTCGGGGGGCGCGGGCTTCTCTGGTAATAATTTTAAAAGGTTGCATTAAACACAAGATATCTATTGAATATAAAGGAAGACGATTGGAGGATTTTGATTAAGGCAAGTTGTGATGCGAATTAATCAAGCCAATCAAGCTTATACCTTCGCGACTTATTACTCAAAAATAACAATAACAACTTACCTTGGCGAGATATATTTATTTCGTGTGGGTTGGTCTAGGCTACAGGCCTAGTTAGCCAATTGCGGCGTAGACATCTTGTTAGGTAAAAGGTAAGTCAAATAAGAAGAAACTTATTAGGCAGGATATTCACGTGAATCCTTTAAACAAAACACTTCTTCAACGGTTAGGTAGTCACTAGGCAACCATGTCTATTTCTGGGAATGTCTCTGTATAAACCTGTATATATATATTATCCAGAGTTTCTAGCATTGTCTAAACAACAACCTTTAACATCCCCAGATCAAGATTTACTCAAACACCTCACACTATGGCTACTAACAACCCATTCGCAGAGCTGTTAGACCCTCGTGATATAACGGCTAAGCTTGCTGTCATACAGCCGGCTGTAGATTGGGATGCTCCTATTGAAATCACTCTCACGGAGGCGGGCTTGAAGGACACCCCGTACGAATGCATCTCCTATGATCGTTCGAGCGTCACGGCCGTGCCCACACGAGGGAATGCCCCGCCACCGCCTCCTGCTGACAAAACGGTCACTATCTCAATCGATGGGCGGGATCAGGATATCCCTCATCACCTCGAAAGTGCGTTGCGTATGTTCAGACGCAAAGAGAGGCAGCGTACCATATGGGCTGACGTCCTGGTGAGTCGCAGTGTCGAAGAGCGCAGCGCCCAGGCCGACGCGCTGCGGTTCATATTGAGCAACGCAGAGAGGACGCTGTGTTGGCTGGGTCCAGACAATGGGGAATCTACAACCAAGGCTTTTGGGACTATTCATGAGATGGCGCGTCGCTTCCGGGAAGCCTGCCGGCAGATTGGAGTTGATCCTGATATAAGTCTGTCTCGGGCGACATCGCAGCAACTAACCAGAATCAAGGATCGTCTCTTCGACTGCCCCTATAATGACCTAGATTCTTTCAACTTCCGTCATTGGGATAATATTTACGATATCTTTGGCTCGCAATACTGGAGCTCCGTGCAATCCATAGCCGACATCGTGCTTGCGAGGGCGCCTATCGTCGTCTGTGGCCGAAGCAACATCCCATGGGATACCTATATCTCCGCTACTCGTGCCATGCCCTATTTCCAGCTCAGGTTCTTTCAGGTCCCGTTGCTGCCTCATGTTCTCAAGGGCTTTCATATCGCCAGCGAGATCGAGCTCGCTGTGTGTAAGAAGCGGCTGGGCGAGGCTGTCGAATTGTTACCCTTGATCCAAACCGCTCGGGGTTGCGAGTCCAAGGACCCGAGAGAAAATGTCTTTTCGGTGCTACATGTTGCAACACCGTCCAACCGCACTAGATACCACGGAGCCGGTGCGCGCCCTTTACCAAAAATCGACTATTCCAAGACCGCACAGCAGGTATTCACCGAGGCTGCTCGTTACTCCATACTAGAGCGCCAGGATCTTATGTTATGGTGGAACGAACGCCCGCCGTGTGCGAAACGTTTAAAGGGACTACCGAGTTGGGTTCCCGACTTCAGCGCTCCGCTGCCCGAATGCAAAAGCAACTCTTTCTTCAATCCCAATCTAGGCATGCGTGTCTGGTGGGAGGCCGTCCCTCGCCGCTTCAGGAAACCTATCACTATATCCACCGAAGACAACGCCGTGCATCTCCAAGTGCGACCCCTAGATCGCATCGTGCACGTCTCGCCCGTAGTATTCAACGGGGGTAATTTCCGGCGTCTGTGCTTCACCGAGTTCAAGAACCTTCCGCCAGAAACATCCAATAATAACGAAACACTCGCCCAAAGAAACGAGCGTTTCTGGCGCGCGATCCTCCTTAACGGGAGCGACAAGGCGGGCGAGGACATACGGCGTAGACTGCCGCCGCCGGCTTCTCTAGGCGCGCACTTCGATAGCTTGATAGCCGAGGAAACCATATTAGACGCTCTAGACTGCACCATGGTCGACCTACAGACGTCCGAGAATGCGGCGCGCATACGAAATTCCCCTGAGCTAACGGCACTGGTGCCTCGATGCGGCAACGCCAAGCCGTTCGAGGACGCATTACTGGGCAATACATGCGGACGGCGGTTTTTCAGGACCGCAGGCGGCAGGTTCGGTATGACTGCCATCGAGGACGTAGTCGCCGCCGACAACAACCTGGTAGGCAAAGAACCGAAGAATCGAGAAGGGGATGTGAGAGCGAATTTCGGCCAGTTGATGAGCGACCCCCTTCAGAACCTTTTAATGCAGGGATTCCAGGAGTACGTGAACGAGCGGTCGCCGGAATCCGCGCCGATGCTTGCGCGCGCTATAAGAGGTGACATGCCAGGGCAGAACCCAGACCGACGCACGGATAACGGCACGCGAGAAGGAGATATCATCGTGGCTGCTATTGGGGGGTTCTTCCCGTACGTCTTACGACCCAAGTCTCGGGAATCAGAAGAAGAGGCTGGGGAAGAAGCAAGCGGCTCGAAACCTGCCGCTCGGGCTGATGAGGAACCGTCGACGTATGAGTACGTTGGAGACTGCTATTTACACGGAGCGATGGACGGAGAGGACTTTGATGCACCCGGTAACTTCGATACGAGGCATATTGCTATAGATTTATCGAAGATTGTTAATATTACCATTGTATAAGGATGTAGGGGTAAGGTTATTGGCATAGGATATAGGTACCTATTTATCTTTATTAATTTATAGGAATGACTTATGATATCAAAAAGTCCAGGTAGGGAAGGGGATATGATGTGATGGAACCCCAAAACTACTGGCCTTGAGGCAGTACTGCATAGAGAAGGTGTATATGTATAAGATGGTTGACCCTGAAAAAATATCGAAAAGTAAATCTGCGTTGAAGACGTAACTACGCGCCTGTAGTATGTAGTAAACACTTAAATAACATACAACATATGGGTCTTAGCCCTAATCAAGACAATTCATCCACCCATCTTTACCTTTTCCTCCTCCTCAGTCTAGTACACACTCACTTGTAGTGTGCATGTCTCCTCCGCGAGACAACCAGTGAAAGTTGATCCATCCTCTACTTCCCACCATCCCGTCTTAGGTCGATTCGGTGATTTTCCCTGTAATACGCCGACAGAACTCCATAGCATAAGTAGTGATAACAAGACATACAGAGCAATAGAACAAAACCAGAGAATCCAGCCCTCATGATAGGTAACGTAACAAGACTAAAACCGCCTTGACCTTTAACCTTACTTCTTCTCCTCAAAGTAGAACTTTCCTAGCTTATCCCCGTCCTTCGAGTTCCCTAGAATAGGAGCGCGTCCGCCTTCGCCGCCGTCGAGACGGTCTCGCACGATACGCTCCGCCGCCTCTCGTGTCGCGGGACCACCTACGCCTTCTCTAAGAGCGCTTGTCCGCGGCTGGCCCGGCTGAACGGGTATAGGTCCGCGCGTCGTAGTATCGACAAACACATCGTCATCAGATGTACCGACGTGTCCGCCGCCATCTACAGCAACGCCATCCACATACTTCGCCTGCCGTGTCTCAGCCGCGGTCGTCGCACTAACCGGGGTATCGCTCGCGATCACGTCGCGTATCTCTCGAGCCCGAGCCGTAGCCGTAACAGCCTCCTGGCTCAGTCCCGAGCTACTACGTTCAAGACCCCAGATCCCCGCCGCGCCAGGCAGCGGCCTCCTGTGATAAATAGGGCCACTAACGGTGCTATTTGCGCCCTCGCCAAAGCCGACGAGACTCGCGGTGCCATCGTCGCTCATGCGGTCTTCAAAGCCGCTGACCGAACGGCTCGCCATGTCCTCATCTATAGCGCCAGACGTACTATCCACATCCATGCTAATACCATCACCGTCATCATCGACCTCCGTCAGTTCCGCGTCCATCTCGTCTTCGTCTTCCTCGCCAAACCGGTCGCCCGCCTCCGTGGTCGTCCGCGCCCCGACACTACCCGTCGCAGACGCAGTGCCCACCGTGCTCATCTTGGTCATCGCCGTCGGCTGCCCGTTCGAATCGAAGTACGCGGGCGTAAGGGCGTTTGCCTGTGGCGCGGTGGCTGTGGGGGTTGTCTGGGTGGGGTTAGGGCCGCCACCGTGCTGCTGCTGGTTCGGGGGGCGTAGGGTAGATACGCGCTCGAGGCCTGCAAGGCGACTGATGCGATCTGCGCGTTCGGCTTCGAGGCTGTTCGTGGATGATTGGTGTTGGTGACCTCGGGGACCTCCGAGACCATAGGCGTTGCCTCGGTGACCATCCTTGATAGCGATGGTTGATAGGGCTGAGAGTGATGTAGTTGTGCTGGTGGGGGTACCGCTATAGATTGTTCTAGTTAGTAGTTGGTGTGGAGGAAGATTGATGTTGATAAACGTACGGCATATCGCTTGGAGTGTCTGGGTTAGATGGTGGGGGAGGGATATTGATGAGCGTAGGAGCTGTCTGTTGTTGCGACATGATTGCTTGTTTATCTTCGTATATGTTAAGCTAGAAGATATCAATTGCAACGGATGTGATGTTAAGTTTCGCGTAATACGCGCGTTTTGTTGTCAAGTTAAGATGTGGTTAAGATGTGGTGGATGACGATTTGAAAATATGGGCTGATGACGGTTTCGCTACAAAGATGGAAAAGTAGCGTGGGGGGGTATCAAGAAGAAAACTGGTTTTTTTTTTCTTTGTTTTAATTAACCGTGGTGGTGATGAAGATAGACCTCCTCGTTTTCAAATTGGTGAATTACGGGAGGTATTAATCGGGAATGGTGGCGAGCAATTGTTTTCTGTAGAGGTATGTAGAGGTATGTATGTAGAAGTAGAAGAGAACAACCGGGTCACATAAATTACAAGTTTGGATCATGAACATTGGTTGTTCCGTTCCTGCGTGTCTGTAGTGGACGTTTTGGTTTGTACTGCTAGTTCCATTGCCTGCAAACCCCAGGACCCCGACGCCATTATGTAGGTACCTACATACACAGTGGGTTAAAGTGGGGCGTAGCTTAGCAAAGCTACTAAGGTACCTGTAAGGTGGGGGATGACGTAGGGCTCTAATTAATCTTAATTGGCTCTAGCGTACGCGCTTTTCCACTTTTCGCTAGACACCAATCAAATCGACGTCATTTCATTCACTGCCTCCACCCGCCCGCTTTCCCCCCGACTTTCACAAGCCCCAACGCGTTCACCTCATCGCGAGCTTCCATCTCACTTGTCAAGTCTCATAACTTAGAACTCACCAGGGGTAAAATCTACACCCTGAAGTTTATCGAGTAAGTTTACGACACTCGCAACAAATTCCGAGTGAGCTGGATCTTTGTGAAGATAATACGCTCTATCTTCATCCGACTCGAACTCGAAGACGAATGCGTGCGTCATTCCAAGCTGTTTAACATTACAAAAACTGTCAGCCGGAAAAATACTTCTTATACAATAAGAGAGACACAAAATAGAAGCGAGATATTACCTGCTTTCCTTCAGGACTGTTGTCTTTCCCTCCACCATGTACCTTCACATAGGGTTTCTTCGTCGTGGGATGGATGCAATTCGATCCTAGAGCCAGCATCTGGGCGCAAGCCTAAACACAACGTTAGTCCCTCGGCATCTTCGTAAATTTTTATTTACTCTGGAGTTCTCACTGCCTTGACTTCCTCCTGGGGCACAAGGTCTTTGAATTTGAACATGACAACGTGGAAGATAGCCATAGTGCGGATACTCTAGCTGCGAAGCTCTTTAAAGTTAAATAGAACTGGTTTGTTTTTGAGAAAGTTTGAATGCTCTGCTCACGTTGGACCCGAAATTGAGACTGATATACGTAAAGCAACCCCTCGGCTGTATGTAACTAGCATGCATATAACTCTATACCCGAAGTCCTTCAAAGCTCCGATAGCAATCCTTACTCTGCTTCATGTTATAAATCTGTCAGCTTTATAATTGGCCTTTGCATTCTATTTTACGCAGAGGTATATTAATCCGTTATCATTACATACTGCAACTTATAGTATCAAAAGATGCTAAGATTTGGATACATGGTATATTCTAATTAAATAAATTCGATCGGAATATTTGTAATTTGTAATCCAGGGTTAGGTGACTACCGAGTTTATTGTATTAATAGATATCCGTAAATATGCGACTTATGCATAGCGCGGGTACCCGTGGCAATAAGGTTAATTGTCTTACCCTAACTCCGAAGATCAAAGCATTGGACGCTTACACACATGGGCATCACACACATGGGCATCCAATCCCGTGATTATTAATCCTCCACCTACAGAAAATAAAGAAGGATAAGGGAATCTGGAATTTGGAATCAAAGACTACATCAACCCCGACAGCCACAGCATATCATGCGGAACGTTGAGGTGTCCGAAGACGAAGAGTTGGGCGAGCTGGAAGATAAGACTGAAATCCTTACCCTTCGCTCGAAACGTACGGAGAGGGCTCGAAAAAAACAGGCGAAGAGAGTCAAAAGACCCAGTTGCAATTCACCAGATCTCTTGAGCTTGCCTTATGAGCTTGTATTAGATATATTGGCTCTACTTCGTCCAAGCGATGTTTTTAACTTGCAACGAGTTAATCGAACCTTCCACCAGTTCATTGTCCAGGAGGAACACCGGATTTCAAGAGCTATCACTAGTTGGCGTTATGTCTGCCTCAGTAAATGCTTTAGGTTGCCCGTACTTATGGATGATATTGATCCCAGTTTTCACGCGGTTATTCAAATTCCCGAGAGACAGAAGTCCGTCATCATCCACAAGAATCCTTACCAGCACATCCAATCTCCGAATCCTGCGGAAATATGTACCTGTCTAACATGCTTATTACGATGGACGGCGCTCTGCGTAATTGTAGACTTCGCTCACTGGCAGCGAAATCTGGATAACGGGGAGCCTATTCCCATGATCCAACGAGGCAAGCATCCGACATGGAATCAAAGTCTAGTAGAGTCCAACGTGGCTGTCGTGCGCAAAGCCCTGCGTAGTCCACTATGGCACGCACGGCTTTTGGAAGCCCATTTAGACTCGACGGTGAGGTCCATAAGTCGTCACGCTGCGAATAAGGGCAATAAGAGGCGGCGTTTCCGCATGTCGAAAGAAGACGTGGAATCGGGTTCAGACTTGTTCTTAGAGAAGAGTGGACCGCCAAGCTTCGACTTTCCATTCCACAGAGACAACTATTACATGCTGGAGGCTTACCTCCCGAACAGGGGGTGGAGTGCGGAAAATAATAGGTGGATGTATGTGCCGGCCGAGCAACACGATATAGATTTTCAATTTATCGTTAACTGGGTGAAAAGGCAACAAAAAACGGCTTCGGGGCAGGGAAACTAGATGGTATGAGAAGGGGAAAGCCGGAAATAATATCGTCTCAATTGTTTCTACCGGTTTCTTCTCAATTTAAAGCCTGTTAATAACTTAGGAGGACTATCAAATGCAACGCCGTAGACCCCATTTATCCCTAGATACGCCTCGGAGTACTAAATACAGTCGCACCATTCAGCCTTCGAGAGTAGCTATCCCCCTTTTCATAACAAATAACCCTAACCCGTCGACCAATTTTCAACCAAGCGCCTCCTAACTCCTACACCTACACCATCCTCTTCCCTCGATTTTGCCTATGTATTTACACTCCGAGGCTCGCCGACTCTAATGCCACCAATCTAGACAGGGCTTCTAGTATCCCAAATCAATATAGCGCACAACACAGCGTGCGCATGAAACTGTGTTTGGGCTGGTGACTATTATCTGTCAGAGTGTAACCCGATAGCTCGCTCTCGTGGGGAGTGTTCCCAACAGTCTCGCTGGATTGCCCGCCTCGTGCTCCGTTCACAAATCGCAACGTGGTTTCCCGTTCCCGCAGAGAAGAGGCCCGAGTTCTAGAGCGCACCATGATATCGCTCTGGCTTGCGTGATACATCTCCGTCACGGCTCGCTGGCTCGTTATGGGGCTAAGCATAACCTGCTCCGGTGGGCGCATTTCGGAAAGCCAGCACCCTAGCGACAAGGTGGATGTGTCTGTCGCAGTGCTCCGCTGGGACCCGCGCCGCGTTGTTGCGCTCCGCATCTTGCGCCGTATGCGATCGAGGTCGATCAATCGTGGCTTGCTTGGGTTCCGCTGACCCGTCTGCGCCGTGCCCTTGATGATTGTGTCTTCGAAGCTCGATTCAGAGGGGTATGCGATGCTGTCCCGGATCACGACAGATTCCCGCTTAGAGAAGCGATCGCTTCCGAGATCCGGGTCTCGGCGCAACATCCATATTTGAGGACGAGCAGTAGTCTGTGGGCTCTGCACAGGAGTAGCGTAGAACGATAGGGTGCTACAGGAGTCGGTGGCGCTACCGGGGCGGTCTTCCATAGCGTTGGGCCGAGCGTTTTTGACTTTTATTCTTCCCGCGGTATGAATATAGGGCTTGGGCTGTGTATAAGGCATTTTCTGCAACAGAGACGGCGATAGTTCCTACGATGCCGAGGGGCGAATAGAATGGAGCTGTTCCCACTGGGTCTCATGCGCAGCGACGCTCGTTAAAAGCGTCCTTATTGGTAGGACGCATGATAGAATGGATCATGGTCTTCGCTTGCTGTCACTTACGTGGCATATATTTTGCGTTATTACCTGCCGCACCGCACCATTCATAAACTTTGCGGTCGTGGTGGTGCTGACGTTGGGTATCGAGTCGAGACTCTCTCAACGTCGGCGCCAATGACGCAGGAACAGGTTGGTTTGGGTCACAACATGATTGGCTGCTTATTCACTTGATTTTGCGTATAACCAATAGCGTAGCGACTTATTATTCAAGAATAATAGTAGCTTTACTGTCACTTGGGACTATTTACTGACTCCTAGTTGTGGTAGTTTTTACTCCTTCGACTATGGGGTGAAGATATAGATGAATAGCCCTTCATCCGAACCAAGGTCCAATAAGAGTAATCAAGCGGTTTACTTCGCCAAGACTCTCCAACATGTGATTCCTTATATTTACACTCCGGTTGAGGTACTACACAATGGAAAATATGTAATCTCTGCTTTATAGTATGTTAGTGTATACGTGCTTCGACCAGCTGAACCTTTCGATTACAAGTGTATCTATTCCGTAAGCGCAACCTTGATTGTATAGGTAAAATGTAGGTATGTATCCTACATGCAAGCTTCACGACAGAAGGAAGGAAAGTAGGTAAAACGGTTCAAGAGGAATTAAAATAGTTCATTGGGCACGGTGTGAGACTTTAGCTGGTGGTCTTGGATGGATATTGAGTGGTACAGAGTTTTACTCTCAGAAGTTACGATAACAATATATGATGAAGATACGACTATCTTCCAGCTCTGTTGACTCTCTAGGAATTGCATTCTAAAATAAAAGATGCAAAGGACGCATAGGGGTTACACTCACGCAAGTTCATCTATCTAGCACCAACAGTAAACTTGATATCTTCCCAGTATAATGTTTTATGTCGTACATTCATATCAATATCATATCATCGATTTCATTATTGACTATGGCTGTACTGAGAATATCGAAATGAGTTTGTTAAGATGTAATGTATTGATGATCAAGCTATTTATCTAGAAAGGTGAATAATATCAACGCATCCTTTGGTTCCCAAGGCACCGGCACTGACCACTGAAGATTCATACAAACAAACTTCCTTCTGGTAAGCCATCTAAATTATCGCGACAATTCACATTACTTCGAAGCCCGCCTCAGTCTGGAATTCCTGACTTTAATATTTAGCAGATCTCTTTGGATGCACCGTAGCTTGTGGATCGATGTCTCGATCTTGCCGAATGCGATGGCATCGTCCTTAAACTCCCCCTTTACACCCAGAAGTAGAGTCAATGCGATTTTGGCGTCGCGGATATCGTTATCGATATAATTCTCCTCTTCAACGTCCATAAGGGCCTCCATGGTGCGCCGGGAAAGACTGGTTTCGACTCGCAAGAGGTGCTTCAGAACCCTGTCGATGTCCCGGGCGTACTCAATCTCGAAATATGGAATTGAAATATGAGTCGACATGGTGAAGGATGGTGGGGATTGGCGTTGTGCGAGGCTTGAATATATTTCTGTAAAAGATGGCCAAGATAAGGGTTGCAATGTGCTACTATTGTTGTTTAGGAAATTGTGATGGTTTGTAGGAGGACATCCGGCCAGGATTCTATTATATATCGTACCTTGGGTAGCTAAACGCCACATCACCGTAACACAAAGACGACGCGAAGCACAATACCTATGTTACAAAATACCTAAGGTAGATAATGATTGTATTACAGGACTGAATAAATGCCTTTATCATAACTTATTCACCACGAAACTAGTGCGGTACCATTGTGCTACAAGTGCTGAAATACCAAGTTTACATTCTTCCGTCATCTGGCCGTTGTGCATTCAATAAAGTAAGGTCTACGACAATATCTTAACCGATAAAGCGAATAAGGTGTTCCAGACCCATAGTCTGGAAAGGTTACGGGAGGGGAGGTCTTTTTCTTTTTTTTGGTTCTCTCACTGTTGGGGTGACAAGGTGTAGATAAGGAAATAGAAAGTAAATAAGGAGACGACACAAAAGGAGAAAGGAGAGAGGAAACGAAATACGAAATGAGGCTATCACGAATGTTACTGTTGTTATTGAAGATGGTAAGTTACGTAAGTGTGGGCTACCTAAAATGATGCAGTGTTTTGTGCGTAGACTAATCACGTGGTAACACGTGATTAGTCTTACGTAATGATATCCCAACACCCACGCCCCCCTTTTTTCAAATAGTCCTTGAGAAGCACACCAACTAGACATACCTCAGAGGTAGTTTTCAGACATTCGCAGCTTAAGTAATTCATTATATGCTAAATAAACATATAAATCATTACATATTAATGCTAACTACCGCATCTTCGTGCAATTCGGTACCAAATTACAAACGGTTCAGGTTATCCGAATTTCGTTCTGGTGAATCTAGGGGAAAATCTGGACGTCCCGTAGTGGCACTCTCGACTCGGATATCGATGTATCTCTGTAATAGATCCTTGTTATGCTGCCTACGTGATAACGTGGAAGCATATATCAATTACCTACTGGAGCTAAGTACTGTTAGCAATATATCCATTAATTCCCGTCACGTGAGTTCATCCGATTTTGAGAAGTTGAATATAAATGCAAATACGGAACCTGTAAATATTCTAATGGCTGTTTCTTAGCTGTCAAACTTTCGATGCTTGCAGATACGTGGGGGTTCCCATGAATAACGGCCACTTCCTTCCCGTTATTAAATCCTGCGATCCCTACTGTGATAGGTAGGTAGCTTTCGTATCGAGGTTCCATTCCCTGAGAACCTTCAAATTCCTCTGGGTGTTTTTCAACTTGGCTAGTGCCGAACGGATCTTTCTCCTATTAGTGCGGTTGACATTGTCCTCTTTCTCTTTTTGAGACTTCCTATCTTCCTTGACCATGGCATCCGTAAGAGAATCGTGCGCTTCTACAATATCTTTAAGATGTATTTCAAGAGCATTTTCTTCCGCGGTAGTGAAGGGATCTATTCTGTAGGGATCGCTTCTGGAGGCATCGCTTCTGTCGGCATCGCGAAAGTCGGAGTGAAGTTTCGAAATCGCCTCGACGAACTCATCGAGACGAGTAACGCCTAAAATATCGAACTTAGGTAGTCTCTGAATTTTGTCTATGGTGGGAATTTCGCTCATGGTGGGAATTTCCTAGGCCGAAGTTGGGGTTGTTTTCGTTTGCCGTACTTATGCGTAAGTTATGAGTGAAAAAGTACTTTGCGTAGATAGAAAGTGGATATTGATAGGGGGAGAGAGATAGCCAGCGCGGGCGTGTTTAAATATATATTACTTTACAATGCTGACTCATGACTATCAAAACGATAGGTATGTGACTCGGCCCTTTACTCATTGCTTGAGTTAGTTGCATACCTCACGTACCTAAGTAGGTAGTTATGTAACTGGTTATGCTATGGGATGAAAATTTAAGTCACGCTTCCATTGAAGACCTAGCTTTATTAGATGCCGAAAAATAGTATGGATGATGGTTGTTGACGTTGTTGTGTGGTTCGAAACTTCTTGCTTTTTTCTTTAAAACCAAAAAAGGGGGTTTCGACTCCAGTTTGAACTGTTGACTTTAAAAAATTGGTTGCCTCTGGAAAGTTGATTTGCAGCTTGGCCACTTACCACTGAGCCAAATGTCCAAAATTGATTGCTGCAACCTAGCATGTACCTCGTGTCGAACCCATGCTTGCTTGCCCGCACACGGGTCTTGCTACGCCTTCGCCTGCCTCAATCGCGACTGTGTTATTAAAACTTAGAAGCTAAAGGTTTAACAAAATAGCAAAAAGATTATCTCCAGAAGCCGAAGGGAGGGAGCACTCACATCCGGAGATCGGGCCGGCCAGTTCGCTAGGCCTTTCGGAACCCATCCCAAACACCGCGGTGTTTGTCATCCCGGTAGATATCCTCGAGGGGCGATCAACTCCCTCTAACCTACGCACAGCAAGACACGAGGTACAAGCTGGGGGTCTCGCACGTCAGCTCCGAAATGATTTGCAGTTATTACATATTATAACCTTCTGTTCTTTCAGACGTTTCCCCCACCCTTAGTTATTCCGACCTGCTGCCTGGGCAACGCCGGGTCGTCACCCTCTCGCCTAGCAACCTCCCAACTGGCCTTGTGCACGATCTAGAGAAGTGAATATTTTCCTTTTTAACGTAAGGAGGGCGATAAATGTTTGGTAGTAGTATTTAAAATTCCAGTATCCCGTTCAATATACTTATACTACGGGGCTATTATTTGCATAGATTTACTTCAGCACCTGGTTTAATATCATCATCATAGTAAACCAAGCCTTATGCTTGGTTTCCAGGCACTCTGTTTAGATGCTTACCTAATAAAGGGGTTACCATCTAGCATTTAAGGAGGGTACCTTTTACCAGCAACTGGCTATTCCCTGCTCCTTGCTCGCATCGCGTTGTATTTGGTGAGATAAATTGGTCTTCTACCAGCACTAGAATTTTATGTCAAGTACAGATATAATTATTGAATTAGCTTGTTCCTGTCCAACTGAGCTATATTTTTAGGGAACCTTGGAGTTTAGATAAAGCTATATATCAAGAGTTCGTTTCCGCAAACCTTAGGAAGGCTGTCTTATATTTGACCACATTTATCGGGCGAGTTACTCCTTTAGGTACACATAAAAACCCAAAACACATCGGACTTTGCCTCTCAACCCTATGCCGTGGATGTCTGGACCCTTCGAGATATGTTTGGATATGGTGTGGTGCGTTGGCGTGGTTAAGCTAAAAACATATCGAGTCTAGATTACGTTGATATATAAAGAGCTGAAGTATCTAACTTCTTCTACCTCGGTACCTGTTAGCAGGTAGCATGTCGAAATCTTTAAAGTTGGGTCTGACTGGAAGTTCTCATATCATCACCACGGCTCAGAGAAAATCTGATACCTAGAAGGCTTGGCTATCGGAGCGGGTTAAGATAGACTGGCTGAGTAGTTTTGATTATATTTTAGGTCGTCGCTTTAACTGTCTAAAATCGCCAGATTTCTCCAAAAATAACTGGTGTCCTTGTCAGGATTCTAGATGAGGCATCTAGAACAAAGAGCATGTACGTATACACGAGCCGTGGGCTCGCTAGATATGTTAGAGTTCCTTGCGGAACTACGAAGTTGTTTCCATGTTGTTTGGCTCCACCTTGTGGCAGTCCTAATGGAATGGCGGAAATGGGCTGGACTGTTATTAAACCCCTACTAGAGTCCAAGGCTTTCTTTTGTTTTCACCCAAATTAGACCATTGTGCCCGAATCCAGGACGATTGCCATTTTCGGTGCCTGTAATAAATAAAGGTTTGTGTTCGCTAATGTATTAAAGAGTAACTGCCTAGTTCGTGATTAAGAAGTGAAGCTTTTGATGGTATTGGAATAGTTGTGGGTCTAAACCATGACTGATCCTGTACCTTGTCGACGCTTCAGAATGAACAAGTGTGGACTACCTTAATGGATGCGGCACTTAATACTGGATTTGACATTATTATCGGAAATATTGTGCTAAGATGGTAAGTTATCGAGTTCCTCTCAGTGCTGGGACGAGTACATGCCAGCTCCCATGATATTAGAGCCAATCAGAGTTGAGCAATAACTGATAATCGGAAAAAGACCCGATGGCGACACATCGCGACATTCCATCTCCAATTGTCATCATCAACCTTAGAAGAGCACGCTGTACATGGTTTCCCGGAATTATCTCTTTTCCAAGTATTTACTCCTTCTGTTTAAGTAGTGTTTCTATTGCAATTTGATATGACAAAGTACTTAGTCGATAAATATCTTGGCGTTTTGAGCTTCAAATCCTGGTGGTTGACGACTTATACGCAGATAAAGATGAATTTGTATGTAGCAGCTATGTGACGCCCCTAGCTGAACCACCTATTTGTACCTGCAGGATTCAAATACAATAGCTTCATTGGAGATCGTGGTATCGGATATGGCGAGCTATCTCCGTAATATTAAAGCATTCTGCAATGACCATCACTGCATACAGAATATCATCATCTCGCATGTGAGGAGGGGCAACATCCTAGATAAGGAAGCACATATTATAAGTCTCGTTTACGTTTTTGCCGTCGAAAAACTTGTTTCGGAAGCGAGAAGACTTATGCTAGACCAAGCTGGTGCATATGTATCAACTATCATACCACAGTCGTCATTTAGCCATGCTATAATAAGTCTTTACCTAGATATTTGAGCATGCTGGAGATCTTTGAAAAAAGTAATGTCCGGGTCCAGACCCAGCACACCCCACGCCCGGGGACCCTGAGCCAGATCCCTGGCTGGTGGTAGTATAGTTATAGCTAATTATCACTATCAATGATACCATTCCACCAACGTCGTGGTACCCCCCTCCCAGCCCCATGCTAGGCGTATATAAGGCTTCAGTCCCAAGGTCCTGGGACTGCTTTGATAAGACCGACCAAAGTCACCTGCCCAAGCGAACGCTGCGCTGAGATGGCCACCGTTCTCGTCCAAAATATTGGCGACAAGAAGACGCCTAGCGAGTCAACTATCTCACTCGATAGTGACGGCATACCGCCATTGGGAGTACCGAAGCAAGAGAAGCGCTTTTGGTTCCAACGTACCAAAGACTTCGACATTAACGCGATCGCGACACAGGTAATAAGTTCACACACCAAATAATGGGAGGCGCCTACGGAAATGACTGACGGATATATTCGTACAGCCCAGTGTATTCGACGATCCTCAGACGGTGGAGAAATACCAACCCCGCGATGACTGGTATGTCACACACATGCTTTGTGAAACTTGGTAGAATCTCATTCGGCAATAGGGAAAACGTACATCGTTTCGATCCGAAAGCGCGGTGGACATGGGCGGAGGAATATGCCGTCGTCCGGAAAATAGACTGGAGAATTATGATCTGGGCCTGCGTGATGTTCATGGCGCTCGAGTTGGACAGAGCGAACATATCACAAGCTCTGACGGACAACTTTCTCAATGATCTTCATTTGTCCACGAACGGTGAGTCTGGGCTGTAAGGTGACACTCATATCCGTAGCGCTGACAAGTTATTAGACTACAATCTCGGGAACAGCGTGTTCAAGTTGTCATTCTTGATTGCGGAACTACCCTCCCAGCTTGTGTCTAAGTGGATGGGCCCTGATCGATGGATTCCAAGTCAAATGGTTCTGTGGTCTATCGTGGCTGGGGGCCAATTCTGGCTTTCGGATCGGAGTTCGTTTTTGGCAACGCGTGCTCTAATAGGAATAATTCAGGGAGGATTTATACCCGATGTAAGAAATCAGTGTCTAAAACCTTCAACTAAGTTAATGCTGACCGTTTGGATCTAGGTTATCCTATACCTTTCATACTTTTATAAACACCACGAGCTAACCATCCGCCTTGGGTTCTTCTGGACTATGATGAGTGTTGCCGACATCCTCTCGGCTCTCATCGGCGCCGGTCTTCTCAAGATGAGAGGAGTTCTTGGGTACTCTGGCTGGCGCTGGTTATTCCTACTAGAGGCCATAATAACCCTTATCGTCGGGCTGTTCTCATTCGTCCTGATGCCGGCCGGTCCCTGTCAGACGGCTAGCTGGTTTCGAGGAAAAAACGGTTGGTTTACACCTCGGGAAGAGACTATCATCGTCAATCGAGTGCTTCGAGAAGACCCGAGTAAGAGCGGCATGCATAATCGCGAGCCTATAACTCCGAAGCTACTATGGAAGTGTCTCCAGGATTTCGATCTTTGGCCGCTGTACATCATCGGGCTTACCTTCCAGATCCCTGCCGTCCCGGAGCAGCAGTACTTAACACTCTCACTCCGGGAGATGAAGTTCGACACGTTTACGTCCAATCTGTTATCTATTCCAAATACAGTAATCCATAGTAAGAAAATTCAAGTACGCCCTGTATAATGATATAAATCCGCTAACTGCATGATCTAGTATTCACGATGCTCGCAAATGTATACGCAGCCGAAATATTTGGGGAACTCACATTCGTTTCAGTAATTGGGCAATTCTGGATCTTGCCTTTCTTGATATATCTTAATGTGGCCGATACCGCGAGCGCCAGTAGATGGGTCATCTGGACTGTGACAACTCTCTTGCTAGCATACCCTAATGGTACGTCCCCGACCCCCTACCCTGTATTCTTGAAATTTACTAACAATCGATTATTAGCCCATGCTATCCAAGTCGCCTGGAACTCCCGGAATTCCAACACCGTACGATCTCGTACAGTCTCGGCTGCGTGCTACAATATGTTCTGCCAGGCCGGTGGCATCATAGCATCCAATATCTATCGGGCAGACGACGCACCACTCTACCGTCGGGGTAATCGACAACTCATAGCTATTCTTGCTGGAAACATTGGCATATATTGCCTCACTAAGGTATACTACGTCCTTAGGAATAGGTACAGGGATAAAAAATGGAATGCGATGACTGCGGAGGAGAAACTAGAGTATCTATCGACGACGACCGACGAGGGGAATAAGCGCTTGGATTTCCGATTTGCGCATTAAGGCCATAGAATGTTCCGATATATAGTATCTCGATAGGAAATATGATAATCCCAGTGGATTCGGAGCACATAGATCAGCCTACTAATGTATCACGTTATCACCATAATAAGCCGACCCTTTTCATAATTAAATGCTTGAAAATGGAAATATATTTAGTAATACTGCTAGTCGAGGATATCAGGCAAGCATGATACCCTCTTCCGTATTGCGGTATAAGACCGTAGTGGCCAGGGGATAATAAATCAAGGCAAAATAATCAACAGAAAAACGATGGAATTTTTCTGGCTAGGCGAGTTAGGCGCGCAATGTATCAACGTCTCCAACTCCATTTATTTCGCCCAAAAGAACTCCCGTCCTTCTCCCACTAGGCCCTGGTCCTGATCCTAGTCGGATTATAGAAGTTCTTACTGCCGGTCGCTTTTTCTGATCCTGTCCTGCATCTTCTTCTCCGTCACCTTTAGCGTGTTGATGCCAGCTTTGATTCTTTCTTGTTCGTAACTGCCCCGAAAGACTCTGAAATTCCGAGCCTCCTCGAGTTTCTGACGGACATCTAAGGCCCATTGTATTTTGTTGATCAGGTCTTGTCTTTTCGAGGAAGACAAAATACCGGTCGGGTCCTTGTCAATGATATTATTGACAATGGTTTCAAGTTCTTGGGTTTCATCTAGGACGACATTGAGGTCTAATATGTCCTTGATGGCCTTGGGCACGCCTGAGAAATTCATCTTGGCTGGTTTTTCTAGTAGGAAAGTTTTGTTGTTGATAAAAAGTAAAGGGTGAAGGTAGCTAGTGGTATACGAGGTAGTATTTTTCGTGGCTTTAAGGGAGAAATAAAGGCAGAAGAGTTTTGGATCTAGACACGTTTATATAATAAAATCTCCATAATATACAGCGCACAACATTAGCAAATATGAATCTTGGCTGAGTGTAGATATTGTCACGCAGTGGAACCAAATGTCAGGATTAGATGCCCTAGTGAGGTGAATCATGCATAGAGTGAATGTCGAGGGCAGGTAGACCAAGTAGTAATTGTATTGAACTTCGTAACGCCTGGCTTTCTAACCTCTGACGAGGGCGCTTCGCGCCTCTTATATACTCGTATAGACCCCTGTAGCCACCCTGGCATACGCCAACATCATTTAACTTCTAGGTCTACAAAACGTGAGGATAGAGGCAAACTCCCAGCACTCAATTACGATGCATTCTTCATCCGACATGTCTACCCAGCTGAGTCACCTACTAGATCCCTGGAAGTGAATACTTCAGCTTGTATTGGATGAGGTCTTTCTTAGTCGGCAATGTCTCAGGGGAATAGTTACCTATAATCATTGTCATGTAAGTACATGCCTTGGAAGGAAGACCTGCAGTCATTGCGCACACAGGAATCATTTGGTGTACAGTAGCAGGGCACATGTATTTATACTTGCTTTATGTGTCATATCTGACGTCCCCTGACTGTTGGCGTTGGTATATCTGAGTCTGGGCACTTTGGTGGCAATGCCAATATTCGGATGATATTCATCTTTATTTAAATCAAGTAAAGTAGGGAATTACGAGAAGACGCTCCTTTAGGCTGCCAAAATAGCCAGAGTTTAAGAACCTCGGGGTAAATAAAATATAAGATATGGCCTTACCACGTGCTAGATGGCTACTATACAGCCAGACATCTATGGATGGAAAAGAAAATACTTTCTATACGAAACCGAGAGCGACTATTCGGAAAGATATAAAATATATTTAACAAAGAAATCTCTAAATATGCGTAAAACCGAACTTTTGTCGTAAAAGGAGCAAAAAAAATATTTCTCGCAAATTTGGGCAATCTTTAGTCCAACATTAAGATTTTTTATGGTCGCCCCTTGTATCGTACTTAGAATGGTGATGGGGAGATCTATCAACGTTTCAACGCACCCTCCTTTCTTGCAACGTCTAAAATCTGATCTACTAACGGCTGCACATCAGTCCCCTTGAGTGGCACCCTGTGCGCGCCATCCCACTCAATCAATCTAGCAGTCCCTGGATCGCAGTACTCTTCGAGCAATTCGCGATGCAGGTTCAAACCCGGGTCGTTGAGTCCGTGAACGTGGATGGTCGGAAGCTTTAAGACGTGGTTCCCGCTCATCATTTCCATTAGGTCTGGCGCCCCTGTAAGGCCGACCTGTGATGCCCGGCTTAACATCGATGACGTGAATACTTCGGGGTCTAGGTTCACTATGGGCGCCCGTCCGGCCATAAGCACGGCAAACTTCCAGTCTGAGCCAGCCTGCGCCGGCCCCAGCTTCTCGGATCGGATCTGCTGTCGATATAATATGCTTGCGGCAATCTTAGCACCTTGGCTAAATCCGAGAAGCCCGACCCAGGGGCCGGTGGCACCGGTGCTGTCGTCGGCATCCATAGCGTCTTTTAAAGAGGCGTTGATGTCTACAATTGCACCGCCATCTTCTAATTCCGGATGCTCGGGAAGCCAGCGGAGCCACCTTTTGAATGGACCGTGCTCCGCATAGACCGAAAGCACGTCCGGGCCGGCGCCAGATTCATAAGGCGCCTCGGCATAAACCATGCGGAAATACGGCTCTAGCGTCCGTGACACTACCCGACATTGAGCCCTAAATATACGGGCATTAGTTCCACCGCCATGCAAACAGAGGATGCGCGGTAGATGTAAGGTAGCATCTTCACGCTTGGTGGCCATGATAGTTAATTTGCCGAGTAACGTTGGCCGGGGTCTATTTTGCGAAAGAAGATGGTCTATGCGGGAGGGAGGGGTTATTTTAAAAGTGTGGTTAAGCAAAGGCAAGAGGGATGATAGTAGATGGTGGATGGTGGATGGTAGATAGTGTTATTAAAAAAAAACTCCGTATCCGCGCCTATGGCGGATCGTAAGCAAAAGGGGGCAAAGGGATCAGGATTCCTCACCAAAAAAGTTCCTATTAACCAATTAAGACGCAGGAATTTGATGATTGTTTCGGACTTCGCCAATATTAGGTTAGTAAGCTGTGTCAGCTCACACTCCGATAATGCAGTGCAGGGTGCTGTGCCGCATTAATTCTTAATTGGTCGCAGTCTCTTAAATAAGCAGCATAATTTCAGCTGATTGGGTTCGAGGCCACACTTTTACTTCGTCTCTATATCAGATCTTTATATCAGATAACAATAAGTTAACTCCAAACTTCAATCTGAAGTCCTTAAGACTAACTCGAAGACAATTTCAATAAAGGTCAAGGGTAATGATTCATTATATCTTTTTATGGCTTGTGTCAACTCTATTACACCGTTCCATATATAGTTACGGATCTCTCCCCCTCCAGAGATGATTAAGAGTTAGAATGGACTGGTTCACTCTCCCTGACCTAATTTGGACAAATATTTCCCCTTTTCCCAGCATAGTGTCCTAATAAACATTATAGTTGAACTACGGGTTAATATAAGCCTAAGAATTTGGCAATTTAGGATAAAAGACTTTGTGGTGCGCGATGGGCATTTTGAATAAATGAACTTGTTCATAGGCGAATCTATATTTACTCAAGGGGGGAAACATTTTCATTGTACTTTGATATGAGCATACATATATATAGTAAGGATATCGCATATTTAGCTACTAAACTTGATTATGATTATTTAATTAAATCTGGACAATATGTTACTTACAGTTAAACTACGGTAGAACCATCGAAATGAGGTTCAGGTTTTTGCAAGTCCAAGCCTTTGCTTCATCCACTTAGACTTATTCGTTCGGTTACTCTACTCATTTTGGTTTCTGCTGATCATGGTCCCCTTTCTCTTGCTCACGCTTCTGCTGCGATTCCCACCGCATTTGTGCCTCGTTCATTTCTTCCTCGGTTTCCACACCTGCTTCAGTCTGATACTTCTCGTCTACGTTCGTGAAGAGGTCCCAAAGTACCACGCATTTATCACAATCCACGGTCCTTACTCCTAAAAAATTGACTTTCAACTTTGGGCAAAACCTAGTACCCGCCAACTGATTGTCGCAGGGATCATAGTTTCGGTAGTAATGTTCTATGTGCTTGCACATCGGACATTCTATCTGGGTCATGTCGCAGCGGCACATCTTGGAGTATGTACGTTGTAGTATAGAAAGAACTATTGAAATTGGTGACGGGGGTTATGGCGATTGAATAGACTACAGTATATGCTACTTTTTGATGAGTATCTCGCGATGATTAGTGAAGATGATAAAAAAAATAAAGAAGCCATATCGAATTCAAATAGTCGTCGTATCAACAACTTTGTTTCGGAAGGAAAGTTGTACAGAATCAGCAACCATGAAATTATATGGTTTTACTATAACATCTTGGTTTTAAACAACTAATAAACAAAATCAGTTACGTTTCAGGAGAGTAGTTGATGAATATTGTTGAAATGAGTAGCCAATAGATTATCATCAAGTATGCTATTGGACTTCTCACCTCTCCTATAAAGCCTAGTCAGTTGATTGGGTTACCCATACAACTTATATAGCGCTGTTCCCACTGAGTCTTTCCCAATGCCTTCACACTATCATAGTCTTATTCAATTCTTATATTAGCGGCTCTATCTATACTATAAGATAATCTGTTATTACGCCTTATAAAAGACCTAAAGTTTGGAAAGGGGTATATCGTGAAGTATTGTTTTGATGATCTCTCTGCTCTAACCTTTTGTATACATGCAAGTTGCAACGATCAAGTTGTGGTATGAATACCAAACTATAAAGGATATGTGTCAGAGTATAAGGGGAGCGCAGCGCCCTCGTAAGAGGGTAAAAGGTTAAGCGTTAATACATTCATACTACTACACGGCTACTAGGTATACAGCAGCGAAGCTATTACTTCTAACATTCGTTCTACGTATGACATGCATCAAGGGCTCTCTCTAACAAGATGTCTTCCCACCACGATTGGCTTGCTCAAATTCAGGTGTGGTAGTGCTACAGTCGTTCCAATTCTACAATTCCACCATTCGCCTCTCAACCACGCCTTCCCGGATTTAACATCTCAATTGTTACTCCGGCCCGCGGCATGGTGGATTCACGGCTCGGCGATGCCACAAAATGGCTGGGAGAGGGCGTATTATTGACAGGTCCGGACCACAAGTTTGTCCTACTATGGAAAAACAACGACTGCGAGAAAAGGGGGGAAGGGGTGTTAAGTCACTAGACTTGCGTATGTCTCTTAGGATCGAGAAGACTCAGGCACACTCCATTACAGGAGAGCATTTCCGAATCTTGACCACCAAGAATAGGGACGAGAGTCAACCAGTTCCAATTTAGTATTTATTTGGATGGATGAAAGGCGGCTAGAGACTGACGCTGCGTTATATATACCAGTGAGCAAGGCGTGTCCCAACTTAGCCGAGAGTGCGATACATCTTCGACCCCACGACCCCACGACACCACAGTCCACGTGCGACGTATCCTAGAGAAATTCCTACTCATATGAATGCTGGCCACTCTCTACTTCAGTAAAATCTGCAAACTCAAGGCTCATAATCTCCAGAATACAGCCACCGCATCGCTACTATATGCCTAGACTTTCGAGCCCATTGTCTTCTCGCCGGGCAACAGACCTATGGATAGTAGGTGTCAACCCTGTACCTAAACGGGGCCGAGTAGTAGGTATATATACTTGATATAACCCTCACGGTTTCAGTTGGCTTTAGTTGCGGATGTACCTAGGAGGTTAACATTCTGTTCGCACCTCGACAACCAGTAGAGCTTATCACCTGTGCCGCCAACGGTCTGTCCCACAGGAAAGCGCAATTCAAGATCCATTTGTGGCGCTGCTATCTAAGCTACGGGACCATGTGTCTCGTACCTAATATCACAAAATGATATAATGGACGATTGCCACAGTGGGTGTGGCGTGAAGTCTTTTTATGCGTTAAGTTTATACATTTTATACCAAGCCTCGACGACACCGTTGTGAAAGCCTTCTGTACGCGGTGGGAACATAATAATACCTAACGACCGAGAGCTTATCGTCCGTAAATCTAGTCAGGATGCTTAGAGGTACGTATGGAATGCGGAGAAAGCGTGCTGGAGCTTATAGGATCACGCAATTGTAGATAGATTTGGAAATTGGCCCGTGATATTTAGATGCTTGTTGTTGCTGGGAGATCCACGTAACCAAGATAGGCTACAGTTGTGGGCAGCTGGTTGCAGTCGTGAGTCACATGCCAGGCATTTAGGTAGTCACAATCGAGTCATCAAGGGAAGGAACAAGGCCCCAAGGCTGGTTATATAAACAGACGAGGTCGCGTAGTCCTTTTAGATTTAGTAATGCACCAGTAATACAAGACCAGTTGCACACTTGTAGAATTAATAACAGGTAGCTACATACAACATAGGTAATCTAATTATAACTACATCATATCATACATCTTATCATACATCTTATCATACATCTTATCATACACCTTATCATACAACTTATCATACACCTTATCATACAACTTATCATACAACTTATCATACACCTTATCATACACCTTATCATACACCTTATCATACACCTTATCATACAACTTATCATACACCTTATCATACAACTTATCATACATCTTATCATACAACTTATCATACAACTTATCATACAACTTATCATACAACTTATCATACACCTTATCATACACTTATCATACAACTTATCATACATCTTATCATACATCATATCATACATCTTATCATACAACTTATCATACAACTTATCATACAACTTATCATACAACTTATCATACACCTTATCATACACTTATCATACAACTTATCATACATCTTATCATACATCATATCATACATCATATCATACATCATATCAATGTCTGTCTCAATAGAGACAAAAAATGTCGGGAGGTTCGGCTTCAGCAAGACTTAAGAACTACGTCAGAGTTCCCCTGCATCTACCTCGTTAAAGGTAACCCCCCATTTTATTCTGAGTGTAGTAGAGCGAAGCATATGACATGAGTAGGTCAAAGCTCAATCTCTTGTCAACCAACGGATGGCCCGTTGTGCTGACATAGAGGCCAGCCGGCGCTAGTCCCCTAGCCGATGTTCGTAGAACCCTCGAGGGAACGAAGGCGCACACATGCCCCGTCGTCGTTTGGCATGAGGAGTCTTCTCGGTCAGAGGATCGTGTCTGTTCAGGTTGGCGCGGGTCGGAAGGCGGCTGGCTCCCCGTCGGTTGGAACTGCAGTCTTTGTCGGGCCAGAGGATCGTGTCTGGTTCGCGGGTCGGGAGGCGGGCCAAGGTCTCGTCGACGGTTCCCAAGGGCAGTCTCAATCGGTCGCCGGAGGATGGTGTCCGGGGTTGAATTTAACAACAATATCGAACCTAGAGATAATAGAGATAGGTGAGTAGTAGCAGAAGGTCAAAGTATCCAAGATAGGTGGAAAGGTAACATTAGCAAAGGCTGAATGTTTAAGAAGGTTGGTGATGAGTTTGTGTTGTCAAGTGAAGAATGGTAGAGAAAGGATGGGAGGAAGAAACGAGAATGGAGGGGGGAGGCCCCCGAATATATACTATTTGGTCGGGCGGTCTGCTCAGAATCTGATTAGAATCTGATCTGCACTGACCATTTTTTACAATTCAGATCAAACATTTTAATCTGTTGATTTCCTAAAGTTGCGTGGGAAGGTGCGCATGTACCTCTTGATTCTTGATACGTACCTAGGTACACATAGATGATTTTGATCTTGATCTTGATTTTGAGGCTCTTTTAGTGGGTCTGGATGGTGATCAGGCAGGTACGAACCTTAAAGGTGGGGTAGCATTAACTGACCAATCATACATCCTTGCAACATCCCGAAATGGAATTAATTCAACTTGTACCTAGGTACCTAATTTAATCATCCCGGACAACATTCGAACCTTCCCTAAAGGGCTGCATATTTTTTTAAATTTTGATTCTACCTCATGCATCTAAGCTTTAATGTACCTCGAATATCTACATGTACCTAAATACCTGATTAAGTTTCATGTAAAATCAAATCAAATACCTAGGTACCTAGATACCAACTTATTTTTCGATACGTACATGCTTATGAATCATCTCGCGCCTGCCTTTGATGCCTCACAAATATCCCACGACTGCCCACAACCGCGGGCAACGGTATTTGCCACGTCACTAATCAAACGACGTGGATCACCTAGCAGCTGCAAGCCAAAATACGATTTAAGTCTGGGATGCACTTGCCGTAAGATTCCTATATGTGTTACTTGGGAAGTAGCTACGTAGTTGCAGAGGTTGGCCCGTGTTGATTTAGTGATTGTGTCTTATGAATTTAGAAGCATTTGTAACTTTAGCAACCTACCTCACAGACAGCAACATAGGTACCCAAGCATCAGCGCGTATTTAAATTTTTTTTTTAATCAATTCTTAAGAAATTGTAATTAGGTACTTTACAATCACAAAATTTAATGAGTCGTCATTATTAATTCTTCAAAATTGGTTAAAATCTATCGACCAATGCTATGATGATAATAACTACCTAGGTACATATTTGATTTTACCTACGAAAATCAGCATGCACACCATGCCAAAATATGATACCCTAAAACCTAAAAAAATGCCAATGTCGATAAATTCATATATCCATATATATCCATATAAAGTAAATTTAAAAGGTTTCCGAAACTATAGAAACGTAGATCCGAGTAATTCGGGATTCGGAATGCTACCAAAGTAAATCTTTTGTGTATTATTCCGAAAAGTATTAGTATGGTTAACTATTGATTTCAACACCCGAAAACTCCCTGAATTTTAGCTTGCTTGGAGGTGGATGAGATTAGGATAGCATATGCATAATAAAGCCAAATTAGACACCAACACCAATGATAATCCGTTTGGCCGCTTTAATCAAGCCCCAAGGTCCTCCAAACTATGATTAAAATGAAGCCGCGAAAGAGCATAGTTCCTAGAATAAGGCAAGATACTGGAATATTAATATATGGAAGTACTTGCTAATATTTTCTATTTGAGGTCGAATTTCGACTACTTAACGCATTAGCAATGCTGAGGGCACAGAATGGGCCCAGAACAAAAACGGGAGGCCGATTCGGGATATTTAAGGGACAAAGAACCACACTAGGAAAAGTAAAGTGAGGAGGTTATAGAATCGGCAAAAGGGGCAGGCGGGGAAAGGGATAGCACGGAGGCGGATGTACCAACAGCCAAAAAAAGACGAAACAATTCACAATATCCTACACTATCTGATAACTGGTGACTATCCCATGGCTAAAACATGTTCCGGCCACGGTAGACGTATAGACTCAGTAGTTAACATTCCCGTGGAAAAGGCCGGCCATGAAGCTGAGCTAAACAGCGGAGTCCAAGTAATAATTATTTTGTTAAGCCAAAACCAAAAGAAGAATAGAAGAAAGCGAAATAGTGCCGACGGACTATATTCACAACATAGCCTAGTCACACTGTCGGTAGACAAGGTCCAGTCCATATGATACGTACGTACGGTTTAGGGGGGTAAAAGAAATAGACACGATGCAGCAAGGTAGACCTTCTATTCAATGACGCATAATTCTAAGATCGAGATAGATGCGGTCTCGAGGGAGAGACGCATCTATATACTCGTGCGGGACGGATTATCCTCTAATCCGATGAGGGATTATCACCTAATCCAACACACACAAAGTTGTCACATAAAATGTTTAAGCAAATATGAAGAATACTGCTGGAGACTGATTAGAACATCTTGGGGATTAAACTAATTTTACACCAAGGGAGTTCGGAAGTCGGTAGGTATAGCGGACGGCGCTATACTACCTCAACATGGCTTGAGTCACCGGCCTCGGATATTAGCGAAATGATCTACTTTCTGACATGCTTATAGAAACTCAAGCACGGCTAAATCCAAGAGTCTCGCACTGACGTATTACAAAAGCCGAGCTTATTAATTCCGGACTCGAATACAACAAGGTCACAGAGTATCAAATAGTGATGTTAACAATAGCAAGGGGGTTTAATCTGGTATATATTGGTTCGTGCTATCTCTCCTATTATGGCGCCGGCTTGAGTATGAAGGACGATAGGAATCACCCGTCCGTCGTTTCCGCCTGTCCAGCCCTTCATCTGCTACAAATCTCCGAGATACGTCGCTCACTTGGTTATTCCTTTCAACATCCACTTCCTCGACTCGTCGTTTCCTCGCCGTTGGATACTGGACTTTGCGATCCCAGGCCTCCAACGACCAGGGACTGCGTAGGAAGTTCTTGAGTTCGTGGAGGAGCAACTTCGTATTATCGCGACCAAGGAAATCTTTCAGCATTTCTTCCGCTTGCCCCTGACTTCCCTGAATATCTACAGTCTTAAGGATAGCAATTATGTACTCAAGCAGAAACTCGGCATTATTCGCACGTCTTCTCGTCATCGCATCATCACTGGATTGCGCGGTGGGCGGAGTTCGAAGGAATTCGAAGACTTGTAGTTCCCTCCTGAGCCATGTTCGCGCCCTTGATATCATCTCGGGATCGGATTCGAACATCTGTGGAGTTAGATCTCGATAGCCCGATCTTTGATTCGACCCGACGTGTAGGGAGTAGAGTTGATTACGATAGACATCCTGCCGACGGAGAATAGCCTCATCAACAGTTACTCGTCGCGGAGGCGCTTCTTCGTATCTTCGACGGTTTGGTCTCGGGAGCAAATTTCGCGGAGAGTAGATTTGGGCATGCGGCTGTTGGGGCTGTTTTGATGACGCCTTCGGAGGCGGAACTAGGTATACCCTGCTTTTCGCATCAGGGCCATCGCTTTCGAAATCGTACCAGACCTCATCGACATTGCTCTTGCAAAGAGGGCATTTCGCCTGTTGCTCTAGCCAACTAAGGAGGCAAAGGTAGTCAAAGTTCCTATGGCTGCAAGGCCGGGCCTCACAGATCTCGGTGATGCTATCGAGGCAGATGACGCAGCATGTCTCGTTTGTATTATCGGCCTCGGATTGTCTTCTTGACAACGCTACTTCTGCAAGAGTATGTTGGAGTACTTGAGATCGTATATCAGTCGCATCCAACTGTGTGTCCATATAGATAGGAAGTGCTGCTGTGAGTAGGAGCGATGGGCATAGAATGTTGTAACAAGTTGAAAATGACCTCGATGTTTAGAGGCAATTTACAAACAAATGGGGATTGACAAGGATTAATGAGGTACGGAAGTACCCGACATTCCAGCTGACGTAATGTTTCCCCCTAAGGCGGGTACGTACATGCATGTACTAAGGTAAATCAATTTAAAGTGCCCCACTAGATTGTCCCGCGCGTCGCGTTCCATTAAAGCTTGTCGCGTTTTTGGCGGATTAACCTTCCCTATCAAAAACATTCCCTACTACCAAATTCAATATTTAGCAACAATTATTAATAATCCACGTCAAAGTCTACGCGCAGCATTGTTCAACTTATCTCTCAGTTAAGATGGATGAAAGTGAAAGACTTCAATATGAAGAGACGTGTAAGCAATTACGCGCCGACCTCAAGCACTTCGAGGCCGACTGGGCAAGCCACAATGCCGGCGCAAAGCCGGGGCGCGAAGATATTAAGAAAAATCCAGCAATAGGTTAGATTTGACCCTAATAATATGTTTGAACTCGGAGTGAAGACTAATTGGTGCTTTATTCAGCTCGAAAATATAAGAAGTACAACCAAGTCCGCGATATCTTGGCTGGCAAGCTTCCTCCTCCAAAAGCCAAGTCAAAGGAATCATCAAGTTCTCGGAAACGTGAGCCGGAAGAAGTTCTTGCAGTGACACCCTCAAAGCGGTCAAAGCCAGCCGAGACACCTTCCCATATACGGGAGCGAATTATAGATCCCGAGATGTTTGAGACGCCATCCTCGCGGAAACTGTTTAGCCCTGCTGTGCCAACTTCAATTGGACCTACCCCCCAAAGGGATGGGCGTATCCTAGGCTTATTTGATTTGTTAGAAGAGAACGACGAGAACACGCCTTCAAAAAGTAGGACTGGCGAATTCTTGAAAGATGGTGCGATCCAGGCCACTCCTAGCAAAAATGTTGCTAGTCAGAATATCGGTGACGCCGTCAAACTGGATAAAACTCCTGTATCGAGCAAGCGCACAACACTTTTTATGACACCTTCGCGGCGAGATAGCAATGCCCCTCTTGGTAGAACTCCGAGTTCGATCCGCAAGTTGCAATTGACTACACCATCTTTTCTCAGGAGAGCACCCCTGGCGACAGTGGACGAAAACGGCGATTACATAGCTCCTGCACCCCTACGCTTACCACGCAAGCCTCTGGGTCGTAGTCTTAGCAGCGCAGTGGCGAGTCTACGGAAGCTAGAGGAAGAAGCACTGGATGACGATCTCGAGGCCTTACGCGAAGCAGAAGATGACGTTAACCCGTCGGCCACTACGAAGCCTGTAAAGAAGAAGGAGGATATCCTTGAGCCAGACAGTCAGGCCCAACAGCTCCTTGGTGGATTTGACGATGAGGATCTTTATGATAGTACACCCGAAGAGCAAGTGGGTCGTGACGGACAACCCCTAAGGGTCTACAAGAAGAAGGGACAAAAGAGGACTACGCGACGAGTCAACATGAGGCCAACCAGGAGCAAACGGCCACAGCAGCCTGTGCAGGACCAACCAGGGACTGATGACGAAGACGACCTCGTACCTGAGACGCAGGCAAACATGACGAAGGGTAGCGATAGTCCACCACTAGACTTAGGGTCCGACTCTGAATCCGATTTCGTAGAAGACGAAGGTCAAGAGCCCAAGGAGACGAAGCATGTAGAGAAGAAGAAGAAGGCAGAAAAGAAGGGTGGCAAAGTCCAGAAGGCTGCTAGGAAGGTCAACGAGCTAGCTCATGCGAACTTTAAGAGGCTAAAGCTGAAGAATCATGGAGCAAAGGGGCCTCCATCTGGGTTTGGGGGTAGATTCAGGCGCCGTAGATGAGCGGACAAGTTACCGACATTGCCATATCGAATGATTATAATGACGCTTGTTAATAATTATTTACATGAATCCTTCCACCTTATTAACGTATGTCTTTTGTTATATGCCGCTGCTTACCGAAGTAGGAGGTAGATACTCGACGACCTCCAATTTGAGATCCCACCATTCGTAGACGTCAAACTTCGCCCAATAGCGGCTTAGTGTATACGCATAGGGCTGGTTGGATAGGCTATTATCGGTAAGTTAGTGGGATAGTTAGATTAGGATGGTGTGAGATGGGAATTTGAAAAATTAACTGATTGATTCTACGTACGCAATAGCAGACGCCGGCGACCCGTACAAGGGGTACAGGTTGGTTACACAGCATTTGTGCATGGCACTCATCCGGAAGAGACGGGGTAGAATACAACCCCGCCCGCCCCGCCTCCGATCCCGCTTTGTTCGGGCGCTACAGATGAATTGTGGAACCGGGGAAAACTAATGTATATCTCCGAAGCAATGGTAGGACAACCCGAGGTATACAAATTACTGGAAAAGGTAATGGATTTATGAATATTTATGCAAGTTTGAAAATGCTTTAATTAGGAAAACGATCAGTGATGAAGAATTGATCAGGGGTACTTCTAAATGAACTCTAGTTCTATACGAACATAGGTATTTTCAAACATGCATAAAGTTACGTAAACCATTTACCTTTTCTAGCAGTTTTTAACCCTGAAGAGATCATCATACCAGTTCGGACCAATCCTAAACTACTGGTCCTTTCCTTAATGGTTTCGCAGCGCTGGAAGGGTGCGAGGCTCAAAATATAATATATCACATAGTACGTAGGTACCTATTCAGTACATGATTTAATGGAAAGATGTATAAATAGTTCTATAATCATTATTAGACTTCACGGGAACATATACTAGGAAGTATGTTATTAAATGTATCACCCATATACCAACTTTAATTCAAACCATATCTCCTAAGAACTACCTATCTATGTCTTTAAAGTCTGGTACGGTCCCGTATAAAAAAGCCATCATGGCAAGACCAAGAGATGAAAAGAAATCTATGAAGGTTGTTATGCAAATAACTATCAACTGACTGAGTAAAGACTGCATGATACCGGGGCAGTGTCCCAAATTAGGACCACGATGAGAAAGACAAGATACATAAAAGTTAGGTAAACATTTGCCTTAGGTAATGAATGTGTAGCAAGACGCTATGGTAGTATCCAAAAAGAATGCATTACGTCTCTCCACGTACAAGTCAGTATGGCATACTTAGATGCTGGCTATAGCATTTCCCAAGTCGGAGAAGGGTGCTATGAGACCGGAAGGGGGTCAACACGTGGGTTATCATATGGTTCCATATAGAACCAATGTCCCCTCATATGACATACCCTAACAGTCTTATTTCTTATCATCAAACTGGGCGCCGACTCCCAGTAGATCTTGGTCAATGTTGGTGTGATCGTTCTGGGTGTCTGCGGGTGCGTCGTTAGGCTCTGAAGTGTCGGGTAGGTCAGGCACAGGTGAGTCCCTGTTTGTCTTTGTGCTGTCGTTCGTCATTCCAGACTCGTCGTACCTATGTGTAAGATCACGAAATGTCAGACTTAGTTCATACTAAGAGGAAGTTGTGTTTATCTGTATCTGGATAAGTGGTAAACTCACGGAGTAGTCTCCTCGCCGCCGGAGGACGAAGTGTGAGACATTATAAGTTGTTAAGTAATGATATATATATGTATATATATATATATATATATATATATATATATATATGTATGTGTGTGTGTGCGTATAGTAGTAGTAGTAGTAGTAATTTAAATATGAGGAGATATAAGTTGAAGTTTGGTTATAGTAATATGGTAGGAACGGTTGGATAGCGCGTAAGTCTTGGTGACTAGCTATGTATGGTATCTAATTGTAGAGAAGGAAACAGAAATGTCCAAGAGAGTTTGAAGAAATATGTGTAAGTCTCGAGATAGAGATAGGAGTCGCTGAATGTTGGAGTTGGAGTTGGATCTGGACACTAGGATATAGAGGAAAAGAAAACGAGAGAATGAGCTGGGAAAGTTCCCAGGTATTTATCGTAGCTCGAGGCATTTCTCTGCAAGTCTCCTCCTAGTCCAGGCGTTTCGCTGTCTACAACTTAGAATTACCCAACTTGTCTGCGTATCTAAGTTCTTCTGCCGATCGATATAATAGGCTTGAGATTCTACCCATATGTATATACGATACTTGCATATTTCACAACTGCTTCGTGTCATTGGCTACAGCAGTTTTGTTCGACGGATAATTACATCTAACATTTCGCTTTTTATGCATAATATATTGCGTGTGTAACCATAGAAGTCGTAGCAGAAATCGTCCCTACATGATGTTGTGTAATGTAACACAGCCACCACACTTATTTTCGGGCTTACATTGGGGCAAGCTGTGCAGATATCTTACTAGGTACTATCTCATCACCACTAGGTTAATAGAGTCGAATACAAGAAACCTGTACACAGCCTACTTCCCCCCTAGTTTGTCCAACTGGCCGAAGGCTATATATTTATTTACTAGCATGCATTATATGATCCTAATACCTAAGAGAAATCAAAACGACAAAATAAGTGGTGTCGCGCCGTCGTCTCTCATACCAAAGTATCGTTTTAGGTACGTACATCATAGATATATATAAGTACCTAGGTACTTAGGTACCTATAGTGTACGCAAGCAAATTCCAAGACAACGAAATGTACCAAGAACTTGTCTTACGTCTATACTTAACTTATGTAGGTACTTAAAGTAGCAAAAATATTATCCCGGCTCCTTTAGAGATAGAAACAGTATCGTCGCATGGCAGGCCCATCCGGTGAACTGTAAAAGATGCATATATTCGGATACGGAGGTACTTTCAATATCAATATTTTTTTCTATCATCCGTAGCCTGCATATAGCCTACCGAATTCATGCAGGCTACGAAGCTGCCGCTCTTGCTGTCAGGGTTGCCCAAACAAGGAATACGCACGTTCGATGTGACAGCTGGATACCGCATTTTCCTGCCATTGGACGTTATCCCATTTGTTGCGGGTCAGCTCGACGAATTAAATTAAACGGCACCAGTCATTGGCTCTTTTGCTTGCTCTCGACCAAGCTTCTTGCGTCGGTCTTGCATACATCAAGATCCATCCCACTGGTTGCCTGACCTGCGTGGGACGCGAGACGACGCGAGACAGGCCATAATATAAAGGAGGCGTTACCGTCTTCGAAGACCCAGAAGAAATTTAAGTTTCAATTTTCTACTACTTTACTTTTTCAAAGCCCCACGAAAACCCACAACCTTGAAAAGAGGTCAGAGTAAGAGCAGAATGAACCCGTCGACTTCTTCAACGGGCAATGGCCCAGTGGAGAAGTTCTTAGGTATCCCATATAACCAGAGATGGGAGTATCTTAAACCTGTCATCATGCGTATGTACTTGGAGGAGAATAACAAATTAAAACGCGTCTCGGAGCGGATGAAGGATGAGTATAGCTTTAACGCTCAGTCAGTATTATATATCCATGCCTGTTTTGTGCTATTTAGTAACAAGTTGCTCAATGGTCAGAATCGGTCAATATCAGTCTCACTTCAGGAAATGGGACGTGAGAAAGAGAACAATAACTGGAGAGAAGGATGCTGTTATCACTGCTCTTGGAAAGCGTCTTCGCCAAGATGGAATCAGCACCTCCAATGCAATCATCAATCAAGGCGACTCTGCAAAAAGTGTGGACAAAAAACAGCTCAAACGGTACATCAACCAAAGCATCCGTGAAGATGAACCAGCGACATTACATCCCGGAATGTAAGCTAAAATTTGAAAGCTTTATGAAGGTTAGATGACTTATTCCAACTTTAGATTCGCTCGGTATAACCTCCCGTACGCTGCATTGATTCATAGCCTGAAGGGGCAAGGCTCCTTTTCACCATCCGGCGCTAGCCCTTATACTCCAGAATACTTGACTATAAACAGTCCACAAGGGACGGTATCTGCTTCTAGTCCCCAAGATGCATTGTCGCCGACCATGCAGCTGGTAAAACGGAAGACACTATTAAATCGAGCCCGCCTTTTCTTAGAGGGTAGAGAAGGGGACTTGATGGCACAGCTAGCTACGGATGAGCTAAAGTAAGTTCGTATTCGTCAGATATCTTGCGCCGTAGAGCACTAACTTGTTCTTTTGCTCTAGGTGTGTAGCGACATGGCTTCATGATTTTTGGATATATTCCTTCATGACTGTTAAGTACTGGGGCAGGGGACCAGAGACGTGGGATCTCTCCCTTATCAAGTTCAAGTCGTTCGCTGGCATGGTTCCCCCATCTCCTATTGATCTATTCATAGATCAAGAATCCGGCCCATCTTCTAGGCCTCATCTGATTCCCGACGGCCCGACGCAACTTTGTCGATGGAGCATACACTATAAGGAACCGGACTATGAAGGCCTCCCTTCTCCACCGGCAGAACTACATAGGTCCGAAGATCGATTTGATATTGATGACGAATCTACATGGACTGAGTGGCCATTGAATGGCACCAATCGAGATCTCACGAACACACTAGCTCGGGGACTTCAAGAGAACCAATTTAGTTCAATTGAAACCAATGAGCTTCCATTCGCTACAGATTCAGTTATGAATGCCGCAGAAAAGTCCACGGATGAATTAAAGGCAGAAACTTTCGGTTTTGCTATCATGTCACGTAACATGAATGTCATTGAAAATAGCATCCTCGATTACTCCACAAAGGATCTGGATATCCTTTCGGCCACCTTCCCCTTCCATCTAGCAGCCAGATTCCTAGATGGCGCCAAGACTTGCTGTCTTATCTTCGAACAACTTGTAAATAACTTACAGGGCTCGTGCTCGATAGGCCTGAAATATATCGATAGTTCTGGATTTACTGTACTGGATACACTTTTTGTTACGATCCTACGATCGCACAGCAAAACCTCATTTGATATTCTTCTAGGTGGCGAATTTGCTGATCAATCTCAACACGCCGGACAGGAGGTTGACCCTTGTGGTAGATGGGATGCGGATTCGCCTTGTATCCGACAGCTATATGCTTCCGGGAGCCCGAAAATCCCACATGAATGGAAACACGTATTCTGTCATACTTCGGTACAGGCTATATGCCATTCTATATCCGCAATATTCTCAGTTGATTGGAGTCCAGATATTAATACGTCGAGTGGATTGTTCAAAAGGCGATGTAGCTGTTGTGGGCTGGAGTTAAAATTTGGTCCACTTCATGCCCTGGTCTTGACGGCGTTCTACTTGGCAAATGATGGAATGCCCGGCGAGAATCTTTTTGGCATGATCTGTTGTCTCGTATGCCTGTTGACTCACCACGCTGATCCTTACGCTGCTGTGGAGATCTCAATTCCCGAGTTACTGGGACGCGGATCAATGGATATATGTCAACACGTAACTATGAACCCGGCGGAATTGGCACAAGAAATTCATTCGGAGAGAATGGCGTCGTGGACTCACGAAGTTAATCGCGGATGGGGGATTTTCCTTTATATCCTACGACTAGACCGCGAGAAGAAGGACTACAATGACTACGATGACTACGATGACGAGGATTACGACAATGAGGATTCCGACGGATGCTTTCATATTTTTGGACCAACTTATTCCAACAACCGACAGCTGGGCCAAATATGGGCAGCTATACAGGCTGAGTTATTAACTTATCGTCGTTTAAGCGAAGACGATAGTTGGCTATCTGTTAATTTCGACATGGAAAAGCTGTGGAGAGCCTTGGAAGATAATGATGAAGAGCTCCTTCGTGAGTTTGCTGATAACCCGGATGATAAAACTGGAGAGTCTAAGTTGGAGAAATATTCGAGTTGCGGGCATTTCCATTATGCCCTGCATCCGTTATGCGCTATGAGGGAGGAAGTATGCAACTCATACTATGCTAATCTTGATAATTGGGAACGTACTACATTTATTAGGACATGGGATCTTCGGTAGAATTATTCTAATTTGAGTAATTAAATGATGCTGATCAGTTAGTGCATGGTATCACGGTTGTTTTGATACCTTCGTAGGGACGTTGGCTACTGTGTCATGGTAGCCTCTAGTTCGATGTGATCGGTGATTAAGTCAACCCAAAAATGATCTCAGAGATCTAATCCCAATTCTACATGATAGCGAGTTCCTAAGCTTGTAACTCGAGACTTATTTTGCAATCTTGCGTATTTTAACACGCCAATGGTAAATATAAATGTATTCAAAGATACCCAATGTAATAACCCCAGGAGGAGAGAACAGTTCACTTAAGCTTCACACCCGCAGCCCCTGAGCTATCCCCAACTCCAACACCCTAACAAACCTCTTCACATCCTCCACCGAGCTATAAAACCCAAACGACACCCTCACACCTAACCTATTCATCGTAACGCGCGCACCCCCCGGACCTCTAAAATACGCCCCCCACTCCTTCGGCAGCGCCAAAATCGTAATATGCGGCGCGCGTCTCCCCCTTTCCCTCGGACTCACCACTCGTATACCCAACCGATCGCACTCTCTCCCCAGCACATCCGTCAGCCCAAACAGATGCGCCTCTACGTCCGCCGGCCCCAAAACATCCAGATAAAACCGAGCAAACGCCGCCGCCGCCGCAGCACCCACCATACTCATATTAGCATGTTCGAACCGGCGCGCGTTCGGATGCAGCTCCAACGGCTCGTCCACCTTCACCACCAGATCCTCACTAAGATTCCTCACAGCCTCCATACTAACAATCGGCGGCGTCGGCTCGCCCAGCTCCCCAAACGCCTCCGGCGAGACGTACAACGCGCCGATCCCCGTCGGCGCATTGAGCCCCTTGTGCAGACTAAACGCCGCAGCCGACACCCCCAGGTCCCGGACGTCGACGCGCGCGAACCCCACGTGCTGCGTTATATCCGCGAGAACGTGTATCCCCCGGGGCCTATACGCCGCGCAGATGCTCTTGACGTCGTTGTGCAGCCCGCTATCAAACGTAATGGAACTGATCCCCACAGCGCGAGTCCGGGAATCCACGTACGGCCGCAAAGTCTCCGCATCGACGGTATCGATGCGGCCCGTGCGCTCCGCCTCGGCAATAGTGGGGACCTGGCGGACCTCGAGCCCGAAGTCGCGCAGGGCGAGCCAGCAGAGCGTCTGGTTGGGGTGTTCGGAGTCGACGGTGACGACGTTGTCGCCGGGCTGGAAGCGCACGCAGCGGATGAAGCTGCCGAGGGCCTCGGTGGTGTCGCGCGTGAAGGCGATGGCGGATGGGTCCTCGGCGTTGATGCACCTCGCTACTAGGCTGCGCGCTTCTTCGCGCGTCTCGCGCCAGCTAGTGTACGGGTAAGATTCGTATAAGGCCTGCGCCGAGTACCGCGTGATGGCCTCGTGGACGATCAAATTCGACGGCGGAGCAGAGGCTGCGTTGAGAAATATGACGTCGTCATTCTGCGAGACTAACGGGACTAGATGTCTGTGTGCCGCGAACTTATCCGCCAATCGCTTTTCTTCGTCCGCGCCGTCTTTTGCTGAACAGTTCGACTCGACATGCTTAGACGGCGCTCTGATAAGCGGACGAGACACCATGGCTGGCGACTTGGTAGGTAGTACGTCTCAACTCGCTTGAAGGCCGTTGAGATTAATGGAGAGGAAGGATTAAGGTAGGTAGTGGGATTAATGAGAGGTAGTTGAAATAAGTTTCTGGATAAATCGAGATCCCTTCCTATACGAGTATGTGATTGGTATCGAGTAGCATTGCACCATACAGCCTCCTATACACGCCTACCAACCCCGCTTCTTCGCATGAGGCCAATCAGCACGACTTCATCTATCACGCATGTGGTATATGTCGGACATAGGAAATATAAATATCACCTTAAATTTGAGGGAACATTGTCAAAATCATAACTTGTAAAGTGAGAATCGAAAATATTATATAATTAAAATGTTATGTATAAGGCAAAATTTTCTATTGGTAAGAAGGGTATCGACTTTTCCCGCATTGGTCGTATGCCATAAGAATATCAAATTATCAACATGTCCTCAACTCCCCGCTCAATGAATCTGTAAATGCAACCCACATACCCAATACCTATTTACTATCAATCCTTCATCTAGCCTCTTACAGTGGTGACGATCGTATCTGTTACCGTAGTGATCGTCGTCACCGTCTCTTTTTCTGTTACAGTGACAGTAGCGGGGGCAGGAGTAGGTGTTGTCCCAGATGTAACACCGAAGTTATTGCTTCCAATGTCCCCAAGACCAGGGAAGTCGACAATATCCGTCTCGATAGGAATGACGTGGAGGCCGGAGTCAGTAGGGGTAGTCTGTACTATCGTCGTCGTAGTCGTAGACGGCAGCGGTGTTTCAAGTGGTGAAGATGTCGGGGCTTCTGGGATGGATGGCGTTACAGTTACGGTTTCTGTAACTATTTTAGGGGGTAATGGTGAGCTTGAGGACCGGGTCGCAGTGCTAAATGTGGTTGGCAAATAATGAGTAATTGTTACCGTTTTCTCTGAAGGTTGAGCGGGAACCGAAGAGCTTGTCTTTGAAGAGCTTGCTGCTGAAGAGATTTGCGTAGATGAGCCGAGATTTATGGTGGTCTGAGCGGTCTTGGTGGCTGTCGGTGTGACTGTCACAGTGACTAAAGTCCCGTCAAACGTCTCAGTTTCCGTAGACGAGCTAGCAGAAGTCGAACTTCCTGCGGGGGGTACGTCGCCGCCCAAAGCTTTACGAACAGTAGCATCATCCCAGCAACCAATCTGAACGCCCTCAACCGTAGTCATCGGCAAGGCATAACAAGTTAAAGTGTCGGCACAAGGGGTAATCTCAAATGCGCCAGCACTAGAACACTTTCCAATATTCCCATTAACACAGGCAACTTGACCAGAAGCGCAAGCAGAATCCTCGGTCAAGCTGGCAAAGACCGTATTGTAACTCTTTGCGTCGGCTAGATTTCTGGCAAGAACTTCAGGGGAAACTGTCGTTGACGAAGATGGAATGGAACTAATGATGGTGGGAACCTGGTCATTTAATGTCCCTGTTGGCGTTACTGGATGAGACACATAAGATGATTTAACAACTGATGTGAATGGAGCAGTAGTAAATTGGGAGGACGTGACGGTAGCCGATGCAGACGAAATTTCCAGACTACTAGCACTTCTACTGCTTGCTAGTGTGGAAGGACTTGCGGCAGGTGTGTTAGAATTTATGGACGTGGTAAACTCCGAAGCCGTGGAGCTACTTTGCGTTGGCTGCGCAGTTTGACTCTGCTCGGTAGCCGTTAACTGAGACTCAGTAAGAGTTGATTGAGACTCAGTAAGAGATACTGCTGAAGATGTTGGCGCAAGGGGAAGAGTCAAAGATGTAGCTAGAGATACTACGGTAGATTCCTGAGATGAGCTTCCAGTCGAGTTGGATGGAGCAGCAACCGCTGTCGAGCTTGAAACGGCCAAGTCTGCGGTAGAAGCGGCAGGGCCAACAGGGACTGTAGAAGATGGGAAGATGTCAAATGTTGGGATGGTACTACTCTCGTTTAAAGTGAGCGACTGAGAAATTGAAATGGAAGAGCTGGACACAACCGGGCCTGAGGCGGAACTCGCACTTGAAGTAGCCAAAACCGATGAAGATGAAGCTAAGCCGGGCGCTGATGTTATAGATGTTAATGATTGAGATAAAGATGATGTTGACGCTTTAGACGCTTCGCTCGTGGTTAACGTCGAAGAGGTTTCAGTTGACAAGGGAGTGGTCGTCGTGGTAGCGATGCTACTAGTATTCGCGAACCTATAAACCCTCGAAGCCCCCAGCGCATCACGCCGTCTCAATCTAAAACTTATTAGCCGACCATCATCATGCCGTTTTATATCTTCGAAAACGTACCTTTCTCCTCGCCTCAGCGGACCTGCCGCCGAGGCCTCGGAGAATAAGAGGAGGTGTGAGAATAGAACTAAAATGAGCATTTTGAGTATGATTTTTCTTTTCTGGATTGAAGTGAAATGAAAGTCTATAGGGAAAGAAAAAAAGAAAAAAAGAAGGCGAAAAGACGAAAGAAAGGTTATGAGGCCGAAGGCATGGAGGAGCGGCGGTTCATATTATTTGGTGTATGTGATAAAGAGCCTAAGGATCTTAAAGGAATGCCAAGTATCATTCAAAACCGAACAAGGGGCTAAGGCATACGGCACAATAACAGACAACAATAGTTATAGTATAAAAACAGACGCCAAAGAAAAGATAGCGGAGAATAAAGAGCCGCAGATTTACGAGGATGACCAGCGAGATCTAGAAAGGACGATTATAAGCATTGACGATCTTCGCCCGCAGGAGGAGGGGGGAGCTCTCATCTTGTAGTAAACACCAGACGGACTGATTATGCACGTCTGGCCATCCCTACGGTATGAATCCTACTGTTGGGTCCACGACTATGACGTTAAAGGACAGGGTTTCGCCAAAGTTTCGGCCAAGATGAGATGTCGAATTACTCGTAACATAGAATTAAGGCCCGTCGAGAGGACCAGACGAATCGGGGTAAATCATCCAATGGAACAGTATTGGACCATAGCCCTTGACATGGCAGAACTACTATACGTAGTTGGTTTTCGTATCGCATGTAGATTGGGTTTGAAGAAAGGTTGGCTAAGCGCTGCCGGGGGGGTACTTCTAGTTTCTCCATTTTCTTCATTTGGTGTTTCGTTAATTGACGATGGTGACGCGCGCTTGCGTATTATTGGCAGCGGCCAATTGATGGTTGGCGTCTGCAAGACTTCTGAGCCAATCGCTTGAGCTTCTGCAGAATTACCTGCGGCCACCTAAAGCAGGAACCCGTCCTTTGAGGCTTGGCTCAATTGACTTCATTGGCCATCGTATATCCTTCTTGCATATAAGTATCTAAGTAGCATCGCGTAAGGACTCCATATTCGAAGTTATTTAAGGCTTTGTTTGCTTCATTTTACAAACTTGAAAAGATTAAAAATCTAGGTTAGGCGGGACAACGGGTCGAAGCATAAAATCGAAAGATATCCCTGTCTGGCCACGTGACTGTCACATGATCTGTTTATTCAAGTAAACATTGATTTACTACCTGGTACTTCGAGCTGCAGCTTTCTTTAATGCAATACAGGTAACTATTATTAAATGGTTACAATCATATTCATTTAACCGTGATAAAGAACTATAACAGACATACACTAAATCAACCTTTACTGTTCAGTATCGGGGAAATTTCTCTTCATTAACTAATAGGCCGTGTACTTATTTAGTATATTAAATATTGCAGGGCAGTGCTAAATCTACCCAGAGGTACATGTACGACACCCTCAAAGCCGCTGTTGACTATCGTACAGGGATGCTACTACCTTATAAAACAGCACAATGAACGATACTCTAACCGCCCTTAATGCACACTCCAAAGCCTCTTTGTGTACCCTCTATGGCCAAGCCTGCCTCTCGGAGGCCGTATATCGGACCGCCCAGCTTGACGAAAACGTTATGATCATAAGACCGGAAATCAAGTATTCGTAAAAGATTGAGAGCACTTCCAAATCATATATGCGCTTCAGGCGCTTCGCGGCTAATCCCAAATGATGCTCCATTATATCTCGTCCGTGAACCGTTTAATAGTGCACATGTGTGGCAACAATAGATCGCTCATTCGGTACTGTCCGCCAGAGGCGTATGCAGGCGAATAATCAGGCGAAATCCGACAGACGAGCCCTATTGACCTCTCCTTTCCCGTCCAATCAGGGTAAAATCCATCCCCATTACAAATCTTTCCTCTCTCACGACGGCTGATCCTGCTCCAACAAAAGCTGCTGTAAAGCCTTAAACTTAACAGGCTTAGTCAAAAACTGCGACATGCCCGCATCCATGGCCTCTTGGCGCGTAGCCTCGTTGCCGACACCCGTGATGGCGATAATAGTAGATGGTGGTGACGCAGCAGTAGGTTCCCCTGCTCTTTCCTGTTCAAACTCGCGGATCTGCCGTGTTGCTTCGAGTCCATCCATGACAGGCATCTGCAAGTCCATCAGCACGAAGTCAAAGGGTTCCTCAGCTTCCTTGAACTGGGTAACAGCTTCGAGCCCGTTCACGGCCTCGGCGTACGGCAGCTTGATCTTCTTCATGAACATCACCAGGAGCTTGAGATTGATCGCGTTATCGTCTACTAGAAGGACGCGAGGTAGTCTTCTGATATGATCCCCAGACCGAGAACGGCCATGCTGAATTATCGTGGAACCGGGTTCACTACCGATCGCGCCAGGATGTAGAAATCCTACCTTGATGCTCGGCTCCAATGGCAATTTTAACCGTTGTTGCTCGGATTTCCATTTTAGAGCATCGATCGAAGGCCTATATCGACCTTCCGTCTGGTCATATACGACTGCTGAGGCATTCCACCCAGTCTCTAAGCTATACCCCTGATTGCGACTACTCTCGGGGGATGGCGAGGGTGCCCTAGACCGCTTTGAGCTTTCGTCAACGCGTTGAAGACACTGATAGAGAACTTTTCCTAGCTTGCGCACCCCTACAGGTTGGCTAATAACCTCAACTATTCTGCCAAGAGAAATTAAATCCTTAACGCCGGCAGCCCGTAGGGCCGCAGCCTCGAAAGCATTCGTGCAGACGATAAGTAAAGCCGCTTCTTTACCCGTATCGCCCATCACCCTCCGCTCAAGATGTTGTCTTACCAGACGTTCTATCGGTGGTGGCTCGGCATATATGTAAATCGCTGTGTCTGGGTCGGTATTGACAGTCTTGCTTTTAATAACATCCATATTGAACCATTCCTGACAGAAGTTGGAGATGGAAAGTTCCAGTTTGGATAGTTCTCCATTAAGGGTACCAAGCAAGGGGTCTAAAATGCACACCTTTTTCCCTGCCGTGGCTTTTATAACCTCGCGCTGGATATCATCCTGGATACCACCGCAAGGTCCACTGGGGCCAGCAGTCTTCATCGGAATGATGATATTAACATGCGTCCCAACTCCCTTCTCGCTGTCAATTTTAATCTTACCATTCATGTTTCTCACGATTTGTGAGGTGATAGAGAGCCCAAGTCCCGTACCCGGTGTAAATGAGTCTTCTTGTGAAAAGGGTTTAAAAATATGATTTGCAAGGAAGTTCTTCGACATACCAATACCGGTATCCTTTACAGAAAGATGCACCTCATAGTTAGAAGGTGTGATTTCTTTTGCCTCCAATGAGACGTCGATGCAACCGTGTTTGCAGTATTTAATAGCATTTCCAACCACATTCATTATCACTCTCCTAAGTCCACCTGTTTGTCCCTGCAGACACCAAGAAGCCAGACGTTGGATATGAAGTATCAAAAAGACCTTCCCTGAGAATTTTACACTGCCAGAGTGGATCTGTTCTTCAGTTGTCGATGAATCATTAATACTCATCGACTTTATTTCTGCGGACACCTCGTCGACAGGGTCGTGATGTCGGAGGTTGATTTTGCGAAATGTCTGGCCAGCAAAAACCGTCTCGACGACTTCCTCCAAGAGGAGTGCAAGATCAAAATTTATTGATAGCGGCTCCCCAACGTCGCGCGGTTCTTTCAACGCTCTTCTCTCTGTTGAGGAGCTTAGTCGCGCGCTCGCACAGTTCAGGTTGTTAATTTTTGCGTAATCAAGGAGGTGGTCGATGGTATCTAACAGCGTCTTGCCACATGTTTCAATTGCGCCAATTAGACTCATCTGGTAGGCTGAAGTCATAGTATCTTCTAAGAACTCCAGGCTTCCCAGCATTCCGTGCAGCGGAGAACGCAAGTCATGAGAGATGGAGGCAATGAACGTAGACTTGGCAATATTCGTGTTTAAGACCTCCATGCTCGCTACCTCGCTCATCATACAGGATCCAAAGGTCTTAAAGTAGGGCAACGCGTCATCGGGGTCGCCCATCTTGAAGTCATCGCCCCAAATAAAACCTGCTGCGAACCATTGACCTTGGGCGTAATTGAAAAGAGGAAGGAATATCAGCCATTTCGCATCCGGTATGTTGTTGAGAAGCTCTCGCGGTAATAGCATATGGGGTTGATCCTCCATAGATTGTGTTGACGTGTTCAAAGCTGGGCAATTGGAGCCTCCGCCGGCAACTACTTCGTCAAGAGCCATGCTGTGATCGGATACGATGCGTCCCTTATTCAAGTAGAAGCATTTACCAAACGGATAGCGCATAATAAATTTCTTTAGATTTTTGCGCTTGATTATACCCTGCGGGAACCGATCACCATCGCCGCCAAGAGTATCGGCCATTTCATCTAGTCGATCACCGAAAGCAGTCTGAGATAGCGTGGATCCATATCCCGGAGACGGAATATCCTCTCTTGCTTTGTCGGTGTCGGTTTCTTCGTCCTCTGTTGACTCGAAATTGACATCCGAAGATACGGTTGGATCAGTACCATTCGGAGGCGATATTACCCCCTTAGACTGGCCAAAGAACAGGCCCGATGTAGCATCGGTAAATACACAGCCTTTAGCTCTGGCTTGCTGGCATAGTAACTGCGAAGCCTGTGTAAAAATCCTATGTATGCCATCATTCGATGAGTCGGGAGCTTCTTTGCCTTGAGAATCGCTATCCCTGGAGAATCGAGGACCTCGGCCTATTCGGGCCTCACAATGTGCAGAGGCATCCCTGGTAGGGGAAATGGAAGTGTGCGCCAAATTGGCCGACCCCGGCTTGCTAGGACGCCCTCGTGGGGGATCCATTTGCGGGTCAGTTGCTCTCACATCTGATTGCTCTTTGGTGCTCGGCGCCTGTATGGAGCGATCAGTATTGCTCAGTTGGAACTTATACTCAGATAAATCTTCCAAGAAGTAAGAGATACCCCTCATGAAATCTCTCTCCGAAACACGGCCCATCGTATCCACTATAGACTTTGTTAGTAAATGCTATATTGAATGTGCTTGAAAGTCGGGTAAGTGAAAAGTCATGTGATAGAAATATCTATCTCTAAAGTAGATGTCGTAGAATAGATCGTGATGCTCGGGGTTACTTACTAACCCTCTCAAGATGATCCGCCACAATTTGAGCAACATCTTCCATAAACTGCGCCTCATCAAGAGTAAGGCCCTGGGGTCGTGGTCGAATATCAGAAACAGCATAAACGCCAATCGCGTGCCCTTGTTTGGTGACTATGGGTACGCCTGCGTAAAATCTGACGCTAGCTCCAGATGTCACGTACGGCCGACATTTGAACCGATCATCCTCTAAGGTATCCTTCACGACTAACGCGGAAATCTCAACGTCTTTACCTTGGGCGTCCTTGTAGGTAGTAATGGCTCCAAAGGCATGTTCGTCCATACAATCCCGACGCGGAAGGGACACATGACCGAGCCATATGTGATCTCCGGGAGCGTGTCGTCTTTCATCAATAAGCGACAAGGTCTGTGTGGCTTCTGCGAGGATGATTTGCGTGTTGGCATCTATTAAAGATATCATGCCGCGTTTGACGTTCAACCTTAATGCAGCCAGTTGAGCAAGCGCAGTTAGAGTAGTATCGTGAGAACATTGCACCTCTCGGGTCTCATCCGGACCCGTATTCGCAGGTATACTCTTTAACTTCTTGGAGTCGAGCCATGGCTGATAATATTTATGAAGATCACGCTGTCTGGCCAACTCCGCGGTGCTGACACTTGAGGTACGCCGCGTCGCGACGCCGGGAGCAGCCATGTTTGTATGTAGAACATTAAGAATAATCTTAAAATTCTTGCCAACTACCGGCCTGCAGAACTCATCAGTCTTGATTTTCCCGTGGCGTCGCACTTAGCGCCAAGCGGAGATGTCCGAGGTCGAGACCGATCGCCAATGGATCTTGACCCGGAACTAAGAGTTAGCGGCGTCGTAAGACTAATAATAGTCGACATTATGAGGTGTACATATAGGAGAAGAGTTAACGAATATGCTCGAGGATTCGAACCCGCCTTCTCAATTCGATGACGTCGAGATTTCGATTATACGGAATCCGTACTGTACACTAGATTACCTAAGACGAGACACCAACTTTAATAAGCACACTAGCCACACTCGGGCGGTTTGCCAAGACCACGCAGCCACGGTGATCTCGATGTGCTATTGTGGCTTATCAATATTTCCTCTACTCGTGCCTCCTCCTATGTAGATAAGATCCACCATCCCCCTATCGTCAAGTTAAGAGACATAGAAAATTACATGGCTGGGCTTACGAATAGGAGATATTGAATTGAATACTACATTAAGCTTACGAGTTAACCTTTCATTGGAAATCAGGCACTGAACCGGATTTTATCATCGGCAACTTATACTGACAAATTCAACGGTGTAAAGGCATGGGGGAGTCCGAATATAGTCTCATAAGCTACAATCCATTCAGGGGCTAAGAGTTATTTTGGTCATTTTGACCTGCAACTATCAATTAATGGTTGATTACCAGGTATACCGAATTCGAACTAAACATAGCGGGACCTTCTTCGTCATGTATACGTAGCTCAGTTTACGATAGCTCGAGATTCAGTGCTAGCCTCAACTTCCCTAACTTTTTCCGCCGTTGCCTTCCAAATAGCTCGCTTTTCTCCTACCGAGATACCACGGAAGAAAACTCCGTTAAACAACATTTTCCTTACGCCGTCAATCTCTCTTTCCAGATGTGCAGCTGATGGCAGGTCGACAATAAGGGCTTTCGCCTTGGAAAGGTGCTGTCGCGCTTTTTCCACACCGTAATCATCTCTGCTCGAGTCACTAGGCTCTACAGTGAGATTCGCTTGTCGAGCCAGTGCAACCAGTCTAGAGTAGAAAATATGGCCCTCGGCCTCCTGCTGAATATACTCTGCCTCCTGTGCTAGCTTAACTAGCTGCTCGCATTCCTCAAATGCCTTTGTGAGGTTAAACTTCACGATCGTATGACATCGGGTCAGACTTCTCAGATGTAGAAAGTCGCTTATGACTACAAAATAGCACCGGAATAGAGAAATGTAAGCGGTAACCCGACCGCGCGTGTTTATATCCGAAGAAATCAACCCGGACTTGTCGGTAGAACCATTGATGTGATTAGTGTGTTTCGTAAGATCATATGCCTGGCGGTATGACTTCTCTATAGCCGTAACTTGACCAAAGTATTCGAATATAGTAAAATAAAGGCGAATGATTGACTCATACCGACCATGCCCAACCCAGTCGTGAATGGCAAGTAATTGGTCGATAGGGCTTCCGTTGACATGAAAGTCGTTGCCTACTCTGCTAATCGAGTCTTTAAGGCGGTGAGTTCTCTTAACAGTTATAAGTTTCTCCTCTTGGTCAATCAGTTGCCGTTCCAGTTCCATCGACTGAGTATGAGACCAGATAATAAGTTTCCTAGTTGACTCTTCTAGCAAGGCCTGACGAACAATAGCCCCGTATCGTGAGATATTTCGCAAGCTTCCTCTGCAATGTGGGCAAGCCCGAAGCATAGTATCCGACAAAGGTCCCGTCGAAGCCTGGATGGCAATAGGAGTATCATCGGCATTCCGGCAATTGCCTGCTATTCCCAACGACCTGTCCATACTTGATACTGTAAATATGTGACCACAATCAAGAAAAAGGCAGGGTTCCGCGTCCAAGTTGATCATATGGTATTTACGTAGCTCAGGTACAGGCAACGTATCAACTACGGTAGCTTTGATTTCTCTAGACGCACAAATTTGACAGAACTTCGCGTCAGGACAGTCCTCGCCACAAAGAGATGGACCTAGATACTCTAATCAGATCCTGTGCGTCTCATAAAAGGGTATTTTCTTACATTGATGACCGCAAACTAAGTGCTGGTTGCAACGATTGGAACAACTTGCCCGATTGCATGGGGCAGAACACCTACCAAGAATAGTTAGTAAATATATAACTCGGTAATCACTTCATACGGCAAACCTACGGCATAGAGCATTGACCGTGCACACAGCTGGATGAACACGGTAACATGCAAGGGGTACAAGGCTCGGAGCATAGTTTAGAACATGCTGTATGGGTGCACCGTTCGTCGCAAGGCATACTGCAAGGAGCACAATCCTCACCCGGATGACATTGATTAACACATGCGTGTTTACAAGTACTGTAGCTTCGACCACAGATAGATGTGCATGATGAATGTGTCCCACCACGAGTCCTGCAAACTTTGCATGAATCTTGGCAGGCATGTCCACAGGGAAGATGTTGACCACATCGTGCCGGGCAGACGAAACTATTCTCGGTAATGTCTTCAAAGCAGGGAACATCAACATGATGACCGCAACCCGGTACGTATTTCCTTACTCGTGTGAGACATTTGACCTCGCCCGGGTGCTCAACTTGCCAGCATTGAGGTGAAGTCAGCGTGTGACCACAAGGAAGAGAAACTTTATGCCCCTCAAGTACAGTGGAGCACCTTTCTTCACACTTATCTCCACAAAGCCTAGGACAGCTATGGCCACAGGACTTTAGTCGTGGGCATGGTTCCGGACATTTGACTGCCCTATGCAAAGGCTTCGCATGACATTTGCTACGGCAAATGTGACCACAGTCAAGTTTCTCGGAACATTGAAGGCTGCATCCAGCTTCTGGGGACAATCGAATAAAATCATCAGGTTCTGATACTTCAATAGATGTGTGTTTGTGTCTTGGGCATTGAAGTGGTAGTTTAGCGCCGATACATCCGCTTTCGTTCAGCATCGAGATAATTTTTGACCACATCTCAACCTCACCATAAGTTGTGGAGTTTCCAATGATGTACATTCCATGCTGTGCCCGTGAGAGGAGTACGTTAATTCTGTTTGTAGTCTTCAAGAATCCACATTGCCGTTCCAAGTTACTTCGAACCAGAGAAATAACAATTACTTTCGCTTCTTCACCTTGGAAGTTGTCAACGGTTGCAAGCCGTATGCATTTCCCCAATTCTTGCTTATGTGCCTCTAATGGGGTATCTAAACCTTCTTTCTGGAGGTTCTCAAGGTCTCGAGCCTCGACAACAAGCTCGAATGAGTTTTGAAGTTTCTTTCTTAGCTTGTGTAATTGGCCGAGATAAGGTGTCAGAATAGCAATATCATCACGCCCGTAAGTCCCTTGGCGTACAAGATGGGATACGAGAGCGGAAACAACTTCGATTTCGAAATCATTTGTCCGAGATGTATTTGTGGGAAAATTTTGATCTGATCGCGCTTCCGGTTTATCATGGTCCAACCAGAATAGTCGTTTTTTCATGCCAACCACTTCGGGATAATTGTTGACTTTCTCATCATCTTGAAGAGTCTCGTATATGGTATCTCTAATCAACCTAGATATCGACGGATGCATTCTTCTCTGGATTTCGAGCATATCGAACGGCAATCTCAAATCCGTGGGCTGTGCTGGCTGAACGAGTCTCTCAAAAAGTGATACGTCCAGCGAATACTGCTGCCCGCGCGGATTTGCAGCAGAAAGCTCATAGTCTGAGATTTGGGGACGCAGTTGGAAATGGTCTCCGATGAGAATAGCGTGTTCTATGGATGGAAGTAGCGCTGTTAGAATATGACTCTCAAGGACTTCGCCGGCCTCCTCACAGAGTAAGACTTTGCTGTCAAGCTTTCGAAGCAAATCTAAGTTTTTGGCTAGACCAGTTGTTGTGACGCCAATTATATGGGCTTCTTGAAGAACACGAAGATCCACCTCACGTAGCACAGTATCATGTTCTTTCTTTGCTTCCTGGTAGTCATGGAGAAGAGAGACAAATTCATCTCCTAAGTCGGTAGCTACTACAGAACCCCAGGCTGTGTAGAGCGCAAACCTTTCCTGTTGAGTTAAAACCGTTGGATCCTGCTTTTTCAGGGCATCAACGCCTCGAACTGGTTCCTCTGACACGGAACCTGCATTGACCCAGTCGAGGAAGTAAGCTTGGTCGTCCTTACGGGTAACTTTCGTCCACTCGTCCTCTTCTATGCCGAATATCGCGTCGTAGAACGGTGATTCATTGAACTTGATGTGCTCCTTAATCTTCTTATGGGTTGTCGAGGCTTTTAGTTTTGTTAGATATGTTTTTAGCTCATCTTCTGCACCTTTTAAACCTGCAGTTGACTTCCATGAAGCATTCCTCTCCGATTTCGTGCGTTCCATATCCTTCCCCACAGTACGCAGGTTCAAATCGGCGAGGACAGCCGATTTCGATCTCGAACCAATGCGAATAATCTGCTCTACTCCTCCATTGAAGAGATGTTCAAGGAGTTGGTCTAAAGCGTGATTGGTGTAACAGACACAGAGTATTGGGCCTATGCCAGCCTTCTTCCTGTTCGCTAGAAGGACCTTGATAATCGCCTGTACACGGGCCAATTAATTCTCACGTTATATATTTCGGCAAGCTGGATTTTTGAACGTGCTACTCGGTTAAGCCGAAATAGGATATGGGGACAAATAATTCGGATACTGACTTACCTCACCAGTATAGCTTTTTCCTGTGCCTGGGGGCCCCTGAATAAGTGCTAGACTTCTTTTCAACGAGTTCAGGAGGGCTGTAGCCTGGCCTTTATCCAAGCTTGATCTGCTACAAAGCTCCTCAGGATTAATAGTATCCTGCGGAGAGAATTTTAAATCATTTCCATCGATTGTGAGACATCTCAAATTAAAACCAAATCCGGGCTTCGTTGCGTATAGGGGAGGTGAGATATTAGCTTCGGTTGGCCCATCAGAACTCGGCGCAAGGAGCTCGGAAAATGGGAGGTCTAGAGTCATGAATATCTGTTGGAGGGCTGATAAAGTAGGTTTGAATGAGGGCAGAAGAATTCCAGGAAATTCCACTAAGGATCTCCTGATAGGTTCGTCGGACTGCGATGCCGACAGCATAATCTTGAGATCCACTTCATTCGGCTCAGCTAGATTCAGATTTACGTATGCAAAATGCTTGTTGCTGTGAAGGTTGCGTTTCTCGATGATATTCATAGCCGTATTTTGTGTATGCGTGCGAATTGGATCTGGTCTCAATGTAGATTCAGCTACAACACAAAAGACGGCGGTATCCTTCTCTAGGAGGCACACTAAAGCGCCTATCTCTAGACGTTTCGACAGGTTCCACCAATCCGCTCGTGCTTCACTTGACAATTTTGCTGCAGAAAAAGGCTGCTCGATTTTCAAATGAAACTCCAATCCGCATCGTCGTGTGCATTTGATATCAACGATATCTACAATGTTATATGAGTTTGTGCGGATACGACTCCGTTGGTTGATGATAGCTTTATTCTCTGGATGTTCAAGAAGACGCAGCTCCTCGCTAATACAATCTTTCAACTGACCAACCATATCTTCTCGAACAAGTCGGAAGTGGCGGTCAATTAACCCCTGGATTCCAGGCAAGTGTAGCTGTGAAGGATCTTGAACTGGCCGGTAATCTGAACGAGTGGCCGTGATCTCTGACATCGTTGGTAGAATTCGAATTTTTGTTATATCCTCATGATCATTGTCGTGACGTGGACCTTCAGGAGACAAATTTCCAGGAAGATCTCGACGCAATACGAACTTGGCATGTCCGGAGGGTTGGGGTTTTGGGGCAACATTCTCCGGGGCTTCTTTGATGATGCTGAGACGACGCTGAATATACTCGAGGTGATTCTTTGCTTGTAAGGTCCAAAAGTTACGACCACACTGGTCAACATCATCAACGAATTTCGATATTTGATTCACAATCGGCGGGACTTTCTCGTTTACAAGTGCTTGGGAATTGTAACTAATCGTCTTGGCTAATATTGTGCAGCAAAGTTCTAGGAATTGTGCTTTCGATCCGTCGTTATTTGTCACAAGCGGCGATGTCCATTTTGCGGCGAGTTCAATCAAGAAACCGAAGAGAATTCCCAGACGGGAAGCATCGTGACCGAAAACAACATTATAAATAGTCCCGGTATGCGCTTCTAAGATAGCCGAATGGCTTACTCTCTGCTCAGTGAGTGTTTGAAAGAAGGGTAAAACGCAAGTACGCCAGAGAGTTATACGTTTGACGTCAGTATTGCAAAATTGAATCTGCTCGTCAATCATTTCGCGCACTGCTAGGACTCCTGGATCCGTCGCAAGCTCAGTTATTGTCTTTTGGAGCACGTCAAGGTCACCTTGGACTAGATCACGAGCGATCTGAAAGAATTGAGGTAGTTTGAAGCCGAAGGCTGAAGGCTTGCCCTCATAAGCCTTCGGGATCATTCTTCGCCACTTAAAAAAGGAAGCCTCGTTACTTGCGTCTTGAGAAGTTGGCATAGTAATATCGGCGCGGGTTTTCACGCCTTGGGTACTGGGGGGGTCTTGTACAGAATGCGAGAATTTACAAGAGTCCCTGCGCTTGCAACCACCAGGATCGTTGTCATAGCGGCATTGAGCCGAATGGCGCCTATGTGAATTAGCATGAAACCTACTAAAGAGAAGGCAAAAGTGCTTCTAAACAATGCAACTTACGCTCCCGAGGGTGCCATGCTAGATCTGCAAGTTCATGACAGAGAAATTGGGTTTACCTATCGACAGGTGACGATTATAGGAGAAGATTAAGGATAGGCCCTTAGATCAGATCCGGACGCGATTCCTTGGGGTACACAGGGTTATTGAGGGCTCTAGAAAATACTATAGGTGAGGAAATATATGCTTGTAGAAGGATGAAATGTGGTTGTTGAAATGGTGATTATTGAGTGTCGAGGGTTTGCCTAAGATAAATTCCGGATTCAAAATCAATCCTAGAAAGTATACGGAATAGGTACCTAGGTACCTAACTCTAGGCAGAAATAAGGTAGATAAGCAGTTGATTAAGGAATTGAAGGAAACCACCAAGGTCCAAAGCAGGTACCTAACAAGGTACCTAAGGTAGGCACGCGATGTGATAGATAAGTGCACAATTGTACCTGCCTTACGTGCCTAATCTAGGTATCTCATGAAGGCAAGTACGCACCATATGCAGTCGAGATAAACATGTGCCTACCTCCTATATGTCCGCATCCATAGATTACATTTACATTTAGGAAAAGAAAATCCACATACATTAATCCCGGAGTTACTAATTTCCTATAGCAATTATATCCTCACCTTACGTGTAATGGGTAAGTTAGGTACGTATAGTTTTTAACTACCATTAACTTTACCATATGGTCCGCGTCTACGTGTAGAACTCGATACGGGAAAGAACGATACAAGATGTATACCATGAACACCTCAATAGTCCATAGTATAATAAAGTCGGGGTTATCCGGGAACATTTAACCCTCCCTCTTGGATGCTATCCTTGACAAAACCAAAGACCCAGAATATATTATACAGAATAAATTTACAAGCTACAGTAAACTATAATAAGATAACGTCCGTACTTTCAACGGAAAATACCTCGTAGAGCACCTGCGCATATCACTATACTACACTAAAATTAGCGTAGTAGAGAAAAGCATTACTAAGGTCTAGAAGGGCTGCTTTATATAACTGAGGTTATCTTCTCCATAACGAAAGAAAGCGTTAAGTAGAAAATGAAGATTGTTTACAGAAGACCGTTGCTTATAAACTAAGTTGCGGGAGTTTTGGATTGCTTTAAAAATAAGGACAGGAGGGAAGAGATAAGGGGGGGTGAAAGCATATAGCGACTCAACCATTGCGTACCTAGGATTAAACTGATACTATATTGATATATGAAGCCAAGCTGTTAAGTATACGATATTGCAACCAAGGCGTTATTAAAAGAGAGAGGAAGTAATTAGAAGGATATTGATGTATAATAATGCATGAGGAAGCATGGGACTCTAACTCGAACAGCCCCCCAGTCCATACTATTTGCCTCTAAAGTCTCCAATATGATACGAATTGCATTTGTAAACCATATATCTCGGTTCCTTCCCGCGCCCGTGAAGATTTATTGCCTACCCAGGTATCCGGCAAAGTCGAATATTAATAAACATACCTAGATAGGTAGTTATAGGAGTTAAGAGTCCCCTGTTTGTGTGTGAGGCAGTTAAATGCGAAGGATCAAGTTAACCGTGATTAAGGAGTTGTCTACCTATTCACAGCTTTTTTAACCTTAACAAACACTGGAAGTCTAGTATTTCCAAACGGCACAGACATTTAAATGGTGTCATCAATGCTATGCGTTATAAAAATAAAATTGAACATACCCCATGCTCCATTGTATTGAATACGAATAGTCTCGCGATCCTCTTACGTCAACTCTTACCTGTCCTCTAGATAGGAAGTCATGTCTCATATTCTAGGATGGAGAGCTTGCTCTTCGGGGGTTCGCGGCGTTGTTTTTCGGAGCGGTGAGCTATGGCTTCATCTTTGTTCGTATTCCCGATTTATATCTCTCGGCAAAGCCTTCCGACTCAACGGTAGGTTTATAAGATTCCTCTGGCTGGTAGTTCCTATGTGCATGGTTTATGAATCATGATGTTGGGAGAGATGAGCGATTAGAAATAATGTAGTTCCCACGATTTATTAGGTAATTTTACTCCGAATGCAACGTAGTCAATAATAAGGTCAATCTGTTTTATCTCAATGCCTGCTCGGAGTGGGGCAAATAGCTCTTCCAAAACATTCAATGATGACCCCTTTTGGCTAGGTGGGATCTCTAAATCTGAGTTCCCATTTCGGTGGTTCTGTGTATGCTTTAAATGGTGCCTATTTGTGAGATGTACCAAGGTACATCTCAACACGTGACTGATCGTCACGTGTCATTCAGACATTCAGAATTATCTTGAGTGTTTGTAAAAAAAAATAATAATTCTCTTAGATAATAATTCCATCAATACATGAATTATTCAACACTATTCGGACTGTTTTGAAACTCTCCGAATCCTACTAGTCCGCTCCCGTTGCGAAGCGGCGTTCGGTTTGAAGATATTTTGATTGGCTACCGATTACGAGGTGCATGGACACGCAGGATTATGATTGGCGGGCTTAGTATGGAGCTAGTACCTAACTTTTCTAGGAACCATGATCACCAGGGCGAGGAAACTTTACCGACGTTCTGGAAAATGGAGGCTACGCACGTGGCAGTACCCAGCACGTCGTAGCCGCGAGGCTTAACTTCGGCCGGGAAATCCTACGATAGGAAATCGAGATGGCGTAGCAGGTGGATTCCTTCTCTTATTCTTCCTTCCCTCATTCTCTGGTGGAGTGGTCGATGTAAGAGAGAAAATCTCTGTGATGCGAATTTAGTGACCCGTCTTTCTCTACGGCACGTTCCTTCGACAAACACGAGAAAAGGCGATACAGGAGGCCCTCCCCAGAATAACGACTTCAGAGCCCTATAAGTTTCTCGAAGACACCCGCCAACATGGCACTATTACAAGATGTCAAGTCAGACACTAAAATCATTCAAGCTCGTCCCAGTGCAGAGCGTCCTCGAATTCTCTTCGGTGCCAACAATAACAACCCGAAAGTATCTTCAGAGTCCAAAACTAGCTCCAATATGAGTCACTCAGAGGGCCAGCCATGCAAATTTGCAGATATCGCAGTTTCCTATCGGGTTTACATTCTCGATGACCTCCTTGCGGAGCCGCAAGAGGTTGCCCACGATTGGAGCCGGAACCTTTGTGAGTAGTATTAAGACCCCCCTTCCCCCTTTTTTCCTGCTCCGGATCATTCCTGGCCCCCTTAAGACTACACACATAATAGAGCAATTACTAACAGCCATCATAAAAGTATATATCAGTCAACGGCATCGGCAGGGTCATAGTTTTGCGCCCATTGAACTGTCTAACGAAATTCTTATTTTTGACATTTCAACTTATGACATTATCGGTTCAATTGATATTAGCCCTTATGCAGGGCCGCACTGCATGGAGCTAGATGCGTCATGTAGCTATATCCATGTCTACGTCAACGGAGGGACTATTTGGATCGATCCCGAGTCTAGAACAGTCACCAACTTTGAACCGACGCAGAGGAGAAGGTGCGGAGAGAGGACCACCGAAGACTTCATTGCTGAAGTTGATCTGAGGTCCGGTAAGATGCGCCAGAGAATCAATGTTCCAGAAAGCGACAGAAACTCTAGCGACGGGGGGCATGTTACTTTCTCTACCCCAGCAATTCGGTTTGCAAGCCGGTCATCAAGTAGCAGACTACCTGTTATAGATGTTTCGAACGATCATGTTGTCGAAGCGATCAAAACCAAGTTCCCAGTCAAAGCGATCTACGTCACATCCAGGAACGTTATGCTGGTTTAAGGGTATGGATGGTAGCTATTCAGGTTAGAAATGAACGTTTGTGTCTACATATGTTAGAAAATAGGAATTGGGATTAGAGCTAGGATTAGGAGTTGGGGAGCTATGGATTTAGTCCATGCTGGCATGGCGGGATGGAGGCTGGTAGGTAATGATTTGCAATAGACTGCTCAAGGTATATACAGCAATGTAACGTTTTCTTTATGTTTCTTAACTACCTAGGTACTTACGCGTTTTGAAGAGTTGCATATGAGCAATGCTACTATTATCATAAATTTAACAGACTATGACCTCAGGTAAGCACTTTAAATGTTATCGTATTGAAATCCCTACCTGTTCCGGATCACGAACTGCCCCCCGATCCCCGCCCCCGCCTCCTTACAAGGATCTGCTTAAGCGATTATCGGAAACTCCACTTTTTCAAGTGGGTTTCATATGCCGCGTTACCTCAAAAAAGTCTCGACTTTGAGTATACCGGGGAAGACTCGCTGTATTAATGTGGCGTAAAGGCGCTTAACCCAGATGGTTGAATAATATAGACGAGTACTAAACGCTGCGATCTTAGCGCGGTTACTTCACGTCCATTTCTCTCAAACAACTAATAAAGACTAGTCATCATTAAGCACGATTGCTTCTAAGTTTTAAAATGTCTTACATACCTAGGTAGTTAAGTGGATCTACTTCAGCCCTATGAGCCGACCCCAGCTGCCCATGCATCCCGTGCATCCTAGCCGGGTTTAACTAGAACTTTAAAGGCCGTTCGGGGTCCATGATTGATTATTAACGCGGAAATGGCATTTTATCGTCGACTCGGCGACCATTACGTCACGAACCATAACGTAGGTAAGCGAGTCTATAGAGTGGATAAACTGGTTCTTATGCGATGCGACGGGTAAGTCGATCTCGCTAGTAGATCACTATGTTTCAGCGGTACAAGCGCGGCACGGCTGAGCCGCAGCGCTAACCATGACGAACACAGCTTACGCATTTACATGCTCGTAAACATGAGATTACTCGTGCCGTTCAACATAAACTGAGTTAATAAGCTTTAGAAAGCACCGTGCCGCAGCCACACGAGAGCATAGCCACCATTGGGATTGTTTAGGTAGTTTTCTTCGCTCTACCAACGTTACACTTCACCATTATGGAACATCCGTATGTTAAAATATACTTAAGTATATTTGTCAAATGAGAACTCGAGGCTATAAAGACGAAATTACGACAGTATTAAGAATGCGCGGCTTATATAATTTGAACACGAAATTATAGGCGCAGGTTCAAGCAAACAGGGTACTTTTGTCCCCATGCTACTACGCCGCCCGTTCGCGACCGGAAACGGGCACCCTAACACTATCCCGTGCGATCTTCGCGTTTGTAGATATGATACCCCGATTCCGATTTAAGCTTGTTGTCGCTCCCACAACGGAGTTTATCCATGTCAATTTTAACTCGTACGAGTCGATACATACCTCCTTAGGTTAGGTACTTATGCGGTAACTATCAGCTTAGATACATATCCTTCAACCATATTTTCACGTTACATGGCTCTTTGATGGCGACATTAAAACTCCATTAATAGATCACAATTTGCATTTATAAATAGGCTTAAACTAGCTTCTAGCAGAAGCGAAGAGCATCTAACTTGTAAATTATATATATTACTTATGAAACTCGAATTACGCTTTGTTGTTAGCTTCTGACTTTTCTTAAGCCAGATTCAAAGAAGACCTACCAGATAAAAATATAACATGACATCTAAAGACTTACAATCACTAACACTAGTTAGGCAAAGATTATCTAAGTTTTCATTTGCAATGTAAGGTATTAACTATTAACCAACGATGGGGTTACAGCTAATGTGTCAACGACATTATAAAGGTACAATAAAGCTATAGGTAGAGAGAGTCAAATAATAGTTGGGAAGACAAAACCACCTATGCACCTCCTTCAGATCACATGTACAGCAAAATAATTCTTATGTTAGTTATCTAAATGGTCTAGTGGTTATCGAAAAGAAGCTTGGGGGGAAGAAGGGGGTTCTATTGACGTAGAAATCTACATGTATTGTATTACGCTAAAGCAAGCAGTGTCATGAGGTGAAACCAAACAGTATGGAAACAACTTCGTTGTTCCACGAGGAACTCTAAACTTATCTAGTGAGCCTACGGCTCGGATATACAAACATGTTCTTTGATTTAAATGTCTCATGTAGAATCCTGACAAACAGGCATGTCAAATTCAATTTTCCCACCTTTACGGCTACGTGGATATAGGTTCCCGTCTACTATTTAACATTTCCCGCTTTTTCATCCCGCACAGTATGAAGATATAATAAATAACCTTATACTTATAGGTATCTTATATGAAATTCAGTACCTACTACCTTAGGTACCTAAGGCTGCGTGCAAGGTACTCCATCCGTCCCGTCCGGAAGTATATAAGGTACCAAAAGTATTCTATTAGGGTACTTAGACTTTAAAGATCTGTAAAGTACATATGATCAGCTGCATATTATATTTAGGTATTTAATAGTATAAGGTACTTTACTATCCATTCGAAATTAGGTAGATACCTCATATGGGTAGGTCTGAATCGACAGCTGGTGACAGTTGGTGCGAGCCTTGGTCAAGCAATAACAGTACATGTACCTAGGTATAGGTTAGGTACCTAAGGCAGCGCCTACCCCAGGATTGAGTTATGTTTTGGGTGTACCGAAACGTTTCGGCAGCCTTATGGCGGTTACCTATCAACATCTCGGCCAAACAAGTAGCGCCAAAAGATCGATTCGCTCTCGTTGAATTTGAAAATGCGCCATGTGGTCCCAAGTGAATGATCTATCACTTCGGAGCCATCATAACTCTTATTCTCATTTAAACTGCAGTGCATTGACTTTTATGTTTGAGTACCTAACCTTAGGCAGATATCTACTCTACTTTAGGTACCTTACTTCGCACACCAAACGCACGGCGAAATATGATCCGTTCGCCATTTAATACTACCTCCCTCCGTGATTCCTTTCCCTGATGTTTTTATCCTACTCATCTCTTCTCTACTTATTAGTGCGGATACAACGTCAATAGGCACTGTTCACAAATTCCTCCTCCACATTTTCTATTTTGTACAAAATAGTCCTTGCAGAGGATCTTGTGGTCGCGGTATGACCAGAAGTAAACAGTGAAATACACTCTTTCTACGTTTGAATTTATACATGATCTTGCCTTGAGCACATTAATCGAACTCGCTTTATGAATTCCTAATGTTAACTCGACTGACAATATGGATTTCGAAGAAGTCCGAACCCCAGAAGGGGTTCTAAAAGCCCTCTTCCATCACATTGCACTACCTGCGATGCTACCACGAGGGTCTGAATCTAATACTGAGGATATCGAGCGCGGAATTCTGGATCGTCTAATAATTGCGGCGAAACTCATGGAAAACATTGTAGATGGCACATGTTGGCAAATCTGGAACTCGATTAGGCGCTCACTCCTAGCTTGCAAAGCTCTGAATGTTGGTGGAAAGTTGGAAAGAACCTACCTCACATCGTATCTCAAAGAACTTCGAGATTCTGATCTTATAATACTTCATGTTGGGGCTCAAAATGCGGGACTTCTTATTTATAAGCCTACGAAGTAAGTTTACTCTTGCTACCGCGCAAACGTTTGACACTGACAAAGCCTATTCAGCCCCGAGTTCAGTGGAAACATTCTCTTCGAGGCATTCGAGGCCTCGCCTCGAGGCGAATCGGTACTAGCGTCTCAAACCCTGTCATGGACATTTCCTGGCACTGCTGTATTGATACCTTCATCCGTATTTTATAGTGATACGTTCCTTGAAAGCCTCTCAGCGTTTCTAGAGCAGGCCTCGGTTGAATCTGCTCAGAAATTTTCGGAATATAGTAAAAAGGCGGGACGTGCATTAGCAGAGGAAAGAGGAACTCCTGATCCGGCCCTGATCACATCTCTTCTCACTGCAATACTTGAAGCAAATGGGAAGCGTATTTCTCCTACGCTTCTTCGGAAAAGGGTCAGAGATGATGTGTGCTGGTTTAGCGCGGTGCCCTGGCGAAGGCTTCCTTATTGGCTTGTACTTCGAGTCGCCATCTCGCGCTACCTAGCAATGATGCTTGGTGGAGCCCATGGTAGAATCCATTACAAGTTTCTGATGTGCGTTATTCATGGTATGATACTTAACGACACTCGAGATGTCATCCCTTTAGAAGACCAAGCCTTTCTTAAGGCTAAGCTTTGCCGTCGTCTCTTTAAGCTTGATCGAGATCGTCTTGAGCAACCCCAAGCTGTTCAAAACTCCTATACATTATTGACCACAGCTTTAACCCCGCGGTTCAACAGAGTACTTGATGCTACGGCAGCAAGGATTAATAGCGCTTGGGAGCAGGAGAAGAAAACCACGGCTAGGCCCATCCTCCCGTTGCCTCGGAAAGCAAATCGGCAAGAACAACTTTTAAGCCTAACTTCAAGTCGCCTATATCTGGATAAGGCTCGCAAAAGGTTCCAAGCGACTATTCCACGTAGAGCACCTCCGATTCGCACAACGCCTCAACAGCCTAAGGTGCATATCCAAGCCTTCGGAAGCAAACTGTTTGGGTTATTTAACAAAGAAAGCCAACTTCACGCTGCTTCTACTAACGTGTCTACATACGCTTTAAGTCTGTCAGCACAGGTCCGACAGCTCCACGACGCGATTCTTGAATATATCGACCAAATTGACGGTTGTTACGAGAATAATGCAGAGCAGAAGAGCATCATGCTTCTTACGTTACTGGAGACGTGGATGTCGCTTGACGAAGCGGCGTGTGCCATGTTCCCACTTTTGAATTGTTTTCACCCAGCCTTTACTTCACGATTGATGGAAATACTTCGACTTAGTCTCCTATCTGATATCGAGCGAGCGAGAAAAGTGGAGTCATATATACAGGATCGAATTTCTAAATCTAAAACACGGGCTACGCTTTTTGACGATCCGTGTAAAGGATGCTTCGCGGAGAGGTACTTTGACGAATCCCCCGGCTCCGATGCGCTCGCGAGCATACTTGCCGAAATACAGTTCGACACTATGCAAAAAAGAGAGGAAAAAGAAAAGGAGTGGAGGTATTCAAGTGCTGAATATGAGAGACTGACAAGAGAATACGAGTCTTCAACATGCCTCTACATCCAATCACGAGATGGTTTCCATTTAGAGCATGAGCCTCATTACTGTCCAAAATGCCAACTTGATAAAAAGAGATCTCGTATGGCAATTAAAGCTTTCGAATCGCCATTACCCGAAAGCCCTGTCATGGCAAAGGTCATGGTTTTTGAGCTCAGGTGTCCTGAAGCTCTTGCCCAATATCGAGACGCCACATGGGCGATCTTGTATCGCGTCGCAAGGCAAAGTCAGGATTCAGGAGTCGAACCGAAGCTATGCCTTCAAGAGTATTCGGGGTTACAGTTTTATGCAAAGGTTCCTGGACGTATAACCCTTGCATCAACCACCAAATCTTGTGAGCAATTACATACTCCTCTTCACGATAGTAATAACTTACTAACATAAAGTAGTTCTGATGACTCATTACAAAGAGCGAAGGAAGTTTCCAGTTGAGCTTGATCAAGTTTGCCTTCCAAATGGTCTTAAGCTTGCATACTTCGACAAGGCTACTCGTTCTTGGCCTGGTCGCAGAGAAATCCGTCCAACTTTTGAGCATCATTGTAAACTAACACTGCCCAAAAGCTCACCATTTTCACCACTTCTTGAGTCACAAAGCTTCAACGTCTATGGAAATGGGCCAACTTCTTATGAAATTGCGGCGTCTCCTTCATCCTGTCCCTCCAGCCTTAGTATACACGAGTACATGGCATTCCAATTTCTTCTATCCGGAAAGCGTCGTCGGTGGATGACTCTTTTAACAGAGCTTGGGTCTTCGAATCTTAACCTTTCTACAGAAACGACTGTCCTTTTATTTGACTACTTAGCACACCAGATGGGCCCCTCGGAAAAAAGTCAAGCGATTCTTGGAACTGTGCACTATATCTTTCGCGATACCTCCTTCTGCGAAGCCATGCTCCAACAACTCCGAATTAAGTTAGAAGCCGTCGCTTCCAATTGGCGTGAAACTCACCTTATGGAGATTGTCATCATGTTGGCGCTGAGACTACTCGCGTTTACAACGCCTTTCGCAGATACGAACCACTTGGCGTCAAAGGCACTATCCCTCCTTCTTGAAGCGAGACAAATAACCTTCCAATGGGTTAGAATGCTACGGAAGGAGATGTATTGTGCGAGTGACCTTAGTAACGCACAGAACTGCCAGTCATATCTCCTATGGGCTGCTATCCTCTGCAAGAGAACGTTTGCTTTTCTCCAGATATCAACGACTGAAGACCTCAATAAGGACGAACTTTCTACATTCCTAGAATGTAGTGTAACAGTCTACGACAATATTCCAGACAATATTTCATCCCTTGGGCAAATATTGAAGAATTCATTCGTTCGAGACTTGAGAATGATGTACGAGCTTAAAGATCAAATAAGGAGGTCCATCGAGATTCATGGGCACGATGCTCTTCTTGCTACATTACTAGTTCTATGGCCTGCCGCCGAATCAAAGTACATTTATAGCGTCAGTTTCCAAGCTGAAAACTGGGTTCAAGTTGACTTAGTTGATCAAAATGGAATTGAAACTGCGAGCTACAACTACCTTTTTGGTATCTTGCTAGTAAATGGGCAGCCACTTGGTGTAAGTAACTATCTCACATGTGGATTTGGGTTACACTTTATTAACAACTATTACATTATAGAAACTCCCAACTGATCCTGAGAGTACTATTATACTTGAGGAGCTATTTGGAAGCCAGACTAGTCTCATGAAGTTCCCATCATCCAGTCCGGGAATGACGCATGGTAAGTACTGTTTGGCACGTTATCGTCCAATAATGTAATAATTATTCTGAAGAGAATATGCGGCTAACATTCGAATCTATTTAGTTTTGGCCTTCGAAAAAGAAGGCTACCATACCCATATAGGGTATGATGGAGGAGAGACCATAATCCGCGCCATTAAAGGCTCACAAGTTTTGGAACTCGTTCCAAGAAAGATATTTCGCGATGGACATTATTTCGACCTTCCCGCACCTCTGATTGACAATTGCGTCCATTGGCTGTGAGTTATTGACTTTGATTTCCAATCAGGCTATTATTTTACGGTGGAACTAATCAAAATCAGTGACCTTGTATCTGGCATCATCGAAATCCGACAGAAGTCGAAAAATATTTGGCGCTCGCACCCAAACAACTGGAGATTGGATGTTACGACTTCGATATGTACACGATTTACACCCAACAAAAAAAGTAAAGAAACTCTGGTAGACCCATATTGTCCTCTATTCGTGCGTGTGTCGAAGATATTCGCATGGTTTGAGCACGCAGCGCATTTGACCGTCTACCAACCTGGCAACCATGCGCTCACCGTCGAAATGCCCCGTATGCAGCTAAAATGGTTCGTAAACACGAAAAATTTACTACAATCCTCACATCTACAGGCCGAAATAGATCCTTGCCAATCTATTGACACATGGCATGGGTTCGACAGCAAACTTGTTTGTCGCAGCTTGAAGGATCCTCTTGAGCGTTTCGTTCTTGTTCCGTTAGGCATGCTGAGGGCAAGAAAAAGGGGCTGCCATGTTCAAGTATGCGTGGAATTGCACGATATGCAAACAGCAGTATATCTCCGCTTCATGGTTAACAAAACACTTGGCCGCATAGAATCTGCAGCGGAGCCTGGATTAGTATACAAGAAGGCCGAAATACATGCACTCACATCTTTCATCCTCCCCGACGCTCTGACAGGTCTAACAGGAGTTGAGAGCTCTCTTGCTATTTTAACTTCTGGGATATCTCAGCCATGGTCACCCTTGACGGTTCTTCCAACCAATATTCTACATTCCATTTGGAAGCTTTCACCGGTTCGAGAATACTACCCTCCAGAACTAAAAGTCATGAAAAAGGATGTGTGGGATCAGAATTTACCTACGATGATTCAGCGAGAAGAGTTTCGCATAATTGTTTCTCAGATCATCTCACAGTCCAATAGGCTAGCAGCATTCTATTCTCGCGGGATACAGGATCTTCAGAAGCCTGAGATACCGGAATTCCCCCCGTCCGGTGACCATGACTTAAACCTACGCAGTCTACACCGCCGACGACAGTACGAGAGGCGTTCAAACTATGAGCTACCATTAAACTATCCTGACGATACAGTTTACGAGGCCAGACATTATCCTCATGCCATGAGTCTGCGTTACTCGAATGTCCTCGAAGCGCTCTATATAGTCCGCGACAAACCGGCATTCATGTCCACAGTGGAAGATCTCGCACTAAACTTATCGCAGTCACTTCATATCAAGGGTTATAAGCAAATTCTCGAAAAGATAACACTGCAAGAGCGTCTTAATACCGACGTACGCCGCGAATGGGGCCCATTAGTTGATGTGGTCAAAGAAATGCGCGACCAGTACAAGCTTATGTTCTTCATAGGCGTAATATCATTTAGGTCAGACGCAAATATGCCTCTAATTAGAACTCTCATTGCATTTTCACTTTGGGATCAGCTTCAGTCCTTAGCTCTACCTGGCCATGCGGAATACCATAGTTTCCGACCGCGCGAAATACCACAACTCGACGTTCTGGTCAAGCTCATTGAGCCATTCCAAGTGCCGCCACCAGATGATCCGCCTTTAAAGGAGTTTGCAAGTAGTAAGGATCAAAGGAAGCTCTGGCAAGCGAAAGCTGCCCATGCTCGCAAAGCGAAAGAAGACTGCGAGAAGCTCGCAAAATCCTTAATATCGAAGTGGCCTACCATAACTCCAAGCACAGATATCAACGATGTACATCTGGTCGACATACCTGCGGCATTGGAAAAGCTGGAGTCTGAGTGGGAGAGGCTATACCACAATCACGAGTTTTATAATCACCTCCAAGAAGTTCAGAAAGTTCTATGCCAGAGACATTCAGACGCAAAGTTCCAAAGGGCAGACTTTATATCTTCTGAGGTAGCGTACGCTATCCAACAACCGGGCTACATACTACCCGAACTTGGAAATGATTTAATGAAGATGCCTATCAGCGAAGCTAGGGGGCATCCCGAACCCCCGTCATATGATTTTAGGGGGCGTAAAAAACAACTTGAAGCACCTGCTTATGGTCGTCTCCAAGATCCTGGAGCTTCATATGAGTTGGATCAAATTATCGAAACCTTTTCCAAATCAAAATCAATCATCCATCAGAGGTATGCCAGCGATCTAAAGGAAAGTTTAAATGCATTTAATGCCCGTAGCACGCAGACTGCATTATGCTCAGCATCGTCTTCCTTCAATGAGTACCTTACACTATCATATCTTCAGGGAAATGTAAAAAGGCACCTAGCGGAGATTAAATCAGCTATAGAGCTGCCGAGTGATGCTTACTCTAGGAAGCAGATTTGGTGGCTCCAACAGGGGCAATTGTGGCCTGCCATTACTCCAATCACTATTCTCGAACAGCTCCGAACGACCACGAAGCGCCTATTTGGGCGTGGGACGAAGGAAAAACTTCTTAACTTCGCCGTATCAATTACAGATTTGCAACGAAAGATGCGAATGCAATCGTATCAGCTTTCGAAAGAAAATGCTCGCTACGAAGAAGAGAGACTAAACGTGGGGCACCGTAACTGGCGCATCGAGGAGTACCCTGACTGGCTATTGCTGGAGGTTGAGTCTAACCTACTTATTCGTGAAACTCAAGTCGAAGTTGCGTTAGCAATAATCTCACCGGAATCTCAAGCAAATAGTGTCCTTCAGCTAAACATGGGCCAGGGCAAGACATCTTGTATCATCCCGATGGTTGCAGTGCTACTCGCCGACAGCAAGAACCTTGTACGAGTTTCAGTGCCCAAAGCTCTTCTACATCAAACAGCACAGCTACTCCATGGGCGATTAGGCGGTCTCGTAGGCAGAGAGATCAGCCACGTACCATTTTCTCGAAAAACACCAACCAAGGAAGATCATATCAAGTTATTCCATAGGATACATCGCGATATTCAGAGAAAACGTGGAATTATGATTTGCCTTCCTGAACACCAAATGTCATTCATGCTAAGCGGTCTTCAGCGTGTTTTGGATCAACGGATACCCGAAGCTAGCATGATGGTTCGCGTGCAAAAGTGGTTGCAATCCTGTGCCCGGGACATACTGGATGAGAGTGATCATACTTTAGCGGTGAAGACACAACTGATCTACCCTTCCGGGTCGCAAACGTCTGTCGATGGACATCCACACCGTTGGCTTGTAGTCGAGCAGATTTTGGCCCTGATGGACATGCATCTATACGATCTTACTATCAGCTTTCCCCAATCAATAGAAGTCGTAAGACGTGAGCACGGGGGTTTCCCTTTTGTTTTTTTCCTCCGGCCAGATGCTGAAGAAGAAATGATCAAGAGACTCAAATTCGATGTTTGCCGTGGTACCAGAGGCATTCTACCGATAGACACCCTCGATCCAGTTGATCGACTAGCCATTAAAGAGTTTCTCTCTGGAAGCAAGCCTCGTCAGTCCAGTTTGGATCGAATCAATCGTTTATGCCCAGATCGACCACATATCCGGCAGACAGTGCATCTACTACGAGGACTTTTTGTCCATCGCATTCTAATTATGGCACTTAAAAAACGATACGGAGTCCAATATGGATTGCATCCCTCTAGAGACCCTGTGGCGGTCCCTTTCCATGCCAAGGGGGTTCCAAGCGAACAATCGGAATTCGGACATGTCGATGTGAGTTACATTCACTGATTTTCAATTACCACACTACTAGCATATATACAAAAGCTTTCCTATAAAATTATTTTATAAATACTAACGTGGGATAGGTGGCTATCCTGTTAACTACATTGGCTTTTTACTATAGTGGTATCAATCTACCACAAACCCGCCAAGCCCTAGAAGCTGTCTTGAAATCAGATGATCCCGCTTCTGAGTATGATAAGTGGACTGAGGATGAGGGTTTCCCAGATTATTTAAGGGACTGGAACTCAATCAACGTTGACGACTCTCAGCAGATGACTCAGATTTGGAGTTGTGTTCGGTTCAAAGTTCCCGTCATCGACTACTTTATGAACAATTTTGTTTTCCCACCGCATGCGAAACAGTTCAAAGTTCGATTACAATCGAATGGCTGGGACATCCCTCTTTTTTCTCACGCACAATCTGACATTTCGGCCAAGAATACGTCGTTAAACAAGTCACGAGGACTTACAACTGGATTCTCCGGTAAACCCATACCCCTATTATCCCCCCCTTCCTCCCCTCGTCCTTTCATCTGTACCGTATGCTATTATTCTAAGTGCTGACATAGTATTCTATACAATAGGCACAAACGACATCAAGTCACTTCTGCCCCTTACGATTAAACAAGACGACTTACCCTCATTATCGCATACGAATGCGGAGGTACTTACGTATCTCCTGCAGCAACGGTCAAGGAAGTATGTTGTTATGGCTGATCATAATCAGAAGCGTCTCGGCGAAACCCAATTCTTGCAAATGCTTAAAAGATTTGATAAAAATATCCGTATCTTGATCGATTCCGGAGCCCAAATCTTGGAACTATCCAACAAGGAGTTGGCCGAACACTGGCTAAGAATAAATGGAGAGGCCGCTGCTGCACTCTACTTCGATGGGGATAGCCCATTCATCCTTTCTAAGCAGAACACGAGGACCCCATTACTTGCCTCGCCCTATGCAGACAACCTTGATGAGGTACTTGTATATCTTGATGAGGTACGTTTACAACTATACTGAATACTACATACATCATCTAAGAACTCACTTTCCACAGGCTCATACACGGGGGACCGATCTCAAGTTCGGAACAAAAGCACGTGCCGCCCTCACCCTTGGCTTAGGCCAGACGAAAGATCATACCGTACAAGGTAGGGCCTAAGTAATTTCAATCCATTTAAAAACGTATAACTAATTCCAACTACTTAGCCGCAATGAGATTACGACAGCTCGGAACAACACAGTCTGTTATATTTTTTGCGCCCCCTGAAGTCAACCAGAGTATTCGAGACCTGTGTAATAAAAAAGATGGCGAACGAGTAGATTCATACGACGTGTAGGTTTCCTGCCATATCAAACGCCAAACCTCGTTACCCATATAATTTTACAAAACTAACGCGGTAGTAGGATCCGCTGGCTTATCAATAATACCTGTGATGGAATTGAGCAACTGCAGCCCCTATTCTATTCCCAAGGAACGGATTTCTGCAATCGAATGCAGGCAGCAGAAGATTTTCCAGGTTTCCTAGTCAATGACGACGACAGGACAGCTTTTATTGATGCAATTAAACATAAAGAACGACAAACACTGCAGCAGCTTTACGGGATTCAACCTAGATCAAAGACGAACACATCCGCGAAATCAAATGCCATAATTGCAAGCTTCGCTAAGGAACTCGAATCTCGCAAGAAAAACTTCCAAGATAGTGGCCAGGCTGTTCACTCTTCGGTCCTACAAGAGGTTGAACAGGAGCGAGAGACCGAGATTGAGGTTGAGGCGGTACGTCAAGTCAAAAAGCCTATGTCTTACACACCTCTCAAGTTCCCTGGGCTCCACAGGGATCTAGAGACTTTTGCCAGGACTGCCAGGATTTCTGCCGGGTCAGATACCTTCGTCCCTGTCATGAGAGCTCTTGCGAGGACCGCACTTGGAAGGAAGCATAAGGTAAACCACGAAGCCGGCTCTTCCCAGCTATTTGTCTCGAGTGAATTCGAACGGACGGTTAAGTTGATCTTTGAAGCGGCGAATGACAATTTCTTGGTAATACTCCGTTATTCTTTTACTCCGTTGGTCTTACTGACTCTTGAAAATAGCGCCCTGTGCAGTGGGTTCTTTACGCAAATTCTCCAGAAGCAGCCATTATTGTCACGCCTGAGGAAGCTGAGCATTTGATCCAAATCCTTCAAGAAATAGAAAAGGAGAAACGGGGAAGCCCAACCCGTCTTCTAACATATGCAGCCCCCGTTACTCGGCGGATGATGCATTTCAATAAGCTAAACTACTATTCTATGCCACCTCTTCCCCCGAACTGGAAGCCCTCGGAATGGCTCACCACTGAGCTTGGCTTCTTCGCCGGTAGGCTGTACTTCGAGTTCTCAGAATACGACAGTATCTGCAGGATGCTTGGCATAGATGTGTCTAACCCTGGGATCGATGAATTTGACAGCTCCGAAACGGATACCACGGAGCGACAGATAACCTCCACCACCGAGAAGTCCAGTATAGCGACGTCACCGAACTCTAACGAAGCACGCAAGGTTGTTGAAAGTTCCTCAAACGAGAAGCATTTAAAACCCAAGCGCTTCGCTTCAGCTCTCACGTCAAAGCCTTACACATTCACTCAGGAATACTTAGCTGCTCGCCGACGCGGGCAGGACTTTACGCATACTCCCATGGGGTTCTTGAGCAGCGGAAAACCATTAACCGCGGAGAGTCCTTTCTTCCGTCGCGCGGATACCACCCGACGTAGTCAGGGTCTAGTGCCCGTTGGAATAGCCCAAGCTGACAACGAAGAGGGAGACGCAGCCGAAGACATGATGGATCTTGGAAATTACGACCCTTCAGCAGAAGTGAAACATGATGAAGAGCACATTGCAATAGAATATGACGAATCTGAGTTGCACCCCTTGGAGGAGGAGGAAGATGACTCTGGCACCGAGGCTCAGCGCCCTGGAAAGGACGGTAGACGGCGATCTACTGATAAGAATTCTAAACGAGGTGGATTTACCGTGGGTTAGGTTGAGGAAATTACGATAGGATTTTCTTTTGCTTTTTTCAAAGTTTGCTTGGCTTGTTGCATAGGTTTGCGTTATGTTGATAGGAAAGAAAATATGGCTGGTAGCCTGTGTGCACGTAGGACTAATTCCATATCTGTTTCCCTCTCAAATTTACACGTTTGCATCCATCTCCCGTACCACGCGCAGTGAAATGTCGCATAAATAAGCCGCTGTTGGCAGGTGGTCCACGTCACGATCGTGAGTCTGTCAGGGTATAGTGGGCCGGGTGGTTACAGAGGTCTGTCTACGACTATATAAGAGGCGCGAAGCGCCCTCGTCAGAGGATAGAAGGCCAGGCGTTACTAGTTCAGTACAATCTACTACTTGGTCTACCTACCCTAGACACTCACTTGATACATAATTCACTTCAAAGAACATCTAATCCTGACAAAGTCACAGTTACAGCATTAAGGGAAGGAACGAGGCCCCGTAGTCCTTTTAGATTCAGCAACGCTTCCGCAATACAAGACCAGTTCCACAGCCGCCTAAAAAGCTTTTCATTTAGGTAAAGTTAAGCCAAAACTTACCTACGTTGATATTCCACACGGGAGGTCATTTTCTTCCAAGTACCAACAATTAGGGCACTTGATACCATGAGGGTAACGAAATTCTATCTATAAAACACCTGAGTTATCTTGATATATACTAACAGATGTTTACTCTAGATCTTCATCTCCCTCCTTACGCTATGCGCTTGCGCCGTCGCTGCGCCACACCACCGTCATTTTCAAGCAGAAGAACCAACTGCCTACAGGCTCGATTGCCGCTCCCCTAATACGACAAAGTGGTGCGAGAGCAATTACCACGCCGGATGCAATGGTGATGGGAAGTTGCATACAGATAACGTCCTTTATTGTGGCACTAGCGTGTGTAGATGCGTTCACTAGGTGCTAGGACCTTAGGAGCCCAGTTCGGTCGGAGGAAAGGTGGAAGGTGTGAGTTGCGACGATGAAGGGGAGGGAATGCGAAGGGGGGGATGTACGCCGAAAAGGCTTCGCATCGTAAGGCGCACGGTGGACTTGACATCTATGTAGGAACAAGTCGCATTTCAATGACGAGATAGCCCAGAGAATTACCTTACAGGTCTTCCAGTGCCACCCGCGATGCCCGTTAGACATGCGATCGCCACTCTAGAACTCCTTGCCAGAACGGCGTCAAAATAAGTGCTTAACAAAGGAAATATTTTTATAAAACGTTCTCTTGGAATATATTAAGCAAAACAATTATAAAAAATCATATTAATATGAATTAGGCTTTAAATTTTATTTTAATATAAGTTATAAAGATATTCTCGAGTATTTCGCTCAGTTATGTGGATAAGAGAGTGAGACTGGTGGTATGTTAGTACTTACAAAATCGGCACTTTTTTTGACGCTGTTCTGCTTGCGTACCTAAGGTACGTAATGCGCGACGCGCAGCCACATATGGATAGCATCGAATCTGGAGACGTCATCCTAGTCTGCGCGCTTCTTGCTCCAGCGCATGCACACAGTTTGTCCATCGTAGCCTGCCGATCCGGGTCCTTCTGCACATTGCACAGGCGTATGCGATCCCGTAGGACGACGATAGGGCAGTTTGAGACTACATAGGATCCCAGCAAAGTGCCAGGCTTCGCGCCACGTCTGTGCGACGGGGAACGGACCCAGCAGGCCTACCTATGTCTAATCCCCGCCCTCCAAAATGATATCTATAAAAAAGTTTACCACATAAGTAAAGCAGATGCCGCGGAAAAGCGTGATCGTATATGTATAGTCGGATATCTTTCGGCAAATCTTTGAATAGGGGGGAGTACAGTGCAATATGTAGACAGGGATTAGATAGCCAGACTTGATTTATTGAAATATTCTTTGTTTTTAACCGATGAATGTGCCAAACCATATGGAAAATCATTGCTATAACATACAGTGTAACTATCATTTTCGCACATACTTATGTCGTAGACTAAAAACGTCGCAACAATTAACTTCAACTAAATGCATATCGCTTATTAGCGCCTAATCTCTTCTAATGCTTACAAAGTCTAATCATCAACAACCCTGCACCATTCGTCCTTGCCAGTACGAGTCGCGGTACAACATTCTACGCAGTGATAAATCAGAATTTCATATTCAACTAGAGATTTTGAGCTGTAGAGATATGCAACCCCTTTTTTGGGACCTCTTGATTATGATACAGTATGAGACCATGATGGTATAATGTAGCAATATCCCAGTGACTCAGTGATGATTATGCTTAAACTTAGGCGTGCAGCATAACTTTAATTGCGAAATAGGGGAGAATTCTCTGTTAAATTAGGCTCTTCTACTTGTACCAAGGCGAACAGTGCATACCGCAACTAAGGTCTCCAGTAGAAGCACTCGCCGCTGTATATAATACGATATTCGACCTGGATTAACCTGAATAATCCAGAAAAAAAATATTACAATGTTAAACGCACTTGGTACGATACGTATTAGTTGAATTATCAAATAATACTACAGGTGGGCATTTATAGAGCGTTGGGGTTTGCTAGGTATTATCTTAAATTCTGCCTACATATCTAAACTCAACGCCGCAAAGTATCACGAGCGTTTACACTTGCAGCACGGGCCGGTAAGGCAACCCACGCCAGTGCGAGTTTGCCCCCGCGCTGCCGCTCAACCCTCGGGCCTCTACCTAGGCAACGAGGTACATCTAACAAAGTACATGCCCAAGAAACAAGACATATATATCTAAATAAACTACACACATTCAGCCGACCCCGCAAAAAGGACGTATCCCTGGGTGACTGGAGGCTAGAGAAAACTGCCCCGTGGTGTCATATGCTGGACCGGTATTCCCGTGACTCGACAGTACGACATTTACAAAGTAGTTTTTCGCAGGTCCTGGGTTCAACACCCAGACCGAGCTTTTTTTGCTATTCCTTTTTCACTATTTCTTTCCTTTGGTAGTAGCATCGTAGCTGCCTGCACGCCCCTATTGTAACTAACCCTCCCCCTATTTTCTATTTTACATTTCTTAGTCGTTATTCTGACAGTACTTTCCGTGCAACTAAATGAAATCCGCAGTCGCTTCCTAGTAAGTCCTGCTTGCTCCTTAACGGAACTTGGGTGATATGAGGCAGGATAAAACTCTTACATACAATCTACAGAGGAGTTGCTGCCTTGGTCATCGTAATATGAATCACTCGCTGTAGGTAAATCCCTGCCTCTTGCTCGTGAATTCCGGAAGTCGCGTTGGGACGAACTGTGATGTGCATTAGAACGACTACCTCCTAAATATGGAAGTAGAGATACAATTGCATAGGTATGAACGATGTGGTAAGTTATGGTTAAGCAGAAACACCAGCTGCTGCCGTTATTAGCCAACCTTACTTTCACTTGGATAATCGACACACCTCACAACAATTGGCGTTTGTATTTGCTATTCCAAGAACCCAGGCGACTAGCTACGAATAATATATCCGTACAGCATCAATCATACTTCTTGGGTTCAATCATACCTTACACAAGCAACTCCTCTTCTTTCTATACAATTAACCTATTAGACACGTCGCTCCCAAGTAACCATGCCCCCCCGAGGAACCATGCCCTCCCAAGAGGTAGCCATGCCGCTTTCGCATGGGAGAAGTATTCGTCAATTCTTCCTCACTAGGGACATATCAGATAATGAACCTATGTGGTTAGACGATATGATGGGATACATGGGAATCGATAATCCAGATAGGAATTTGTGGCAGAGCCTCTGCATCAAATGGGGCGCCCGAGACGTCGCATGGTATAGCGTATCCATACCTAACTTCGCCTACATTGTCCATGCGGTCAACATGGATATACTGCCAGAACCGAGAATGAAACATAGAGACATGATAGTCGACAACTATAAGGCTGCAGGAGGGGACCTAGCTACTTTGCAGCGAATTGGCGTCACCTATATTAATCATGCAGAAGCCTATGATTGTATCGAGGCCGCGTTTATTTCGAGAAGCCTAGGGTTCCCAGACATGGGCTGTACGGTGGTTAATTTGGTAAGCATCCCCCTATCCTTTCCACAGTTTTCTATTTCTCTTCTAGCCCCACGTACCAATACTAATAGTTATCCAGTAAATATAAAATCCCGCTCAACCCTCGCTTACCGCAAACGTATAACCTCTATACAGACCATCCAGAGCACTAACATATAGCAGCTTGCCAGATTCTATCGGCTGGGACGAACTTGTGGTCGATAACCCGTTCCTCGAAGGCCAAATAAGCATGCTTAAGGAGTACAGCGAGGAATTCAACAACGCGCGGATAGGAAGGGTAACGATAGCCGCACACGGGCTATACGTCTCGAGAAACACACACCTTGTGCACATGGTAACGCACCTAACACGCGATATGTCGGTTATACAGGCACCCCCTGTAGGGAGTCCTGCACCAGATCCTCGGGCAAGTTTTAGACTTAGACCGTTGGAATTGAACATAGGGAATTTCGACAATTCTAGAAGGTGCAATGGCGTCCATTAAATGTGGAGGACTCGATATGCTTACAATCAGCGTTTGTTCTGCAGCGTAGTATCATAGGATAGTATGGGTAGAAGATTCGATTGATGTATTTTAGCGAGAATATAATATACATTCGCGGGTATATTCGACCCTTTAACTATGCTGAATATAAGTTCATTGCATCCAAGATCCTCAGCTAAAACATCACCTCGGAAATGACAACCCCTTCTGCAGCCTCAGGTCCCTCGAACTCGCCCCGACATACGCCGTCTTCGGATACCCAGTGAGACGCCAGTCTTCCTCCTCGGAGTCCCAGTTGCTCAAGTCGCGGTACGTCACGTTGAAGACCACCGTCTTCGTCTCCTCCGGCTCGAGGTATATCTCGTCGAAACCGCGGAGCACGACCTTTGGTTCCGTCGGACCGCCGTGCGAAATGTACTAGGTAGGAGACACATTAATTAGGTGGAATCGTCGACCAAGACTATATATTAGGTAGGTACATAAGTTGGTCACTTACGAGCTGTGGGATCTCGGTCCCGGCCACCTCCCCGCTGTTGGTAATGTCTGCGCTGATAACGTAGAGCAGCTCGTATAATGCAGGGTTTCCGCCCGACGGACCGCCCGCCGGCAGGACCGGCTGTGCAGAGGCATTATGGCCTCCCGGGGGAATCTCAGCCGTTGTATTTGGGATCGTCGCGTTGTTAATGTACGGATAAATGAACTTTGGTATCTTGGAGAAGCCCTCAGGGGTAACCGCATTCTTCGGGTCCAAGTCCAACTCGCCGTACGTTCGCGCCGGGGGCGTGGTTCCATATGCCGGCTTATACACGCCTGGGTCATGATGAACCGCCGTCAAATTCGAGTACGTGAAGTTGGTGTAACTAAGTCCGAAGCCGAATTCGAAGCTAGGCTCGATCTCCTCGCGGTCAAAGTATCGATAGTCAATGAAGAGGCCCTCTGCGAAGTCCTGCTGCGGCTCGGGCGAGGTAGAGTTGAACAAGATAGACACTCCCCAGTCTTTCGCACCCTTGCCCCAGGTAAAGGGGGTCCGGCCCTGCGGATTGACCTTTCCGTACAGCACGTCCGTCAACGAGTTTCCCGATTCCTGACCCGGGAGACCAGCCCATAGAATGGCGGTCACGTTAGGGTTCGTCTTAATGCGGTCGATCAGAACCGGGCCGACGCTGTGAATAACGACTACGGTGTTAGGATTAACGGACGAAACCGCTTTAATTAGTTCGTCGCCACCTTTCCAAAGCGTGAGGTTATTGCGGTCTCCAAAGTTACCGTCCAACGTCGTATATCCCTCTCCCGAATCAGCATTAGCAAAGACGATCGCAACAGACGCGTTACTTGCGGCCGCTTTGGCAGCATCAAGATCGAAGTTCCCCTTTATATTTGTGAATACCGTACCATCGGCCTCCGCCTGCTTCTCAAGCGCAGTGGCCGGTGAGATCAAATAGGGGTACTCAGCCGTCGCCGAACCCCAGCCCATCGCAAGCGTCCCGTTGTTGCAAATTCGGTCCACGCAACCATTAGGTCCATCAGGGTTATCCTGCGCGTCTTCGCCAATCACCGCAATGCTCTGCGGCTTGACCAGGGGTAAAGCTTTGCCAACGTTCTTAAACAGTACCGTCGCCTTCGCGCCCATCTCGCGGATGAGCTCGCCATGATCGGCCTGCACGTCTACGTGATAGTTCACCGTCGTGTTCCCCTGCTTCGCAGCCCAATACTGGTAGCCAGTAGTCTCGTTCGTCCAGGAAGAGTAGTTAATATCGACCTGCTTTGTGTCCCGTCCTACCTTGTAAAAAGCAGCCATGATACGAATAACCATATCGTCGAGTCGCCACTGCGGAACCGCACCGCTAAGCACCGCTTCAGTCAAAGCGCCGCCCCAGTACGATCCGTATGTGCCCGCGCCAAATCCCTCGCCAGGCATCGTCATATCCAAGCCGGCGAGCGCGCTGGCAACACTGCTGTGCTGCGCGCCCCAGTCGGTTACAACTGCGTCACGGTCTAATTAACCACATGTATTGCCGTAGCTTTTAAAGGGGGCACTGCTATAAGTTATAACCCCCGGCAAGTTGAAGAGAACTTACCAAACCCTTGAAACCCAAGCTCGTTCTTTAACAGCTTATTCAACACATACGAGTTCTCGCACGCATAGCTATTATTGATCTGATTATACGAGCACATAACACTTCCAACACCTGCGCGCACGGCATCCGCGAACGGCCACAGGTACACCTCGTGCATGGTCTTGTCGTCGAGGTTGGAGCTGATGCCGCTGCGGAAGTGCTCCTGTTCGTTCAGGACGTAGTGTTTAACGCTGGCCACAACGCCCGCGCTCTGCGCCCCGATGACCGTCTCGGCGACTGCTACGCCGGCGAGGTACGGGTCTGGCCCGAAGGCCTCGAAGTTGCGGCCGCCGGCGGGGTCCCGACCTAGAGGGCCGACTACGGGACCTAGGTGTACATCTAGAAGGTAGGGATAGAGATTAATTTGATTTCGGATAACGAGGTAGGAGACGAAGGGGCGTTTACCAATGCCTTTACCGCCGAATTCTTGTCCGATCGCCTCGCCCCGTTTGCGTAGTAAAGATCGCGACCATGTTGCCGCTGCGCTGATGCCCGCGGGGAACACGGAGTTAAGATCGGCTATCGACGACCGAGTCTTCGTTAACATATACATATACTCTCGCAGCCAACAAATTTAAACATATTTCCTCGCGCTTATTACATTTGCCTTTTATTCCTTCAGCTTGAGATATCTGCCAACTTACTATACCGAACCCCCACAGGTCCGTCCTGCAAACACAGATGGCGGAAATCGAGTCTTGGTACCGACCCCGTATTTCCCGTACACAGATCCGCTTGGTTACCAGTCCCCGTCGTCAAATTAACCTTTTCAAGCAGCGTAAGCTTGCTGACGAACTCCCTCGCCTTCTCGTACGCTTCGTCCCATCCCGGACCGCCAGTTCCCCACGGCGAGGGGTACGAGAGTTCGAATGTGGCCTTCTGGGCGCTGCCAAGGGCAGCTAGGGAAACGAGAACAGCCGCTGAGATTCGCATTGTGCCTATCTAATATTTCCTCTATGTGACCTCAATAATGGTCTTGAGAAGCATGATGAGGTTCAGGGAAGGATGGAGGTGAGGATAGGGTTATCATTTCATACTCGAGCTGCCGGCGATCGCGTCATTTCAATCTATAAACGGAGCCAATTACCGTATGGATATGCCAGAGGTGCAAGGTTCCGCTGGGAAATAATATGCAAATAAATAAGGCAGGCCCTCGGTTCGCTCAAACCGAACGTTGAATTGCCTGATTTAATGGTTCATTTGCGGCAGAATGCAGGAGATCTACCGTCGGAGGATAAAGTCAAAGAAACATCGCAACGGCGTGAGCCGCATCTCCAACTTGGCATTTTCTTAGGATGAGCTATCATGCTATAATAAGACGCAATAAAGTAGCAGTAGTGGCTATCGATCCTCAAAATCCACACGTCGCCGATATTCTTGGGAATACCTTTCTTTACCAGCCTAGTTCTATAACTCCAGCATACCTGATATATCAAGCACGAAACGCAAAGCTAGGGTATGGAAAGGCATGCAATCTACGAGAATTTGCTCACAACGCTCCCGAAAATCATCTTCCTTTTCTGTTGGCTGACGTACTTACTAACGTCATCAGCCCATCTTTGGCTACTATCCGCGGCGGAATCCAGACTGTCGTTCATGAGATTTAGTTTCTCTGTACGCTCATTCAGTTGCCTAGTGAGATAATCACCCCAGCCCTCTTGGCTACCGGATCCTGAACTGGGGCCCTCTCCTAGATCTCGTTCGATTGCTGCCGTTGAAGCATTCATGCGCTTACTGGGAGGCCGATCGGGACCACCGATCAAAAGGTCCAGGTCTGCCGGCGTGACATATTGTGTGCCCGAGATCCATTGCACATTCGAAATAGTCGGCCTCGGGGGTATTTCGAGGTTAGGATTAATGAGTTGATCGGCCGTATTCTCTAATGGTAAGCCGGTACCCCACGCCTGAAGAATTGCGATTTCGGATGGACTTGTCCAGCAGAATATATCGCCATCCCCTGTCACCACCGCATCACTAGATCGACTACCATCCATCATAGGAAGTGGGTAGCTTCCCAGTTCCTTGAGTCCCGGCAGGCTAAAAGCTCTTGTCGTCAGGTCTCCAAATACGCCAACCAGGGCCATTCCATGCAACTCGAATTCGGTCACCGCGGCGGCGTTACAAAGGTAGTCATCGAATGATTTCGAGGCTCCTTTAGACGTGGCCGGCTTGAAAATGCGGGCTTCGCTTTGCGTGACTGTAATAGAGTTAGCATATGTACGAATATTACCTTATATCGATTAGCTTACCAACTACAAGTAGGCCATTTACATGCTTTCCTTCTCTAAGCCCGGCGACAGCTTGGCCCGTAGCAAGAGCGGGCTTTCCATCCGCGGCGACAATGGGGCATATAGATACCACCTTATCATTTAAGTGTGCAACACCTGCTAAAGTAGCAGTATATCCTGTACCGGATGGTAGTATCTTAAAAGTAACGACCTTCCCTAGGTTTGTGCCAACGAAGCAGCATATACTAGAATATTTATCCTCGTCAAGAGTCATAACACCAAATTCAAGCACCACGGGCCATTCTTTAGCCATCGGTACGCTAGACCGGCCTTTGAAAAATGACGAACGTTTTTCACGTTTAACGAACTCTGTCATCGACGCTTGGAACATGACCGTAGGCCCTCGAAGATCGATGATGCTTATGAAGCCATTTTCGGATCCAACAGCAACGAAACCTGCATCTGAAGCTTTTATAGCGCTAATTGGACCCTGCATCATCTCGTATAATGATAACGGCTGAAGCCCACTCTTTAGAGACGGCTCGGCTCTCGTACTAATATTAGTGATACCGCCAGGGTTTGATTCGACGTGTTGATCGGGGGGTTTCCCAAAATACGGATTACCACCCCATCGGTAGATGACAACCTCACCCTTATTTGTACCAACAGCAAATTCACCGGTGATAGAAGCCATAGTCATAGCTGTAATCTCTACGTCCTCGTAGCGGTCAAGAGCTCTAGCGACATCAACTTGAAGCTGAGACGAATTTTCAATCTCATCACCGTTGCCCACATCCCAAATTCGTACTGTACTATCCGCGTGTGCAACTTGAATGATAGTCCGCCCCTCGAAACGCCGGCGTGGCCGTGGTGCCTCGGCACCTCCTTTTAACAACGGCTCGCCTTGGTTCCTATTTTCAACCATTCCTAGCCATCTCCCCCGATCAAGTACAGTTATCCCAAACTTGGTCGCGAACGGGTGAGCAAACGATACGGACGGATGAAGCTGATTCGTTGGCGAAATAGGATAACCACTCGGGAAACTCAACGTGAGGATTTCTCCCGATGAGAGTAGAGTCATGATAGCAATAGGGTCCTGAGCACCGGCGAAATGAGGTGACATGCGTGGAATCAAAAAGAAATTTGCAATGCCAACCGCGGGCGGCGTCTGTATAGTATTGTGGTGTTTACCTTTCAGGTAATCTGACAGGATCTGCCACGACGAAGTGGCATAGTTGGGCGTAATCCCGAGGTCGATAAAAGTTAGACCATTTGAAGATTCATCCAGCTTCCGGCCGCCTGATATGAGTAAGCCGCTATCTTCTGGATTCTGTTTGCAGCACCAAGCAATGCGAGTGTATGGGTGCTTGGGGCTCGAGGAGCCCGGATTTGGTACGGGTTGATTGATATTGGTGTCGTAGAGAGTCCGCGCCAATACCACGCGCCCATCTTTCGGATCCCAGAATACCAAGCTTCCATCATCATGGGCAGACAATATAAATGTTCCGGTGGGATGCCATAATGCATGAGTGACCTTTGGTCTCCTCATAGATTCGACAGCCTGACTTGACCCTCCAGGAGCTCCTGGGGGTAGCTGGTACTCGAAGAATTTGGTCGGAATGTTCTGCTTGAAGGAGTAGACCACTATACCATGCGTATAAGCAATTAACAGCTTACCTATGTCGCGAGGGTGCAGCTGCATCGAGACTAGAGCCACAGCCCTAGCTCTAGGATCGTTTTCACCCCATAGGTTAGGAATTCGAAAAGGTGCCATGCGCTGTCGGTCAATATCATATGTATGTACCTCCCCCGTCTGTGTGCCTAGAAAACACCAATCCAATACGGGGTCAGTAATCATGCAAGAGACGATTCCAGGCACACGAAAGCCCACGATCTTGTTTCCAGTATCTAGATTCCATATGGTAACCTCGCTCTTGGTGTCTAGGCTCACCAAGCGATTATTGGTAAATTGAATATCTGAAAAAGAACATGATCGTGATGGAACAAGCAGCTTCTGGACACGGTTTTGACCGAAGATGTATATCTTCCCACTACCATATTTGGACTCACTCGTCCCAATGGCGAGAAGAGATTGGACAGGTTCATAGGCAATACAACTAGATGAACGAAATAGATATAGTTAGTTAATTAACCCCGGAAAGTACAATACATAAGATATACGATATACTAGTATGAATGAACGATGAATGACTTTATGATGGCGTACCTAATCTGAGAATTAATCCCGTAACGCGCTCGATCGTCCGGTATGAAAGAGCCCGGGATGATGTTAGCAGACAGGTCATTTTGCATACCTGCCTGTCGTCCTCGAAGAAAAGCGGCCATTATTTTTAATAGAAAGAATCGACCGGACTAGAACATAGGATCGTCTTCTTATTGCTATCGCATTATCCCCAATTCCTCTATTCAGAGTAATTAAAAAAAAGATAGGAGAAGGAAGTTTTGTCTGCTAATGAGAAACATACGTCATTGCTGTTTTACATAATAATTCCCGGCTGCCCGGCACAGCACCCCACATAAATTGTAAAGACTAAGAGATTAGATCCGGCCACGTGACTCGAGCCACCTTCCACGTGCTTTACTTGGCACTTCTCAACTATCATCGTGTGTTTCAACACTACAACTTACAAGTAATATCTCAGGTCAGGCCAGATATTTAATTATCTCATGTTCACTTTATACCATCACCGCATAGTACTATTATACTAACAGCATTATTTATAAAAATCTATATCGCCAAGGGGACCGTCACTACAATTTCCACATCTTTCAGTCGCAAGGCATCACCGCAAAGAGCAGTTGCAGTCAAAACACGCAAACGCCGACTTACCGTATAGTTAACCTAAAAACCCAATCTTTCCAAATATTAAATATTATCTCCGCTTTCGAAATGAACTCCTACCAATGTTTAGCCTAGTGAAAACCCCTGAATTCACCTGGGACATCAACCGAGTCTGATGCTTTGCAGTGCTCCTTGGTTCTGCTCCCAGATGTCTTTAGGCACCCGTCCCGCAGCTTTTCTTTCCATAAAGTCCCCCCTCCTTTCGACCCAGAGCACGTTATAGAAGTCATAACGCTTATGCTCCCACTCTTCTGGTAGTCCGTAGTCCCCGAGTTCACGACAATCTATGTTTTTGAGAAAGAAGGGCCCCTGATCCCGCCCGTCTGCCTCTTTCTCCATACTCTTATAACATTCAGACCTCGAATCTCCTTGGAAATACACTGCTACACTGTTAACATTGGGCTTTTCCGGGGTATTATTCGTTCTCACCTGTCTTCTTCTGGAAACTCTTGGTCAACGCGAAATGGCAGTGATCGCTCCTATTGCCCCCGAACCGGTAGCAGGCCAGTCTGTCGACCCTCTCCTCGTACGTCATAGCAGCTTCCATAAGACATGAACTACCCTGCGAGATAGCTATGACTTCGACTGTCTGCTGGGCCTTAATATTTTTATTATCATCCATGACCCTTAGCAACCCGGCCCAGCGCCCGTGTTCGTCTTCGAGAGTTATCACGGGGCAGTATGTCTTAAAATCTGGCTCATTTGTGTATAGCTGCGTGTCTAGGGCGGAAATATCACAAGATTTACGCATATCATAAGCTTTACGCAAAGTCCTCAGCTTCGCCCTTCGATGAGGATATAGAACTCTTCGGACCTTAAATGTAGTTGTAGATGTCGTGCAGGAGAGGAAGCGTTTATACCCTTGATTTCCAACGGTTTGTGGGACATGTGTTATTGGTAAGGGGTAGCGAAAGGCAGACTGAGCGTTCGAATCATAGAAGTACCAGTCCTTTGGCCTGTTTGTGGGCGCGCACGGCTTTACTCCTTCTTCAGAGTCCGTATATTCTGTTTTATGGGACCATCCATCAGGCAATTCCTTATCGGAAGGGTTATCTCGCAACCCTTTATATTGCTCTAGTATTCTCGGTTCGAGTATCTCGCACTCGTCAGCCGCGGTAGTCGAGCAAACCCAATCAACAAGTTTCCTAGTCCTCCATGAACACATAGACTTTCCCAAGCCTCCCCTAGAAATATCACCTCGGATCTCGTAATCTAGAGCACCCTCTAGGCTTATTGGGTCAATCAGGCATTGCCATCCGGCCCAAGACCAGGACGGCAGTGGTGGGAATGATTCAGGTCTCTTGCCAGAACAAACGCGCCTCTTCGCCTTGAGGAGAGGCTGCCAAAGAAGAGCAGAATCAAGGAAAATAGCCGGCAATCCACTAATAAAGCCGCCCGAAAACCTGTTTGCCAAGGCATCAAATACGCCGGCAATGGCTGGCAGTGCATCCTGGGCGTAGGTGAGGTTGCGATGGTTATACCGACATATCAACTCCATGTAAAGCCTGAAGTTGGGTGTGGACGGGGCCATGAGATCCCGTGATAATTGTCTATTCGCCTTATAGTTCCTGGTTCCCGTGAAGTCTTTTTGGCCTTGAGATATCCATCTTGAAGACATATTGCCCGCCTTTGGCGTACCGAGTTCTCTAGCATCTGCTTCCTGGCCGGTGATCAACGACTCGGACCACCAGACAGCTTCCTGGCAATCCCAAAATGCCGTTTCATTAAGAAAAACAAAAGAGCGCTTGGAAAGCATTTGTTCCTGGAACGTCCATCCGCGTGTAGCCCAATGTGTCATGAGTAGTGCCCCATGAAGGCTACTAGCATCAGGAACGCCATCTTCATTTTCAACACTCTCAATATTATCTCCCGACCCGTATAACCCCGATGATTCCGCAGCTGCTATGATCGTGAAATAGGCTCCAGAATATATATCCCTCATCGATAAGACACTGTCACCGGTGGCCTCGTCATTTTGGGGGATGCAGAGGCAATCAACCCAGAGATACCGCACGCCAGATTGTCGCACGAAGTCCATCGAATCCCGGATAACTTCAGGTAGCGTTTCAGCGACGCCAGACTCAAAAGATAGAAATCCAGGCTTTCTGAAGTTATCCAACTTGTCCCGTTGGAGCATCAGCCTCTCAGTCTTAATCGAAAATTGATGGCCGGGTCTTGGCATTTTGAACCTTTTTGAAAATGCTAAGACCCGGCCATCAATTTTCGATTGAGACTGCCTCTGTGTAGGTGCCCGGTTGCTGCTGGCATCCAATGGAGATCTCCAGACGTAGCTAAGAGCTGCATATTTGTCGACTGAATCACCTGGCACGAGGCAGTTTTCTTGGGTGTCGATAATCCAGAAGTTTGGTATGTTCTTGGGTGGCGTAACTTCACATCTGCTGCCGTGGAGTTCTTTACATTTCTGGAGTGCGTTTTGCAGTGAAAATACGAGGTCTGCAGTCGACATGCGTCCAACCGCCATTCCTATCAGTGCTAAGCAACTATATGATGCCTCTTTCTAATAAATCTCTTTAATATCAATAATTCGTGTACAGAAGGATGACTTCTTAATCAGAGAAGCAGCAAATCAGAGAAGCAACACATGATATGTCAAATAGTCTTTAGTGAAGGATATTTGAGGGGTGAAATCTCTCTATCAGAGATTTCAAAGTCGCAACTGTGCTTGACACCCGATAGGCCCTAGTAAGGCTTTCGGAGAGGACCTCCGCATGCAATCTTTTTCAACCTCCTGGTGACACGGAAAAAAAAGAAGCAATGGGGAAAATAAGCCACCGCCACTTTATTCATGTCCCGTTCATGCGGGTGATGTACGTCGGGTAGTCGAGCAGGATCTGTTGTCTCACGTATTAGATAATACTATCAACCATGTAAAGGTGCTAAGATCTAGGTGGTTGTAATAATATACTGGCTGAGGTTTCATGTCTAAGCTATAATAGATGCATATATCAGAGATCACCATATGTGAGGTATAATATAGGTAAAAATCAAAATGCCAGGCCAGCCAATGATACTGGAAGAGGAGTTGTCATCACGATACGAGAAACTAATAATGATGTATAGGTAACTAACACTTATTACTCTAGATATCCCACCTCCTAGTACTTGTGAAGATTTAAAAGCTTGATCTACTCCAATATCACTTGTCACTTTACTTACCTAAGTACTATATCTAAATTTTCCGAGTCATTAACTCGATTCCAAAATTATACCTATGTTCAGCCAAATTAATATCTTCGAAATTCAAGAAACTACAATGCAAGGTTGCATGTGTCCTTAGCTAGGACTGACGATAGGATCCAGCTCTCCAAAATACGTACCAACTATCAGATTTGCACATTGTTCGGCTAATCCATCCCGTGATAAATACACAGATACATACCTAAGGTAGATACCTCATACCTAAGGTAGATACCTCATACCTAAGGTAGATACATACCTAAGGTAGGTACCTACGTATCTAAATTCACGTATTAGTGCCCACAGCAACACCTCGCGGGGTGACCGTCTTCATTATCGTGCACTAAAGCCCGTACTTTATACCCTCCTTTTAGAAGGTACCTGGTCCGCGTCAGCTCGGTTGTTGATTGTAGTGGTGTCCTGATTAGGCCCCAACAAGATAAGGAAGTTACAGGTCAATGCAGCTGTAGATAGACATATCACATTTACATTCACGTCCAGATTCACGCGTTCACGCAAACATCCGCAGTTAAATTTCCTGCGTGGACGCAGTCGCACCTTCCTTTTCTTCTCACCTACAACCTCAAATTGTTGTCGACGCCAGAATCTCCTTACTCAAAGATCTCGCGTCTCTCGACTGAAATGCCCTTCCATCCCACAAACGAAGACCAAGGCAAGTTAACCCACGCGATCCTTAGAGGTATCTTCTTGGTCTAACGAAAGCAGATTGGGACTCTGCCTCTGATAGCTTGTCCGAAACCATGTCGTCCACTGGCAAACGTGCACACCCCGAGGTAAGCTTTTCTATTTCATTCTTCCTTCATTCGCTCTAGGTACCTATCTCAAAGGCTACGTATGCTGACTAAATCCAGTCCGAGGACGAGGCTCCCCCAGCGAAGCCCGCCAAGGTCAAGAAGACAGACGCGGAGGAGTGCATCGAGCTACGAAACAAACTTCTTGTGCTTACTGGTGGGCTTAATGTTGCCGCTGCTGGCGTGCAGGAGACGGGGAAAATGTTGCACCAAATGGAAACTAATTTTAAAGCAATCCGGGGCTATATCAAAGCAACCCGCCAGGAGTTGTCGGCTTGCAACTGGGCTCTCTATGTTTCCAACCAAGCTAAGGAGACGCTTGAGAGAGAGAATGCCGTTCTGCAAGAACACATCAGCATGCTAGAGGCCAGACTTAGTGAGAAGGAAGACTAGGAGTTTTGCCCACGAGGTCATCCCATCCTACGCCTTAAGCGCTGGATCAAGATGAAGATGACGCTGTCCAAAACTAAAGATTGATCAAATCGTGAGGGATGGAGAACACTCGACTTGATAGTTCAGGGGTTCAAGGTTGGGATTGGGTGCTTTGCCAGCCAAAGCTTTACTATGGCATCACAATCTTTGTAACGACAACGCTGTTATTATTCACTCGTTGATTTCAACCGGGCCAATAGGGTCCCCTGCAATTAGTCACATTTGACTTGGTGTATTGGCTTTCAAATTTCGGTCGTGACATTAAAATATCGTAGACTCAACCTAAACTTCATACCGTGAGCAAACAATTCCTCTGGACTAGATGGGCTCTAGCTTTTTATGCCTTCCCTGGCCCAGTTCGAGCATGATCCATTCGTAAACGGCCCACTGAACAGCATTAACAATGAAGGCCCTAACACTACATACGGTTAACCCTCTAAAGAATACTCGAACGCCTTCTTCTTTATATGCGGCTCTGGCAATCTCGATTGCCCCTAGGCGCCTCTGGGTTGACAGAGGGGAATTAAGTAGTGGCACTTTCGTAGTATCTAAAGTTTGTTCTTGAACTCTGGTCTTAATGACATCGAGAGGAAAGATGCTGACCCAGGTGACGATACCAGCCAGACCACCACAAAGCAAGACCTTTGCTGCATCGTGTGAGAAGTTGGGGGCGCTCGGTCGGCTAGACTCAACCCACTTGCTACTCAGTTCGTAGGACCAGAAATAGAATCCATACCCAATACTATCTCTCAACGCTGTGACAACACCGCCGAAATATAGCCCTCTGATGCCCTCGGTCTTGAACACCTGCTTCGCAATGCTCCAGCTCGACGCTGGAGGCGATGACAATTGAGCACGGCACTTGATCAGCTCGGTTGGAGTGCTCACGGCCCAGGTTGCTAGGCCACCAACGGCACCAGCGAACCACGTAGTCCAGAGGTTTGACTGGCATTTCAGGGCAGTATTTATAGCGGCTTCGCTGCGGTTATACGAGACGAAGAGGAGAGCGTTTAGAGCGCCATAGCCGAGCACAGGCGCAGCAGTCCCGGCTACTAGAGCAGACTTGCTTTCGAACTGCCGGACATATGATGTGACTGTTTGAGTAGGTATGCCATTGCGCGCTTGCAGCCGCACCTTAATAAGATCCAGGGGATTTCCGATTAGGATACCAACAGCTCCGCTGATATAGCCGGCCCAGAAGTCTGCGGACATAACCAGAAGACTTGATTTTATGAGACCACGGCTAGTTTCTCGTAAATATTGAAAGTTTGATATTATAAGTCCTCGAAACGATAACCTAGGTATGGGGTTCACTCTGTCACCTCCTAGCCATGCACAACTTAATGTATATGGAGAGCGACATGGGGACTTCAGAATTGGGAGTCTTTGACTATCAGAAAAGTAAGAGAAGAAAGGCACAGTTTTCGCGTTAGATCTCTACTGAATATAATGGCGCATTAAGGGCTTGGATTTGATAAGCCTACCAAGTGAGACCAGGACATAAGGACATAACCTACTATGTAGATAATAAGTGAGATGAATATACCAAATAGAAACCCCGCTATTGAGGAGCAGCCAACAATCCTGGAGTGATCAAGCGCCAACGCGGGGCAGCGGATAACTCTAAATACCTACCTACATACCTAGGTAGGTACCTACGTAGGTACCTACGTAGTGGAGCTGATTATCAAACCATCTAAATAGGATATAAGACAACCTCTTGAGATATTTATAAAATGGATAGGATGAATTGGCCTAAGGAAGAATAGGTAATTTTGTGTGTGAAGATTGCAAGTTGCGTAAGAAGAGGCTTACTAAAAAGAAATCGCAATACGGTATAGAACATTCAATTATTAATACAGTATGTGGGGCATATGAATCGGGCACGTGACTTGGTGTCAATTCCCCGCCAGTTCCGGCAAAGGCGCGACGCGCTTGCCTCAAGTCAACAAAATGGCTAACCTAATTGATTTCTAATAAGTCGCCGTCAAGTTGCAAACCTTAACTTTTACACATTATCTAATTCGCTACGGCATACCTCAAAATATATCTCACTCTCTTGTAGAGTAACTGTTGGGCGTAAGGAAGGGGAAAATGTATTCAATCACTCTCTTACAATACCGTTGACCAACTACTAATATTATATATTATACAGGGCGAGTGCACCCACTACTCCGCTAGTAAAGCCGAACAACACCCCCGGGAAACGTCTCCATTCGCAACAATCAAAGGACCAGCTATTTAAACCATTTAGATGTCCCGGTGCTGCTCTTAGTTCCCCGGCTATCGATCGCCCAGTTCGAAAAAAGAGGAAGGTCGATTATAAAGGTGCTGGTGGCGACGACTCGGGAGATAAGCCTTACACAAACGCCGATAGATTGGCTCTAGCAAATCGAGACGTCAACCGCTTCCCCGTCTTCCAGCCTAAGGATAAAGACAAGGTCTTTAGGAAGGCTTTTAGCATACCTCTGATCAACAAGAACAACGGTTCCTATAATCCCAATCGTCCTCCGCCAACACTCGGCTTAAGACAGGGAGCTGTTTTTGTCGCCAAGCCTTTACACGATCCGACCGGCGAGTTCGCTATTGTGCTCCACGATCCCACCGTCGACGATAAGCCGAAGGACATTAACAAATCGCAAGATGATGAAGCCAAGGATGCGACCCAAGAAAAGCTTGACGCACCCTTAGTTCACAAGAGTCTAGCCGAGATTCTAGGCATCAAGAAGAAAGTCGACAATGAGCATCCAAGGGTGCCAGTTGTTATCGACCCGAGACTTGCCAAAGTGCTACGACCACATCAGATCGAAGGTGTCAAGTTTATGTATAAATGTGTCACTGGAATGATCGACGAGAAGGCCAATGGTTGCATTATGGCCGACGAGATGGGTCTCGGAAAGACACTTCAATGCATCACGCTTCTCTGGACTTTGCTAAAGCAATCTCCCGACGCCGGCAAGACGTCGATACAGAAGGCTATCGTCGCCTGCCCCTCTAGTTTAGTCCGCAATTGGGCAAATGAGCTTACCAAGTGGCTTGGCGCGGACGCTATTACCCCTTTCGCGATTGACGGCAAGGCCTCCAAAGAGGAATTAACTAGACAGCTTCGTCAATGGGCTATTGCGAGCGGTCGCGCAGTTACGCGCCCGGTTATCATAGTTTCCTACGAGACACTTCGGCTGAACGTTGAGGAGCTTAAGAACACTGAAATCGGTCTGATGTTGTGCGACGAAGGTCATCGATTGAAGAACGGAGACAGCCAAACGTTCACAGCTCTAAACAATCTTAGAGTCACAAGAAGGGTCATCCTCTCTGGTACACCCATTCAGAATGATCTTTCCGAGTATTTCTCTCTAATCAGCTTCGCAAATCCCGGTTTGCTTGGCAATCGACTGGAATTCCGAAAGAGATTCGAGCTTCCTATTCTCCGAGGTCGCGATGCTGACGCAAGCGAACATGATCGTAAGAAAGGAGACGAGTGTCTAAGCGAGTTACTTGGCATCGTCAATAAATTCATTATCCGACGGACGAACGATATTTTATCCAAGTATCTTCCCGTCAAATACGAGCACGTGGTATTCTGCAAACTTGCTCCCTTCCAACTAGATTTATACAACTACTTCATCAAGAGTCCAGATATCCAAGCTCTCTTGCGTGGCAAGGGAAGCCAGCCCCTCAAGGCTATCACCCTACTCAAAAAGCTTTGCAACCATCCAGATCTACTCAATTTGTCAGAAGACTTGCCGGGATGTGAGAAATTCTGGCCCGAAGACTATACGCCAAAAGATGCACGCGGCCGCGATCGAGACGTTAAACCGTGGTACTCGGGCAAGATGCAAGTGCTTGACCGTATGCTGGCGCGTATCCGACAAGACACGAACGACAAGATCGTCCTAATCAGCAACTACACCCAGACCCTTGATCTCTTCTCCCAACTCTGCCGGCACCGCGGATATGGTCACCTGCGTCTTGATGGTACCATGAACGTCAGTAAGCGACAGAAGCTTGTCGACAAGTTCAACGACCCGGATGGCGGCGAATTTGTCTTCTTACTATCTAGCAAGGCCGGTGGCTGCGGTCTCAACCTCATCGGCGCCAACCGTCTCGTCCTATTCGACCCGGACTGGAACCCAGCCGCCGACCAGCAAGCGCTAGCCCGTGTGTGGCGTGACGGACAAAAGAAAGACTGTTTTGTGTACCGCTTCATCGCGACCGGAACTATCGAGGAGAAAATCTTCCAGCGCCAGAGCCACAAGCAATCCTTGTCGTCGTGCGTCGTTGACTCGGCCGAAGATGTAGAGCGCCACTTCTCTCTAGACAGTCTACGAGAACTGTTCCAATACAGACCAGACACGCTAAGCGACACGCACGATACGTTCAAGTGCAAGAGGTGCAAACCCGACGGACGGCAGTATATTAAGGCGCCGGCACTGCTCTACGGAGACACGAGTACCTGGAATCATTTCGTCAATAAGGATCTCAAGCCTATACAGGATTTGCTGCTGCGACAGGAGTGTGGGGAGAGCGAGGTTTCGGCTGTGTTCCAGTATATCTCGCATTAAGGTGGCTGGCTGCTAGGAATGAGGAAGGGGAAACGAGCAAAGTGCTATTTTGACATGATAGAATGGCGTTGGAGGATTGGTCCACGGCATTTGCAATGGTATGGTATGGTGTTAGGGCATGGCGTCATTGCTTTGTAGACTTGCTTGCCGCATGGCGATATAGTGCATCACGAGAGGCTTTACGAGAGTACTTGATGATAGTATGGTTTGATGGACACTTTTAACCCGTTTATTACTGGGGATGTACAAGCTTCCAAGCAAGGTTGCTTCTACCGCTCCTGTAAATCTGTGGCACTCCCAACGCTAATATATACATGAGAATAACCATTGCCTCATGCATATCGCTGTCTACGATACTACCTACATAACACTCCCAAATCAGGTACGTATCATTGCCTTGTTCACTTATGCTCAAGCGTCCCCGGGTTATGCGCAACATCATGGCCGTGCTGATCCTTGAAGAGGACCTGTGAAGTGTTAGCTCCCGTCTTTTACACATACACACACTCTCATATTCATCCATTTGCTCCCTCCTCCCCTCACATTCATCGCCTAATCCGTTATACGATCCGGATAAAATAACATCTTGCAAGACATTGAAAGAAATAATGAGCAGTATATATACCTATTATATAGTATATAGGTATATGTAAGGAACTGAGTTGATCGAAGCTTACCTTGGGCGGATTCTTAACCCCCGCGTCCCGCGCCTCCGCCTCCGATTCAACGACCCGATCGACGTCCCCCTCGCGCCGGCCGCCGCGCACTTTGGTCCACACCGCGTCGCCTTCTCGGATGGGCTGGCCTTGCTTATCGCTGATCTGGGCGGGGGGCATTGTTAGGTAGATTAATGGGTTGTCTTAACTAGGTATTTATTATCTCTCTGTGTCTAGTTGGTGGGTTGGAACGACGATTCGAGAAACTTAAGTATGAATAACTAGTTGATAACGCAGACGGGTTTGATATATATATATATAGAAGCTTGGTGCGAATGAGAAGCAACTAGGTTACATATGTAGGTGAGATCTTTATATATATAGGAAACCTGAAAGATATCGCGGAATGCTTGACGTCATCGAGGCGTCAGGTTTACACACGGCCTCATATGTACTACCTACTACATACATACGTACACTTCAGTACTGATCTCGATGGCGGAGGGTGATACTGCGCTGATACCTACCTACCTACCTACCTAGTATATGGTTATTACTTTATCTTACTTATTGTCAGCCTAGTACTGAGTCGTTGAGTCTTAAATTAAGGAGATAGGTAAACTATAAGCAGGAGGGACTATCTAAGTTCCATGGTAACTAAATCTGGAAACGCTTGCTTTTTAAGAAATTCACTTATGAGGAGTTTCTTGACATTTTATTAGTTTTTACCTCTAGTTATCTCAACTAACTACCTACTTTTTCTTATTCCTAATATAGAGGTGATTTATATGGCTACCTAACTAGAACATTCGATTTTATTATACTCCCATGTGTTCCCGATGCTAAAAGGCTTCGTAGGAAGATAGATCATACCTACACACATACGAGAAAATCATGAAGTCTTGGTTAAAATATCACTGGATTTGTCGATTAGTTTAAGAATCCCCCGGAGACCATGCTAGGACGAAGGTATAATAATATAATCAACACCTAGTTTAAGTAATCTAGCAGGCGACTTCGTAGCATTGTCAACTATCTTAACCGGAGTTCCTCATCCGCCTCGTCAGCCGCATCCATACCCATCCATACCGATGAGAAGTCCTCAGGTCAAGCCACGAGCACTTCCAGAGCTATTTCCATCTCATCTCACACCTTCCACAACACACGATATATCTCCCGCTGATAAATAATGGCAACGAGTCTATTGTCAAATCCATAACACAAGATCCATCATTAGGTACCGTATTTACACCAGACGAACCAGTATACAATCATCTTCGGCAAGGATTATTTCCCACTAGAGACCATACTGCGTAAATACCTATCACCTATCCATCTATAGGTCCGCCTCCCAGCAAACGCCATGATTTACCATGCAAGAAATCTCAGGCCCCGACATCCTACGTCTACCTAACAGCCGGCTTGACTCAGCTTGGCCTGGCCCAGCCACGCCTCCCCCCACAATCCGCCGTCTCGATAAAAAAAAGGGGCTGCGGATTTTGTCGGCATCTCAGCAGAAAGTGGTATCATGATAAGAAGTGAGAAAGCCGCAACCAATCTATGCCGAACACACCATCTTTATCCCGTTACATGACAACCTGGGATGGAGTTAGTATAATGATGAGATTGAGGTAAAGGGTTAAAAAATAGACAGGCCGGAAACTTACGCAGTCGTCGTTCTGCTTCCCCTGGGGAATACCCATCGCCTCGAAAGTAGCAGGCCCTTGACTAGGCTTGGATGTGGGCTTAGGCGCTGGTGCTGGCGCGGACGCCGCCGAGGCAGGAGTACCAGATGTTGGCGGCGGGGTTGATACTGGTGGTCTAGCTTGAGCCTGTTGGGGTGGAGCGCTAGAGCGGCCGTAGTCTAACTGACTAGGACGGTCTTTCAACGGTACACCACCTCCTCGGCCGCCGCTTGCTACTCTCTGGCCGCCGGGGCCCCCTTGAGGCAATCCTACGGGCGTTGGCATGGAGCTATTGCGAGGCCCAAGGCCACCAGTCATAGTTGGAGACGAGGGACCTGAACCCCGACCGCCCTGGTCGTAAGAACCAGTAGGGATCCGGGGACCAGGAGCATGGGGGTTCGGCATGGACGACTCCCTTGGACCATAGCTAGCCGGGTACTGCCCGGGCGGAGGCCCTTGTTTCGTGAGCCGGTTTGGTCCGGGATTCTTGGCGGGACCAGGGCCAGGACCAAGTCGCGGGTCATATCCGGCCGAGGGTGGTCGCTGCTGCTCGAATTGTCCTGTGATAGGGCGAGCTCTCGGGTCTCTTCCAGGGCTGGGCTGGCGGTAGCCGCCTTGGCCTGGCGCTCCCCAACCAGAGGAAACTGGGCGACCGCGGTTGGGATCCATGCCAGCTGGTGGGATAGGCAACTGGCCTGCCGAATGGGACGGACGTATGCCAACATTGCCAGGAGACTGCGTACGAATCCCAAAGGAACTTCCTGGTCGGTCCGCAATAGGCCCGTTTGACGACCGAATGCCTGGGTTATAGTGAGGAGCAAGCTGCGGCTTTCCACCCACATCATCTTCGGGGTAAGGCACAGCAGCAGACTTGGATCGTAGGGACAAGGCCGGCGGCCTATCATCTTCCGGATACGGAGCTGCTGATGACGGTCGGTCCGTGAGGTTGACGGTAAAAGCAGGAGGTCGATTACCGCCGCTAATGGCAAGTCGGGATGGGTCGGGCATGTCTGTGTGATCGAAATTCTGTACTCTGGGGGAGGGATGCGGCGATACCCTGGGCGAATTTTGGTCTTCCGATAGCGCCGGCAACGGGTTCTGCGGTTGCTTAAATCGCTCGGGTCTTTGACCCCTTTGCGAGCCATGTTTCGACTTGATGCGTGTCAGCGCCGTCGTCTCGTGGTCCTTCTTCGACAACGTCTTAGATTGTGATAGACTCTCTAATCGGTCCACGGCGTCCTTGTTACCATGATCTGCCGCCAACTCGTACCACCTTCGGGCTTCTCGTAAATCCTTTTCAACCGATATTCCGATTTCGTAGTAATAGCCTATGGCAAACTCTCCAGTTGGTAGCTTTGCCTTGGCGGCTAGCTGAGCGTACTTGAACGCAAGCCCTTCGTTCTTCGCAAATGTCCCTTCGTAGCCAAATAGGAACCATCTGCTAACACCTAGACACGCCTCAGGCTGGCCCTGTCTAGCAGCTAGGCCATAGTAATGTAGCGACAGGGCCGGATTGAAATCGCAGCCAAGTTGACATAATTCGTAAGCCTGTCCCATCTTCAGCTGGGCCTTAGCAAAACCGAGATAGGCAGCCTTTTCGATATATTGTCGTGCGATACTAACGTCGTACTGCAGAGCACCTTCGGGGATGGCAACGTCCGGGAGATCTCTTGCTATGAGCATACCATAAACAAAGGCGCCTTGGGGTGCATCTTCATCAGCAGTATCAGCAGCGATATGTATCATATCTAAACCCCTTGGGATGTCCTTAGGTTGGCCCCGTTGACCTAAGAGGTTGATCATGCCTAGACGGTAAGAAGCTGCGGAATCATTCGTAGATAGGCCAAGTTGATAATGCTGCAAGGCTTTCTCCATATCATTGGAGTTTTCGTATAGCATACCAATTCGATAATCGGCGCGGCCCCATCCTGACTTTGCGGCGGCTGAGTAGCAAGCGTACGCTTCCTTCTTGTCTTGTCGCTTACCAAACTTGCCGAATTCTAGCCACTTGCCCCTGATGAATAAAGCCTCAGGGTGTCCCTGGTCTGCGAGATAGGTAATTATGTTAATAGCGTCGATCCGCAGCTCGTGCTCAATCTTAGGTGTTGCCGTTCGCATTGGTAGCTCTCGATCGTTGGGGTTGCACGTAGCCTCCTCTTCCCGAAGGGCAGCTTCGGCAGCTATCTCGACATAGGATAGGACGTCGCGGGCCCAACAGATCTGCATGTTAGGATCGTTGGAGTGAAGGACATGGTGGCGGCTCTCAGCTAGTACCGCCTCTTTCTCTTCGTCGCTAGGAGGGATATGTTCCCCTTGGACCTTAGGGAAAGGCGAAAAAGAAGGTAATTCGCGCATATCTCGAAGGTCGCTCTCGAACTGAGGAGCGCGATCTTGAGTTTCTTGGAATGGACTGAAATTGGATGCGGGACTATAATCGGTGGCGGGGTTGCTCCCTTGGTATTGCCCTTGGTATTGCTGCCCAAAGTTATTACCTTTGGTGTTCAGCACGTTGGACAAGGACGGTTCGCGAGAATGCCGCGGACCGGATCCGGATGCTTGCGACGATGGGTATCTCGGTTCTACCGATCGAGCTTCTAGTTCCATGCGTTGAAGGCCTTGCTGCATGTTCTCGGGAACTTCTGGCATTACCCTATTATGTGCGAAAAGATTAGGTCAGGTCAAGTCAGGTCAGGTCAGGTTGAATCGAGTCAGATGATGCCAATCAGGTCACAGAGATGTTGCATAGAGATAGAGGTCTTGCATGCTGTTGGTTAGGGGAGTAGGATATTGCTTCGAGAGATAGGAGATGGGTAAAGATGTAGGTAAAGACAACAGAGGTAGTATAGGTAAGTGTAAGTAAGTGTATGTAGTTCTCAGAGGTAGGTAATGGTAGATTAGTTAGTTAACTAGTCCTTTAGAAAACGTACCTTTGTGGTGACGGGGCTATGACCTCGGGCATGTAATAGTCGTCCATACCCCCTGGATAGAAGGTAGCTCCAACATTAGGCATTTCGAAATCGTCTTCGCTTGTCTGCGGCTGGAGAGGACCTGCATAAATAAAAGAAAAAAATGTACTTGTCAGCCTGCCGCTCCTGGGTCCTATGGGTCACGCCAATCCGGCTTACAGACCGGCGTAAGATGAATAAATGTAGTGTACTTTGATTTGACTGGTAAAGGATGAATCCGTTGTTGTGGCGGGGTCCCCTATTTTCCTATTCCTATTTTCGACCGAGTGGCGGCCAAAAAACGGTAGTATGGACTATGGAATGGGTTATGGGTTATGGGTAATGGATTATGGGTAATAAGTTATGGGTTATGGGTCATTGTTAATTGCTTCTCCCCTCTTTAACAGGGAGTAGTTAGTACAAGCTGACAAGACCCTTTGATCGTCTTGTTGTCTCCGGGTGCAAAGTAACAAAGTAACTCTGGTAACTCTGGATCCGACCTGGCCAACTGAATGTAAGAGTAAGACCTATATCCTAGGATCCAAGACCATAGACTTCGGGGAATATGTAAGCCTTAGGTAAAGTTGCTGATTTTTTAATTTCCCATGTCTGGTAACAGTGGAAAAAAAAAAGGGGGGAATATTTATCGGTTCTTGAATAATGTTAAAACTCTCCAGGGTGATGATGGTTTAAGTGCTCGGCAGTGGTCCAGATGCTCTAATCCGTACCGCTGAGGGGCTCCAGGTACATCCGTCTGGACCTACCGCCACTTCCCCAGATGGGCTAGACGGATTTGCTAAGCCCCCTTAGTGTCGAGTTTAGAGTACACTATTTTTTTATAGGTACCAATTCAAGCCAGTTTCGGCCGGTTAGGCACCATCAATGAAAAAGCCCGCTGTAATAAAAACCCTCCCAAAATCAGACGTAAGCATCAGATTGTCGAAAATGGTGTTTATTGCTGATTCACCAATTCTCCTGAATGGATAGACGATGCGGATACGTCAGATCGTATAGTTATCTAACATATAAAAGGTTGTCTTCTAAATTCACAGCCTTCTATGTATGTATGTAGACAACAGTTGGCCTTTTTCGTCGCATATGTTCCTGCATGACTGCAAGATCGTCCCGGATCACGGATCGTTACTCAAAGGTTTGGTTCCGGAATCTTGAAATCCAAGGGTCCAACGGTAGTATCCATTGGTGACCATCGAGCCGGCAAATCTTAAATCGATATCCGTGCAGGGCCTCGTGGGTGGTATAGATGATGATGATAGGAAGGTGTTGTGGAAGGGATAAAAAGGAGATCTGTTGACATACCTTGATCTTTGGGCTGCGCGTCCGCAGTTGGCGTCCTCGGCCGCGCGTTACCTGCTTGGGCCCCCATCGTCATCTTTACCAATACGCGAAGCGATCGTATTAGTCTAATTAACGACTACGTAATCCCTGTTGCCGAAGTTGAATACGACCAAGTTGTATGTGAGGAATCAAGGTCATAATATATAGCAGGAGTCGCAGTAAGGGAGTTATTAGTCTAGGAGGAGGTGATGTCAAAGTTACACAAGTTCAAGTCATTAACAAGTTCTTAAGTGTCTACAATTTAGATCTTAAAACTATCGCTACCCTAGCAACTATCAGGCATACATTTACATATTTAGCTTCAGTCTGAGTAGGAGTAGGAGTTGGAAAACAGACGGCAGCAGACGGCAGCGTCTGAAATGAGATGAAGGAATATCCCCCTTCGACATCGGCGGCCGAGATTCCCGCTGTCTAGCCAGGGAAGTTGATACCAAGAGCGAAATGAAGCTTTTGCGATCCTTCCATTGTATGGATATGCCATATGGTAAAAAGGCAGGGTAAAGATAAAATCGTTTACCTGATTCAGGTAGTTTATAAGTCAATGCTTAAAGTTACCATGCAGCTGTCACTGTCGGTACGATGCTTCATGTTGTAATGCAAGCCAGACTGCCAGATGGAGAATATCGCGGCTAGTCCACCATAGCCTCATTGGGTTTCTATTTCTGGATCAGCATGGGCAGCATGGTCGTAGCCGCAGCTGAATACATAGGATGTACCTTGCCTCGGATATCCACCTGTAGGCTATACTATGTAGCAAACAGTTGACAGCAATCCTCATCCCCCGCTGATGCTGATCCTTTCGGGTTCTTTATGTATATGTACATGCATAGGTTAATGCGGACAATGCCAGATTGAAAGTAAAGACAACGCGACCAGGTTCTTATTTTTTTTTAATGATATGCATGAACATAACTTATTCTTCCATTCTATGTAGTTACATATGGAGACGGAATAAACAACTAAACTGGATCAAGTAGTACCAAGAACGATAGACAAATTTGACACAAACATGTTACCGTCCTACTTGGATTCTCGAAAGGCACAGGAACAATGGAAATTCTATACAAGATCCATTTTCTACAGTTGGCAGGACGGGACGAAACACGACTGTATCTGATGTGTCATGTGGATCTGAGCCTTCACCGTTCGGCTCTGGCGACTAATAGACCAATATTAGGCAAGATTGGAAAAAGTGCCCGAAAAGAGCTATAGAGGGTGGCCGATACGTGAGTGACCGGGACCTCGTGGACAATGGACAGTGGGTAGTTGTCAACTGACAAGACCCAGCAAGAAAGAGACGAACAAGTAAACAGAGACAGATAATCATACACTATGGAAGTAACTCATATTAATAGAATAGAATAGAAGACATGTCGATTTACGACTTGTAAGTCGTCTTGATGATAATAACAATAGCAATAATAATCATCATCAATATTTGAATATATGAGGATAAAAGAATTTGGAGAAGAATGAAAATACGAATAAGAAAAAATGGGACCTCAAGTCCACCACCAGCCACAGGACCACCGCCTGGAGCATTTCGAAGCTTCAGCCACATATGGCACAGAGCTCGTCACTCCATCCGGCAAAGTGGATCAAGTTCTTTCGTCAGCCTCTCAGCCTGTTGCTTGCCTTGCCTCATTACCAAACCGATAAATCCACCACCACCTTCACCAAGTTCTCAGGACCAAGCGATAGCAACAACAACACCACCATTTGCCATCCGTCGTATCGAATTTGCATCATCATCTGAATATCCTCCGGAACTACCAATTGGGAGATCCGAGCTTGCGAGAGCTCCGCAGTCGTATTCGCATTATTTATCTTCGCCAGCGACGCCCCCGAAGCTACTAGTACTACAGCAGCCCAACGGTGGTACCCCCAGCGAAGCCGTCACCCCCGTAGCTCTCTCATCCCTGCCGTCCACAGCACCATCCTCACCAGTCCTTCCGCCCTCGTCCTTATCGCCCCCGCCGCAACGCTTTAACATGGCCGAACGAACGCTCCAGCAGATCCTCAACCAGCTGCGCTCGAATCCCGGGCTGCCCTACGCCGAAGCTTCGTCCCTCCTCTCCAAAGCCAAGATCCAACTGCTGCAGCTCAAGGCCGCCACGCCCGGCGCCCCCGGGTCGACCGGTGGTGCAGCATCTCCGCAACACTTAGCCCTAGCCCGCGACGTCTACGAGCAGGGCGCCCTCTTCAGCATCCGCGCGCGGAACCCCGACGCCTTCACCCGGTACGTATCGCAGCTGCAACCCTTCTATGAGCTGCCGGGTACCGCTACGGGCGGCGAGCGCAACAAGGTGACCGGTCTATACCTGCTATTGCTGCTGACGCAGGGCCGCTATGCCGAGTTCCACTCCGAGCTCGAGACTCTGGGTACTCGGGCCAAGGAGAGTGGTGCCGGCGAGATCGAAGGTGACCGCTTCCTAGGGTACTCCATCAACCTAGAGCGATGGCTCATGGAGGGGAGCTACGACCGTGTGTGGAAGGCTTTGAAAAGCCGGGAGGTTCCGAGTGAGGAGTATGGTGTTTTCTCTGAGGTGAGTTTATATTTTCTACCACATATATATATATATACTCTATTTCTCCATCCCATCCCTCCCTTTTATCCCCCATCCAGACAAAAGCCATATAACACACAAACTAACCCCCAGCACCTAGATCCTAACATCCCAAATCCGCTCCGAAATCGCCTCGAGCAGCGAGCGCGCATACCCCTCGCTCCCGCTAAGCAGCACCAAGTCCCTCCTATTCCTCGACTCCGAAGGCGCCGTCGTCGACTTCGCGCGCCACCGCGGCTGGGTCGTGCGCGACGGCAACATCTACTTCCCCACGTCGGCCGCCACCGTCGACGGCGAGCCCATCAACGTCGCCTCCTCCTCCGACGCCGACGCCGGCGAGGAACAGGAGTTCAGCCGCATGGTCATCGAGAACGCCCTCGGCTACGCCCGCGAACTCGAGACCATCGTCTAAGCTGTGCCTACCTAGTTACCTAAATCAAAGCTTAAAAGCCCAAGATAGAGCTAGTAGTGAAAGGTGAACCTACCTTACCTACCCCTTATGAGCTGAGTTGTGGGCCATAATGAGATCTGGCCCCCTGGAAAAAAAGAAAAAAGAAAAAGAAAAAGAACGTCGAGATCCTAGTGCTGTGTGAAGGGCTCGACTAGCTAGCTAGCTATGCGAGGGGGGGTGAGAATTCCGATACACTTAATAATATCCGTCGTAAGAGATGAGCGTGAGATAGGTAGAGACGCTAGGTGAACCGTTTATGGAATAGGTCACGGAGGTTCCTGGGCCTCTGTATGGATAAACGTGCTAAAGATTAAGCGTCAATACATACATACATAGCTAGTAGTATGAACGTATGCATTAATGCGAGGCTTCGTCGGGAATTAAGCGCAACTTGATTTTAATCGTATGAGCAAGACTACCTAAGGTACCTGTTATTACGATAATCGTCGTAGCATAGAATCGAGAAGCATCAATCATCCCTCTACCTAAGTATACACAACGCAGTAACCACTATTATTTACGCCCATTGGACCGACGATTGAGTGAATAAGTAAGTAGGTTTCATTTGATTCAGGCAACACCTCGTTCCAGCTTTCTACATAAATATATGAATCATGTTAGCCCCTGGCCCCAGTCCCAGCGACAATGTCTTTTTTTTCTCCTCCGGCCACGTCCACAGAGTACGACTCATAAGATTCATCATTACCTACTCCATACCTAGCTGGGCTAAACTATCAGACACCCCCTTTTATCTAAGCGAATAACTTAAGGCCACTACCGTGCTTTCCCACCTCGCACACCTCGCAGACTGCGCAGACGGTACCCTTATACTTGGTATGGTACTTGGATCCGTCGAACGCACACTCCTCGTACGGAGTACCGCTGTAGATGGGCGTGTGGCTGGCAGCACAGATCTCGAACTCGGCGAACTGGTCGTATTCGATCTCTACCGCGTCATGCGGGTTGCGCTCGCACTGTGCTTTTATCCTTCGTGCCTGTAAATCGATTTAGTTAGGTCACATACAATATAGGAATAACGAAAATACTTACGGTCTCGAGAATCCTTTGAGCACCACCATTGGCCAGGATGCGGTTTGCGAAGCTCAAGGCGGAGCTGAAGTTCTTGCTCCTAGACGCTAGGTTCATAGCATTGAGAAGAGCAAGTTGTCGGTGGGGGACCTCGATCTTGGGAATTGTAAAGTATGCGGACAGCTCAAGGCTTCGCTTGAGAAGCATAGGGTCGCCATTAAGAGCGTCCGGAGGGCCTAGCTTTCTTCGTGAGAGTTCGATCGACATGGCGACGGTGTATTCGCTTGCTGAAGTGATGAGCTTCTTAGCTTCTGCTACCTCACTTTCGCTCGCAACCGCATTTGCAAGCATGGCGTGTAGGATACCCTTGAAAATCTGAACACCTTCTTCAAGTTTGTTCGTCTTCATCGCATCATACCCCTTATGTAGATCGGTAGTGGCGAGATGCTCGATATCTCGAGGGATGATAGGCAGAACTTTCCTAGGATCCGTTTCTTCCAAAGTCCGGCGAACATAATTGACTAGAGGGGGTAGTCCAGGAGACGCGGGAAGGAAGGTCCTCGACGCGGAATAAATCTCCAAGAAACGTGGCTTGAGCGGAGCAAAGTTGACAGCACCAACTTGCCTGTTAAGAAGGTTCATAGCAGACTCGAAGGAGCCTGCAGCGATGTGATCCGCAGCTAGTGGAGAATTACGAGCCCACAGGTCGGCCTCGCTACTTCCAGCTCCTCCAGCGTCTGTACTCTCAACGTTAACGAAGTCGCTGTCAGCTTCGGGAACGATGTCCTCGCCCATGTCCCATCCGGCCGCATCCTCGTCGTCTTCAGCTTCTAAACCGCCATTTCGCTTAGCAGCAACATCTTCATCAACAGCCTCATCTAGAAGTCCATTGCCGGCTGCCGAAGGCTCCTCCTCGAGAGTTATGCCTTCAAGTTGACTAGCAAGAGCCTTCTCAAAGAAGGATTGCGAGGTCGCCTTTGTGGGCCAGTTGGCCTTGTACGTCGGGACAACCGGCTTCGGAGGAGTGAGGTTCTCGCCAAAGGTAGGCAGCGTTAATTGCTCTTCAGTAATACCAGCTGCCTCTAGGATCGATTGGCACTCTTCCTCGAGGCCATGCGCTTTGGCTGTCATATACGCCAGAGGGTCTGCAGGTATATTAGTTTCCCCACGTCAAGAATAATTGGGGGGCGCAACTCACATAAGTCGATCTCTTTGAACATCTGTATCCTGTCCTCGACTTCACCTAGGTATAACGCGTTTTGGAATCTCGCGGTAAAGTCGCCCCGATGCTCGGCAATCTTAGCCATCCTTGCCAGTTTCGAATGGTCACCAGTTGCGAGATATAGGAAAGAAAGCTTGTCGAACTGCTTGAGCTTCTGGTAAGCCATCTCCACGACTTGGTGGTTTCCATGCGCCAAAGCCTCAGCGCCTAACCTCGTCCAAAGCTTAGGTCGGTCCAGTTCCTTGGCCATCTCTACAGCCACGTCAAGGTTGCCACATTCAATGGCAAGTTCGAAACGAGTAGTTGGGTCCTGCACGAATTGCAAAGCGATCTCGGGGTATCCTTTCTTCTGGAGGTATGAAATAATAGATTGGCCGACCAAGCTAGAAGTGCGTATAATGTGAAGCATCTCCTCATAGTTGCGCTTTACTAGCGACAGCTTGAAGCGATACTCGGTCGGGTCGATGTGAAGGATCTTAGGTCTAGCGGCGCGGTCGAGGCAGTAAACATTTCGGCCCTTGACTCTCACGAGGTAGACTGTCTGGTCGAGGGTCCTGACGATACCGTTGTCGCCGTTCATAAGAGTGTACTTGACGTGGTTCAGGGTAGAATATAGTAGGACTCCCGCATCATCCCAAGTTGCGCTCTTGATCCTGATGGTCTCGTGTAAAGTGCTAACCTGTTCGAGGGTCTTCGTCACAATAGTGACATTATGTTTGCTCAAAAGTGCCGCGTGAAGACCGTCGTTCGACCAGACAACATACTTGACACCGCTCACTGACAACTCAGCAATACTCTTCTTCTGCTGAATGTCGTACAGGTGCACCGCGGTAGGAGTAATTATGAGCAGGTTTCCAGTACCGCCAAAGTAGATATCGGTAGTTCCAGGAGGGGGTTTGATGGTTCTCGCCGTATTATTAGAAAGATCTTTAATGTCGATGTTCTGCGTGGACGTGTCGAGTACGGCAAATCGGTTTCGAGCTACAAAAATAGCCGAGTTACCTGATCCGCTCTTGGAGTCGGTCGCTTCCAACGCACCAGAGCCGTCTCGAGGGAGGTTAATTAGTTCATATTTGCCACCCTCGGCAGGGGATGTTATGAGAACAGAACGCTCAGCCGGGTTGTAAGATAGCGTGCGAGGAGGAACCCAAGCGCTACCGAGTCGCTTCAAGGACAACAGCGTTGGACTCTCGACGTTCTTTTGGAAGTCGTAAGAGCGGACGTGCTTCTCTTTTGTGACGAAAAAGAGCGAGTTCTGGTGAACAGTCGACGCCGGACGCTCGCGTTCGAGTTTGAACACCATCACACCATTATCGTGACCAGCAGCAAACAGGTTGATCTCAGGGTGCGCCGCGATGACCCAGAATCGGTCGTTTTCTCGTTTGAAGGATTGGACGGCGGTGCGCTTCTGCGAATCCCATACTCGAATCGTCTTATCCTCACCACAAGATAGAATTAAATCCTGATGAGGGTGGAACAAGCAGCCGGAAGCATTCTGGAAATGTCCACGACAGGTATCTACTTCCCAGGCCTTCGTCTCGCTAAATCGCCACAGCTTTATAAGACGGTCGTCGCCAGCGGAGACGATATGCGGCGCCGTGGGATGAAAAGCGACCCAATTTACACCTCGGTCGTGACCCTCAAGTACGAACTTCACCATCGCGTCGGTGTTGCCGAACATATCAGTCTGCTGAGCGTTCGATCGAGCGACTTGGTCCTCGAAGGACATAGACGTCGGGGCGGAGTGCTTCTTTCGTAGGCCAGATATATCCCAGACGCGAACGGACTGATCGAGAGACGCGGATACTACGAGGTCGTCTTTCGGGTGGAACTGAGCGCACATGACATAGTGATTGTGACCGGTCATCGTGCAAACTAGACGAACTGTTAGCACATATTTCCAAAGCTCGGTTTCCTTTGGAACCCATACTTAATGACCGATTTTGCCAGTTCCATATTCGGATCGTCTGGTCGTCGGATGCTGATATGATCCACGGGAGCTCGTGGTGGAAGAAGACGGTTCGTACATAGTCTAAATGCCCATTCAGAGTAAACAGACATCTTCTCGTCTGGTAAGACCAGACTTTGATCTTGTAGTCGTCGCCACCGGAAACGAAGAGAGGTTGCGTCTTGTGGAAATCGACGCCTCGGACGGGACCATCGTGCTCTTCGAAACGATCAATGAGAGTCCCCATGCGGTAATCCCACAGCTGTATGGTCGACGAATGTAGCGATACGAGGATCCATGGTCTAATTGCTCTCGGGTTAGCAACGAATAGCGGTGACGATAGTCAAAGATATCGCGAAGGGAGGGGGATGGCTCGAACCTCTTTGGGTGAAAGGCAATACCTTTCGCTCTCGAGGACTTGGACTCGAACTATAACGGGATGCGTCAGTATATGCTTGAAGGATATGCGACCAGCTCGAAAAGGTGTCAATGGAGGACGTACTTTTGTTAGCATTCCCGAAGAGGCCTGCATTGTGAGGACAGTAGAGGCAGCAGGAAGCCCCTAAGCTTGTGTCATGAATGGGCAGAAGGGATGCGCCCAGTTAAGATGGCGGCTTTAAGAGACGGTCGAAAGAGAATAGAGAATTATGTAGCGGTAATGGGTGGTGGGTGGAGAGCTGTAAGGCTCCGAAAGTTGATCTCTTAACGCCAGCTCTGGGGATAGTTTAGAGACAATTCGTGAAGTACAAGTTATGTACAAGTTAATTCGTGGCCCCAAAAGTGACGGTGGATTAAGATGGATCCATGACCAGAGGCTCTAAACGTTGCAGTGCTTCTGGGCGCTGAGTGGCTAGGTAACGGGAATGTGGCTTTGGTAATCGGAAAGTAGATGTTCCGGTACAGCGGTACCAGCGATAAGGTAATTCAATCCGACTACGGATTACGTAATGTTACTGTTTGACAAAAAGTAAGTCTTATTAACTAGTTAAAGTAAATAACATAACTACCCTTTTCCAACCATACTTTCTCGATGAAAACAACAGATAAAAATAATAATGAATGTCTTATATGATCAGAATGAGCCATCTTTTTTGACGCGATTCTACATGGTCATCTGGAATTGGCATCACTTTAAAGAAAGGCACCCCAGCGAAGGAAACTGTGACTTATAATAACCACTTCAAACTTAATAGAGGCAAATATCAAAAAGAAAAAGAAACTCATGATTAAAATTTAACACGACTCGCAACTCTTATTGTTAAGACAGGCCACGAGGCGGTTTTAAAAGTAAGGCAGCAGCCACGTCTTCAAGTGTACATAGGGAGGCGGCTAACCCATCACGGATACACGCGAGTAAATGTGCCTATTTCTATGTACACCCGCAAGTTGTCTTTTTCCCTGACAACAGTTTAAAATATCATCATCATTCAAAAAGTACCATTACTATACGCCTACTTTATAATAATAATAATACTTAAAATTCGTCGTAATTTCCTCTTCTCGTTACAATATCGCATACTAGAGGTTACCCTCCGGGCAACACAAAAGCCTAAGGTTTACACCGCACCATGTTTCTGTACTATTTTTATTATTATTATTATTATTATATTAGCAACTACCCCCTATTAAACTGGAGGGCACCCCTACAATAGCCAGAATTTACTGCTATTACACGGCTGGACAATACTCCTCTCAGTACCCTCGAGACCTAAGTAATAAAGAAGCCTTAAACATATACATATGCAGACTTATTCCTTTCATACTCACTGCTTTCTATAAGGCAGGAAATTTTATCTGTAAGGTAGCAAGGCATGTGTCCGAAATAGGAAATATTTACTCGCATTCAACACAACATCCTAAGGTAAACCTTAGGCATTGGAATCCCGCCCACACCTTTCTACGTCGTTCTAACCCGGGATTGGGGTTCCTCTACCTATCAACTTAGTTCAAAGACCTAACCTAAGTCAAATCGGTTTAAACCCCATTGATAAAGATGTCGGTGAGTATAATTACGATGTGATACCTAAGTAGTTTGGGAATGAGATCTGTTGCGGGTTGTAAAGATTTGTTTATGAAATACAATATTACCTCGGAACTAGAGGCTTTTTCTTTCTTCCTTTCTCTTGAGTATAGTCTCGTCAAGATGCCACAAGATACAAACGCCATCCGCGGCGTAACGAAGTGTATGAGCGAAACAAGGCTGTAGCGTATGATAACGTAGTAACATGACACGTCAGCAATAGGCAATATCCAGCAAAACATTATAATTACACGCTAGTTCTATTTGACATTCTACTAATTCATACCCTCGGGAGCAAGAGTGACGAAGCGCGGAGACTTTCAAGTCAACTGTCACGGCATCGAAGCTCAACTTATTATAACTCTCCCGTAGACAAGTCTATTCCTCCTCCTCCTCCTCCTTCAACTCCGCCAGGGGTATCCCTTGCGCCTTAAGGAACTCCACCGCATCATCCACCCCCTTCGGGGCATTGATCCAGTGGCCCCCGTCTTCATACTCGTGCCACTCGACGTTCATCCCGAAACTCTTAAGTCCAGTCCTCAACTGCCGGCCGTACTCGACAAACACAAGCGAGTCGTCGGCGCAGTGGCCCAGGAACGCAGGCGTATTCCGCACCACGGTATCCGTCTTGGGCCACCCGTCCTCCATCCCCAGCACCTCGCGGGTTTCCTCCAGCGACCCGCCCGGAAACGGCAGCCAGCACGAGAACCCCATGATGCCGCAGAGCCGGGACTCCGACTTGGGCACCTCGTCCTCCCCTTTCTCCTGCAGCGCCATAAGCTCGCCGTCGGCACTCTCGGCGCCCCCGCCGTCGTCGAGGTGTAGCAAGGTGTGGAACACCGTGGCGCCGCCTTGGCTGACGCCGGCCAGCACGACGTGGTCCATGCCGCCGACGGTGCGGGCCTCGCGCCGCACGATCCGTCGGATGCTCGCGACGCTACCGCGTAAGCCGAAGACTTGCATCTCTTCGGCGTCGGTCAGGTCCAGCATGTTGGAAACGTCGAACCACTGCGGACAGACCTCGCCGAGGGTTTCGGCGAGACGGGGCTCGGCTTCCTGGGGGGCGTCAGCGGTGGGTTGATGGATGGATGCATGGATGCGTGGATGGAAAGAGTGATTAAATGAGTGTGAAGAGGGAAATATGGGTGGCGTGTATGTATTAAGTATATATCAGGAAGCGACGGTGACTTCATCAAATACTTAATCAAAGCAGGAGCGGAAGCGGGAGCGGGTACGGATACGGGTACGGGTACTAGTTGACCTGAGACAATCCGGGGAAGGTTCTCGGGATATATACGTCATTAAACCCCGAGCGAGCAGATATAATATAAAAATAGCAGAACATACCGGAAAGACCCAGCGCACCGACGGAAACTCATCTACAAGCGAGCGGCCGCGCGAATCCCTCGTCCACCGCGACAGCAAGGCATCGGCCATATTCCGCGACGTGTCGCCGCGGCCGTGCAAGAATATCACGGTGTGGGTGTGCTTATGCGGGGCCAGCGGCGAGATCACCGAGCACCCGAGCTCCATTCTTAGGTAGATACGGTACGTATGTATGTAGGTACGTGTAAGTAGGTACGTATGTATGGAAAGGTGAGAAATGACGGTAAAGGGTACCTATAAACGAGCGGTAACGATAAAAAAGGTAGGTACCTGACCCTTAAATTTTTATATACACCAGATTTATACACCAGGTATGCAAGGTATTAATGAACTAACGGCGACGCGCGAAAACAATAGACGAATGCTGTGCTGCTGCAGATGTAAGTGAGAAAAGCTGGCATGTCTTGAACTTGGTGCGTAAGGTACCTAACATATGCTGGGGAATGGATATATGGATGGATACCTAGACCTATGAATATGAATATGGGGGCGAGTGGATGGATGATAGTTAGTGGACGGTTAGGACAATGGGGACACGAAAGGCACCGGGGTAATAAGGATTTAGTGGAAGTACTTAGTGAATCGAATCCACTACCGTCCAGTGGATATTTTTAACTCGACGTCTTGGTGTGACAAGCTGGATGGCCACGAAGAAGCGGTTACGTATACGTGATGTTATATTATTTTGGTGAAGCACAAAGTCGAATAAATCTGCTGACGATATTCAACATGATTCGTTGAGAATATGACTAGTCATCTTCGAAATGGTCATCTTCTGATATAAGCAGCCTAGGGGGGTTGGAAGTTGAGGGAATTCGCCTCATGTTAAGATAACATGATGGTAGGTATTACATAGAATGGAGGGTTTATAATTTAATCCAATTTATAACGTGCGGCGGTTAATCAAACTTTGGGGTTTTGTCAAAAGACTCAATCAAGTCTAGATATCTATCTATAGGTACCTAACGCAAATATATAAAATTTTATAATTCATCCTTCGTCCTTGTCTTTACATCAGGCTTCTCCTCGAGCGTCCTGCTCTTGGTGTTCTTTTCCTCACTACCAATAGTAAGCGCCTTCTGGGTGTCGCCATCCGTGACTAATCCTCTCCTCCGTCGATCTACGGCGGCGATCTCGTCATCGTACACGGTCCATTCCGGAACTTGCCTCCTAGCTCGGTCGAGTTTCGGCTCTTTGGTCTGCGGATTGTTACATAGATCGATAGTTCGCGCTTCTTTCTGACTCTCGTCGCTGCACCACGTCTCGCACCATAACCACTCCTGCGGTAGGCTGTGGATTGGGATCACGAACTGCATGTGGTTTGGCAGGTCCTGATCGAGGTTGGAGAGGGAGCCCGGATCGGCCGATAGCTGATGGTAATGCTGCCTGAGCCTATCGCCCGCGGCTAGCTGCCTAAAGCGGCGAAGGTCGACCACGTAGAGCGCTGAGATGTGGTAGGGGTTCCCGCGGAGGTAATTCTTCCAGTAGCCTTGCTTCCAGAAGCGGAAACCCTCCATCTCGGTCCGAGAATCGCACATTGGCGTAAAGCCGTAGGGCGCGCCCTGCAGGTCAAGATTGACAAGGTCCATCATGTCCGTCCTGACGATCTGATCTGCGTCGACGAATATCACCTTGTCGAGAGACAGGGGGAAGAGGACGTCCAGGAATAGGATCTTGTAGCCCCAGATTTCGCGCTGTTTCTCTTTCTGTTGGCGGAGCCAGTGCGGCCACTTGTACGTAACCATCTCATACTTGAAGCCGTACTCTTTAGCTAAGTGGGGTATGAATTCTTTGAAGGACGGAGACAGGAACTGCTCAATAAACCAGAACTTGACCGTGTGGTTTGTGTTCTTCATGACGGAGACCATCATGATGTTGAGCATGCGCTCGTAGAGATGACCGCTCGCCACGGAGAAAATGTTGATCTCGGCGTGTTCTTCGTTTGAGACCGACTTGGGCTTGGGCTTTGTCCCGAGGATTCCTTCGGCAAACTTGAGACCGCGAGAGAGGAGATCGTCGCCGCCGTCCGAAGTGCTTTCTTCGAGGACGTCTTCTAACTCCATACCCGGCTTCCTTTCCAGCCGCGGGTACAGAGTCGTGCCCTGGAAGTCCATGAGAGCAACTTCGGTACCTTCGTCACCAGGGACCGGGTTATATCCCTTTGCGCCCACGCTCACGATGTTAAAGATTTCTGAACTTCTTCCTTCCTTGAGATGGATATTATAATATCCGGGGTTGGATTTGAATTGGAAGTAGCCAATGTTGGCCATGATGATCGTGTCGTCGAAATGGGGATCAAGCTCGGTACCAAGTAATAGCTGAACACCACGGGGTGGACCACCTGATACCTCCCGTGAGTGGCCTTCGATAAGTATGTGCTCGAGTTCGTAGATGGCTTCTACGTCGGTTTTAATGGAGCTCAACTTCACATTATCCAAATCATGAACAGAAACCTTCGCTGCTACTAGCCAAGCAGGCGGCACATCCATACCAAGGTTTAGAAGAGCTTCTGAAGGAAGTCCCCTGAATGTGGCACCCAGAGCGCTGACCTTTCCATCCTCGTCGAAAGATGGTGCCGAGTCTAAGACGTAGCGGTAAAACCTCTTGACGGGCAGCTCTTCAATCTTTTCTTTCGGATTTAAGAAGATACGCATGTAAACACCATCCAGTTGGGATAAAACCTTGAGTATAGGAGCCCACTTCTGTCCTATCTCGCTGGCAGGGTTGATCACGGCAACGAAGTGGATATCAGCTGTGGACGCATCACCGACGTCAATCATCGTATGGGTGGAGTTCCATGCATCGAATAGAGCCGTCCTTAGGGTCGGGGCAGATTCGAAAATCCCCTCGGGAAGGTCTGATATAGTGGATAGAGCAGTTACCGACGTAAGCTTCGCGGCAGTTAGAGGATGGGTAATCTTGTCCGCTAAACCTAACGCGTCAACTGCCTTATATACCGGAAGTATTCTCGTTTCCTGCTCAAATTCAAGGAGTAGCTCGAAGTCATTCTCCCCGAATCCTGCGTCGTCAAGAAATGGACCGATCACACGACCGTTCAGGATGAGAAACTGTGCACCTGGGGTAACGGCTGCGGCTGTTAGGAAACGTGATAACGCTGCGTTATATCCGTCATCCTGCACGTCAGCTGGGCCTGACAAGAGGACTTCTAGCGTCTCCAAATTTTCAACTTCCAAGAGTTTGGCAACATCCTTCTTAAGCAGCGCGTTGATCTCATGCGCGCTGCTCGATTTCTGAGCATTGTTGACAATATCAAGACGCACTCCAGGGTTGTTACGTCGGAACGACAAAGCAGATAAGAGAAGACGGAGACCTTGCTGCGAGCTCAGATCGGCAACAACCGTCAGAACAGCCCAGGTCTCCTTGCTCGTATCCTCACCCGCTTCGATAACTGGGACCCGTTCGAACAGATCGTTGTGTTCGGAGTAGAGCTTATTTACGTTTAATACGATGAGAGCATTCTCGCTCTCGGGATAAATATAGAGGTTGCGTCGAGTTGCTGCACCTTCTAGGAAGAGCTGCGGAATCCATGTCTCATCGTCGATTGTGCCCATGAAGATTCCCTGTTGAACTAGTTGTAGGTCGGTGCCCATCCTCATGCTCATGACTTGAAGCCAATTGTCTTCCCGTGGTATGGCCAAACCGTTGAGAAACAGCGGAGGTACTTCGGTATTGGCGTTGAGCCGCTCTACCCAACGATTCACAAGCTTGATTTGTTTGGCGTGATCTTCTGATTCGAGAATATCCTTGAGCGAAAGAGGTGCCACTTCGTCCTTCGGATTGCGATTTTTAATTGCCTTGTCAAAGCATGCCTGTTCAGAGAGGTCCCCCGTACTACAAGCCTCTAGATAAGACATGAGGCTGGATAGCCCGTAGTTCTCTAACAGATGATAGGCTACCTTTGCTCGCTCTTCGGCTGGTTTGGTTGGTGTTAACGGTACTAGTCCGAAGCGGACGGGGAGTAGCCTTTTTATGAAAGTCTGAAGTTTCTCAACAACTAAGGACAGATCTTCTGGCTTGGTCAAGTCAACCGGGACGACGAGATTGAATATATCCTTACGGATCGGAGGAATCTGCCCAGGGTAAGTCCTTTGCATAAGCTAGAAATAGTTAGCTGGTTGTAGGACGAAGTACCTCTCAATTTGTTAGTACTTACAGCCATAAGACTCGTGGGATACTCGGCATATCGTTTGTCCTTTTCGATGTTGTTCAGCCAGATAATGACGCGGCCTTCTTCAATTTCGTCCCGCCAGTCAAACCTACGAGGCTCGCCGTCCGACTTGGCCGACGTTACTTCGCGATGGCCAAGTAGAGACACGGCCTCTTTTCCGCTTAAACCCAAACTTGTCACGCCCTCGATAAATTTTCGTTCCCGTCGAATGCTGTCGACGAGGGTGAACGGGTCGATTTGTCGTTCGATCAGCTGAACGCCGTTCATCCAGAGGACATTCATCCCGGCAGGTACGCTTAGGGCTCGATTCTGACGGTGCTCCTTAACGAAAGCATCTGAAGCGTTATGTGCGGCGACCGACGTAGAGAACTTCGGGAAGTCTTGGGTTAACTTGATCAATGTTTGAAAAGGGTCATCGCTTTGCATAATAAAAGAACCGGCTCTGAGACCTAATGATGCCAATTCAGAACTTGACAGAGGCTTCAGGTCTGTTACCTCCTCTTCCCCGTCGAGTACGACTTCGGTAGGTGCAGACTTGGCGGCCGAACTCGTCTCAGATTCGGCTTCGCGGTCGTCAATGACGATATAGTCTGTTCGCTTCAGCTGAAGCTCTACACCGTACCCGCTGACCGGCAGCGGTTCTCGTTCCTCGGTTTGATCAACGCGGTATCTTAGCCGATACGAAACCTCCCCTCTTCGGGCCATGTCGGATAGTGATTTGTGGAAGGGCCCAAACTCAGGTTTGGTGATATCCGCGTATAGTATCACTTCGGAACCGGCTCCTAAAGCGCGATCGAATGGAAGCGACCGTGTTTGCCTATATTCATGTAAGATATAGTCGAGTGGTTTTAAGATATGGTACATACGAGTCCCCTACGATGTGACCGTCGGCATGCGCAAGCGAAGCTGAGCAGTACTGCTTTCCGCTCATGAGCACCCACTCAGCGCAGTCCGTCCTGGCTTTTCCTAGGGAGGGCGCTACGGCCGTATCGTAGTATTGATAATGAGCCTCTATCCTCGGAGCTGCTGATCTCATGGAGAGGGCAAGCTTGAAAGTAGACAAGGCCTCTGAACTTTTCATGTGGCCATCTTGTTTTAAAACTTGGAGGAACTTCTCGTATAGTTCCTTGTCTGTCTTCGAATCCGCAAATGTGCCATCGGCGATTCGATCGAGGAGTGGGAAGTAAGACGTTGCGTTCTCTCCGGCGGCGGTCTCTCTAGGCTACGTTTAGCATTTGCATATTGTAGATGGACTCTGTCACGAATGCAACCTACAGGAGCTCGACGAGATAGGGAGGAGCTGGGAATGCAGCTTTCATAGCAACATTAACGGAGGGCCCAGCTACGACATGACCCGAGTTCAAGCAGAGAGTTGCCAGAAGAGTGGCGGCAAGGCCGCATGGCAACTGAAAAATCCGTGGTATCATGATGCCTTAGAGTCGTAAAGAGTAGCTAATATATTGAGCTAGAGGAACAAGAGACGAAATAGCTCTGTCGCAAGCTCCGGCATGCGGCAGAGCTTGGAGCTAACAAGTCTACAGAACCATATATTGCGGACCAAATCAAGAACCTGATTTCGAAGTCATTGGGACGGAGTTTAAGTCTTGGTGTAACTAAAGGCAAAGTGGCTTTTTGTAGGTCTGGACTTTTTTTGGGATGAGGTACGTAAAGCTGCCCGTGTAAGTGATAGGTAGTCAGTGATAAGATAGAGTTTGGAGACGCCGCTGCAATTGAACACCTAAACGTTAGGTACTTCGGTACCTACCTGATAATTAATTGGAACTCGACCAATGGGAATAGCTAAAGGAATTAAAGCTGTCAGGGGTTCAGTTATGGGCCCGACAGCTGGAGTGAGCTGCCCCTCCAAGTGGTACATGTACAATATGCTATTCATATACTAGGCCTGAACCTAAGTACTCAGTACTTTTGGGACCCATCAGGGATGATGATTCTTCCGTACCGACACAACCATAACAGCTGGCCCATGGAAATTGAAATCTACCTATCATCACGAGGTGGAGCTAAATAGCGTAGAAACAACTTGGTTGTTCCGCGAGGAACTCTAACTTAAGTTTATATATACTTATACACTCACGTAGAAATACAATCAGTCATATAAGGTGTAACTACGGGATTTAAGTGTATAACAGTGTTGATTGAGGAACTAGAAACGAATTCTGCTACCTATAGTATAGAGATCGCTTAATATAGGTATAGTAGCTCAACTGATTATATGATACAGTGAGTAACACACTAAGGCAGGTATAACCCATATTAACAAGCCTTGTTATACTAGTAAAGGCCACTTAAATATCAACATCCTAAGGAAAGTACTTCGTATGGGCTATTCTATAGAGTGATGCTACTTACAGATTACCTTGCCAGTCCTTCCAGACAGATTACTTTTCAGAACAAGTGCATGCACCTGCCCACCAAAATTACTAGTAAAATGACATGGCCACTTTCTGCCCTATTAATCTCACGAGACTTTACGAAAAGTCAAGATTACTAGATATTTTTTAACAGATATAAGTATTTTTTATATACTTTTAGCATCGTCTAATTGAGCTGAATTGATTAATACTAATCATTCTACGATACGACCGTGTTTTCAAAAGTTATTAAAAAAGTAATTTCTGAATAGTGGCATGTAATATGTGTATAAGGCTAAGTAATCTGAAAATAGGAATATGTATATGGTATTTCCCAGCCAATACAACGTATTCGCCAGTCAACACTTATACCAATATAGTCGTTAAGATGAGAGGGATCTAATAGTACTAATATTATATAAATGCGATACGTTTTAAAAATGGTATGTATTATCGAGTGGTGAGCCTTATACAGGTATGTATGTAAAAGGCTTTAGAGCCTCATATTACGTAAGAGGCCTTGAATACTAGTAGAGGCCCCGAATTAGGGACCTGGCAGCGCCTGGCATGCTGGGTGTTCTGAGAAAGTTATGGGGCAGAAAGTGGCCATGTCATTTTACTAGTAATTTTGGTGGGCAGGTGCATGCACTTGTTCTGAAAAGTAATCTGTCTGGAAGGACTGGCAAGGTAATCTGTAAGTAGCATCACTCTATATAATAAGGCTTGTTAGTATAGCTATTGTACCCGCTCTAGTACTTTGATTTCAATTAGGTCTAGTCAATATTATAGCCCTTACTTGCCTGATGAAAATCAATAGTAGACAGGCCTCATCAGTATAATAAATATAGTCAGTATTATAGCCCTGCTAGTAGCAAGATTAGAAGCGACGGCTAGGTAGCTATAGAATGAGACTAAAAGTAATAACAAGTAATAAGGAAGTAGTAGTGAGGTTAGAAGCAGCGAACAAGGCAGCTGCAAGTTAAGGCTAAAAAGCGACTACAAGGTGGCTATAGGAGCGTACCTATACTCTATTAGGTACGTATAGCTAGCGAGGAAAGAACTAATAGCGAAATAACGACGAGGTAGGTATAAGATGAGGTTAGAAGTGATGACGAGGCAATATAAGAGGACAACAACGAGGTGGGTAGTACCTGTGAGGCCAGAAGCGACGGTAGGGCAATTACTCTATATGATGTCCATCAAGGGTACAATAACTGACGATATGCATGTTGCATCTATTCAAGCAACTGGCTCCCTTAACGGCGGGCCGCACCGATGATCCCCGGTTCTCATTTTAAGTCTACCTACTTAGGTATTCCTATGTCATGGAAACTAGGCTCATTGGGCTGGGGTGTTAAGGATGGATACAATGTTATGAAAACGTACTCCTGAAGAGATGACATCGCATAAAAATACCTACGTTCTATAAGGTTTAGTATTAAAAACGATAACACGGAAATATAACAGTTAATTTGAATATAGGAGAATAGATAGGTATAGGTTAGAGATTCAAGGATAGTTATAGGAAATATGGCATTGCAGAATATAAGATCATATACAATGACACTGGGAACTTACGTAGTATCTTAGAACTTTATAAAAGAAAATTGGGACGATATAATGACTTGAAATTCTTTCATAAAAGTTCGTTTTGTACAAACTATAAAAAATTCTAGAACCGGCTGGAGAAACATCATGACGGGGTAGAAATATAATTGTCCCATAAAACATGACATCCGTAAAACCAACCCAAGTTCCTATACACCCCGAGTGCTGTAATTTTAGCATGCCTCCCCACAATGCGCCCGCATGCATCTCTCCTATATTATTGATTTGATTTTCCGCATCATCCCTTAGAGCTTTCATTTCGCATTCTTAGCCATCGTGTTCAGCGCGCTTCCATTCTTAAACCATTCGATCTGCGCCTCATTAAAAGTGTGGGAAAGCTTCACATCAAAGGGGTTACCGTCCTTAGGATGTACTCGCATCGTCACGGGCTTTCCAACAGCTAGCTCAGTGCAGAGAATATCAACCTGGATAACACGTATAAATTAGTGAACCAAACACGGCAAATAGACATATAGTTCATGTATAAACGCTCCCAACTTACCTTATCATCAGGCTTGATCTTGTCGTAGTCGGCAGGATCCGCGAATGTGAGAGGAAGCATACCCTGCTTCTTCAAGTTGGTCTCGTGAATACGGGCAAAACTTCGGGTGACGATGGCGAGACCACCAAGGTGGCGAGGCTCAAGAGCCGCGTGCTCTCGGGAGCTTCCCTCTCCATAGTTCCAGTCACCAATAACAACCCACTTGATTCCCTTGGCCTTGTAGTCGCGGGCCACAGCCGGGACAGCATCCCATTCTCCCGTAGTCACGTTCTTAATCTTGTTCGCCTCATCGTTGGCCTCGTTGATAGCACCAATCAACATGTTGTTGGAGATGTTGTCAAGATGTCCACGGTACTTGAGCCAGGGGCCAGCCATGGAGATGTGGTCAGTGGTAGTCTTTCCCTTCGCCTTGATCAGGATGGGCATGCCCAGAGCATCTTTGCCATCCCAAGGCTTGAAGGGTTGTAGAACCTGGAGACGGTCGGAAGAAGGAGAAACTTGAACATTGACCGAGGAGCGGTCAGCAGGGGGGGCTTGGTAGGTGTTGTTTCCAGGGTCGTATCCGTTTGCGGGGAGACCGTCGCCGGTGGGAGGAGCCAGCAGGAACTCATTACCATCCTTGTCCTTCAACTTGTCAGTAAGGGGGTTGAAATGTAAGTTGCCAGCGATTGTCAAGGCAACAACTAGATCGGGAGAAGTAACGAAGGAATGGGTTGCGGGGTTGCCGTCGTTTCGGCCGGTAAAGTTACGGTTGTAGGAGGACAGGATCGAATTAGCCTCGCCCTTCTTGACGTCCCGTCGATCCCATTGACCAATACAAGGACCACAGGCGTTGGCCAACACCATGCCGCCAAATTCCTCGAACGTCTGAAGTTGGCCATCACGGGCAATGGTGGCACGGATCTGTTCAGAACCAGGGGTAACAAAGAAGGCAGACTTAGCCTTCAGACCATGGTTAAGAGCATCCCGGGCAATAGAAGCAGCTCGAGACATGTCCTCGTAGGAAGAGTTTGTGCAAGATCCAATGAGGCCAGCTTTAAGCTCCTCAGGCCAGCCATTGGCCTTCACAGCCTCGGAAAACTTAGAAATGGGGGTTGCTAGATCAGGTGTAAAGGGGCCATTGATATGCGGTTCGAGTTCGGAGAGGTTGATTTCGATGAATTGGTCATATTCAGCACCCTCGTCCTCACGTAGTTCCTTAGCATAAGCGCGAGCGAAGTCACCAATTTCAGTTCGCTTAGTAGCCTTTAGATAGTCGTACATGCGGTCGGTAAACGGGAAAACGGAGGTAGTGGCACCAATTTCAGCGCTTTTATACAAGTTAGCATTTGCCCAATTTTATTATAAATCAGAAAAGAGGAGAAGGGAAAGAAGATAAGAAAAAGGAGGAAAGGAGGAAAGGGGGGGAAATGGGGAATAAGAAGTAGAAAAGAGAGAAGAGAAATAATGCCTTCTCTCCCTTATCCTCTAAGAAAAAATTCTGGAAAAAATTAAAAAAATTTCTAGAGCGCCAGAAAAAATAAGAAAAATAAAGAAAAGCTGAGAAAACTCGCCCCATATTTGCAGCGCTCCCGAGTCCTGTTGCAGAGACAGTATTAAGACCAGGGCCGTGATATTCCACTATGAAGCCAGTTCCGCCTTTAACCGTAAGGAGTCCTGCTACTTTGAGAATGATATCTATAGACTCGTTAGAATATTTAGGTTAATATAGGGAAGGTACGAAGACTGACCTTTGGGGCTAGTCCAGCCCTTCAGCTCGCCAGTTAGCTTAATCCCTAGTACGAGTTAGCTTCGTATAATACAGCAAGGCTATCGAAAAGAAATTTACCAATATATTTTGGTGCCTTCAGTTCCCAAGGTAGGTTTGCCATAACGTCAACAGCATCGGCACCACCAACACCAATGGCAGCCATGCCAAGACCACCAGCATTAGGCGTGTGAGAATCAGTGCCGATCAGGAGACCACCAGGGAAGGCGTAATTCTCGAGGATGATTTGGTGGATGATACCGGAGCCGGGTCTCCAGAAGCCGATGTTGTACTTGGCACATGCCGAGGAAAGGAAATCGTATACTTCCTTGTTGATGTTGACAGCTCGCTCAAGATCCTTCTCTCCACCAACTTGGGCCTCGATCAGGTGATCACAGTGTACGGTTGTAGGATTTGCTACCGAAGGCATGCCGGCAGACATAAACTGGAGGATAGCCATCTGAGCAGTGGCATCCTGGCATGCGACTCGATCGGGCCGCAATTTGAGGTATGACACTCCTCGCTCGAGGTCCTGTCCTTCCGGGTCGTCAAGATGGGAGTATAAAACCTTCTCGCCGTACGTCAAAGGGCGGTTCAAGCGGCTGCGAACGATAGCCAGGTTCTCGGCCATCTTCTTGTAGTTGATAAAGTTGCCTTCTTCCCAGTTGTTTTGCCTGACCTATAGTTTGAGGGAAATATCAGCCTCCGTGATCACCCCTCCGGCAAGCTTTAGAGCTTTGCGATGGAGGCTGGCTTACCTTCTTGTCCAAGGCCGGGTCGGCTACGGAGGCCATGCACCTTCGCAGGGTCATGTTGGACACGACCCGCGATCGGGCAACGTTGCCCAGGACCTGTCGAGTGGCCAACATGTTGACAACCGCGGTCCTGAGGGTAGCTGTGAGGGGTTCAGATGTAAGACAAAATCTAGGCCAAATTCAACTCCTGCAAAGATTGGAGGATGGGAAAATTACCAACAGGGAGACGATATGCCTCTTGAACCTGGAGGAAGAAGGAAGAATTGGTTCTTTGGGAGGAAAGGAAAAAAAAGATTGTGATGGAAAAGAAGAGGAAAAGGTGGAGAGTTTTTGTGGTTTGCGATTAAAGATGTTACCTTTGGCCGCCCGGTACTACGGTACTGCGGTAAAGGGAAGCTGCTAAAGCCTACTGGTCACTACTGGTCACTACTGTGCTAGGCGTGCTAGGGATTTAGATGTATCGGGGTACTTCGGCTAAGACGAAGAGGTACCTCCACTATCGATGGTATCACCCGGCTGAATGGACGAATCACAGCAAATCCGATTACTTTCAAGTCAAAAACTGTGACCTCACCCTACTTACCCTACTTATTGGAGAATCAGCCACCACATGCGATAATGAAAGCATGCCCTACATTGCACATACATCATACATGTACATGTATGTATGTATGCTTGAACATGCATTGATTACAAAGAGGTACGTACAAGAAAGCTAACCTGGGTTACTGAGGTCGTCTCTAACTTATACTTATTATATAAGACGGTCGTCATCGTTACAAAAGTTTTAAGAAACTAACTTATCATCCCGTCCCAATTCGAGTGGCTTTAGAAATGAGGGGCATTTTCTGGGCAACAGGAAGAAAAAAACCACGCTAGTGTACCTAGATAAGTAAATAGTGTATTATACAAAGCTGAAATTTCCATAGAAGGTGCGGAATGCATATAACTAGATGAAAGCGGTTGGATGGAGACTCTTCATGTATAACGGCCTAAGAGAGGCATGTATGTAAGGTGTTGCCGGACTTGGATATGAGTTGGGTTAGCTGCAAGTTTCAATGTTGTTAGTCAAAATGTTGTTAGTCAATTCCTAGAATCGCTTCACAAGCTCTAATTCCTTAGCATGGCTGGCATGGCTGGTGTATATACAACAACCATGATATGTACCTAGATACTTAGAACCCCATAAACCCATGGTGCAATCAGATCAACGGGATTGGCCAGACTTTAAACTTGAAGACTTAATTTGACGTCGTCTTATGAATAGCACGATTATTTATAGTGTGTATAATAATCTACGAGTCGGGTTGAAGCAAGTTCATCGGATTGATAGGCACATGTAAATCTGTACGACTTTCCTGTTTTCCTGTAGCTCAAATCTCATTGGAAGCTGGACGATCTATGACCTAGCTTCTGCTTAATCCTTGCTCACCTCTCAGACCTGGAGGGTAGTAAGCGCCGCGAATCAGCTCCCTTCAGTTGCACAGCTACCAAGTCAGCGGTAGCCTTGCAGTAGCATCTCAAAACTCTAAGACCAGGACAGGACTAGGACTCAAAATTGCTGTAGACGCAATTGGTTCTGCATCCTGGCCAAATACAGTTTTGGACTATTTGAGAAAGCTGGATTAATTCTGAAAGAATAAGGGACGTGTACCTCGTTTCTGGGCACAAGTACCTTGGAAATAACCGCAGGTACCTCTTCGTTGCAGACCAAGTAACGCCGTAGCGTAAAAGCCCTGAATTGCTTCAAGAATGCACGCAGGTCCACATTTACAGGTCTGCAGGCCAAAATCGACAGGCTAAGACAAATTTTGCTCAGTCTGGAGACCAAACAGGTGGGACCGAATTGGCCAATCGGCGATACCACTAAGATCAGTGAACAAGGGACATACCCCCACGGCAACTTTGCCTCGGTGAATATTTGGCGCCGAGTTGTCGACCTGACGCATCGGCATAAGGGTATTGTTAATGCCACATATCTTTTTCGCTAAGCCGAAAAACTGAGTATATGTATAATAATACCATACAACCGTGCACCCGTACTCCAAGGTTGAATCCCGTTTAAATATTTTCCCATGCCTTTTGATAGGTAAGGTACCTAGGAACTTTGTATGGTTGCGGCATGGACCTGACTAATAAGCTGCCGCTGTAATGCCGCTCGCCCGGCTCTGTAAAACGGATGGAGCCGAATCAAATTCGGAGGCTCGGAACGTTAAACCATAACTGCAATTACGGGTTTGCGCCCGGACCACTTATTGCCACTTCCTAAACTATGGATTACCTAACTAGACTAAAAATATTCACCCCACCAAAATTTCTACGCCTGGGAAATCTTCAATTCAACTTACCTAATACATGTGAAATTAATTACCACTATCACAGCTGCTAGATTCTTCAAGAGGTAACAGTTCCTTGTCGAATTTGCCATCGAAAGAATCGCCGCCCATCATGGGTGTCACCAACAAACGTACGCTTTCCAAGACCCGTCGCAAGACGAGGGACCTTGATCAGATCAAAGCCGACCTCCTCTCGCCAAAACATCTGGCCCAATTCAAGAACCTAAAGGCGCCAGAAGACCTACCTGCCCTAGGCAAATGGTACTGCACCGAGTGCGCAAAATGGTACGATGCCGAAGACAACCTCGTTAAACACAGAAAAGGAAAGCCTCATAAGAGAAGGTACGTTTTACTTAATAATAGCATATATCATATTAGGTATCTAGACTAACAGTGGATATAGAGTCAAGCAGCTTCGCGAGGAGCCATATACTCAGAAGGAGGCCGAGGCCGCTATTGGTCTCAGAACCGACAATCAAAGCCCCTACCGAACCGAGAGCGCCGCCGATAACGAGATTACCATGTCAACATGAACGGCCTAGTCCCGCCGCGCAAACTTCTCAAAACAGGCATCTATGGTGTTTCGGTATACTAGTGAGTATCATCAATAAAGCACGGGTCGGGCATGTTATATAATGCGCTCATACGCTGCGATATTCCCTAAGGCATTTTCTGGCCAGATCAGGGCTAATATCATATTTTCGAAGTTGTGATATCTCGAGGGTTTGGTAACTCATTGGCTTCGCTCATTTCAAGCCACGAGCTCTCGGTCTAACGAGACCACTTGTGCGACCTCGTCCCGTTCCACCTCTACCTCTAGACTGGGTGCCGCCTCTCGAGGGAGGGGGGACGCGAGATTGACGTGCATCCGGCGTCGCAAACTTCTTAGGAGTCGGCTTGGAGACCGTCGGTGGGTTCTCTACGAAGGAGGTGTCCGTAGTCCTAGAGATAATCAGTATTGGCCCAAGGCCTCGTACCAAATGCACATACATGAATGTCGTCTCCCCCTCAAATTCGCCTCCTCGCTCTGTGCTTCGAGATCGGACTGGTGCCGGTGATTGCTCCTCTCTAAGCTTCGCTCTGCGGAATGACTCGGGGATCGGGCCCTATAATCCCATAACTTATCAGCAGCCATTAGATTATGTAGACGTAGAATAACCCTTTACCTCGGCAAAGTCGACGCAGAAAGCATTCATGTTCAGTCCGTACATGAAGCTCGCGAAGCTCTCGCTGAAACGGGAGAGGCTTTCGTGCATCAGCTGGAAGTGCATCATGTTCGCCTCTAGGTCGGCCATAGCGTCAGAAAACTCGGCGAATGCGGGTTCGAAGGCGTTCAGCGGGAAGGGCTCTCCGCCTTGGACGCTGCGCTGAGCGGACTCGCGGAACGAGGAACGGGAGGAGGGGCGGAGAGGAGTCGTGGGACGCGAACGCGACGTGGAGCGCGGTCGTCGCACGCTATCGTGACCTTCGTTTGCCGACATGGTGTTTGAGTCGGCTGAATATGCGATGATGATGGTAGGTAGATTAGAATAGTACTTAGCACTTATTCGATTGAACGTGTCTAATGTATGATCGTGGGTTTTTGAATTAGATCAAGCATTACATCTTAAAAATAAAAAAAAAAGGTAACTGCTATAGAATTCAATGCTTGGCAACAACGAATTAAGGCTGGCCAGGGTGCTCAAGATATGGTGGGGTCAACGCCTAAAGATTCAAGGTATTGGACACGTGCTAAACTTCTATTTAGATGCTGCCCCTTAGGATAAAGTGGTACCTGAACCCCAACATGACGTAAACTGTACCTAATATCTAGAAAGGAAGGGACGGAAGCGCTGATGCACAGCGGCTAGTAGCAGTTCATCTCAAAAAAAGATTCGCATAGGTAATAGTCTGATAGTATAACTCCGTGCTCTTATTAGAATTAGTCCGCTAGGTATATATTACCTAACATAGTTGTACTTAGTTCCCTCTAGCCTCCTTCATATAGCCTCCTTCATACGTCTTCTTGCGCACTAAGTAGAAAAGCAAACCGAGTACTTCGTAGGTACTTATGCAAATGCTTTTTTCTACCCGTCTTTAATGATCGCCTCTTTCAACTGGATATCGCTATTCGCTACCTACGTACCGTCAATGCTTCAAAGTTGAATGCGCCTAGAGTCCGAGAGCCGAGACATATATAAAACAATTATCATAAATCAATTATTTAACATACATCCTTAACGTATTCTGCATTCGATACAACCCTACATTTACATACATAGCAGCTTGGGTGGGTAGACCGGACTCGTACAGCTGCTCGTACTCGGTTTCTATACGTCAGGTTGACCAAAGGGATACGGCACCAGCAGCACACAGCAATCTCTTGGGCCTTGTCTGAAGGTACGGTACCACTGCTTCTTGTCCTTGTCAGCAAGCCGGGGACTTTGCGACGGGGCTGATCCCGCCCCCAGAAAATAAGATACGGTAGCCAGCCTCAATTCAAAAATCGAAAGAAAAAAAGGGTAGTTCGGCTCCGTCGGACATTTGTGCGACAACTTCCTGCGCTATCTTAGACCTTGGACCTTAGACCTTGGACCTTATGAAGACACCAGCGCCTCTTGTACCGCAACCATTTCTCTTCTCCACAGTTCCGAGACTCTACTTTATTGCTAGCAGTCTCTCAACTCGCCAAACCTTCAATTTACATTTACAACAGTCTCTTCTACTTCCTCCTTCATCAAAGGTCTTACGCGCATTCTCTACCCCCGCCCTCCTTCTCACTCGCCCGTCATCAAACTCTGCACAGCCCCGCGGATCGTTATTACTACATCCTAAGAACCATACTTATAATCGCAATTTTTGTTTATCCTCACTCTCATATCAAGTAAAAACTCATCCAAAAAGGCGAGGATTTCCAAGACGAGATCAGAGACGCGAACGGTGCTTAAAGAGCCAAATCTCACCTGCGCTATATTTTGTACCCTTGCTCGTATTTGGCACCTTGGTACTCTATAGTATAGTAGTACCCTCTCATCTAAAAGTATCCCCAACATCTGAAGGCATTGCTGGAGACTATTCCGGCAAACCCGTAGAAGAAGACATGGAACCTCTTCCGGGCAGGCCGGGGAATTTGACCCCCGAAGAGGATGAGAAGCTGCGCAAGTTCTGGGAGATGTTCTTGCACGTATGCGGCGTTCTGGGTGAGGAGGCCTCCGGCGAGGTAGACAACGCTTCAGAGAGTCAGGGGAAGTCGGGCACCGCGGGATCTGAAAAAATTAAGAAGAATCGGATGTCTATTTTTAAGAAAAAGAAGGACAAGACCAAGGATGGCGCAGCGCCTGCCAAGGTCCCCGCCATGGACGGCATCAAGGAAAACGACCCAGAAGATAAATGGGGTGAAAACAAGGCATACCTCGATACCTTAGCCACACACACCCCGGAGCAGATAAGAGCCACGATCTGGGCTATGGTCAAGCACGACCATCCCGATGCTCTTTTACTACGGTTTCTAAGGGCCAGGAAATGGGACCTCCAAAGGGCCCTTGTCATGCTGATGTCGACGATGAACTGGAGGTGTTCGGAGGCCCATGTTGACGACGAAGTTATGGCCAACGGCGAAGAACTTGCTTCCATCAACGAGAAAACCGGTGATGAAAAGACTAAAAAAGTAGCACAAGACTTTCTAGCTCAACTACGCATGGGAAAGAGTTATTGCTACGGTACTGATAAAGCGGGAAGGCCTATTTGCATTGTTAGGGCTCGCTTACACAAAGCAGGCGAGCAGTCTGAGGAAGGCCTGGAACGTTTTACTGTTTATTTGATCGAGACGACCCGGTTTATGCTTCACCCTCCTATTGATACTGCTGTTAGTGGTATATCCCAGCTGTCCCGAATATCCTAGAAACTAACATTATTAGTGTGTCGTTTTCGACTTGACTGGCTTTTCCTTAGCTAACATGGTGAGTTGAAGGGAAATACTAAAATTTGGGACGAGGCAAGCTGACGCATTATTAGGATTACACTCCGGTGAAGTTTATGATAAAATGCTTCGAAGCTAATTACCCCGAGAGTCTCGGTGTGGTTCTCGTTCATAAGGCCCCATGGGTCTTTCAAGGTTGGCCAACCCACAGATTATACTTAGAAATACATACCCTGACCCAATATACAGGTATCTGGAAGATTCTTCGGGGGTGGCTCGATCCCGTAGTTGCAGGCAAAGTCCATTTCACAAATACAGTCAAGGATTTAGAGGAGTTTGTTGCTAAGGAGAGACTACCCGACGAACTGGAAGGCACATCTGGCTATACCTATAAATACGTAGAGCCAGTGCCCGGTGAGAATGCCAAGATGAAGGATTTAGAGACAAAAGAAAAGCTTCTGCAGGAGCGGGAGGCTCTCTACGAAGACTACGAAAGCAAGACGATCGAATGGATTAACGAAACAGACGCCACGAAGAGGGCGGCTATCTATTCAGAGCGGAACACGATTGCTAAGAAGCTTAGGGAGCAATATTGGCACTTAGATCCTTACATTCGGTCAAGGTCTTTCTTCGACAGGATAGGTGTTATCAAGCCCGACGGAAGCCTTGACTATTACCCCTCGAAAATCACAAACGGGACGACGGCCGCGTTGGCAGCGGGAGAAACGTCAGCTGATGATGTCGACTAAAAGTAATGTACACGGAGAGGAATGGAGTATATCAACAATAAGGGCGCGCGGGTGGGCAATTAGCATAGACTAGGCATCAATATTACCGGAAGCAATGACGGGGATGTGTAAATTCTCTCTTTTTTCTCGTGAACTCCTCGAGTTGAAAGTCTACCAACTAGACGAGTAGTCGTTTAGCCATACATTAACTTATATAGCTTAGGTACTTAGAGGAAAGCCTCTGAAAATACCCTCACATCTTGGCCTTGATTTCCTCGTGGAGCGCCTTTAGCGCGTCCATATCCGTGGCCTGCTGAGGCCAGCCTATTACTAGTCCTTGCTCCTCGTTCGGCTTAGGGATCTAAAAGATATGTTAATAGAATGTTAAGATAGATTACATTACTTATGAGCGTTTCTTACCATGTGAAAGTGGACCTAGAGTGAGGGTGTTCGCAGTTAGCCAGCCGTTCCCAAATTTCCCTCATTCATACCTAATATCTAGCTAGCTATTTCTTAACTCGCCCTTCTTCGCCAGAAGGGCAAGAAGACTAGGTAGCCAAAATGTTAAAGGTTAGGAAACTCACATGATCAACGACCTGGTGGGCGATGCGGCCGTTGTTCTGCAGGAGGTTATAGTTGGTAGCGCCGGTTGCCGCGACAAGCTTCTTGACCACGGGCAGGATCTCGCTCAGCTGGTCGTCGGGGATGTCAGCGAGCTTGGCGCCGTGGAACTTGGGGACGACGAGCTGGGTGTTGTTAGTCTTATTCTTATATACATATACCACTCCTTTATTCATCGGGTACACTGTTTTAGGATGGATGTGACGAAGGGTGGGTGGGATCTTACAGCGTGGCCCTTGCTTAGAGGGTTGATGTCGAGGAACGCAAAGGTCTTGTCGCTCTCGAAGAGCTTCAAGGAGGGGATATCTCCTATACTGGGTCGTTAATAGATTTATTATATTTCGTAAAACATCATGGACACCAAAAATGAAACTTTATAATAACCTACCCTTGATGATCTTGCAGAAGATGCAGGCGGCCATATTAACTAGCAGGCGACTTAGATTTAACTAGTAAATGGATACCTAATGTATGGAGACGTGGACCTTGATGGCTCGCTACCTAAGGTACGATGTTCCAGATTCTGTATACGGTCTCGTCGGATCTGATAAGTTGCGAATAAGCTTAGTTACAAGTTACAGGGCCGAGAGAATCAATCACACCAGATCGGACGTCATATACATAGAGGGGCACAACAGCTACCCCACCTTGTTCTACATACAAAGCACGACTTCCGTGTACGCGTCGGGCTATTTTCGGTAATCGAGGTCAATTGATGCTATTGTGACATGCAACATTGCTGTTTAGCTACCTAGGTACCTATGTACAAATGCAATTCTCAATTCCAACGCATAGAAATATTTAATTTAATGCTGACAATTGTAACCATCAAAAACGAGAGGCAATATTGACGTGAAATCTAATAAGCAATGCATCATCCATCATCAAAAGGAAGTAAACAAGTAAGATCGAATAAATCCATTTATTAATCGTACATGCGAACGCGCAAAAAAATAAACCTCAAATTAAAAAGAGCTTATGAGATACATATATGTGTTGAAATGTGATATTAGGGGGTTGTGAAGGCGAAAAAAGTATAAAAAAATAGACTGGCAAAACAAAATTGAATCTGGGCACTCCAGAATATTGGTTCCAAAGATTAGTTGAAAGGAGCATTGTGGGTTGCACAAGGTTGAGTCAGGTAAAAGGCATGAGTCAAGTACTTTTATGCAATCCCGCTCCTAAAGATTGCAATTGTTATTTGGCTTTATAAGGCTTACAATGGCCGGAGAATACCCGGGCTAATCAGAGTGCAACACAGTGTCGAATACACATTATTGTCTAAAAAACACGATGCGTTTATAAGTCAACGTTTCGCCGTAACTTGCATGTAGTTAACAATTATATTTCTCGTAAGGCTTTGTGATTACTGTTGCAATATATTCTCTATTAAAGTTACTTCAATCCGCTCAAAGCTACCCTAGCCAATAACTTCTTCAGAACTGCCATCAGGAAGAAGTATACCACTCCATCGAAGCTCTTCGATATCCTTAGGCGTTTCGATCCCAGTAGCAATAGCAGCTTGTTCTATGAGATGCGGCGGTAGTGATTCAGTAACTTCTTGTTCAACCTTCTTGGCCTGCAATGTTATCCTCCCGCATATACTATTAACGTCAAAGCGGATACCGGGTCCGAAACTCGGGAGGTAGAACAGCTCTGAGTCTGAACTCTTGTAAACTTCGAACCTAAGCGGCTTAGGCAATCTTCTGTCGGGTGTTTTGCCCTTGCCAATTATCTGAATGTCCAACGCTTGGTAATTCTCATAGTCAAGCTTGCTGATAGAAATCTCCGATTTAATGTCGGGCTTCCTGGGACGCCATTCTGCTTTACCCAATATTGACTCCCATGACCACGTAGGCACTATCATACCTATATTAGGACGCTTGCGTGTTGCTTTTTGCCAGATGAGACCGTGGGCAAGATCATTAACTCGAAAGTTGCTTACTGGTCATTGGGATTTGTCACGTGGCGCCCGGAAAACAGCGAGGCGATATTATACCATTCCCGTAACGTATTATTGTCGCTAAATTTGTATATATGCTTCCCTTGCGGTACGGGGTCTCCATTTTCGCCCAGGGGTTGAGAAGACAGACATTCAAGGAAAACTTGCCTTGGGGTGTAGGTAATAGACAATACGCCTACCTACTAAGCAATCACTCTTAGAACACCCACCCTCTCGAGAAAAAAAATACCACTCTTTGGACCCCGTCTAAAAACATCCTCTCAGCCGTTGGCATCTTCAATATATAGAAAGCGCCGCTTGGTGTTCTATCCTCGCGTCGTCTATAGAGCAACATTGCAATATTGTCGAATGAAGGAGCAAACCGGTGTCCTAAGAGCCCGGAATGTGTGTCACAAGCGGCTATGGTAAACGTTGAGTTTTGGTAATACTGAGCCATTTTGTCTTTCTCTTTTAGGAAGTCCTGTCCGTCTTGGATAATACATATAAAGTCGATCCATACATATATGATGCCTAGCTTTCGCGCCACCTCAATGGCGTCCTGAAATACCTGAGGTAAGCTGTTGGTTTCGATACCATGCTCTGGATAAGTTTTCAAGTCGTAATTTTCTTGTGTCGTCTGTGTTTTGTTCGTCTCTCCAGTCCATCAGTAACTTAACGCGATGTAGCTCCCCTTGCGTGACTCTCCTTCAGAAAATACTACAAGGCGGGTCTTATAATCACGGACATCTGTGCAGCGTGTTGGGAGCGGCAAATCTTCTGGGTCGATACGCCGAGTATTAGATAGATTCATGTGGCAAGTTTCATGACCTTCTTTTTCAAGACATGTATTTAGCCACTTCCGAATGGCCTGAAAAAACTGCTCGGAGCTAGGATCATCACCGACGAAGCGTCCAATAACATCCCGTGATCTCTCTGCTGCGCTGCCTGGGGTATTGTTAACGTACAATTATTGAGATAGGCCCTTCTTATCTCGAGTATCATAAGGATATAATGCTGAGTTAACTATATATTCCTGATACACACCTGGATCAGCTGCAACCAAATATTGCTTCCACTTCGCTATGTGCAAAACGTCGTCATCTTCTGAAGCGAAACGCGCATGTATTTCACGTAACCCGTTGACCTATCGACATGGTGATTTGGCGGGAAACGTAATTCTGTATGAAAATAGAACTGTACGGCTTCGTGAAAGGGAGGCAGCCCAATTTCATGGTTAAACTCAACATATAAAAGCTTGCAAAACGCACAGCCGATGCCTCGACCATCTATAACGCCCTGTGCATCTAGAGTTATAGTTCGATCGTATCGGCGTAAAGCTTGTCGGACGTCAAAACTTTGACACTGCGGACATAATGACGATGATGACATTGTCGAATTATCTAAATAACTGGCATCTATCTCTCCTAGGCGAAATAGGGAAAAGGAAATAAGACTGATATATACCCCAGCCTTATTATTCATAAGTGAAACATTATATTTTATCCCATTCTCTGTTTACCCCCTTCTTGGTGTCATTTCGCTACACTACTATCGTTACACATACATGGCCACGGCTGCAGTATACTTTATAACAGCCCTATACTTGAGCGCGGGGTTATATGGCCTTAGACTCTACTGGCCTACTACCAAATGGTTGCCTATCGACCTGGATTTAATATAAGGCTATCTATATGAAGACGATCCCACATTTATTCCAGCCCTTGACCTCATGGTAGAAGCTGACGGTCCCTTACGACTTGCCTTCGCAGCCTTCCACGAATTCGATGATGGGCCCGACGATGGCCACGAAGCTCAGAACCAGAGTGAGATACTCGTTTCAACCCATCAAGCTCAGCATAGTAACGATGCCATCAATGAAGGCCAACCCCTGAAAAACCAAGACCTACTGCAGGTTCAGTTGGATAGGACAGAAAGTGATGCCATAGCAAGCTCGTCCAATTCCAACTCACAGTCCACAGAGCAAATGAGCTGTTCCCCCGAAAACAGCGTACCTCAAGAATTCAAAGCTGATGATACAGAGTCATTAGAGGATGAGCCTGATCTAGTTATAAATGCTCATCGGTGCGCAGTAGATCGCGGAAAACTAGTGTTCGCTAGCTCGAACGTAGTTTTGGCCTTACCACCTATATATGCAGCGTAGTAACTCTAGCGGCGATCCCATGGGCACTCGAGAGTCATTTATAAGGAAGATCAGCGGATGAAATGGTAGGTATTTCCCCTTGTCTTCACGAGTATACGCCTCGCTAACAAGTAGTAAGGCAATTGATATGCGCTATGATCGCGCCCTTGATTACCATGACCCGTTGCCTGCTTACTTACGTTCTGATGGTTACTCGTCAGTACAGGCATTGGCCATTCTCCAAACATTGTTTTATACTCTGAATCGGTAGTATGGGCATTCTCTTTTGTGTGCTGGCTTTTGGTAGCTATTGCCGAACACGACGATTACGGGATGAATGCTATCATAAGTATTGTTATCTGGTTTATCTTTTATATACCGTATGTTTGTACGATTTATGTGGGAATATTGACAGGGGTTGACAGCGCGTACTATGACTATAAACCAGGCCAAATATATAGATAGCTTTTGAGGTATAGCCGGCCATATCCTCGAACCGGCCTGGGAGCCGTATTACGGATTGCATCAAAAATATATACATATGCCCTCAGTTTATGCAATTCCTAAACAAATAAAAGTATTTATGATCTACTCAGGCTAAGTCAGGCCAGATCCGAGTAAGATCAAGCTATTCTCTGACCTATCGTACGCGCTGGGGTTTACCTATAATCTAATATATGCCTTCTCTATTTGCGTACGTGTGCCTGGCCCGGTTAATAGATTTGTTGGATTACAACCTACCAAGTATTACCAATAAGTCTCATTAATTCCTCCTCCGATTCCGGCAAAAGATATTTCTTGATATATTTATCGAAACCGTGTGCCCCATCCCCCTTTAAAGAACAAATTGCTTTTGTTGAGTACGATGCAACAAGTAAACGTTCCTTCCTACGGACTAGATACCCTCGCGGCTGTCGTTTTTAGTGAATAGGGTCGTTCTTGCAATGATATAGCACGGAACTCAGCACCGGCCTTACAACGTACTTTCGGACCGAAGTGGGCCCCGAGACTACCGGTTTCACACCGTACACTTAATCTCAATAGAAGAAAGTAACACAATACTAAACACGCAGTTTGATATGATTGATTATCTTAGTTATATTCATCAATTGCGAAAAATGGGTTAAGGATACTTCAAAGGACATGACGGCTTTGATCGTTCTTTTAAGATATGAACGCTATTATGACGCTGCCGAAGCAAGATATTCTTACTTTTAAGAGTTACTTGGAGGATTTTGTACTATTGCCGGGTTTAGGGGACTTTATTTTATTAGACCACGGTTATCTAGGTAGACGATCCGAAACTAGTCGAAGTAAAATGGTTGTCTTGATCTGACGATGTTATGAGTTTGTATCTATCACGTATATGCATTTATCAAATAAATTGATAAGATAGCGCTTCTGGCGCTGAAGATCAGTTCCTTCTAGCGTGTCATCTTCCCTTAGGTACCTAGGTACCAAGGTAAGTAGGTACCTCAAGCAACCGCGCTATTGCTAAACCCCTGCTAGCAACTGCCTACGGTTGCAGACGTACATGTATATACGTAGTTTGCGACTTCCGGCCGCAAAGCACACGACTCAACTTTGTCCTTCTCCAACTCGCCTCCATAATTTTTCTTCAATGGCGATTCGAGTTGGCGTTAAACAACTGCTTTAAGCCTCGCAGGACGGATCCTGCACGCCTCTCGCTATTTTCTCCTTCCCCGGGCGCGTTCGGGTTTGTTGCGATAAAGCGTGTTGTTTTGCCGAGTACAATACAATACAATTAATCAGCTAGGGCCTCTCTGAGAAGTGAAGTGGTAAGATCGCAACACTCCCAACGTCACTACGGTTGGCTCGGTTCCACTACTACTACACAACCGCCATCATGCCTACCATCCAGGGCTTCAGCACTCTGAGAGCGCGCTCCTATGTGTTCCGTCTACCGTTATTCACGCGCGCCATGATTGCTGTTATGGTGGCGTTCTGGATTGTCTCGCTCCAATCTACGTGGGATGTGCGACAATGGGGCGCCTTAATCCCTAACGAATTGACTCTGTCGACTAGTTAGTTCCCTTTGCTCTTATGATGATGTATGCTTTTCTTTATATATACTAATGCAGCTTCGATATAGTGTACCGAGTGAATACCTTCCCATTAATACACCTTAACTTCTTCCACGCCCTCTTCAACATACTATCCTTGACGCCGCTCCTAGAGAGATTTGAAAACGAGTTTGGAACCTTGACCTCTCTTGCACTATTCTTTGGCCGTGAGTGTGCCTGTTCATATCCTATTGCTGGCCCTTACTAGTTCATAACTTGGGTTAATATTTATTGCAGCTTTAACAACGATCCCGGCTTTGGTCTACATCTTTTGGGAGAAGTTCATCATAAAGGGAAATACTGCCGTTATGGGAGCTAGGTACATACTCAGCCCACCATTTGACATTAGGATTAATGCTAATGCATGAGCGTAACAGTATCTGGGTATTTTTACTACTAGGCATCGAGGCTATTCGAACGTACAAGACCAACCCGTATCTTGTGATAGGAACACATCATGTTCCGACATGGACCACCCCTTTAATGATGGTATTGGTAGTTGAGGCATTGATTCCCAACACTAGTTTCTTTGGCCATCTGTGCGGTGTGGGAACGGGTTATTTGTGTGAGTGAACCTTGGACATATTCATCTCGGTACAATCTCACTAATGGTATTATCTGTCTAGTCGGCCTAGGCTACCTCAAGTTCCTCGCACCTCCTGAAAAGGCTCTGCGATGGATCGAAGCTCGCCTAAACCTGCTGGGACGATTGCCGCACTACGTCAGCGTAGACCAGAAGACGTACGGTAGGTTCGGCGTCTTACCAACCAGCAATTCAACCACGCAGATGACGCCATTAGGCTTGATGGGCTCTACACAGCGATTAGGTCCCTAGTATGGGTTCCAAAGCTGCCTGAGAAGGGTAGGAAGGGCTTCAATGGATGCCACCCTGTATATAGCACGTGGTTATTGGGCACTCCGATATTGCATGACACTGGCGTTTCTAGGAGGGAAAACATTGTTCGCATCGCAAGGCCGTATATTCATTCGCCCCGCAGCTTTTGTTCACAGGATATGGAGGTTGGCTGTTTATGCTGCTATGAAATTTTCTGAAACCATCGAGGGTAATATCTGTGACTTGTTACAGTCTTGATGATGTCTTTGGTTCGACTGTATTCACTCTTCTCAGGATCATAACTTCCTAACCCCTAATATGTTTAATTCTTAAGTCATGACTAAAACGTTATTATCCTTATTCATAGTATGCTCAAGGTCTATTTCAGATGTTGAAAGAATCCTACCTGGATATCATCTGGTTTACCTAAATAACACTCCATGATGTATCATTCCACCCGTAAAATAATATGCAATTAATAGGTACATAAATAGGCTGTAAGGCTGATTATGTCATTTTATGTCATTTTAGGGTAGGTACTTCCGCCTAATTTAAGTAAGGACTGGACCCCTGAAAGTCAAGCTGTCAAGTCACGGTGGGACTCGTGTTACACGCGATTTTGGAGTGCCTTCCATTAAATTAGGTTAGGTTAAGGTAGGTACCTTCTAATTGAATTAACTATGGCTACAACTTCAATGTAACTTTAAGCTTTAAGCTTTAAGCTGCTACATATCAACTTCCAACTTTTCCGCAGCGCATAGTCGATTCCAAGAGACTAGAGAAGCCATGCCGCGTCTACTCTGTAAGTCAGGTGTCAGGTTCACTTAGTTAATAGAGCTATTATACTAAAAACTAAAGCAATTGGCTAACTGAATGTGAAAAATAGCTGCGGCAATGGCTCTGCGCCGCGATCCCCGGTTACTGAAGCTCCCCCCATACTTGTCGCTCCTATGTATCGTCGTCGGCGTTGTATGGCTACTCATGTTACCTCTCGACGAATACTCGCGCCGTACTTATATCAGCGAGAACGCCTTGTTACCTGGTCAGGTCCATACCTACTTCGGCGGAAGCGACCAGAATGTGTTCCGCGCTTACAAGCACGAGATCAACGCCCTAGAGAATAGCACCAATGCCCAAGTCAACGATGAGCTCGAGACTATATTTAAGGGCCTTGGCCTCAAGGTTGGGCGACAGAATTACACGTATCATTCCTCAGGGAACACGTACGTTGGAGAGAACGTGTACGCTATATTACAGGCACCCCGTGGTGATGCCACAGAAGCCATAGTGCTTGTTGCTGCCTGGAAGAACGTCCAAGAGGAGTTCAACCGTAATGGTCTCGCGCTGGCTTTGGCCCTGACACGATACTTCAAGCGCTGGTCGCTATGGTCCAAGGATATCATCTTAGTGGTGCCGCCCGATAGCCGGGCCGGCATGCAGGCTTGGGTAGACGCATACCACGACGCTCACGATCCATCCCAAGTGGCTCCATTACCGATCAAGTCTGGCGCACTACAGGGCGCCATCGCGCTAGACTACGCCCAAGAAGGGCGCTTCGATTCCATCGCCATCGCGTACGACGGCGTCAACGGGCAGCTGCCAAACCTGGACTTGATCAACTCAGTCGTTAATATCGCGAGCGGGCAGATGGGCATGGGGAGCGCGCTACAAGGCATATTGAAGCACTCGCAGAAGTACGACGATAATCTAGCTACGGTGCTCCGAGGCATGCTCAACCAGGCATTGGGGCATGCCACGGGGCCTCATAGCAGTTTTATCCCGTACCACGTCGATGCGATTACGCTGAGGCCGGTGGGCAATGGCTGGCATGACGAGATGGGGCTCGGACGACTGGTCGAAGGATTGTTCCGAAGTCTGAACAATTTACTGGAGAAGTTGCATCAGAGCTTCTTCTTTTACTTGCTTATTCATAAGCACCGCTTCGTCAGTATCGGCACGTATCTACCTAGTGCGATGCTGGTCGCTGCGAATTTTACTATTATGGCTATTGCGCTGTGGGTTAAGAGCGGGTACAGAGAGGTTAATGTGCCGAAGGAAGAGCAGGAGGAAAAGCCGGAGATAGGAGAGGCTAAAGAGGGTGAAGGGGCAAAGGAGGTTGCGAAGCCGACTTCGGTACCGGTCGAGCGAGAAATTCTCCTTCCGCTCACTCTCGTAGTCGGTTGCCAGTTCCTAGGCGTTATTCCGCTATTCGCCTTCAACCAGACGCCTTCTAGCGTAAGTCTTCCTGTTCTCTCCCTCCCCCTCCCCTTTAATCCCTATTTTCCCATCTATATCCAACGCCATCCCCTATATCAACTATTGGGCTAATGCACTAAAGCAGCTCCTCACGCCAATCTTCATCCTCTTCACCATCATCAATGCCTGTCTCCCACATCTCGCCTCTTATTTCTTAACAAACGGCATCCGCAAACCGCCGACGGCCCAGCAGTACCTACTCATCCGGTCGTTCTCCCTATTACTACTAGGAATGTTCCTCTCGTCCCTCGCAACTCTCAACTTCTCGCTCGCCTTCATCATCGGCGTCCTATCCAGCCCGTTATCATTTTCTCGCACGTGGCCCTCTTCCTCTCCTTCCCCTTCCGCATCTTCTTCTCCACCTACGAATACGGGGAAGAGTGCAAATGCAGCCGTGTTCAGATACGCCCACTCAGCCCTCCTTCACGCCCTAGCTCCTCCCGTCGTCCTACTCGCAGGTGGCGCGTTGGCCGGTGCAAGTATTCAAAGCGTTCTCGAGGGAGCGGCGTTCGGGTGGCATGTCTGGGGTATGTATACACAGCTTGTCGTGTGGTGCGTCTGGTGGCCGGCGTGGCTGGTGGGCCAGATTGTAGTACTCGGACAGCCGAAGGAGGCCGGGGGTAGGAGTACGGGAAACGAAAAGGAGAAGAAGAAAAATGCTTGATTTTATTTGCGAGGGATTGTTAGCTGCATAGGGTGGCTTTGCTTTGCTGTGATTATTGAGCTGGCATACCGTGTCCGGATTTGACATGTCCCCTATTGAGATAGGTACCTATCTACCTGAGAATATTGTATTCAGAGTCGGGCGGAATTCAGCAAGGTGTTACGATACCAGAGGTTTTGGAACAGGTATTGCTAGAAGAAAAAAAATAGACAGCTACTTATAGCGACATCATAGCTATTGTATTTCAAATAGTGCGGTTCCTTATTACCATTGAAGTACTATGAATACCTATATTACCCACGATATGTTTAACACGGCGGATAGGTTGACCTGATAATGATGCGTACCTACTCACTACGGGGATATACGGTCGCGTCTAATCAGTCGAGGCAATCCAAAGGCAGAGTAGAATAGGGACGTCAAGAAGTATAGTAGTATCCATAAGGATTATCTAACTACCTACGTACCATAATACGACATGCACAGTATAGACGGTTTGTAAGTATAATAAAGTACCACCTAGTTATCACATCCGATAGCCACTCACCCCTTTATTCATCGTATCTTCATAAACTCGGACATTATGCAGCAATACGTCCAGTCCTCTCGCCGGGACCGCACGTCATCTATTAGTTATCTATCATACATGGCTCGTAGGCCGTCCCGTATGCAAGAGAAGGAGTTGTGCTCACATTTCCTTCTCTCGAAGTTCTTGGCTCTTTTTGTTTTTTCTTTCGTGGGGTAGGTAATCTTCTTGCTGTAGACGGATAGATAGACAAATCAGGGGGCCCAGATATCCTGCCCTGTAGCTTCGATCCAGTTACCCAGCTTATTGACGTTCTCGCCCCACTCGCCCAGGCGCTGGCTCATGCTGGCGATCTGCGCCATGTCGAGCACACGCGGTTGCACCCAGGTGAAGTTGACCAGCTCGTCGACCTCGTCGATGGTGCCGCGTACTAAGCCCAGGCTGAGAGCCTTCATGACCAAGTGCTCGATCTCGTCCTTGCGGACCTTGGTGTCGGCGGATATGGTGCCGAAACTCATAGCACGCTGGTGCGGGGGCCGGCGGAATACGCTTTCGGTTAAGGCCGCGAGGTAGATCTTCTGGCGGATATCCTCGAGGTGTTCTTTCAGGAGCGGATTGGAGGAGATGTGTCCTGATAAGACGTCGTACGCAGTTAGGTCGCCGCGGTTGAAAGCTAGTAGCAACTCCTGCAGCCAGGCGACGTCATCGGTCAGGGCGGCGAGGATGGGATGTTGTAGCAGCTCGCCAAAGTTATAGATAGAGTCAGAGACTAGGGCAGCGATACCCAGGTCGTAGGCTCGAGCGCGGCGCTCTTCGGGGGAGAGTGAGGACAGATCGATGCAGGCGAGGTAGAGTAGGGCGTTGCGGTAGTAGGATGCGAAGTCGGCCTTAGCTTGATAGTAGTCGGCGTTGACCTGGTAGAAGGCAGCATGGACCTTGGTCTCGACGCTGTCAAAGCCGTCAAGGATGCGCTCAGCCTTGTCCAGATCCCGGCGCGAGGCCTCGAGGTCCCGCAAGTTCAGCTCCACGCGGGCGACAGCGGCAAGGGCATAAACGAAAGCGTCTTGGGAGTCCTCGTGGTCGACCTTCTTAGCGAGGTCGGAGAGGAAGGTGAGGCGTTCTTGGTCATCTACTATAGTTAGTCGGATGCAATGTATAATAATATGTATAATACATAGAATTATGGAATTTGGAATGAGGTAATTCACCTTTGCATTGGGTAGCGGCCTTCAGGCCCAGGTCGACAAGCTTCAGTTGGTTGATCTTATCAGCAAACTTTAGTATGAAGACCTTGTAGAACTTGAGGCGCTGGGGTTCGCTCTTGGGGTTGGCGAAGAACTCGATCAGGGCGTCTGTAAGTTGGTGCCATAACTTGCGCTCCCAGAAATTCTCGAACTGGATGATGAGGTATTGGAGCTCGTCCGGGGTCTCGTCCCGCTGGTCGGCCAGGAAATCGGCGATAGTATCGACGTTCATGATACTTCTCTTGATATTTCTCTAGGCTTTTGTTTTATATGTGGACTCGGCGGGAATTATGTATAGGTGGTATAGGTGAGAATGGGTGAGAATGGGTTGAAAGTGGTGGTGTTAATGTTGTATAAGTGGAAGTTGGAAGCTTCTGAAGCTTCAATCAATACGCGGCTGGTGTGCAGCCTGTCCAGGAAGGAGGTACCTTTGTATTATCTACGTATGTATTTTGTACTTCATACCTCAGCAGATCCATCAGATCTATCAGATCCACATATCTTGGCTTATTTAATCTGTGGCTCAACTCTCTCTAAGCTTAGCTGGCTTAGGTACCACCAACCAATCTCTCCAAGGGCATTAGCTCTGACTAAACTCGACGTACCTATGTGTTAATGAATGTGTGGCTTGACACCTTGAACGTTTAGAGCTTCTGATCCCCACTAAGAAGTTCAGTTCAGTTCAGTTATTCCAAACGCTTCAAACATCACCGGCTCTCTTTAGCAATTGGAAAGGCTGCGTCATTCTTGCACTCCGGTATCGAGCAAGGATGGCTTCCTTTCCGACCGCCGTGCGGTCCAGTCGAAAGCTGGCCTTCAATGTAAACCACAATCTAAACCAGGCCCGACGCATTTCCGATTTAACAATCACCCGTACCGGCAAACCCATCATCCGCATACAAGGTGGCAGGTCAGTCGCCCCGACTCCTCGTCTACCAATTATTATTATAATTATTATTATACTAACATAATTCTTCCTATAGGTCATCTGTCGGAGGTAAAATACCAGTACAATATATGCCACGACCCTCCCGATCCTAACGGTTTATATAGGTCATACCGCGACAGTATTTGGCGCAACGGGACAGCTCGGAAGATATATCGTCAACCGATTAGGTACGGGAAATGCGAGGAGTTGGCGATTCCTGTCGTGTCTATTGTCTGTCTAATTCCATGCCATAGCCCGTCAAGGATGTCAGGTTATCGTCCCCTACCGAGAAGAGATGGCCAAGCGCCACCTTAAGGTTACCGGTGATCTGGGTCGCGTCCACTTCCTCGAGTTCGACCTATATAACACCGAATCGATCGAGGCGAGCGTCAGGCACTCCGATATCGTATATAACCTTATTGGCCGGAATTACCCTACCAAGAATTACAGTCTAGAGGACGTCCACGTCGAGGGCACCGAGCGCATCGCCGAGGCCGTTGCCAAATATGACGTCGACCGCTACGTCCACGTCTCGTCTTATAACGCCGATCCTAACTCGCCCTCCGAATTCTACGCTACTAAGGGAAGGGGTGAGCAGGTTGCCCGAAGCATCTTCCCGGAGACTACCATCGTCCGACCGGCGCCCTTATTCGGGTTTGAGGACAACCTCCTCCACAAGTTGGCCGGCAGCACCAACCTATTCACGTCGAACAACATGCAAGAGAGATACTGGCCCGTCCACGTAGGTTTATCATTGATGAGCTGGGACGCCAAGCGAGTCGCTAATTTTAATAGTCGATTGACGTGGGCCAAGCTCTGGAAGCTATTCTATTCGACGACAACACGGCAGGACAGACCTTCGAGCTTTACGGACCCAAGAACTACTCGACTGCCGAAATTGCCCAGTTAGTCGACCGGGAAATCTACAAGAAGCGGAGGCATATCAACGTGCCCAAAGCCATCTTGAAGCCCGTGGCCGGTCTGCTCAACAAAGCATTATGGTGGCCAGTGCTCTCCGCAGAGGATGTGGAAAGAGAGTTTATCGACCAGAAGATCGACCCTACAGCTAAGACTTTTGCCGACCTAGGCATCACGCCGGGCGATATCAGCAACTTCACATACCACTACTTGGTAAGCATCTCGGCCATTTTAGACGAGTATATATTATATTAACCACTTGAATAGCAAGGATATCGTAGCTCGGCGGTCTATGATCTCCCGCCAGCGACGGAGAAGGAGAAGCGGGAAGACAAGAAGTACCTGCACGTGTTAGACGAACAATAAAGGATAACCTGTAGGGCATTTCTGTGCAAATATGGGAAGAGACACTCGTATTGCGCTGTACATATATACTAGACCCAGTAGTTCTTGATTCAAAAGTTACGAATGGTACTTATTATAAGAACTTGCTGATTTGTAGGGTAATATTATGTTATAACGTCAAGGGTGATTTGCTGTAGTCTTACTTAAGTGTTTGCGACTGAGATTTCCTCCTAAAGATTTTAGAGTTTTTTTTTTTTTTTTCCTTTGGCGCCCGGCGAAAACTAAGGTTATCAACTTGTTCCTAAGCCAGCACCCAACGAAAATAAGACCAAGTCAAGTCTTAGTTATTTAAACTAAATTTCATTCTTTATACTCTTTAAAAATCAATTCAATTCATAAATGTCGATACAATATGGCCGAAAGCGACGACGAACAAATGTAAGTGAGTCAGTCAGTATAATAAGATGCGAGATAATACTTTCGACTACTACCTTAATACTCCATACCCTCCCTATATTCAGTAGTCGACCACGTACTAAGCTAGTCTATAGAACCCTCTCGTCGCACGCTCTAGCAGCGCTGCAGGAGTTCTACGGAGAGCGCGACGCACACGTCGATAAGTTCGAGAAGCTAAAGGCGGTGGCCGAGGACGAACGTGTCGTCGTCTCGCAGCCGCTGTCTATGGATGCGTTTACCGAGGACTGGAATAAGTCGCAGTTTTGGGTATGTATGTCCTTATGTAGTTATATCCATTTCGGTATTTATTTATTTACCCTTTGGGTTTTGGTCTGGGGGTGGGTGGGTAGGCTTTTAAGAGAGGATTGCTGGCTGGTTAGGAAGATGAGAGGAGATGAGATGGAAGTAAATGGGCTGACGATGTGTTGCAGTACTCGGACGAAACGGCTATACTATATGCGAAACAGCTGCTGGATGGCATACGCGAAGACGAGGTTGTTGCTGTGGTGTCGGTGCCTACTGTGTTTATTGCACTGAAGAATCTGTTGGTGAGTTCCTAATATGTCTACCCAGGTAGTTAACCCAAATTTCTATTGTATTATATTTCCATTATCCAGCCGGTCGGTGAGTGGCTAGGGGAAAGGGAAATGAGGGTTTTCTTATTTCACAACATGGATATATATCTACACCCAAGTCAACTAAGAACACTAACCTCAATATACTCCCCCTTTCTCAGAACGCAGCAGACGCCAACGCCCCCAAACCAAAGAAAGTCGTCTTCTTAGAGTACGACCAGCGGTTCTCTGTCTTCCCCGAGTTTATATTCTACGACTTCCTGCACCCTATCAAGCTTCCCGCCGAACTAAAAGGCGGCGTCGATCGCATCATATGCGACCCCCCTTTTCTCAGCGAGGACTGCCAGACTAAAAGTTTGTGTTTCCCCCTTTACTTGCCTTGTCTTGCTTCTCTCTCTCTCTCTCTCTCTCTCTATACACAACCACATCCACAACATCCCATTTCCTATCTCTCCCTCCCTTCCTCCCCTACTCCCTCCCAACTAACACACCCGCCGCCACAGTGGCCCTAACCATCCGCTGGATGTCCCGCTCAAACCCGCGGCTCGTAATCACCACGGGCGAGCGCATGGAGGCCCTGGTGACGAAGCTATACCGGTCCCTCGGCGCGCGGACCACGACGTACGAGCCGGTGCACACGCGCGGCCTCAGCAACGAGTTCTACTGCTATGCTAACTTTGAGTGCGACGCCTGGAAATTTAAGGGCGGGGATAATAAGGGGGAATAGACAGACCTAAGAGATTGATTGATTGATGGATTGATTAGGTGGAATAGAACAGTAGGTAGCTTTGGGGGTTTGCTATACGTTGGTTGGTGTCCGAAGACGTGAAGAGAATAGGGCCACCATGGAGGAAGAGAACTATTGGGTGAGATTATTCAATAGACACCGTCCAACTCTTAAATATTGCCTCTATTTCGCTGTTTTCATTTGAGTACCTAATCTAGGTCGATAATAAAACACCAATACACTCGCTACCTATCACTCAACAATCAATCAACAGCCCAAAGGCCAAAAACATGAAATAGAGGTAGGCATAGTACCTATTCGCTCTATGCGCTGTTTCTCTCTATCTTATTCAAACACACAACACGATGCATAAAGAAGAGAAAGAGAAAGAGAGAGAGAGTAAAAACGTAAGCTCATCGCGCCCCAACCCGTTGTAAATGCGTCATCAAAAACACCGCCGTCCGATTCCATTTCGATATATTGATTGGTTTGCCACCAACGACAAACCACCACCCCAACCTCCTTTACGCCAGCGACCGGATGATGTAGAATAGCAGATAAGCCTGGCTGCCCAGGACGTCGGATTTCTTGGCCAACTCGACTCTGTGGTCGTTAAATGAGAACCACTGGGATACATGGTTAGCATTGCCTGTCGAGTTTTGTAGTGCTTGGGGAACTTACTTGGTCCCCAACTCGAGAATACGTTACGTAGTGTCCTATCTAGGTCAGTTTGATGCACAAACTCATACGGGCTTTAGAATATAACTCACCCGTATCGATCTCTCCGACATGCTCGACGACGCTCAATAGGTCATATGTGCATGATCGCCTTAGTTCCTGACTATCACGAGCATCTGACATTCGACTGCGTGTGGTATATGGAAGCATGTTTAGTTGTAACGGGAATTGTACTTTCGTGCTGATCTTCGATGCAACACGATCACGGCTCCCCTGTTTGAACTCGAACCTCTGGATACTTTAATGTTAGCCTTGTTATTGCAAACTTAGGATGGCTAGCTGCTACTGACCTTGAGCTGTATGGACAGTACATTCGGTAGCAGCTTTATGCTGTGATCTCTCCGCGCTTGTTGCGATGAATTGCAGTTCCTACACCGATACTCGCACTTGTCGGATTTGATGTACTCCTCGTCAAGACATTCTTGTAATGTTAGTGACGCAGCCGTCTTGGGGGCCTTTTTGCCCCTCTTCTGTGACAGGTTCTCCAAGCCCAAACTTAGGTCGAGGAAAGACTCTATTGCATTGGTGACACCGCCGCAATGTTGGCAAGTCGTCTGGCTCTGGAGTTTGCCATAGAAAGTCTGGTGGATGATGCAATTGCAACTATGTTCACTACCAGTTTCGGGCTTCTTGCCATCTCCGTTCCTCTCATGTAACTCTTCGGCTAAGAACTGAAAGAATTCATGCGCGTCTTGTTCCTTCGTAGTGACTAGGTTCTCAAACGCTTTCTTTTCGGATATCCAAAAACCGGACAATATGTTGGCCGCCGTATACCCGTTAGTATTTTCGAGAGCGTAGAAGTCTTGGAACATATCGTCCATGGCGCAGCTAAGGCAGTGTGGCACTTGGCAATCGCTGCTCTGGTGGCCATCGCTCAGGTAGAAGTTCCTCAGTAGGGGATTGTGAAGAAAACTCTGCAAGACAACGTTTTGGTAACATGTCGCACCGGCGTTGTAGATACCTCGGAGTCCGTCCGCCCTACATGATGCGATGGTGGTATTGGAGGATATGTATCTTGGATCATCCTTTAAAGGATCTTTCACAGCATCCGAAAACATCTCTTCATGTTTTCTCTTACGACCTAGATACGTTAGATTATTGCTTATGGCAAGATCGGAGGGCGTGCCAACGTACTTGAGAATGAACCAGTCCCTATCTTTCTTACCCTGAGATCGTCCAGGGTTGGGTCCCATACAAAGTCTTCGCAGAACTGACAGTATAATGAGCCACTTCTAGAGTCGACGTCTGTTGCCAGTCAGCCGAGATTCGACATGTCATATGTTCACCTGAGACTTACAAAACCGATGGCTCTTTTTGTTCGCATGCTTCGTGCGCTCTTCTTCGGTAACAATGACAGAACATTGCAGGCAGAGGTAATTCGATGTTAAAGACGTAGTTATCAGCCCATCTGGACCCTTGGAAGTTTGCGGTACTAGGGGGTTGCCGTCGAAGATAACTCTCAGCAGCATCTTATAGTATTGGATCGAGTTGTTTAGGACATCTGGGTTGTTGGATAGTAGTATTTGGACGTGCTCTAGAAAGGCTTCAGTATATATCACAGCAAGACATGATATCTTATAAGCTTGGAACCAAATAACTGACCACAGCCAAACAAGGGCGTTCCCGGAGTAGGCGAGTTGATCTTGACATTTTTAGGGGACGCCGGAGTAGTAGGTCGCGCAGCCATACTTCCTCCTATGGTTGTAATAACTAGACTTATAACAGGTATACGAAAGGAGGTTCTGTAGTGAATTGGCGAATTGGCGAATATGTACGTAATGGTAGCCGCGCAAGGAGGAGGATTCGGCCGAGTTGTAATAATTAAGAGGCGGGCGGCGTCGGAAATGAGAAGGGCAAAATTGCGATAACGAAAGGCTCGAAAGGCTCGAACGACCAAGCGATTTAAACGACCGTCGCCCCGAAATTAAGGAGGGTAATACACTAGGTAGGTATAGCGAGGCTCGTGTAAAAGGATGAGAGTACCTAGGGCTCGATCGTGAGATGGGATGTGCCTTTGCGAGAGACCGAAAATGCAATGCAATGCAGCTCAGCTACTGGCGGTTGGCGATTGGCGATGCGCTCGCTTCGACTTCGACTTCTAAGATTCCCTCTTACTTCTTCAGCCACCCCAGTGTCAGTTAGCTCTAGTTATATATTAATTACGCAAAGACCTTTTAGAAACTTACAAAAGCTTTCGAAGCAACGATACGAAGCTAGCTAGCTACTAGACAATCAATTTGTTGCCTGTTGCCAAAGCTTGCACGATGCCAACCCTACCTCATGTATTGTACAATATAAGAAATAATTATTAACATGTACCTAACGCCCGTGCAGCGTCATTCAACCGGCGCAAGATAGGCAGATAGGTACAGATTACAGGTGAAGCAACGTGCTAGAAATTCTTATCAGCACCTGATTTACACTTTTTATCTTTTTTTATCTTGCTTATCCAGGCGCGCTAACGTGAAAATCAGGGGTCATAGCAGCTACCTATGTATTAGCATGCTAGCCATGGTGGCACTTAGGTAAGTTAGACAAGCGCTGAGGTGGAACAAATAGTGTACGTAAATGGGGGATTAACCCTTCCCGCTATGTCGCTATCAGTTCTTATCTACAGGTGAGCAGGATGTCCAACACTATTTAGTGGGTTTTAGGCATCAAGGTATTAATATTTCTTAATACAGCTAGTATGTACTATTATATATAAATTATTATAGGAAGGTATAAACTTAAGAAAAGTTTTAATATATTTAATTTTTTAATTATTTACCCCTTATATTACGGCATTTTAAAACCTTATTATATATAATTAAAAATAACGTTTTAAAAAAGTTTTTAAAAATAACTTTTTAAACGGTTATAATAGTTTTTTTTAATTATAATAATATTAATAATTTTAAATTATAATAAATATTTAATTAATCTTTTATTTAAACTTATATATTTTTAATAAAATTTAAGTTAAAATTATACGAAAATTATTTTATTATAAAAATTTTAAAATTATTAAAATAATTAAAAGTTTTTTTAATTAAATAAGTTAAAGTATTATTATATTAAAATATTATACGTACGAAAAAGTTATTTAAAAATTATTTTATAAATAATAATATATAATTATAATATTTTTTAACCGTAATATTATTTTTACTTTTAAGTTATATAAAATAAAACCTTTTTATTTTATTTTAAAAGTAATTTTAAAATATTTATTCGTAATAATTTTATGTATATAATAATTTAAAAATGACTTTATTTTTATAATTATATATTATAATATATTATTAAAAATAAAATTAATTTATATAAAATATTTTATTATTAAATATAAAGCTTTTTTTTAATTAAACTTTAAATATTAATTAAACTTTTAACTATTTATTATAAAATTTAATTTTATATTTAAAATCTTTATTAAATAACGGTAATTTTATACGACTTTAAACTTTACGTTTAAAACTTAATTTTTTTATTATATAATTAATAATTATAAAACCGTAAAAAATTATTTTAAAAATAAGTAAATAAAAGTTATTTTAAAGTATATTACGGTTAATTTTATTAATTTATAAAAAGTTTTAAAAGGTTTATTTTTTATATAACGTCATTTATATAAAAAAGATAAAACGCTTTTTTTTAAACGTAAAAAAATTATAAAAAATATTTTATATTTATTAATAAATATATTTAATATATTTAATTAATTCGTTATATATTTTATAAAAAAAATGTTATTTAATTAATTTAACGTTAATTTTTTCGTTTTTTATTAACAATTTTTAATAAAATTTATAAAACTTTTATTATTTTTATTTAATTTTAACGTTTTTAAGATTTTTAAAAGTTTATTTTATATGTAATAACATATTAATTTAAAGATTTATTTAATAAATAATTATATTATTAAAATTAATAATTTTAAAAGTAATATTTTTAAAGCGTTATTTTACCATTTAATTTAATTAATTTTATAAATTTATTATAATAAAAATATAATATAAATTTAATAAATTTTATTAAAAAAAAAACTAAATTTATATTTTAAAAATTAAAGTTTTAACATCTTATATAAAATTATACGTTATACGTTATTAATCGTATTATTAAAAAAAAGGCTTTTAAAAAAGCCGGTATTTTTATACCTTTTTATAGTAATTTATTAAAGGCCTCCCCGAGGGGCGGCACAATCTTTAAGTTTACTGATAAAGTCTTATCTTATAAGCCAAGTTAAGCAATTAACTTAATTAATTAAATCCCGTAAAGCCGTAATAGCCGTTTAACCTCGCCGCGTAAAAGGTCACGGGCGCTCGGCACGTACTTCGCACGTGCCTCGCACCCGTAACCCCCCGCGTAGTTCGATAATTATATAAATTATTAATAATTTTAAAAATATAATAAAAATTAATTAAAAATATTTTAATATTTATTTTAATATAAAATAATTTTTAAATTTTTTATTTATTTAATTTTTTATTAAATATCTAA